TCTATATTACAGATTCTGTTTAAACTTCATGCTGAATAATGATAACATTATAGACTCCTCTGTCTTGATCTTGTTATATAGCTCTTAACTACTTCTAAGACTGTTACTATTTTTGACTGCAGTCCTTTAACTAATGATCTACTTTACTATAGCTAAAATACAAGCAGTCTCTTTTACACTGTTCAAATTCCTCCTTAGATACTCTACTCTGTTAAGTCTGATACTGTACTACATCTAGCTCCATGAGTTTTAATCTGTAGAGATCTTTATATTCTAAGCTTCTAAATTATACCAATCTTTTATTGTTAGCTTAATAACCTGATTAACTATTTTATTAAGATATAGACCCGCTGGTCTATCAGCCCTTTCTTTATTTTATATTATATTTATATAACTTATTATTGATCTTGACTACTGCTTTAATCATCTTTAATAATATATTTAATTATTCTTACTAGATGAGTTTCTTTTGAATCTCCATCTTGAGTCTCTCTTTAAATCATATAATATAGGCGTCATTATCTTAGTTTAAGTAACTAGTAACTTGCAAAAACTCTGAAGCATACTTAGATACTGATCTAGTCTGCTTAAGTTACTATAATTTTTACTTAATATTATATACTGTATTAATATCTCTAAATATTTATTTAAGACACTGCTTAAATCTAATATAATTAATAAAGATTTATTTTATATTATTATTTTAGTTATTTACCAACTTTTCTTAATACTTGTAGATATATAGCTTAAATTAATTAAATATTGTTTTAATTAGATAGATAGATATAAAAAGAATCTTATTAATCTTGTTTCTAAGCTTCTCTCTGTTCATGCTGAGATATAAGTCTAACTAGATTAAGAAAGCCCTGAGCTTTGCTTAATTACTGTTAAATAATTCTAATAATCAGATCTTAATAGATTTAACTACCAAGCAACCTTTAAGTAACTGGTTCCATTATTTTAAGACAGTGATGCTTTCTTGTAACTAACCAATCATACCCATTAGTTCTTACATTGTCGGGCCCTGCTGTTATAGGGCACGCGATAAGTTCAAAGTAGTTAATATAATAAATAATTATCACTGAGTAACACTCGTACTGACTGGTACTTAATATATCAAATCCTAGGATTACTTTTCCCTGTTCCTGTTAGCTTAGCTTTGCCGGTATATATATCTTTAAACTGAATCAAGATAGTATCAGATTAATTACTATCTAAAGATAATTAATCCTAAACATAAGAAGAGAAGTAAGGCCAGATAATGTTATATTACTATCTGTAAGTAAGTATGGATAATTATTATTGCTAAGCTTTCCAAACATATGGTTACTTAAAGACAATTATATTAAACATAAAGAACAGAACTAGCTAAGTATATGAAAAAATATCCTTATATCCTATCTTTTATTATAGTGTTGCTATAATATATTATGCCACTGATATGTTATTTCATATTACTATTATATTCTTTATAGCGCTAACATGTTATAATATATCGGTAATATACCCACCGTAGTCACATGTTATGTAACCGCTCCGGTCATTAGTTACTCAGATCAGGATTCTACTTGATAAGAGTCCTTGCCTTTCCGGACGTGGCCTTCTGCCTGATGAGTCCGCCTCACTAGTTTGTTCAGCTAGCAGGGGTCCGTAACAATATACTGGAATCTCAGATTATGATTAGATTGATCACTGATTTATCCTGAATGGTATATAATATGGTATATAAAGGATAGGATATATAAGGACACTCTTTCATATATTTAGCTAGTTCTGTTCTTCATACTCAATCCAATTCTTAATACTGTCTTTAAGTAACCATATACTTAGAAGCTTAGTGACAACACTTGTCTGTACTTACTTACAGATAGCTACACAGTATTATTCAGCCTTACTTCTCTTCTCTTGTCTAAGACCAGTTGTTCCTAGATAGTCATCAGCCTGATACCTCCTCAATTCAGTTCGACGGTACGTACACCAGTGAAGCTAAGCTAACCAGGACAGGGAAGCGATCCTAGGGTTTGACACATGCCTCCATGAAAAGATGAAGCTTATATAGTCCACTATATCAACAAAATAACGTGTTTAACTGGTGTTCTAACATGTTGGACATCTTGTTCTTATATGCCCAATTGTTCCACACTTGCTGCAGCGAGATGGTGCCCGGCGGCGAGGCTGTTCCTCGCCTGTAGCTGATTCTACAAGCTGACTTCCATTAACTTGATCAGCCTCACAAGTCTGTTTGAACGCGATTTTAGCCTCTTCAACAGTGAGACCGTTAAGGCCAGCTATTTGGTAATAAGACCTCTTTTTCTTAGTGTTTTGCCTCTCTAATCCAGCCCATAATTTATCAACTTCCTGCTCAAGCAAAGCAGCCCAGTTAAAAATGATTTTGCATTCTTTTATAACATAGGATAACACTGCTTTTATCTATAAAAATAGGCTAATTGTATGTTCATGAAGAAGTCTTTTAATAGTAGTTTCATGTCTCCGCAACTATCTTATATTCTTAGATATCTTTAATATTGTTAATATAGTAGAAATACTGCTAGTTAGAATAGGCTCACAGAGCTGTATAACCAGCCTACCAAGAACCTCATCTGGCTGGAATAGAACCAATCCTAAAGTCTTAAAGATATTGTGTATAGTTGATTCTTTAAAAATAAGAAAACATATATCTATATATATATTTAAGAAATCAATCTTATTAATATAATAAATACTCTGGTAAATCAGCTGTTCTATTAAGCTTCTGTATACTTGTTTTAATAATATAAAGTAAGTAATATTAAACAGTTGATAAAGATATAAAGAATATAGAAGTATATAGATAGAAATAATGTTATTTTAACTATATATATTATCAAATTCCGGAGTTAAATAGGAGTTATATTTATCAAGAATTAGAAAACTATATTGTCCAATCTGCCAGTTCTTTATAAAAGAAATAAAGTATTCATGAAACTAATATAAACCAATCTTATTAAAAATCTAATTATTTAGTAATAGATTAATATATTGATCAGATAAAATAAGGCCTTGATACCATGCCTCTATATAAACCTTTTTCTTAAGAATCAAGTACAGTGTTAACACCACACTGGTAGCATTAATATACTTAATTAAGATCACTTATTCGCGGTTGCCAAACTATATAAGAAACAGCTTACCTATATAATCAGATCTTGTGATTATATATACTATAACCACTATACTTATAATAAAGCCTGTTTTATCAAAGTTCTAGATATCTTTATTAAGAATACCATATTCCTTTTTATGGCTTTAATCTGATTAAATCACTTATCCAAGAGCTTGGAATCTTCACATTTCACACATTAGAAATGATATCTTCAAGAGAATTGACTCTTTAAAGCTAGTATATACTTAACAAAGTTATATACCCAGTTTTCGCTGACAGAGACTGCATAATTCGAGGCATGTTTTTAAAGAAAAATAGATACTATATTCCGAATATATGACAGTCAAGGATAAAGCCCACGCTTAACAAGTGAGAGTATCCAGTCCTTTAAAGCCTCTTCTTCAAGAAGAGTCAGTTTCATAGACTTAACACATATATCTAAACATGATTTAACTCCTTTAATACATCATTACAGAGTTGAACGCGGAACATTGTAAGCGCCTACAGCTTTGTTTATATGCAAAATTCTGCTACTTTGAATAGCCTCAACAGCTAAGCAGATACGGCCTTCTTGTTCCACCAAAGATTTTGACGATTGAGGCATGTCTGGTGGAGTTGTTGGTGGTTGAATAGCTTCAAGTTAAAGAACGCGAGAATAACGCGCGCGCCGGCCCACTCGCTTGTGCGGCCCACTCGCTTGTGGATTACGTTACCTTTTAAACAGCCAGTCTAAGAGGATAATATTAGAATACAGAGTCTTTTATGCTGTCTATTCTCCAGATAGCCAACAGATTTCCATTTTGGCCTACTGGTATGAACTTAACAGATGGTGCTCTCAGACAGAGATGAAATCCCCATACATTTGTTGAACCATAATCCTTCCGGGTTTGAAAACAGCGGGCATTCTCATTTAGGTCCTCTATAGCTGAGTTGATAAGTTTCTGGCTGATTTTTTTCCGACTTCATCCGTCTTTTTTATTTGTATATTCCTTTTTTTTAGGGGGGGGGGGGTGGCAGGCTGTCTCATTGAAAGGCAACTCAACCCCCAAATATATTAGGGAGGCGTTATAGCAACAACGACCAGGCTACAACCACCCTATGCTTGTTACCTTAGAAAGCCTGCCCTCCGTAGCATATAGAGGCCCTTATACAGCACCACTCGAAGAAACCACCTAAGGGCTATATATAGGATCCAATTCGGATACTCAAAGCTCTCACGCAAGGGCTCATGCAGAAGCTCATGAAGGGACCCACACAGGGCCTTAAAAATGACCTTATAGATGCGATCACGTAGTCCCCTTGGTAAAGAATTACTACATACTCGTCGCTACGCCTAAACCCAGGCGTAGCGACGAGTATGTAGCTACTGAGATTAGGGCCTGAGGCATAATACGGCAGCCTCAGGCATGAAAACTAGGAACTGGCCTCCGGACGATCCTTATCAATTACAAAAGTACTGATAGTACGGAGAATTTATATTTTATTATTTTATATGGAAGAAGACCAAAATCCTAGCAATTTCCAAGCACTAAAGTTTGGAAGAATTTAAGATTAGATGGTCCACCTTTTAAGATCAGCTTTCTCTGGCCCTTTATTCATCATTATAAAAAAAATCTAGTTAAACTAGTTTCTAACATTTTAATCAGATAGCCAATCGGATTCCTTAAATCAAGGAGTGTTCAGCTTAAGGTCGTGGTTGCTTATGTTGGCGGTTTACCAATGCGTTGAGTAAATAAAGCTCTAGGTAGACTTTACCTAAAGCGGTGAAGAGTATGCTACTAGCAACGCGCCTCCCTAGCATACATAATTACATATAGGTAGGTGCTCTGTACTAATAGTACCAGTACAATCCAGAAACAGGCACTTCAACCAAGGGCTCAACCTACCATGCCACTGCTTAGGTACCTAGGCACTATATGTACTACTAAGTACTAGTGGTTATCTACATAAGTACATAGTACTATGTACCTAGGTCCGGGCTGACTTCATCTTGTCCCTACTGCCAATAAAAAATGTCTGCTGTTGCTTCATTGGCAGCTATCTTCTTGTATTACGACACAACATTGGTAGCAAGCGACTCGGCCAGAGGCGTAGCCCGGATCCTGCCGCACATTATAACATTCTGACCCAGTGGCATCCATTTCACATCCCTAGGGTTTAAAGCAGCGTTCGGCTTGCCTTCTTGATCACGCTTGGAATCTGGACTCACACTCACCCCGCCTGAGCCAAGATATGTTGGGGCGACAGTCACAATGATCGTATCAATGAACTCAGTGTATTCGGGGTTCAACAGCTCACTCAAAACGGTCCCGCCGCCTTCAATCATGACGCTTTTGATCCCCTCAGATGCTAGTGCACGCAATATAGCCTCCCAACGCAGCCGCCAATTCTGGTTGTACTCCATAATACGGAGGAAATCACCCCCATAGCCTTTCAGCATCATCAACTTCTGCGGGTGGATCCTAGCTCCTGGGGATACGACAACCCATGGCGCCTTGCCTTTCCCTTCCACCGCAGTCCTCAGCATTCGGCAGTCTGGATGGACTGGCCATCGTCCTGTGGGATCAACTACCACTGGCCGCGGTTGCCACATCCTCCCAAGGCCACCAAACCCACCTGCGCCTTCCAGTCTACAATTGAGCCCGGGGTTATCCGCAAGCACTGTTCCAACTCCAATCAAAATGGCGTCATGACGTGACCTGAGATAGTGGGTCATCAGTTTGGCCTCGGGCCCTGAGAGCACAGTTTGCATGCCTGGAAGGAGTGATATTTTAGAATCCATGGATGATGCGTAGGATAATGTGACATGAGGGAATTGGCGGCGATCATTGTGCTTTGGCAGATAAGGCTCAAGGAAGTCTAGAGGGAATTGGGGGAAAGAGAGCGTATCCGGGGGTAAGGGCGAGTGTATAGTTTTCTGCGATAGTAAATTGTCGACCGGAGTATTGCTGATACCGTCAGTTGCTCGCATCCTTACAATACCATGACCCTTCTGATATTCATAGCCTTCGTGCGCCATGAGCTTAACCTCCGGGTTCTGTATCCTCCACTTCGCCGAGACATTGCGCACATCTGTCACTGTACAGAATTTCCCCCCAGCTTCAACAAGATTCTCAGGCTCCTCTTGGAATTTCGTGTAGATTGAGGAAGGCAAATAGCCCTTGATCGCCTCCCTCCGTGCAAACTCCATCAGTCCCGAATTCCGCTTCACCCTGTCGATATAATCAAGGTCATGCGAATGCACACGACTGCTTCCCGGGGTTCTTGCGATGGTAACTGTCGAATATGCTCCCTCGAATTTGACAACTTTGATCTGAAAGTTGCAGATCCCACCCTCCCGCACCCTTTTCTTTCGAGGGCGCTTGCCTTCAGGAAGAGGGCGAGTTTCTGATGTGCGGTGAGTGGGACGTCGCAGTCGGCACATGTAGTAGTCTGTGGTGCAGTGACCTTCTTTGCTGGAATTAGACCTCTGTTTGACCCATACATTATCGATGAAAGGCCAGTAGGTTTCAAATTCCTCAAGACTGATCTCTATTGGATCCTTGCACTCAAATATGACTTGACGTATTCTTGCAAGGTTTGGGGGATTATTGATGAGGTTATCATTCGTGGCTGAACTTGAATTCCTCGAATGGGTAGCACGGTCCTGATTAGCAGCTGCTCCCCCAAGGATATCATCGCTCCGTGAGATGTGATCGCTTCCTATCTCAGCAGGAACTTGGACATCCGATTCCTCCGGTCTTGCGTAACTTGTGGAATCTCCAGACTGTTGATTTATTTCAATAATTTCATCGCGGTGTTTAGGGTTGGTGGTCGCGGTTGGATTGCTACTGTTGTTGCAGTTATTGTCATGATCGCAAGATGTCACCGTATCTTCGTTCAGTGTAGTTTCTAATTCATCTTTGGCCCGAGGAGAAGCATCATCGCGTGAAGAGTTCCCACCAAAATTAGACGGTGTCGACTTAGTGCTCGTGTCAGGCGCGTCTAAATGGTCATGATCCATGTCGAACATTTCAGTCTCCTGAGAGTGGATCAAGACAGCTCAGAAGCACATGTACAGTGCGGTTCAATTTCGGGTCGGGAAGGCCCCGCAACTAGCCTGTTCAATTCATGACTGAGGTAATATGCACCTGTTGGACTGCTTTCTATGATATGCGTGTTGTCTGGTATCTTTAAGGCTTATTAATATTCACCTTTGAGCGCCTTTCCTGATCGGATGTGTAAGCGTTGGGTCTTAGATTGGGATAGAGCACCACCCTCAAAATGTCACGGCAGTACCCAGCTGCCAGTCTTGGCGCCTTATCTTGCGGAAAGCGCCCGCACTTGCAGGAACCCAAGCACAGGTGAAATACGTTATTATTCAAAGGTCTATACCTCGGCCTCCCACAAAGCCACCCTGGTTGTACTTCGATATAAACATATAGCAAATCGAAACAGTAAGCTTCACGCGATGTTGGTCAGCATAACTATATTGTATTAAGATGACCTCTCCTCAATACGCTCCAATCTGTGCCCCAGCGCGCGCCAGCGTCTCGTATACTTTCGGTGGCAGTTTGTATTTCACCATCCCGGAGAATATCATCAAATCCTTGGCCATGACAAGCAATTCATCTGCCAGTCCTTGCCTGATCTCATTTTCGTATGCACCGGAGCTCAGTCGTTCCCGTTCGTGGCCAATACATGTTATACTCCACATAATCACATGGCCTACATTATGAGAAATGATTGCCGGGAAGGACGAAAAGGTTTGAGCGGCGCTCCTAATGTAGGGAACGGAACCTCTGGCGCGTAATGGGAGAATGTTCAGATCATTGATGGCCTAGAATAAGTTGGTCAGTTCGCTGATGGTTAACACAAGTAGAGCGATCGACCTACATCCAGAGCCGGGGTCCACTTAGCTGCCTCGACTTCCAACTTTGCCTCCATCATCCGAAGCAACAACCCGCATGCATCACGATTGACTTGGCGGATTCGCTGGTAATACATCGCGTTTGCGTTGTACAGACCAATCATATTCTTTGCCAAAACCACTGGGTTATCCACGGTTGTCAAACTGAGACTGCTTCCGGGTTCCAGAGGAGTTTCTTGAGCATGGTCATGCGGATCGGTCCGAGGCCTTAAAGGCTGTAATTTCAAGGCAGGCCCACCTAATTCCACAGCAACGGCGTCGGACAGTGCTCTATTGATGATATCAATGACACGGTCGTAATCTTCGGCGAGATGATACAACAAAACAGCATCCGTGATCAGGCCCTTGTCATCGGCAATGGCTGCTGCTTGCACCGTTATCGTCTTGAGGAACTCGTCTTGATCAACTAACTTGATCAAACTAATACGTTGCTCGATCAACCCTTTGATTCTGCTCCCGTCAGATCGGATGTCGCCGAGCAATTTAGCGAAGTCCCTTGTTTCCAGGATGAATTCTCGTAGTGCTTCATGGCATACAGAAGCCTGGGACTTGCCCAAGGATCCGGGTAGATCGGCGTTGAGACAGAGTAGAGTAAAGTAGTCAATTGCCGCCTCCACATATCCTGTGCGGAATTCTCTTGTATACTGGGTAATCAGATAGCCGAAATTGATCTGCGGGTACTGTTTAACAGTAAAGGATACTGTGGCTGTTAGTGGTTGATCGCACCATTCACCGAGATAGAATCAGGTCTACACTTACATATTTCTTCACCCGAGGTGTAGAAATCAGACACACGCAAAAGGCCATAATAGGCCAATGCAATAGCGAAATGCACGGCTGTGATCGGTGCATAAGAGCCAAGGTATGAGACAGCTTGCTCAAACATTCCTCCCAGAATTTGCAGAAGGAAGAAGGTTCCATAACCTCCAGGTCCCTCTTGACCCTTTCCGAAAACTCTTTGGCCGATCTCCGTGATGTCAGTTTGAATATCTTCGAGCCCAAAAACATCGCCGGCAACCTCCTCCGCCCGATCATCTTCCCTGGCCAAACTGAATTGCAACCACATCCAGTCTTCAACGCTTTGATTAACACTTTCCAAGCGTCTGCGGCTGAGTTCACAACGTCCGATGATTTTGTAGCAGGCCATACGATAAGGATCAACTGTGTTATCAGGCGCATTACGGGACCGCTGCTGATACTCGCCGTTGATCTTTTGCTGCAGATCTCTTGGTAACCGTCTGTTCTGCGCATATGTAGTCATATAAGTCACAAATTTGTGATCTAGAGACCGGAAACCCGGGTCCTGGCTCACGTATTCCGCAGCCTCGGTGACGAATCCGCATCGGAGGAGGTAGAATATGAGAATCCAGCAATAGTCCTGACCGACCATCTGCAATTCGGTACTATCGGGAGCAAGATCTTTCCGCGCTGCCCTGAGTCGAATATAAGCGCGAATCTTATTGGTCACAGTTGGTATGCCACCCAATTGCGCTTCCCGAGGATTTTTAATGATGACACTCTCAACCTCATCATAGAAAAGCTTCTCCAGGAATGACCTAGAGCCCTCAACTATCCGCTTCTTCAGACTTACTGCCCTGCGCGAATTTGACACTTCGTCCAGGTAATCCTCAGAAAACTGGCGTTCTGCGCGTGCAGCAGGGTCAGATATGTTGATGATGTTTGGTGGCTCTGCCACAATGCTTATCAGAGCTCTATAAGCATCGTACAATTGTCGAGGAACCTGGGACAGTTAGTCAACCATCCACGCGGCTCTAAAGTCAGAACTTACATCACCACCGACATGTCCCTCAACATCGGAGAACTCATGAAGAATCGGAAATGTCTTTGTATGTAGCCTAGCAGAATTTAGCTGTCGGACTTTGTCTGCGTAATAGCCCATCTTTTCTCGTAAGAAGCGAAGATCAGAGTGACCACTGGCGCCTTCGTTGCGATCCATGGGATCTTCGAAAAGTCGGATGCTTGCCGTTCCTGTTCCTGGTGTCCCGATGACAGACTTTTCTAGAGCGGAACGCCCAAACACACTTCGGCGAGACGTAGACGTAGGGCCATTGGCAGACGCGGGGGCGGACTGCTTAGACCGTCGCACTGAGCGTCCAAAACCAGCTCTTGAATCACCAGCGCCATCATCTTTCTGCGCCAGCCCGAAGTGTTGAAAAATCTTTCGACGTTGCTCTTCCCAGTCCATGTCAACTTTCCCCTCCAAAAACAAGTCAAAATCTCTGTGGGTCCGAGCAAGGCTCTCAGTTATCATCACCTGACGGCCGCGCTGTTGTATGTTTTTCAAAAACTTCTGGTTGTCTGGATCAAAGAGGTCTTGCTCCTTCTGTGTTGTCGCTACCGATGCTTGGGGGTCCAGAGCCTTGAGATCCCGTAAGGCGTGACCGGGTGTTACTCCCGAGGCAGCGAGTAAATAGTGACTGGACAACATATTTGAAAGTCAGCAGGGATTCAACGGAAGCACATTCATCTGCTGGCTCCAACTTACGCCTTGCTGTGTGGTACATGCTGTTGGGATTCTTTTGACCCTCCAGCACCGAGTTCTCGGGCCTTCCTGCGAATATCGTCGAGACCCAATTGAAGGCTCGGTAGGTCCTCGTAGTTGCCGTTTTGGCCAATTGCGGAGATTGGTCTCTTTTTGCCGCGTTCTAGTAGACTATTGAAAAACGCAGGCTGGGTCGTTTGTCCGGATGGCTGCGCTGCATTGACCTGCGTCGGTTTCTGTCCAAAGACCGAGTTCGGAGATTGCTGTTGCACTTGTGGCTGCTTTGCGAAGCTGGTTCCGCCTGTAGGGGCCGGTGTTTTAGATGCATTCCCAAAGATGCTCGCTGGTTGCGCCGTAGCTCCTAAGCCAGCCCCGCCAAAGAGGGTGCTGGCGTTTGTGGAGGCCATAAGGAAGTATGGGCTAATGCCTTCTGGTTATTTAGCCGTATCCAAACACCCACTGTAAATGCTGCTTAAAGGAGATATCATTAGCATGTGTTCTTCTTGGCGAACTTTGATTATTAAATATGCTTACAGCTGGGCAAAGTAATGCCGGAGAGACGAGCACCGATCCCGTAATTGCTATTTTGTGTTTCGACAAGTTGCATCGATAAACAGTGGTGGCGCGCACTGCCAGATTCCGTAGGTATGCCGGACTTTCTTTTTCGCCGAGCTTTGTCCTCGCTCTTTCCGCAGAACTGCCGTCGCAAGTATTCAGCTATCATTACATTAATTACATTACGCCAATTGTAAGGCAAACTCTCCCGCACTTCTTCCGGAACTTAGGTAGTCGGATTCAACTATTCGTGTGGGGGACAACCCGCCTCGTTAATTGACCTAGATACCTACCACTACAATGCCGGTATTCCAAGCCAAGACGTTTCGACGTGCGACAACAGCATCATCGACCCTCGGAGAACGGATTGGTGCAGCTTACCGGGCTCATCTGCCTAAGCGGCCGTTCCTACTTTTCGGCTTTCCTTTCATTATGATCATAGTCGCCGGGTCTTTTGCTTTAACCCCAGCTGCCGCTCTGAGGTACGAGCGGTACGACCGCAGAGTCAAACAATTAAGTCAAGAGGAAGCGATTGATCTGGGCCTGAAAGGACCTGATGGCGAGGAGGGCATCAAACGAAACCCCCGAAGAAGGGTTATTGGAGACGAAAGGGAAGAGTACTATGTCAGTATACATAAGTCACCGAAGTATTGTGTAACATGGCTGGGGTGAGAGGCTTGGCAGCTAACTCGTTACTATCCTTTGCAGCGGCTCATGGCCAAAGATCTAGATAAATGGGAACAGAAAAGAGTACAACGTTTTAAAGGCGAACCTGATGGAAAGCTCTGAGATGCATCGCTTGTGGATCTATTACCCTTCTACTTGTCGGCAATCTCACAATTTGAGCCTTTCTTTATAACCCCTCCGGCTGTAGCTGCCTATTTGAAATGTGAGAATGGCTACTGTCTTTTGGGTACGAATGCATTTGCGATCACTTCGACGTTGATCATCACTAATTGTTAAGGATGGTTCCCGTAGGGTCAATATGCACTTTCCGAAGAGCGGGTCCATCCTTTTCTGTATTAATGCTTACTTTGATAGCATCTGAATATTTAGCCAGTTAGAAGTGGCGGTTGGCACAAGCTTATAAGTTTGAGTATAAGAGTCTTAGCTGTACATATGTTGACTTGAAGTATCTGGTCTATACTGATATCTCAGTTGTCATATACCAAAATAAGCGTATCTGGGCAGCACATCTCATAAAGTTGACTGGCAAGTAACACATTCTGCTTGGCCAGAACCTCAGCTTCGTCATGGATATTCAGTAAAATAAGCATAAGGACCACCAGCTGTCGCAATACTGGGCTCGAGAATGAGGCAAAACCAGCAGTACTAGGGAAACCCGTCAAGTACTACTTGTCTGACCGAGGTGGATGCTGCATTTTAATATAGATAACCCCCTAGAAACCGTACCCCGTGTTGTGTACTGTGACTATCCTACAAAGTACATATTCTGTAGTACTAGAGCCAAGCCAACAGGCTCTTTGTTAGGCTTCGCTGCCTATTATCAATGCAAGCTATATTTATGGTACAAGATTTCCCTTGGAAGACCTGCTGCGCTAACACAGAAGCTGCTCTACACCTACCCAATAATTTAGTGGGATTATTCAATTTACACTGAAGGTAAGTGCGGGGAGCGGTTTTCTTCCACTAAATACTATCTAGTACTGCGTGGAATAAGTGCTAATGAGGTATATAGGGTGGCACGCTCCTTTCCCTATCTGTTTAGTAGAATCTTCCTTGCATGCCTACACAATAAATGGCACTGTGTTTCTACCTGGCTTGAATATAATCAGCAGCAATTAACAATTACCTCACCTGCTTCGGCTAGCTTAGATTCAAAATTGTCGCCTTCCTTCAGAGGCTTAGGATTTTCTGGGGCTGGTTTTATGATGGGCTTGCCACACACTTTCCCGGTTCCTGGTGGCTCTGAGCGATCCAGACCGGCCGCTGCTGCATGGGTAATAAGTCGCTCTGCACACTTTGCCGCTTTCCGAACGTCTGCCACCCACCCCATAACGTCATATCCAGAGAACGACGTCGCTCCCTCCCATTTTCCTCACCAGCCATTCGCTCTTTCACACAGCCTTCTCGGTTGTTGGCCCCCGATTCCCCTAAGTGCTGGAATGATGGCTGTGGATCAGTGATATCAGCCAAAACCCCTCTGTCCCCCACTTTCTCTTCCTCAAACTTCCATTGGTTCAGAATTCTGCCGAAGCACGATCTTTGGGCCCCTTGGGTGAGACGTGGGATTCTACGACTGCGGCTGTGGTCAGGAGAACACGACTCCTCATACTCTTTGGCAACTTGGTAATTTGAGGTGTCCATAACCCAGTGCTTTCCTCACTGGAATCATCACAGCTATTTATTCATTGGGACGCTACTATTTCACCAAGTTTTCCAAATCTTTGCACTTCATCAGTCCGTTTGCACCGTGTCGCTACCGCTGCCTGCTTATATTCATTTATATTCATCCTTCTGTTTCACCCATTCAGATTGTGTCCAACGTGTCGCCTCCTAGATTCAGCCCAACCCCTCAGAGACAAGTTGGCGACCTTTTCACCACCAGCTTGCGTCTCATCCAGAAGTCGCATTTTCGCTTTCGATGAGTAGCTACTGGATCTCTTCTGATAGACCGAGCAAAATCCAGGGTGCATACTTTATGAAAAAGCAGTGTGTATCTCCTATCAGTGGTTGGAGAAAACAACGTTTCTCAGGGTTGCTGACCCAGGCCTTCAATTTGGGGGATTATTTCGGTCCCGCGATGGCAAAGAATGTTTGTATGTGAACGTGATATCTGATATACTGGGAAAGCAAAAGGCAGACAGGAAATTTCGGGGAATTTGGAATCATGTCTGCCATGACAGGTACAAGATCACCTACATCCCCATGGCCTTCGGAGTCCCAAAACCACCTACAGCTTGAAAGCTCTTCGACCCCGGCAGCTCTTTTCTCGTTGCGCGATCCTCATTCGTCCCCTCTGGGGCAAGGTATCAGCTCACATAATGCGGTTTCAGAACGCTCGGGCCCCAATTATTTCTCTATCAGCGTGGAAAGTCCTGGGAATGCTAGGAGAAGTCGGGAATCATTACCCTACGCCCAACCCCAAATGTCTAGTCCGAAAGCACAGCTTCTGTCCAAGAATAAAGCATTTGAGGACTATGCGAGCCTGCCGAAAAGTGGAGCAGGGATCGATGATGAACGCAGAGAATCAGCGGTCTTCAAGCTCTCCTGGAACCCTAGTCTACAGAGACGATGCCCAATTCCTTCTCGACAGGATGTTCCTCCATTGCAACAGGCATCTACACACGGATGCACCATTTCAACTGAGCGCTGCGCAGAGCTGCTTGAATCTTCTTTCCGTGATATCATGCTATTGGATGTGCGGCCATATGCGCATTTCGCGAAAGGGACAATTAAAGGGTCGTTGAACCTTTGTATTCCGACAACCCTCCTCAAGCGTCCCTCCTTCGACACACAAAAATTAGCAAACACATTTACGAACGAGCTAGACAAGAGGAGCTTCGCAAGATGGAGGAACTGTCGCTATATAGTGGTGTTTGATGCTGCTACGTCTGACATGAAGGATGCAGGCCCGCTGACCAATGTCCTAAAAAAATTCACCGTGGAAGGCTGGGGAGGTGAGGGGTTAATACTACTTGGTGGCTTCAAGGTCTTTGCATCTCAGTTTCCAACTCTCATCCGAGGACAACAGGCTCCAGTATCCGATTCATCTGCGGGGAAGCCTTCTCGAATGCATATCGATCTTCCGTCGGTTGCCCCAGTTGTGGGTGGGTGTGCTCTGCCGGAGTCATCTCATGCTGCAATTCCTTTTTTTGGGAACATACGACAGCATATGGACCTCATCGGCGGCGTCGGCCAGATCCCTCTTCAAATCCCGCACAATATGTCAGAATCAAGGAGACGGTTACTCCCTTCTTGGCTACGTGATGTGTCGGAGTTCACAGATAAAGGCCGCAAAGTTTCAGAAAGATTTTTAGGTCTTGAGAAAAAGGAGCTAGAACGTATGAAAAAGGCGTTGTCTTACGAAACGTCCGCCGATACCGCTACAATCGGTGGTTCCTCGGAAAACTTTCGTGTCGCGGGGATCGAAAAAGGCACAAAGAATAGATATAACGACATATACCCATTCGAGCATTCCAGAGTTAAGTTGCAGAATGTGTCACCCGGAGGCTGCGACTACGTGAACGCGAACCATATGAAAGCAGCTTATAGTGGTAAATCTTACATAGCTACTCAGGCACCCGTACCTGATACATTCAATGTAAGTTTGAGACCATTCCCAAGAGACTTGCCAGTGTCCATGCCCGCTGGGGTAACAAGAAACTTCTTTGCCTTTTCGTTGCTCATCTATTATAGGACTTCTGGCGCGTGGTCTGGGAACAGGATGTAAGACTGGTTGTTTCGTTGACTGCAGAGGTAGAACGAGGCCAGGTCAAGTGCCACCCTTACTGGGAGTCCGGGACATATGGACCTTGCCAGGTCAACAATTTTTCCCAGAAATTCATCTACTTGAATTCGCAGGATCCGCAGCCAACCGATATGGAGCTTGACAAGCCTGATGATCCCGGCAACCCTTACATCATTGTCAGACATTTTGGGTTGTCACACTCAGCCTTCCCATTCCAACCATTGCGCGAAGTGACGCAACTACAATATCCCCATTGGCCTGACTTTGGGACCACATCTCAACCGACGCATCTCCTTAAGCTCATTGAACAGTGTGATAAAGTCATAGCAGCAACAACTGGGCCGAACCCCACTTTCTGCGAAGGGCTGGAGGAACAAAGACCGGTACTGGTGCATTGCAGCGCGGGATGTGGCCGCACTGGTACATTTTGCACAGTGGATAGCGTGCTGGACATGTTGAAACGGCAACGCAGTGCATCTCATGCTTCGGGTTTCAATTTGCCTGGAAATCAATGGATCGAGACTGACAATGTGGATCTCATTGAGAAAACGGTAGACGACTTTCGGACGCAGAGGCCGAGCATGGTACAGAATCTCAGCCAGTTTGTTTTGTGCTATGAGAGCGTTTTGGAATGGACAGCAGTTCAGATGGGGAAATAGGAAGATATAGGTGGACGCTGAAAGGTCTCCTGCTACTAGATACTTAGATTCTGAGGGTGTGGATGTTAGTAGACGCTTTGGATACATCTTTCGTTATTCATGCTTAGTGGTGGTATTAGCAATTGAGCTTTGCAATTGATTCGGCCTTTTGTGGGTATGTCTCATAATATCCCTTGCCCCTGAGTCCAAAGTATATTTTGTAGGTGCAAAGCAAGCCATTTATTTCGTTATTATTTCCTCCATCGCAAAATCTTCATTTAAGCTCCCGAAACACGCGATGGCCGTGAAAGTAATCTGCTTCCTCTTTCCTCTCCTGCCATGCTCGCTTTTGTTCTCCCCCAATCCTAGTTAACTTACCCGTTCAACGTTACAAACGAACTTAGTCAAGAGACTGCGTATATAACAGTTGGCCAAAAGAGTATAAACTGAGAAGTGATGTAGTATAGTATACTATTTCTCGAGTGTCTTACCCTCAAATTAAGTAAGTACCTGGTCATTCTACATCCTAATTAGCAGTGCCACCTCCTTAGCTCTATTGGCATTTCTTTGTAGCAAGACAAATAGATGTACGGTTTAGAAGATTTGGAAACGATTCTGAAAGTTGTCGATGGTCAGGCAACAACAGGCAACGGCGGCCGCGGCTGCTGCTGCCTCAGATCTTGTGTCCTTTAAGAAGGACAGCAGACAATCCGACAGCAAGTAGTGTAAGATTATTCGAGGTTCTCTACATTACTCTTGACTTCTATCTAAATATTGAGGACACCAGTCTATGCAAGCTCTGTTTGATTATTCGAGTAACACCGGCCAAGCTTTTCAACCCATCACCTGGCCTTCAGCCCTCAACCGATTTTTGAATCCGGTGCCATGATTCTCACCCTTCCCCCTGAATTGATTCAGCTGGTCCTCCAAAACTGCAGTACATATGCTTTTTTGGAAGTGGCTTTTTCTTGTCGGACTGTCTATGAAATCGCCTCCACTTGCCGGGAGGTTCTTGTACATCACCTGCAGCGGACACCGGGAACCCTCAGCCAGGATTTCCAGTCTCTCAGCTCGAAACAACTCTTCCACTTGCTAACCAAGTATGCATTTCGACAACTGTATGGCTCCCAACATCATGCAAATCGTGTGACATTCGATCTTGGGAACGAAGTGCTTGATGCTAGAGCATCCACATTTGCAGGGTTCAACCACCACCAAATCCTCGCTCTTGTCGCTCGCGGCCGGGGCAAAGTCCATCTCTTTCACATTGGAAGTGGTCAGATCCGGCCTATAGGCCAGATAACTATTCCCTGTGACCAACCGGGAGTAGTGGAAGTTCTCAAGACAGCCTTCGATGGAGATGGTGGGCTCTATGTCCTTCAGCGGTTCAACCCAGCAGCGGATAATATGGATACGAACGCAAACCATCCATTTATCAGACAAGCAATGCGGTCTTATATCAACGGGATGATTTACCTATCCCGTCACTCTCTCGGATCTTCAGACGAACCTGTCCGGATATGTGCCTTCCCTGACCATGCAAACTATGAGCCTCTAGCGCTTGCAGCTGCGCACAGGGGTAGCTTTGCTATTTCCTGGCAACACATTCATGATTATAGCGAACACGAAGTGGTGCTTTACACTTCTTCTGTCGAGACGAACAGTAGTATGAAGGCAGGGGTCATCGGTTTGTTTCCTTATTTCTACCAGGACATAAATCTTCCACCAGAGAGCACTGCTTATACTGACCTGGCCCAGAATTTATCTACAGTTCTTATGTTCTTTCGGCCGAGAGGAGACAGCAACTGAAAGGGGACAGAAATTCCCATCCCAGATTGACTCGGGACCGATCCCTCCATGAGAAAGGACCTGTAGTGGGACTTGCATTCAATGACAGATGCAGCCAACTGCTCTATCGCCACCGCGCACAAACTTTGTACGGTTCGTTTCAGAGAATCGATACGTCTCCTTTCCCAACTCGGCCTACATTGTACGAGAATTCATGCCCCGTGCAGTTTACAGATTCGTTGACTCTGTTATTTTGCATTGGAATACCGTTCTATGGAACACATGAAACCCGGGTCCAGGATGGTTTCGCCAGATGTCACTGGAAATACCTTTCTTTCGGGATGGCCACCCACCGCGAAGAAGACTGGACTGTCGCTTGCCTCATGAGATCCAGCGCCGTCTGTCGGGCCAGTAACTGTGAGCATGTACTACATCTTGAGCGCGGACGGCGGTTACCGGATTGGACAATCGTGGCCCGTCTTTGGGGCTTCCAAAGTTCAGACACCTCCCTCGGTTGTATAGTTGCTGCCTCCAGATTAGGGACACGGATTGCTGCCGCAAACTGGAAAACTGTTTATGTCTGGGCATTGGAGCCGAACGCGCTGATTGAACAAAATGCAACCGGATTTTACCCGCCTTCGTCCTGGCCAAAACGCTCTGGGGTGATCGAGTTGCGACCAGTAATCCTCTCCCTCGACGCTGTCTGCTTCCAGCTGTACTTTGGTCGAGACGAAAATGAATTGATCGCCATTACAGACAGAGGTCTGATGTACTATGATCTCAGCCCATCAGGGGGGGGTCACAGAATGGCCCATCAACTGAGCATCGAAACTCCCTCTCAGTCTGGATAAATTGGTGGCAAAAAAGAATAAATCGGACATGATACCGCTATGAGATTTGCCATCATTTTCTCTGGATCTATCAACGTAAATAGTTGCGCAGTCATGACGGTCTCATTCGAGTACAGACCGGAGGCCGACAGTACACAGTAAATCGGCTGTAGAATAGTACAATAATCGTATAACATAACTTGGCACAGGCCTATTCCTTTCAACCCTTTACCATGGCACAGACGTAGCCGTCCATTTCCCAAGATATATTTCGAAATTCGCTGACATGAATGGGGACATCCCCTCCCCTGTCCCCTTCGAAATGCCCGCTTATGTTACTCTCTTGACATTTTGATGGCAAAGGAATTTGCAGTGACGTATACAGAACACAGATAATACTTATGACCTCGCATCATCTGCTTGCTGATAGCTGATACGGAAAAGTCCTTGCATATTTAAACATGCCAAATTCCCGCCGTGCTGGAGCTGGTGTGTACCGAGAGGCCAGACTTTGCAGACGTAACATATATGTCACATAAATGACATTCAAAAGTAATTGCACAAAAAAGGGTTGCGCGTATTGAATTTTCTCGGAAACGATACAAGTCTGATACTTAAGAGGCTCGAACCCACCAAGAGTATTGGCCAAATGATGCTAGCTACTTCATGTCAAAGAGCTATGACAGAATTACGCAGGAATCCTGCAGAGAACCTACTGACTTTCACCACCGCCGGACATAGCCAAAAATGTTATGACAAGGAAGAGCCACCAGTACCTGAGCAAATGTCAGATTACAAAGCGTGGGCGACAGTAAAGCCGGTCACGAAATGAAGACCAGAGACAAGAGGAGGGACTTACTTTTGGAAAAACGTTTTCTCAGCAACTTCCTCCGCCGTTTTACCATTCGGCCCAAGTATGACAGGTTGATGAAGATGTGGGCGCGGACCGGTTTGATTGGAGACTAGCTCTAATTGAGGGCTTACTATGGTGAAAGAAGTTGCCGAAGAGGTCGAAGGTAGTAAGTCAACGTAGTAGATATCATTGGATAGACCGATATGGAGCCGGAGCGTTGGCCTGTGGTCCTTGCTTCCTGCGAGTGAAGACCGTGATGCGAGTGTGCCTACCCATTGCCTGGCATTTGTAGATGTAGTGGTGTACAAGCCTAGACGAATCAAGTCCTGAGGTGCATCCTGTGATTCATGATCCCCGCAAGAGTTGATCTTTGGGGCTGCATAGGATATGAGCTCCGATTGCAGGGCGGTCGACTCGTAAGAGACGCGAGCGAAGATGGTGGGTTCAGGGGAAGACACGGGCCAGCATAAAATCTCGGCTGACAGCGGCTGGGGTGAGGAGATGGCCGCTGAAAGGGGGGGGGAAAGAGAGAGCGCGGGGAGAAGGCTGAAGTGATACGGTCGCATAGTTTCCACTGAGCAGCAGCAGCTTGATTGACGAGTTAGGACGTTCCTCGGGCTGAATGTTCGAAGGTGAGATCAAAGCGAGAACCTGGAGCCAAGACGTGATTGGAGAATAGAAAATGTGGATCGAAATGGAGATTGATATCTCGTCCCTCAGTCGTTGTTTTTTGCCTTCATCTACTGCTAGTAGATGGGAGAGTTCGATAGGTACAAGTACCTAGCTAGTAGGTATGAAGTTGCCAGCTTAGTTCCGGAGAGGTGCGGTGGGATCTTGGCGTGGAGTCAGTTTTGCTTCCCGCCTTAACCATCTACCAACTTTTTACGCAGTAAATAGTCGTTCAGCCAACACCGTTCGGATCAACTGGATCTCCATCCCGGGCACGTTCCACGGAGTTGGCAATGATTGCACAGTATCTACAAGGTATGTACTATGCTAGACTCGATTCCCCGAAGGCCTGGGTATCAATGTACCCCGTGCTCCTTACCTAACATGGGGGTTTTCCCTCGCGGGAACGAGGAGTGGGTCTCAGGCTGGGGCCGCAAGAGGCACCATGGCATCCCGTTTCGCTGGGTCTGCTAGGTACATAGGTAGTACTATGGTACGTACATAGTACTATCTATGTACGGAGTAGATAGATATGCTGTCATTCCTTCCCCACCGCCGGAGGAGACTGAGCTTATCCATCCCCACTGTATCTTAATTGCCTTCCTCAGCTCCTTCATACCACAGCATCTCAAATTGCCCCTCAATTTGTGCCCGCTCAACAGGCATCCACTCCTTGGTGGACACTTGGGGTTCCGACGACCGAGAGCAGCTGTAGGTCCTCCTGTAAGTTGAGATTCATGTTACCCAGGAAATTTGGTTATCTGCAGCCGAGCCTACAGAAATCACCCTTCTCCGCTCCCACCTTTACACTCATGCTAATGCTCAAATTGACCTCCTTAGTGAAGACCTAGTGTTTCTCGCCGTCCCCTTCGCACCATGGCTTCCGTGGCCCAAATCTCTTATCGTCGCCCATCTCGCCAGGGTTCTAGACGAGCCTCTAAAGACACGCGGGACGAGTTACAAGTGCACATAGATCATTATATTGGAATCGATGTTGGAACTGGCAGTGCCCGTGCCTGTATCATCGACAATAAGGGGGATATTGTTGGCCTATCCTCCGAAAACATTGGTCTTTGGCAACCCCAGCAAGGATATTATGTACGTTTTACCGCTGGAGATTTCTTGCCCCATCTCCGCTATTGTGCCACATTCGTACGACTCTGTGACTTGTGACTAAGTTTCATCGGTTCAGGAACAATCTACGAACGATATTTGGCGATGTATCTGCGTGGCCGTTCAGCGCGCAGTTAGCCAACACAACATTGATCCAGAGACCGTGAGAGGAATCGGATTTGATGCGACATGCTCATTGTCGGTGTTCTCCAATGTTACAGATGAACCTATCTCTGTGACGGGGCCCAACTTTGACTCGGACCGCAATGTGATCCTTTGGCTCGATCATCGACCCGTGGAGGAAACCGAGAAGATCAATGCCACAAACCACAATCTACTACGCTATGTTGGAGGGAAGATGTCCATCGAGATGGAAATCCCCAAAGTCCTATGGTTGAAAAGAAATATGCCACAAGAGCTCTTTGACCAATGCAAGTTCTATGACTTGGCTGACGCCTTAACTCACATTGCCACTGGTGCAGAAAAGAGAAGCTTTTGCAGCGTCGTTTGTAAGCAGGGCTATATCCCTGTTGGTGTGGATGGGAGCATAAAAGGCTGGCAAGAGGACTTTCTGACGGAAATTGGCCTTGAAGATCTGCTAGAGGATAATCACAAGCGGATGGGAGGTGTCAACGGGGTGGTGAGCCTTTTTTCTTCGAACCTATCGTCAATCATACATCTTTGTTACAAGATGAACTTGCCTTCCTTGTCCTGATATTGACCGCTGACTGCTGCTTCAGAATGGCGATTATCTTAGCGCCGGTGAACTTGTCGGCACCTTGTGCGACAAAGCTGCCTCAGAGCTGGGCCTACCCTCCGGAATTGCAATCGGGAGCGGCGTCATTGACGCATATGCAGGTTGGATCGGCACAGTCGGTGCTAAGGTTGATCTGGAGTCGGATCAGTTGAGCTCTGATGTCGCCAAGAATGACAAGGCACAGGCTTTTTCTCGGTTAGCCGCCGTCGCTGGAACGTCAACATGTCATCTTGCGATGTCTCCGAATCCAGTCTTTGTCCCAGGCGTTTGGGGGCCTTACCGCGATACCATTCAGCCGGGATATTGGATGGCTGAGGGTGGCCAGTCTGCAACTGGAGAACTGCTCAAGCATGTTATTGAGACTCACCCGGCGTTCAACCAGGCAGTCTCGATTGCTGAGTCGTATAATGCCAACATTTATGAGTTTCTAAACGAACACCTGAATGAAATGGCTCACGACCAAAAGGCTCCTAGTATTTCCTATCTAGGCCGACACTTCTTCTTCTATGGTGATCTCTGGGGCAACCGTTCTCCTATCGCGGATTCGGGAATGTCGGGATCTGTTGTCGGGCTGACGAGTGACAAGTCTGTGGATGGTCTCGCTATATATTATTATGCCACTCTCGAATTCATTGCGCTCCAGACTAGGCATATCGTGGAGACAATGAACAAAGCTGGTCATAGCATCACCTCCATTTTCATGTCGGGCTCTCAGTGCCAGAATGACATACTGGTTAAGCTGATCGCATCTGCGTGTGAAATGCCTGTACTCATTCCTCGTTATATTCATGCAGCTGTCTGCCACGGGGCAGCCATGTTGGGTGCCAAAGCTGCTAGTGCCGATGCGGAAGGCAAGACGGAGGATTTGTGGGAGATCATGGACCGCATGAGCAAACCAGGGAAGAAAGTCGTCGCGACGAAGGATGAGACTGAGAAGGCCTTGCTCAACATCAAGTATAAAGTCTTCTTGGATCAATGTTACAAGCAGCAAGAGTATCGAGCCCTTGTAGATCAAGCAGTGGGCTTATGGAAGTCCTAGCTTCTTGTCTTTACCTGTGGTTTTGTTCCATCTCTTCCCCTCTATATTCCCAACCCGGCTTATTGGGCCTACATTCTTTCTGCCCTTTCTACATATTAGATGGGCGATGGATTTTATGAATTCTGTTCGGGCCGGTGGTGTCGAAAGGGGATAAGGCATGACAGCCGTACATGAAGTATGCTTCTGACTTCCAGCATTTGATATCATAGAGAAGCAGGTCATGGTTATCAGGATATGGGAGTTCTAAGTATACAAATTCAATGTGGCAGACATACATCCTCGATAAGGTCCTAAACAGTACGCAAAGCGGATGGGAAATCTTGTTAAACTCTAAAAAATCGCAACAGCCATGCAAATACCTTTTGCCACCGGGTCATGTGCTTCAAACCCCGGGATGTGGACAGTACCTTTAGCGCAACATGTAGCATGGATAGCTTTCCAATCTTGGCGCGCAAAAAAAAAAAAGAAGAAGAAGAAAAAGAGAAGCGGGAAATGGTACACACTTAGTACGCTCTCCCATTCCTGGACCTACCAATTGTGTAAAACTTTTCAGCTGGACTCGAAGCAAGGGCTAATGTATCAAAGCGATCAATACCCATGGTCTCCAGGTTGCTGTAGCCTGAAAGATAGAAACCAATCACAACCACGAGGTACGTGAGGACGAGTATAGAGCCCTTGAAATAGTTGCTTTTCCCTTCGCCGTGCACGTAGGAGAGGAGGAATACACAGAGGATCACCGAGACCATGTCCCACTGGGGAAAAATAAGGCTGTAGAGGTAGCAGTATTAGCAAGAAATCCCGTCTAATAGACTGACCTTATTAAAAAGGGATGGTCACACATACTTGAAGGTATGGCTTAGGAGCTCGGACGGATCAATGACTCGGGCATAAATCGCGCTAAACAGAACTAGAGCGGGGATCTGCAAGAGGCAGACCTGGAGGGCATAGGCCGAACCGATCTCCATGGACAGCGCGATATTGCCGTTCATTGCAAACGAAATAGCATTCTGCCAGCAAAAAGTATGAGTAAACACGACCATAACAGCAGCAATTCCTCGAGGTGCACATACCAGGAATTCTGTAGTGTTGGGAACCAAAGCAAAAAGCGTAATTCCAAGAAACTTTTCGTCAATGTCGACACTTTCCAGTACCACATCTACGGTGTTCACAAGAATCTCTGCAATGATGGCATATAGGATCGTAGCACCCAGCAGGATTATGGAACTCCTAGCTTTGCTCCAGTTGGGCGCATCATGGCCACCGCTAGCATTACCAGGCTCCAACCCAATATCTTCATTTTCCTCCAGAAGAACCTTCACTTGATCAGCGGGACCTTTGTTCGCTTGACGTGGAGTAACTTGTTGAACAAAAGGCTTTTTCGTTCGGGCTGCATCCCGGGCGGCAACAGCAGCAGCCGTTGCTGCAACCTCCGTTACCTGGCGCACAAGATTTTCATTGTCTTCGTGAGACAAACCGCCAAAGTTCTTCAGCCTCGAGTTGCCATCATCACCTTCCGTTCGAGGAGGCACAAGGTATGGCGTCGTACTTTTGCCACGCAACGAGGATGCAGAGTCTGACTGGCCTGTAGTATAGTCAATGTGATTATCGGATAGCCCAACCTGCTTGAGGGACTGCCCCAGGATACGCTTATATAATTGTGAATCCCGAACAGAGCCCTTAGTGATGGAGCCACCCGACAGATGAGGGAGGTCGCCGTGTCTCGCTTCATAAGAAGCTTGCTCGTTTGCGAGAGCTATAGCCTTTTTTTCTTCTATTTCCGTAGCCCAGATGAGGGCAGCATGGGTCCTGAGGGTGAACCATAATCCGATGACATAGGACAGAAATAGGAATAAGGCGGCGAACCACGAATATGGCTGGACTGCCTTTCGGAAGAAGCTGTCATTCACAGCCGGGGCCTGAGAAAAATAACAGCGACGACAATCACTGTCCTCAGTTCCTACCGTGGTAACACACAAGCGGCAGTTGAGCTCATGCTAGACAGAGGGTGATCAGTAAGTAACAGATCACTTATTTATTCAGCAGGCACTGGGACTTACACTGCCGTATATCTGGTAAAAAAGCGTGGGACCGAATGCAGCAATCACGGCGAACATCAGCATTGTAGACGTGACACCCGCAGATTTGACATTGAACCGTTGAGTCTTGCGCTTGATGGCGCCAAAGCACATGGAAAGCCCAGGAAGAAACAAGATGCCCGCAAAAATGCTACCAATAAGACTGCCCTCCACAAGCTGACCTTTACCCTCAGTTAAGGCAACACAGTAAAGGTAGACTTCGACTACGGTTGAGAAGAAGGCATTGACAGCTGCACCCATGCCCATAGAGGATTGAGCAGAAATCGATGCAACGGCCTGTCCAATGAAGTAGGCCAGCGGAATGATGGAGACGAGAGCAAGGGTGAAAATAAAGCCTGGGTGAGTGATCGTAGTTTGGAGACCCAGGGTCTCACGGAGAAGGAAGTAATCCAAAATGACAAATAATACAACACCAAGAAGATTGATCAAGAAAATATTCGTTCCGCCGACGGTGTACTTCCAATATCTCAGACCCGCTGCGCGATAAGTGCATAACAGGATAGATGAGGAAGACCCGGGACTTAGCCTGGTGTAGGTCGTGTCGGAATGGTATGACAAGGCCAGAGGGTGACGACGAAGGTGGTCAAAGAGGATGATGGTCACACGCCCCATGGGGATCCAGAAGACAAGTAACCAGCAAAGAAGCGAGACTAGAAGCATCAGAGGTCCTACGAGAAAGTAGAAGAAGACGAAGAATACGACGCGCCCAAGTGTCCACTCGCCACGGCCGAATAAACGCCGCTTGGGATGGCTGAGGGGATTCTCTCGCGGGCTGCCCCTTTGCGTTCGCCCTAAAAGACTGTCCTGCTCACTGGCCGAATCGACGCTGCTTCTTCTCCTCCCGACAAGGGACCGATTGCGTCGAGGGCCGAAGAACAGTCGACCATGCTCTAAGTCACCGTTCTGCCACTGTTCGTACTCGCTAATGCTGCGGCCTTCACCCTCATCTTCCTCGGCGTAGTTTTCGTCCGTGTCCAAGCGGACGAAGGAGCCGAAAGGGTAGATCAAGTACCAAGAAAGTCCCGAGAAGACCCGTCCATATTCTACTGCACTGGGTGAATATGCGAAGACGAAACAAGCGACAGCGCCTGTAAGCGCAGCTAAGGCTAGCCACCACCCAAAGAATACTGTCCACAGAAGGTTGGTCAGGAACAGGAGGTTGCCCACGCGACCACCAGGCGACGAATGAATATCGCCTTCAGCAGTCTTCTCCACTGAGCGACTTTTCTTGTACAATGCAGGTTTCCAGAGCCTTATCCCAAACGGATGCGTTTCATTGATGGCCTGCTGGCGGTCCTTTAGGGTGAAGCTTTCTGCATCACTAGACTCTGCCTCGTCCTCACCGTTGTTATCATCACCATCATGGCTCCCACTCTCAGACTGTTCGGCTGAAGGTTCGATTTCTGTGACTGGATCAGGTAGGCTGGGGCCTTCTTCGCCTTCATTGTCGCTGTCCGGTTGTGTTAATGGGCTGCTAATGCGGGCATTGAGTCTTCGTCTCAATGTCGAGCTCTGTTTTCTTAAGGGACGTATGCGAGGCGACGACTGGGGATTGGTTGCTTGTTGCAGGGCGATATCCTCCTCTACCTCCTGCACGTCATCTTCGGTGGAAAATTCTTGTCCTTTATGAGGTACCTGCCGTTTGGAAGACATGCGGCGTGTTACAGATGGCTTCCTCGGTCTGTCCGACGGCAGAGGTGTGCTGGATGTCGACTGACAAGTATGTATCCGACTCGAGCTTTCTGGCTGGCTTTCGTCCGGCTGAAGATCAAGGTCCATCCTGGCGGGCGACTCTAAGGTACCTGCAGCAGAGATAAGTTTCTTGGCCGGGGAGAGGGAGAGAAGCATGCAATCGCACCATAATTTCGTCTGGATTGTGTCGCATTTCTCGATTGGCGGAGAGTTCCTGAAGACATATCTTCGCTGTCTAGATTGGACGGCGCCTCAGGCTCGATGGGATATGAAAGACCCTGATCCTCCATCTGGTCGTTATTGGACATGGTCGGTCGGATTCTTCCGGTGTTCGTTTTCTTGGCACTGTCTGTTCTGCCAGCCCCCTTTGACCGTATTTGGGGGATTTGAAAACAGGGAGGCTGGGGGACGGGGGGGGGTTACCGGCAAAGAACAGTTCGAGAAGCACTGCTAGGAAAGTGGCCTGCACTTGAAACGGTAACGGAGATATTTATTTTACCACATGAATCAAGGAGACAAATTACATGTTGAAGTAAGCCCAAGACAGTATCCGGGACGGATGAAGGTGAGAGAGGGCTGAGGAACAGGCGCGAAATGAGAAAGCAGCTAGTTAATTAGTTAGATCATGAGATAAGGTCTCGCATCCCCGCAGTCAGCTGAGACCTTTGACATGCAGGTCACAGACACGCTGAGGGAAACTGCAGGATTTCTAAGATGAGTCAAGAGATATCCTGGCGAACCTCTCGAGATAGCCCTGGATCGGTCGTCGTTTGACGCTGATGATGCAGTCTATCAGAGATTGGTGATACCCTACCTAGTATACTATGTTTCTGCGCTGTACTCCGTACTAGGTCGAGGCGTTTATGGGCTACGTAATGTATGTATACCCGTTACGGACAGTACCCTCGAGGTACTTACTCCTGGGTGCTGTAGACACATCTAGTCGATTCCACTTTATCCTCGTGGTGGGCACTTTATCACTACTTTCCTTACAAAGTGATTTTCGCCCTCTAATGTTATTCTGGGTGCGTAGTAGTAGCTAGGAACCTAGTAATTCTTACTATTGCGTGGTGGTAAAGTGGTTGTTATTATTGGCTGGGTTGGGTAGCTCTGATTCGGCTTAGGCAGCAGCGACCGGTAACTAACGTAATCCACAAGCGAACCGGCCACACAAGCGGACCGGCCACCCACGCGTTTTGTACGCGTCTGCTTTTTTAACTTATCTTTAAACCACCACCATGCCTCCAAAAAAGCTTCAAAAACGCTCAAAATCTACTTATTCTGAAGGTCAAATCCTGCTTGCAATATCTGCTATTCAAAATAATCAAATACATTCAATTCATGAAGCTGCTCGTGTTTATAATATCCCGAGGACTACCCTACAAGAACGACTACACGGGATTAAATCTCGTACGGAAACCCAATCTAATTCCCAGAAATTGACTACATTCAAAGAAGAATCAATTATCCAGTAAATCCTATCTCTAGATTCACGCGGAGCAGCGCCCCGGCCCCAATATATATAAGAAATTACTGATCTTATCTTGTCCAAACGCAGAGAGATTCCAGCCCCAGTTATTAATAAAAACTAGATATATAACTTTGTTAAGTAACATACAGAGCTCAAAACTAGATATGCTTAACACTATAATCATCAACAAGTAAAATGCGAAGATCTAAAGACCATAAATAAATGGTTTACACGCGTACAAGTAATGATTATACAGCATGAGATCCAAACAGAAGATATCTATAATTTTGATAAAACAGGCTTTGCAATGGATCTAATATCTATTACTAAAGTAGTTACTAAAATAGAAATGACTGGCAAGTCCTTGCTCGTATAACCAGAGAATCGAGAATAGATAACATTAATTAAATATATCAATTATACAGGCTGGGCACTCCCATCCTGTATTATCTTTAAAGGAAAGATTCATATACAAGGATAGTATAAGGGCACATCATTACCACCTGATTAGCAGATTAAAGTCAGTAATAATGGGTGGATAACAGATAAAATTATATTTTAATAGCTAGAGAAGCTCTTTATTCTAGCTATAAATGGCCGTACAACTGGCAGATATTGTTTACTAATCTTGGATAGATATGGCAGCCATTTAATACCTTGTTTTAATAAGCTTTACAGCAAGAATAATATTATTCCTATTTATATGCCTCCGCATTCATCTTATCTCTTATAACCACTGGATATTGGATGCTTCTCACCCTTAAAACAAGCGTACAGGCGCCTGATTAAGGGCAAGGCCCGGCTCGGATATAATCATATTAACAAGCTTAACTTTCTTAAGACCTTCCCGCTTGCTCGTACGGAGATATATATATCTAAAAATATTCAAAACAGCTTTACAGCAGCTGGATTAGTCTCTTTAGACCCAGAACAAGTACTCAGTAAGCTTAATATTAAGCTTCATACACCAACACCACCTCCTACACACTCATCTATATCTGATCCTAAAACACCTTATAACACTCATCAGTTACAAAAGTCAGTGTCCACAATCAAACGTCTTCTTCGGCAGCGTACGCAAAGTCCACCAAGTCCAACAGACAAAACACTGAAACAGATGTTTAAAGACTTTGAAATAGCCTTGAATGGCAGTATAATCCTGGCTCAAGAAAATCATGAATTACGCACTGCCAATGAGAAATCTTATCAAAAGCGGACCCGTTCTCAACGTCAAATTAAGCATACAAATGGATTTACCATCCAGGAAGCTCAGAAAGAGATACAACACGTCCAACAAAAAGAATCCACGCGTCAAGTGCCAGAATCTATACCGGACAAAACCAGGCTGGCAACCTCTTCAAGGCTCGTACAGGCGCCACCACGCTGCAGTGATTGTCATAATCTAGGACATAAGCGATTACAATGTCCTAATCGTGTACGTAATTGATTTTTATATAAAAATACAATTTTCGGGTCTATAAAAGTGCTTGATTCGGACGTATGTAGGGGAGGTGGCCGGTTCGCTTGTGTGGCCGGTTCGCTTGTGGATTACGTTATCGTACGGGAACCAACTTTGTGAGTCATAGCATGTGACCTTAACACAGCCTTAGTCCCGGCTGTTGTGGCTGGTGCTGATACCAGCTCCCTAGTTGGTTGGTCGGTTACCTCACCTACTACAGCTAACTGCGTTACCTATCCCGCAAGACCTAGCTCTCTCTAGCCGGTTGCCATCACCACACATCTCATCCCCTTGTTCTTTGTTCTTCGACCTTCTTCTTCCGTATCTTCTGAGGCTTGGAAAAGAAATCGCAAATATCAGCCGTTCTTGCCCCAAAGGCGCATATATTATTGAAGTTGTGTTGTCTGTGATTGCCTCGCCGTGGCCATACCAAGGAGCGTCATTCCTGGCTATCCATCATGGCACTCGACAACTATTATCGCAATAAGATTGAGAGCATGAAGCTCGAGATTATCCAGGGCCAGGCTGTCTTACGGAGACTGGAAGCACAACGAAACGACTATAATTCGAGGGTCCGTTTACTTCGAGAGGAGCTCGGCCTGCTTCAACAACCTGGCTCCTATGTTGGGGAGGTAGTGAAAGTGATGAGTACCAAGAAGGTTCTTGTCAAAGTGCACCCTGAAGGCAAATACGGTAAAGGCCCTCCACAGTCGTTCAGTTGAAGTCTTTGCCTGCTTGGACTAGTGTAATAATTACTAACCTCGTTTGCGACGTTATAGTGGTGGACATTGCGGATGGCGTTGATATCAGCAAGCTTACTGTGGGAAAGCGGGTCGCTCTACTTTCCGACTCCTATAAGCTGGAAAAGATGTTACCCTCGTCGGTTGACCCGCTGGTATCGCTAATGATGGTAGAAAAAGTACCTGACAGCACGTATGACATGATTGGTGGGCTGGACCAGCAGATCAAGGAAATCAAGGAAGTCATTGAGCTTGGTTTGAAACATCCAGAGTTGTTCGAGTCGCTCGGTATCGCACAGCCGAAAGGTGTTCTTCTCTACGGTCCGCCAGGAACCGGCAAAACCCTGCTTGCCCGAGCAGTGGCCCACCATACCGACTGTCGGTTTATTAGAGTGAGCGGATCGGAACTGGTACAAAAATACATCGGTGAAGGAAGCCGAATGGTCCGTGAGCTATTTGTTATGGCTCGAGAGCACGCTCCCAGTATTATATTTATGGATGAGATTGACAGTATCGGATCTAGCCGCATAGACTCGGCAGGCTCGGGTGATTCAGAGGTGCAGCGGACGATGTTGGAGCTGCTCAACCAATTGGATGGGTTTGAGCCCACCAAAAACATCAAGATCATCATGGCCACCAACCGGCTCGACATTTTGGATCCGGCTTTGTTACGCCCTGGCCGAATTGATCGGAAAATTGAGTTCCCACCGCCATCGTGAGTATCTCTTTTGATGCTGCTTACCTTTTGGCGCCTCGACCCATGGCTTGAAAAGGGCTCATAGCACGTTTGACTGACCATGTTACTCTTTGCAGGGTGGAAGCTCGTGCGGATATTCTGCGAATCCACTCGCGGTCAATGAACTTGACGCGAGGCATCAACCTTACAAAAATCGCGGAGAAGATGAACGGGTGTTCTGGAGCCGAGTTGAAGGGTGTTTGTACAGAAGCGGGTATGTACGCTCTCCGAGAGCGGCGAGTACATGTTACCCAAGAGGATTTCGACCTGGCCACCGCCAAGATCCTCAACAAGCATGACGACAAGGAAGTCGCCGTTTCCAAGCTTTTCAAGTAAAGACGGGATGTTTGTGATTAATAACGGGTTATTACAACAAGAACTATGGTATTAGTTTGAATGCTCTTTGATGACCGCCCCGGCGGCATCATTACATGCATATGCAATTGTGCACTCCACACCTCCTTGCTATATGTGCTGTACCTGGTTATTGGTTGTAACGCCTAGATACAAAACTTCTTAGATGCCTCGTAGTCGGGTATCTGCTGGCAGTTTGGCATAGAAAATGCGAATCACCTGCGCAGACTTTTCATATAATGTCTACCTGTTTGCCAAGTCCGGTCGTTCAGTAGAGTCCCACCCTAAACAGCAAGAATAACATGTACACCTCGATGCTGAAAACTCAGCTTCTTCGAAGTGAAGGCTAACAGGAAGACAGCCCCAGGCATTCTCAGAGGTAGGTAGTAGTCAACAAACCAACGATATACAGCACTCACTGGGCCCTTCATAGATTATCGTCTAGGCTCGTTACTGGTAGGTATGGCCGCCCCGAACTAGATAGTACGGAGTACATACCAAGCTCTTTCTTATGCCCCAATTTATCATTGGCTTCCAGGCTTCGTGATGCTCTAATCATACTTGCATATCGTTTACACAGTACCTATACTCAACCTCTTGCCTGACAAGGGGAATACATACGACATCATTCATTTGTTCAAGTATAACATACACCGTATTCGACCATCCTCTAGTATTGTTGCCTAGCTATGATGCTTCATACCGACCATACACAGTAGAGTGTGAAAAGTGTGAAGTATGTATATCCTAGCGCAATGCAAGGTACGTGTCCTGCCTCTATGCCCCTGATTGCAGGAGTCTCGTAGGGACTTCCGTCACCCGCCAAGACCCTCTCTTGCCTAGGTATGTGGTCTGGACGCTTGCCAGCGGAGCGACACGCAAAATACCAAACAATCAGCTGAATAGGGCACTACCTACTCCGTACATACGTACTGTCTATGACTAGAGCTCCTCTCAGTTCTCAGTTCTCAGTTTTCAGAGTAGGCTTGGCGGAGGGATGAGCAGCATGGATTGGGGGCCGGCCAAGCCGCCAAGAGGAATAGGGTTCGGACTCTGGCTGGCAGTGGCTGCAAAGGGATAGGCTAAATCAGTCGAGACACGGAGGTATGGATCATTATTAGCCTGTATATATACTCCGTACATAAGGTAAGTAGTAAGCATCTACATAACTTGGCATGGAGTGCTGCAAGGCTAGAGGGTTTTGCCGCTGCTACCTATCTGATCGAGATAAAAGGCAGAGGAAGCCTGTGAGATGACTAATGCAGTCATCTGATCCTCAGCCCCCTTAGCTAGAGTCCGTAGCTCCTGAATCTGACAGCCTTCAAGGCTTCATCCTCCAACAAAGCCCAAGGTGTTCTGGCTTTCTGGGCGCTATGAGATGGCGCCCAGACTAGTAGGACGGAGCAGTCAGGCCACATCAGATCGCATGATACTGTGTATGCTGGTACTGGTAGGTAGCATGCGGAGAACCCCAGCCTACGGATGACCCGCGCAGAGAAGGGTGTCCATCTCTCCGGGGGTCATCGCCTCCCTATGCTTGAATCGAGACTATAGACCGGCGGAGTATCTGGCTTGATGGTGAGATGATTGAAAGAACAAGCTACCTAGACGTGATACGAGCAATCTCCCAGGAGTTTACCATGGTCTGCGGATGAAGTAAATCCCATGTGGATCCCTAAGTAGAGTACTCTGCAGTCACAAAGTACCTAGTACTAAGTAGCCTAGAGGTCCGGAGTAGATACACAGTTGATAGACTTCAGAGGCTTTCCAGAATCTCGACTGGCCGGCTGATCTCCGGTTGACGCGTCGTGAGAGAAACTTCGACATGCGCGTGACCAGCGGGTCCAATTTTTTCTTTTCCTTTTTATTCTTTGAACTTTGAAGTAATAATAATGATTTTTGTTGAATGGATTGCTCAGGGTCTCGGCTCAAGTGGGGCAGTCCAGATCCGATGACCTTCCAACCTCCAAGGTTTATCAAACTACGGAGTACTTAGCGTGGTATTTGTAAGTACGGTGTAGGTGGCATCTAGTTGGTAACAGGTAATTGGTAATGGTAAGACCATGAGACAGAGACGGGTAGACCGAAAATCCTGGGGCAAGCGGGGGTTGCTCCTCTTCCCTTCCACCTGCTATGTACGAGTCGAGTGTGGATGTATCACGCATGCCTGTAGGTACGGACTAGGTATTTACACTATAACGGCCATATAAACTACTAGATAGATACGAGGTGTCTACTCCGTAGGCCGTTATTTGCCTCCCTTCTCATGGTTCTGTCATAGTTCCTTCTCACCCTTGCATTGGTATTAATCCAATACTACCTAGTCGGAAATCAACCCGAGTGGGGATGCCGAGGGCATCAGGCTATCCCTCCTTCCCTGCAGGTGGAGGGAGGGCTGTTCACCGTCTGTCGGCTGTCGGCTGTTCATCTTACCTCCCGGGCTGACCATGATTGATTGCCAGATCATCGTCCAGCCTAAACTTTCTGGCCTTAAGTATATTGGTTGCATTTCACACCATACACAGTATTTCTTTTCTATACGAAGTACTCCGTACTGGTAATCAATTCATTTCCAGTGTGCCTTCCTTTTCCGTTTGGTGCTCCCCTTAGGTATTTACTGCCCAAGTAGGAGTCGAGGTGTTCTTTTCCCCTTCCTCTTGTTGATCGGAGGAAAAGAGGGCTTGGCTGAACAAAGAGGCAAGATACCTTCTGCATAAGGTTAAGATGGTCGGTCCCCCTAGGACGGGGTGCAGTACTACACTCACTACCTGCATACTCCGTACACACTGCACACACTGCACACCTATCTGTTCCCCCCTCCCCCTGAGTGGGCATATCTACACAGTATTATGTACTAGGTAGGTATTATTACTATCTAGTATCTAGTAGTATGTAATTCGATGCTGACCCACCTGGCCGGATTGGATGAATGCTTGGCCCGTCTGGTGATCTGTCCGGAGTACGGAGTACAACTTGCAGTTCCATCCTTCGATCTCTATGCCAACCCAAGTAGATCACTGGCTCGGCTCGCATGGTTGCCCATGTAGGTAGGGGTAAGTAGTGCTGAGGTGAGGATCTTGCTATCCTCGCCCTCTTCCTGTCCCTTGGGGGTTGGATTGATTAAATCGGCCCTATCCTCCACCCACACCCACCTGCTTCAGTTCCTTGCAGTCTAGCTATTATCGTGGTGGTGATCCTCTACTTTGGTCTCTTTGAACTCAAGACAATTCATCAAATAGCTCTTTATCCCCACTCCTACCCCCTCGGGCTCAAGAATTAGCTCAACAGGGCTCTTCTTCCATCAGTTTTCTAGAACCACTGACCCTTTCACCCGACGGGTTCCACGGACTTGCTTTCTTGGCCGCTCCTGCCACTGTGTCCATCTCAATTGTTGTTGGGTAGGTATGTCCTTATTGTCGGTTCATCTTTCGGATGAAGGACTCATTATTGGCAGCACCCCTAGGCACGGGTGAGGTACTATATACATAGCTATCCACCTACTTACCCAACTCCAAAGACCCAGCCACCTTTGCTGAGCTACCCCCGCCGCGTCTATCCTAGTCGTTATCTTCTAGTCCGGTGATCTCATCCTTGTCGCATTGCCACTCTTCCTCTGCCCCCTGCGCACCCAGAGTTTTGGTATTTGCTATAATTCACTAGCATGCCCCAAGGCGAATTATGGTCCACTTTAGTTACCGCCATCGATCCCGGTAGTATCAAAGCCATGCCGGCCGTTCTTCAGTCGACGATTGATCTTTTGGAGACGGAACTAGCCAAGGCCAGAGCCGCGCTTCATGAAATCCAACCCGTCACTGACCCCTTGTTCACGAGGAGAGATGAGCTCGCCCTTGGTGCGGTGGCAGCATATCGTCAGAACCTCATCGACCGTGCGCCGGGGTTCTTCTATGGCGCGAGCCGATTGACACCAAAGGAACTGGGCCTTGTCCCTACCATCCGTGAAGTACAGGCAGATGATGATGACGAGGTTGTGTTGACTCAGCCCAAGCAACAGCATCAACCTGTCCGACCCGTATCGCCTAAGCGCGCCTCTTTGGTTGACGTCCTATCAAATAGTTTGATTCTCGATCATATGGCGCCGTATCTTTCGGTACCGTCATTGTTCGCTCTGACATCGACGTCTCGCCTTGTCCGATCCTTAATCATGAATACGCCTTATGTTTTCCGACATCTCGATCTGACCCAATGTCACGGGGCCAAACTAGCCAGTCCAACTACTATGGACTCTACTGAGCAAACGGGGAGGAGCGAGCAAAGGAACGACTCTATGACCGAGGACGAATACTACTCGGCACCTCTGAGGACCATCTTTGCCAATTTGGAAAGGAAGACGCTCCTGCAAGACGTGCGTACATTGATCTTGGATGGCCTGTCCGTCCCGACGGATCTGATTGCGGAAATAATCCTTACAGATCGGTTCAACATCAATATTCTGTCGATAAGAGAGTGTCGCCATCTCAATGAGCGTAAACTTATTCAGGTCATAAACCATGCAGTCCGACCCACGCGTCCCAAGGGCACACCGCGCGTGAAAGGCATCTACCATTTCGCTCCTTTGCAATATTCTCGTGCGATGGTTCGCAGCAAATACCGAGATTGGTGGAGCGCACGATGTTCCGGCCAAGTCTCTTGCACGACTCCGACTTCTGAAGACAGCAGCTCCGCAGCCAGTGATTACACTGAAAGTAATATGCATCAACAGAATGCATGGTATCGACCATCTGGACAGCTCTTCAAGCGAAGCATTGAGGATGGCTGGGCAGAGACGATCAAGAAATGCGAAGGCATCATTGCCTTTGACGCAGTATTGTGCCACGGTCCCCGACACGACGTTGATCTCTACACCCCAATACTGCAGAACCAGGATGGATCTCATCCTAAAGGCCGACTGCTTGGGCCAAAACTTGCCACTGTTGCACTAGGCCCCCGAGGATGTGATAGCTGCCACACCTCACCCGAGGGCCCGACGTTTTGGGGCCAGTACCCGGACGATAAGCTTCCTCTGCTTACGCCGCCACCGTACCATACTTCCTCTGTAGCCAAGGCAAAACGCCCGGTGTTGCTTCCGGACGAGCAACCAAGTCTAATCGCTCGCTGCACGGAGTGTTTGACTGACCGGTGGTGCCATCGTTGCAACAAATGGTTCTGTGAAGATTGTTTGCCTCATCCCGACCGCGTAAGGAACGATCTCTCGCCGCACCAAACCGCAGTCAGGGGTCCTCGGAGCAGCCAGGATAGTACTGAACAGCCCCAAGACCATACGGTTTGTACCCAGAAAGCCCCATTTGATCAGGAAGACACCTCTGACTAGACTATATAGCAGTTTGGTCCCGGCGTAAGTAAAGACTGTTGGGAATGCGGTCCGACGGTAAGCCAAGTCGACCCAGCCATTATATTCGCCGTTCTGACAGCTAGTCCAGTGTGCCCGGTGCAAGGCGGAGTGTCAGCGAACCTGCCGGAGCTGTCGAGGCGATTATTGCGTTGAGCACAATGAGGGATGCTCCTCAACGATGGTATGCATCTGAAGCCACTACCTAGGGCTCCCAGCCTTACGCTGACATTGGCACTTTCAGTGCGATTGGTGCAATACTAGTACAAGGCATCGTGTGAGGGAATTATATTGAAGCCCGATGTACCTTTGGGCCACCCCTGTGGTCCGTAAGGAGCGAGGGAGCGAGTAGATATCGGATCCATGACCGGACCTGAACGCATTGGACATCTCCTTTCTAATCGTTTTCTTGGTTGTTTGGTAAAACCTTAGCCGGCGTGTTTTCTCGGCACTCTTGAATACCATGGAGCGTATGATTGGGCAGAATGAGACATTCAACTACTAACTGCAAAGATGTCTTAGCTTGTAAGCCGAAGAAGAAAGTGAATGGATGACAAATCCGCAGCCGGATTCCAGAAGGCGCTCGGCGCTTCGCCATCTCAGATGAGAGGAGGATTGATTGATGCATTCTTCCCATCACTCCCCATCAACCTTCTTATCATTCATGACCGACCCAAGATGGTTTCCGCTGCTCCCACGTTCTCCACCTCCCTCCCATCCACCCTCTCCCCTCTCCTAGGTTTCCCCCTTTCCTGCCTCCCTCCCTCGGCGCCATGGCTAGGGACCAAGGCTCCTTGCACTGGTCGTCGCAGTTGACCGTCGCTCCGCCCCAGCAAATCCCCAGGCTCCCGGGCGATAAGATTACGCTGCCACCTTCCGCGCTCGAGCAACTCCTTGCGGCTGCCCCGCTTCAAGAGGTGAATTCGTCTGGTCCGGCACGCCAATACACCAGCGCTTTTGATCCCTTCAACCCGCATACCTTCGCCGCCGAGTCCCAAGCGCGCGAGCGGGGTGTGGATCGCCAGCAACAACTGCCCCATCCGCTCACGTTCCGCATTGTTAACCCGCAAAACGACCGTGTGGTATATGCTGGCGTCCGCGAGTTTTCCGCGGCAGAGAATGAGATTGGTCTCAGTGCGTTTCTGCGAGGCGCCCTCGGCATTGCTGTACAGGATCCGGAATCCCCCGGCGTTGTGGATGATGCGGGGGACGACGCACCAGCTGCGTCAACCACGGTAACGGTTCACGCACAGCAACTGCCGAAAGGCACCTACGTTCGTCTGCGTCCTCTTGAAGCTGGATACGACCCTGGGGATTGGAAGGCATTGCTCGAACGACAGCTGCGTGATAACTACACCACATTAACCTCGGGGGAGGTTCTTACCGTTGCAGGGAGAGGCGACCAGTCGTTTCAATTTTTGGTTGATAAAGTCGAGCCTCATGGCAATGGCATCTGTGTCGTGGATACGGACTTGGAGGTGGATATCGTCGCCTTGACCGAGGATCAAGCCAGAGAGACTTTACAGAAACGATTGGAAAAGGTTTCCCGTGTGTCCAATACTAGAGCAGGCACATCTATCGGTGGCGAACTGCGATTCGGTCAAGTAGTCACCGGTCAGGTAGCGCCCGGGGATTATGTCGATTACGAGCTTCTTAAGTGGGATCCCGCAAATGCATTTGAGATATCTGTTGAGGGTGCCGATAATGCAGATGTCTTTCTCTTTGCCAGCCCCCTTTCCGCTCGCCAGCGAAATCGACCACGGGAAGACGAGCATGTATTTGGTGAACTATCAAGCCGGCGGGCTAAACGGATCATGATCCAGCCGACGAATGTGGACATGGAAAGGGCCGAGATTTTGTATATATCGGTCCATGCTTGCACCTCCCCTGACAGCTCAGACGCGGGAGTCTCAGCTCCACATCTGCCATACAGCCTACAGGTTTATGCTGGGCCCTCACTCGCAGGTCATGGAAGTCTTTCAAGTCTCGGGTCGGAAAGTCATGACCCCGGTGACGTACAGTGTAAGAACTGCCATCAATGGGTACCTCAACGGACATTGATGCTGCATGAAAACTTCTGCCTTCGGAACAACATACTCTGCTCTCAGTGCCAGAATGTCTTCCAGAAGCGTTCGACAGAATGGCAGAATCATTGGCACTGTCCGCATGACTCAGCCTATGGCAATGGCCTTACAGAACAATGCAGACACAATTTCTTCTTTCACACCAAACGTTCCTGTGGAGGCTGTGGTTTTGAGGCGGAAGACCTCACACGTCTTGCCCGGCATCGCACAACTGTCTGCCCGGCCAAACCTATTCTCTGCCAATTCTGCCATCTTGTGGTTCCCCAACGAAGTGAATCGGACCCTGATATTCATGACCCGGACGTCTTAGTCTCGGGCCTAACCCCGCATGAATTAGTGGATGGCAGCCGGACGACCGATTGCCATCTTTGTAACAAGATCATCCGACTGCGGGACATGAAGACGCATCTTCGCCATCATGATTTGGAACGTCTTTCCCGACCCACTCCTCGCATTTGTCTAAATCAGAATTGCGGACGGACGCTTGATGGACGCGGTACACAGGGTGCTGTCAACCTCGGCCTCTGCAGCATTTGCTTTGGGCCGCTGTATGTAGACACTTATGACCCCGAAGGGAAAGCGCTCAGACGGCGTATCGAACGTCGCTACCTCTCCCAGATGATGACAGGCTGTGGTAAGTCTTGGTGTCAAAACGAGTATTGCAAAACGGGGAAGCAAGCTAGACAAGCCTCTGCATCTGACTTAAGTTCTACGTCCGCATCTATGGGCGCCGCGGCTATTTTATCCACCGTGAGACCTTTGCTTGACGCTGTCAACCTCCGGGGAGATGCACCCAACACTGCATTTTTCTACTTTTGCACAGACCAAGTAGGCCAGCAACGCCGCATTGCCGCGGAAATGTTCGCAGCCGAGACCACAAAAACTGGTGGAAAGACTTATGATTTGCCATGGTGCATCGCCGCCGTGGAAGCTACGGCAGGAAATCTAGAAAAGGCACGAGAGTGGTTGGAGAACTGGGCCCCCGCTCATGGTGAAGGCACAGCTGCCTTTCAGCAGTAGACACCTGTAATGACATTCTGATATTGTCAAGCCTTGCTTAATATCATATTCTTGCCAAAAACATAAGTGTTGGCAGGCAGATTGTGTACGGATACTCTTGGAACATAGCCGGGGAAGATCGAGAGACATGTAGCTGAAGTTTTCCCAGAAACTCTCCTACACATACAGGTTATGTGATATGGACCGAGATCAATGGCCGAGAAGACTATATTTCAAGTCTTTGGAAGAGCATATAAGCTCAGACTCCGTGCCTACGCTGTGAGGGAAAGCAGTTTTTGAAGGAGAAGTGGGAAAGGAGGAGAAACCGAGGTTTAGGGGTTCGTTGTCGTGATTCGATTAATACACCCATGCCTTAGGCTGCACCTGTTCTAGCAGCTAAAGTTCCGCTCCCACGAGATGAAAAGATTCCCATGATCCCAAAAACAACATAGAACAGTGCCAGCGGGTAAGCAACCAAGCCCCTCATGCCACGCATGCGCGCAACGGCACAGAACATTCCCGAGGAGCTGTACGTGCACCACCCCACGGCTGCGGTAGTTAGTAGATACCCGAACATTGTGTCCATAGGGGTCAAAATCCCCACTAAGCTGGTTAGCACTAGTGGGAGGAAGCAGTACCCCAAGACGCTGGCAGAACGTGGGAAGGTCAGAGTAGCGGAGAAGTGGCCGGCGGCGGAGGCGTCGGACATAGAGGGCTTGTGGTGGGGAGAGTAATTGGCGGGGTCTGCAGTGTTGGGTACGGGAACTGTGTCCAGGGCCGGGGACATCAGACTGAGGATCAAATGCAAAGCAACGGTCCCAAAGACTGCAACACCATAGATGTAACCGTAAAAGACCTTGCCAGAGAGCAATAGGAACGTTCCATACAGGACGATGTAAAGAAGGGCTCCATAGAGATCGCTGTCGTCCATAAGGTGTTGGTCAATACGTGCGAAAGGATTGAGCACAGTCAGCGTCTATAAAGCGAATATGGGCGGCTCGGTCAGTGAGGTTCGCGATAGCTGATCGGACGCAGTCTGTTGTACAAACCTTCGTGCGGATATGCTCAAAATTGACCCCCAGCTCTTCCAGAAGTGGCGGCTCTCCCTCATAGCCCTCTGTGCCAAAAGCGGCAAGCCATCCAGTCCTCAATCCTCCCTGTTCGCCCATCCTTCCACTAACTCCCGCAGTTGGAGATCCAAACCCCCCATATCCGCCACCAACCCCTCCGGCGGGATACGCCTGGGATGCTGGATTAGACGCTGCGCCAAAGGCGCCATAGGATGCCTGCGACGGGGTCGTGTGGCCTGATACAGAGCCATAGGATGAAGGGTAGAATTGGAGGTTCTGCGCCGACGCCTGCACGCCGTAAGGCGGCTGTTGCGGGTAGTACTGGGCCATTGTGGCCAGGGTTCGGGGACGATGTCGGATGAATGAAACGGGTATAAAGGAAGGACGTGGGATACGTGTCGCGTTGTCGTAGTATCAATCGGAAGAGGCGAGCCGAGGGAATGGTCAGTGACCGAGAGGAGGGAAATGACGGAGTTGCAGATAGAGAACAGCTGGTGGGCGGTGAGGTTTGATGCCTAAGTCCGCAAGCCATCGCTCCTTCTAGTTATGTATACTCCGTGAATGGAGCTGGACAACATCTCGAACATCAACGCTGTATTCATGCCTCTAACGGAATGGAAACCCCCCTCCCTTTGAACTAGGAAAAAAAAGAAGAAAGGAAGGAAGAAGGAAAGAAACAACACCCTCTCTGCTTTCCCTTGTCCATCAGCCTTCTCTATGTAGTTTGTTACAATGTCAAAGAATTTCTACAGAAAATTAATGCCGATGCCGAGCTGCAGCCCTTTCCGGCCTTCCTCGCCCTTGCGGAGTACCAGCGGCAAAGAGAAGTTCAACTCGAATCTGGCCACCGGATGGGCGTACACGAGTCCTACCCCTGCCGCGATGCTAGGCAGGCCGTTGGCTAGCTCGGAAACAGTGGAAACCATGGCGTCCTTCACCTCTGTACTCGAAGTAGGTGCGTTTTTCTCTGTCGTTCGCAGGGGCAACAACCGTCCGCCGTTTACGAAGGCCTGCAGTCGTAGAGGCTTCTCGGCGCCTACTCTGGGGAGCGGGAACAGCAGATTTGCACTTCCTGCCGCATACACATCACCCCCAACGGCATCTGCTCCATCATGGGGGCCAAGGCCGCAGAGACGGAAACCACGAACATCCGTAGGGCCTCCAAGGACGAACCGGTCATTGGTGCGAGAAAGCTGGGGGCGGGAATCGCTGTCAAGTCCAAGAGGGTACAGGAGGCCGGCGCGGAACCCAGTGGTCAAACTGATGCCACTGTCCCCTTTAAGGCCAGGGATAGGAATGGGCACTGCGGCCTGCGTTTCAATCTCCGACTTCCAGAAGGAAACATCACCTTTAAGAGGGCCCCAACCGGCCACCTCGTTGAACGCCTTGGCGTAATAGCCACGAGAGGGGAGAAGGGGGCTATCTCTTCGGTCCTTGGTCCAACTGTGGAAAACGCTGCTTTTCACATTGTCGCCTGCATCAGCTCGGACAGTAGGGGAAGCGCTCTCGGAAAGCCCAGTCATTTGTCTCCAGAAACCATTGTAGCCAAATTCATGGCGCTGACCGGAAGGACTCGCCCATCGAAATTTGGTCCATCCTCCTTTGAGCACCTCTTCGTGGCCTGCCCAAGACTTCTGCGTGGCACTAGCGAGACCACCAAGCTCTAGACAGAAGTCCGGGTCACTGAAAACCGGTGTTTCCAGGGTGGCTTGGTAGGCGGATCTTGTTCTGGTACCCAACGAGGCATTCAAATTCAAATTCTCTGCACCTCCGAAAACATTGCGCCAAAGAAGATTACCATAGGCCGACCCCTCGGTGTTTCCAAGATCGGTCCCCGTCTTCAACATTACACGGGACTTCTCCTTGGCCGAGACATGGACACTGAGAGTCGGTATACCCGACTGCGCGTCTACTCCCGGGGACTGGTCCAAATACACCGAAACAGGCTGCTGGAAGATATCTTAAGATCAAATTAGGTCTGAGTCCGTAGCTATTTTCTGTCGGGGAGGAGACCAACCGAATCTGTTGAGCTTGTCCGCACGTGCCGAAACTTCCCGCAAGGCCTCGGAGAGCGTAAAGGGTCTGTCCTGGTTACTGCTTAGGAGAGGGTTGAAAACCCGCTCCAGAAAGCCTCTGCGCGTGTGGTGAGCGCCATGGACTTGCACCGAAGAAATCGCACATGGCAATGTGGAATTCTGGTCAATCTAGTGGTATAGGCTCACTGATTAGCTCATCATGACACTTGATGTATATCGCCCTCGGCCCAGGGCCAACAAGGACGGAGGAGCTGTTCCTACCAATTCCTCGAGTCGTGTCTGCGCTTTCTGGTAGATTGCACGAGCCCGCTCATCAACCGCCTGCTGCTGCTCTTCCAGGACTTTCGGATCGGCACGCTGTTGAAGGCGCGCGAAGATCTAGACAGCAGAGGACGTTCACAATGGTCAGTGCACAAGGCCCGGGACTTGCTCAGAAATGATCAAAGGGGATGCATCACAAACATCTTCGTCGTCGGCGGAGAGTGGGGAGGACATTGCTGCGGCGGCAATGGCCAGACAAGACCTGCTTTTCTTGCTTTCCCTTCCGGAGCGGAGAAGATGAAGCCATCCGCCGCCCACGCACGTGACCTTTCCCCGAGGTGCCTCCGGGGGAGTTGCTTCAGGCCAGGCCGCAGCGCAACTAAAACTAACTATAGAACGAGATCCCCCATCGTGAGACGGCGTTTGCCTTGCGACCTGCTTCCGTCTACCCCATTTCTCTTTGAAAATTGTTTCAAGCGCTTGGTCTTCTTCCTGTTCCAGTCCCATTGCCCCCAGCTTTTGCTGCTTTCCCCCTTTCGCCCTCTGTTCTTCCCCTCTTCGCCCCGTCCGTGACTCGGCTGGAAAGCCCACTGCACAGCCCGAACGAACTATAAGGATGGCGACCAAAGCGGCTTTCAAGCGCGTGCGTTAGGCCCTTTCAAGAGCTGCCAACCCCTTATCTTCCAACTAACCGCCGAGCAGCTTACTCGCGAGTACCAGAATATCCAGAAGAACCCACCGCCGTACATTGTGGCACATCCATCAGAGTCCAATATTCTCGAGTACGTCACCTGCAGCAGACTGTTACAGCCCACCTCCCTCCTCTCGCTCTCCCTGGGGCTGACACTCTATTCAGATGGCATTACATCCTAACAGGCCCCCCGGGGACACCGTACGAAAATGGTCAGTATTGGGGTACCCTGATGTTCCCGCCCGAATACCCGTTTGCCCCCCCGGCAATCCGCATGCACACTCCCAGCGGTCGCTTTCAACCATCAACTCGACTGTGCCTCAGCATCAGCGATTTTCACCCAAAGTCCTTCAATCCCGCGTGGGAGGTTTCTACCATTCTCATAGGGTTGCTCTCCTTCATGACAAGCGAGGAGATGACCACCGGGAGTGTAAGTGCTTCGGAGGCGGAACGACGAGTGCTGGCAGCGCGATCTAGGTGGTGGAATTCTACCGGCGGAGGCTCCCATATTAGCGCGACTCCGGGAGTGACCCCCACTGCCAAGGGCATAAATAATGTCAAGGCTGGAGACGGAGGCCTGAAGTTTCGCGCCGAGTGGCCTGAGCTAGATCAGGATAACTGGAGATGGATGAAGGATAGTCGCATCGACACGAATACCGGCCAACTGATGCCTGATCCTAGTCTTGCGACTAGATGCTCTCCAGAGACGAGTGCGCTGCGCCGGCGACCGAACGGTAGCGCACCCGGACTTGGTGCCGTGATGGAGGGCGGTCATGTCGCCCGAGAAGCTGGCCAGAGTTGGGTCCGACGCAACAAAATCTGGCTTGGCTTCGCGATCCTACTTGGGTATGCGCTTCTGACCAGGCTAGTGAAAGATGTTCAAGGTTGATAGCTGAGAAGGTTGAGCTGGCTCGACTTTCTACCCCTTCTGTATACTTGAAGTTGCCCCATTCAGCGTTCTCTCGGGCATGCGGACACCCCATATCGACACCCCTTTTTTCGTTTCTCTCTCTCTGCTGTTGGCACGCTTTCTTTGCCGGCACCCATATCGTTTTTCTTGTGTTCAGCATTGTGGTCCGGGAGAGTTCGTGCGGACTTACGTGGGTTTACGTGGTATTCAGTTACTGGAGGGCGTCAGGGAACTTTTGGCGTTCGAGGCATCTCTCCTTTTGTCTTCTGGCTCCCTTTTTTCCTTGATCTCTTTCTTTCCTCCCTTCTTCTCTATTCTTCTCCCTTCTTTTCAAGCCTTTTTCCTTCTTGGAATATGGCTTTGTGAAAGGTTGCCCAAGCATGACGGCAAGGACAGCTTGGGTTCTGAAGAGGGAAGAGTCGTACATAATCGATGTGTTTCACCATGAGAAAGAATAAATGCACCATGTTGGAAAACTTTCTGTGGTCTCCCTAGTAGTTCCTGCGTACCTAGCACCTACTATGCACTTAGGAAGTGCAGGTATATAAATCATCTCACGCCTGATTGGCTGCGGGCAATGGCGGAGATTCCCGGCATCACGTGCGGTGGGCGGGAATTTTCCGGCTTGGAAATAAAATCATTTCGTATCGCCGAATTATTGTTGTTACCGTCGCTATAGTACATCATCCATCGTTCACTTTTGGCACCTTTCTCCCCCCCTTTTCCAACTGCCCGTCGTTTCGTTTTTTTCACACGACTTCTGATTACCCCCGTGTTCCAGTACAATGGGTTGGTTTTGGGCAGACTCTCAACCCAGGCCGACGCCCGCGGCTGCAAAATCTTTGGCATCCTCAGATGCCTCTCCTCCAGTGAGTAGATGTGTGACTTCAAGGTAATGTTAAGCAAGACGTCTGACGAATTTTATAGCCAGGATGTCCTATGCACGCATCTAATACTGCCCCGGCTTTGCCAACCCAATCCGCCTCTGAGAGTTCAAGTGCCTGTCCGGTCCGGTCCACCGACTCCCCGTTCTATGTGCCTCCGAAGTCTAAGTCACCGGAGTCGCAGCCTCCCTCAAACCCAGAATCGCGCCCCACGCTTTCGAAGCTGAACCCTCTTAACTACATGTTCTCCTCAATCTCCCAGGAAAGAGCGCCAAACCAGACTGTGGATCTTCCCGTGGAACGAGAAATTTCATCTATACCCAGGTCCGACATGGATGAGAACTGGGAATATCCTTCTCCCCAGCAGATGTACAACGCCATGTTGCGCAAAGGGTATACCGATACCCCTCAGGACGCCGTTGAGGCAATGGTCGCGGTTCACAATTTCTTGAATGAGGGCGCTTGGGATGAGATTGTCCGGTGGGAGCGCATATTCTCCAGAGGTCTGGCGCAAGGTTGGGATAAGTGCCGTCGTGGAGAGGAGAACCTTGCGATGGATGAGCTCAGGGAGGAATTGGCTGGACCCGCCAAGCAGGATGTTGCACCGCCGCGGCTCATCCGATTTAAGGGTCGTCCGCAAGAGCTCACACCCAAGGCACGGATTCTCCAGGCTCTGGGCTGGGTGTACCCATCAAAGTTTGAGTCGGTATTCCCTTGATTTTTCATAAGCTAAGTATCACTAGCTAACCTTGCCTGCTCTAGAACAAGCCCACCTTTTGATAGACATGATTGGTTCGTAATGCGGCAGACACCGTCGGGTCAGAAAGAGGTCCGTTATGTTATTGACTACTATTCTGGACCTCCCGAGCCAACCGGCGAACCTGTGTTCTACTTGGACATTAGACCTGCTCTAGACACGCCAACTGCTGCCGTTGAGCGGCTAATGAGATGGGGAGGAGATGTATGGTGGCGCGCCAGCGGCTCCTCCGCGCGGGAAAACAACGGGAACTGATTGTTGTACCGCATAACCGCGATTTGCTTTTCTCAACACCGTTCAGCAATATACACTCTGGGAAGGCGCGGGCGTCTGGTGAAGTTCTTCTTTCTATGGAACCGTCCTGTTGTGTTCATGTTTTCGTTCGGATTGCGCCCGCTCTCCCTTTCGGCTGTCATGCTTATGATCCTATGAATCTGGAGTATACGGCGGTAGTTTGTCATATTTGACGAAACGGAGTTTTTGCTTGGTTTTTTTGGGTTCTCTCTACTCCATCTTTTACCCTTTTTCGGGATCTCTCTTGATATAGCTCCCTTGATATGTAATATAGGATTCTGTGTTGCCATCGCAACATGAGCAGCGCTATGACAAGGTAAAATTCATGTTGATACTCTATTGTATACTGCATAAATAGATAGCTATACATTAATATGCTGTACAGGATTGCCTTGACATGGCAATGTCTCTCGGTTGGGATTCTTTCAACCCAAACCCATGATCTCTTGCTATTCAGGGCACACAGCATGAAAGAAGACCAAAAAGGTCTTCCCTAACCATGCCATTTGTGCAAGTACTGGGAAATTCGGCTATGCGCGCTCTTATTGACTCCGTAGAGTGCATATCAGTTGTGTGGCGGAAGCCATAGCGGACCCTCATGCGTGATAAACCGAGGTTGTTAGCAACGAACTCCGGTCTTCTGTCGCACCTCGCGGCAATAACTCGTCTGGACATGTGCTTCGGCATCGAACAAGCGGGGGAAAAATGCGACTTCCCGGCTCTGTGTTTCTCGCTCCTTGTACAACCTCTATTCATATGTTAGGGGATAGGAGATCATATTTGACACATTTCTCGACGCTTTCAAAACTGCTTTGGAGCAGTTCACGCGCTTCAAGTCCTACCCAGACACGGAGCATAGACATGTCGCCCGACCGGACGGATTTTAAGGAGGTAGTGTTAGACCCCAGTTTCCGCAGAATGGGGAGGGAACTAGGAAGCAATCAAGTTAGCGGATCGTTGGAATAACAGAAAGGTAAGAAAGATCTATTTACCTCTTGAAAAGATCGAGGTTGGGGTCCAGGTTGCGTCCGATCCCCTCAAGGAGAAGACACGAAATGACAACGTTGACAAAATCCCCCTCGAGTCTAACGTGATGTTTTCGGACCAAAGCTAGGACCTCACTTAGTACGTCTCCGATCTTGACGCTACCTAGGGCGAACGTGCGCGACTTGACATTCAACACTAGGTGTTCCATCCCCAATGCGAAATAATACGGGTCAATTACTGCATCCGGTTGGCGGCACCGTTCAACCATGAGCTCGCCTGCTCGAAACCCGTCGAACTCCGCAATGGCGCGAAACAGATCGATGAAATTGCTCCGATTGAGCTCGTTCAACTGAGTCACTAGGCCGGTATCGATGAATATGAGCTGGGGTCGATAGCCTTCAGCATTTAGCTTGTCAAGTGCTTTCTTCCAGTCGCGTCGATCATTGGCATGCGGGCGCAACCGTGCGAGCACGGATTCTGTAACGTCGACCTCCGCCGCAGTTGGTGCATCCGATGCGCGAGACTTGCTTCCCAGTGATAAGTCCAGTTCGCTCGGCCGGTAAAATCGTACCATGATATTCCCGGGATGCAGATCCGCATGAACGAAGTTGTCGATCAATAGCATATGGAGGAATGCATCCAGGCCTTCGTTGGCGATTTCTTCCTGGTAAACGCCTCCACCGACGTCAAGGAAAGTTGAGAGGGGGATGCCCTGTGCAAACTCCTCCACCAACACCTCACGGGTAGAGTAGTCCAGATATGGGTATGGAAACCAGGCCGTGGTCCGGGACCTGAACTTCTCACGGAACAAGACGAGATTGGTTGCTTCGATCCGTAGATCCAGTTGTAATTTCATCATTTCACCGAACTGATGAACCTCATCCGGTAATGATAGCCAATTCAAGGTAGGTATAGCATTGATCAAAGACGCAAAGAACGACATGATCTCCAAATCCCTGTGTATCACGCGTTCTACCCTAGGATGAAGCACCTTGATGGCCACATAAGACGACGGAACCCGCTGGGGAGAGCTCTTGACTAATGCACCGACATTCTTCCGGACCTTGTCTCGTAAACCGTGCGGTTGGAGATTAAAGTCGTCATCGGTCCCCGCAAGGTTAGGTTTCAACTTTGCCTTGTAGACCTGCGCGATAGCGCCTACCCCCAAGGGTTCTTCTTGGAATTCCTCGAATATATCCTCGAACGGCAACCAGTTGAAGGCTTTCCTTATAGTCCTTTTAGTCTGATGCAATGAGTGTGCTGGGGCGTTGGAATGGAGTGATGACATGATGTCGCATAGTTCCGGTGGGAAGATGTCAGTACGGGAGGCCGCCCACTGTCCGAGCTAATAGAGTGACAGGAGTAAGCGAATTGCGGACTCGGAGAGCTCCACGGTGAGAGATTTACCTTGATGAATGCTGGACCTGCACGTTCCATGGATCGGACCAGAAATTTATACCACCAGAGTGTCCCTGTCCGTATTCCCTCACGGTCCTTCAGTCGCCTTCCAAAGCATAGAGTCGGAGCCGCAAGGATGACGGGGAGGAAGATTACAACTAAATGAACAAATCGGAAGCCCGTCGCAATCGGATCATATATATAATAGTAGCCATAAACAAACAGCGATTGCCAGAGCCTCGCTAAGCCTCGCGCATCTTCTGCGACAGTCTTTTGCGCCTCACGGCGCGAGACTTCCAGCATCTGCATCTCGCTTGTTTTATCATCTTGCTCATCACCATCCTCGGCCAGCTGTAGGAATGCCCCCGGGGTCATGGCAGCGAGAAGAACGGTTCCCTTCGAGGGTCTTCCCTTGGGGGGCCTTCGGACAGGTTGCTGCGTCCATAAAGGTGGCCGGTAGAAGCGCAATCGAGGCTGCGGAAGAAGGCGGGACAGTAGCAGCGGGTTTCTACCACGGCTCAAACAGAAACGGCCCGAGAGGACGGCCGTCCTCATGTTCTCGTAAAGACACCGGCTCGAAGGCGGGCGGATCAGTCATCGAAAAGCAGAACAGCGGGCCCGTGTGGACATCGTAAGGCCGACAAAGGGGGAGAAAGTGAGAATGCGCTTGCTTGGTGGTGAAGGTCGGGATGGAAGGTAGCTCGGGTATCGGCCAGGCGGGTGGGCACGTGGGCCGACGTCATCACTTTCCAGTGACTCTTACTATGTACGATCTAGTTCTACATACCCCATACCCTGTAATACTACAACGATCTCGGCTTTGGTGATTCTTCAACCTTCCCCCTCCCTTTATTATCATGGACTCTAGACTTCTAGCTAACCTCTGGGATCTGGACGAACGGTAAGAATGGTTTCATGGGCAACCCTGTACTGATGAGAATGGAGGATGTTTCCGCACTCACTCAGCAACACTAGGTGTCACGAACATGTCTGGAGACATAGCTATGCATCAACCCCTGGAGTGTGGATTTCGGGGATTCGGGGAGCGTATCAGGCTGCAAAGGAGCATTAATGTCAGATGTAAACCTTTGTCCGGGGATATCACTGGCTTACATCATTCTTCAATAACCCCTGCATCAAGACAACAATGTTGTCCCGATCTTTCTGTACTTGCACTTGTTCGGTCTCGTCCATGGGTTCGGAGGGGTTCGGATATAACGTCTCCTCGAGCAACAGAAGAATCTCCATTTTTTGCAGGGATCGTGAAACAGCCGCGGCTCCCGCTTTATCGGATGCCATCAAAGCCAAGGCAAACCAGCCTTCACTCCGGACAACAGGCCATTGCGACTGAGTGATCATAGCACCAACCGGCAGTGAGATATCCTCATGCAAGTCAAAGGCTCTATCGACAAGAGCAACAGCAATAGGCTGTTCCTCCCGAGACTTGGGGACCAGAGTGCGGCATATGGAAGCTACAATTCGTCCGATCTCAGTTTTGATGGGGGTTGAATCGGTCTTTTTGAACAGCGCAAGTAGCAAAGACAGATACGTCTGTTCGTTCGTTGGGTCATTCTCACCGGCGGGGAGTCGCTCGAGCAGACGAGTTATATTATCCATCGCTGCTACGATTACCTGTCGGGCGATGCTTATTGCAGCGAACTGAACCTGCGGAACCGACTCGTATTGCCATAGACGTGAAACCGCCGGAATGATACCAGCTTCTCCAAGTATTAGCCTGTTATTGCCAGCGATCGCAAGATTCTTGAGGTATCCAAGTGCGGAGTGTAAGACCGCGCCTCGAACATCACTTTTGAGGATTGATATCAATTCTTCATGTACTTTCAAGTCTTGGATCATCTTTTCGCAGATCTCATCGGATCGAGCCAAGTTACCCAGAATAACGCAGGCGCATATCTGCAGCTGGTCCTCCTCCGATGTTAGCCACATCTTCAGAGACTGTGTGACAGGGGAATTCAGGGGATAGCACTCCGCAAATGAAGCCGACGCGGAGATTTCCGCGAGGATTTGATTGATTTTCAATCGGGACTGTGCTAATGCCTGGGTTTCCTCATTGGATGATTTATCAGCACCAAATGTCAACGATCGACTGAGCACTGCCAAAACATCCGGCACTAGGTACTTGGAGATGCATAATTCTTGGAATCGCGCATTGTTCAGATATGGCCCCATGCAATTGACAAGGCAGGAAAATTGGGCGGGGCCAGAAGTGATATCTTCGTCAAGAGCAAGCTCCACAAGAAGGGAGATCGTTCCATCAGGCGAAGAGATTGTTCCTTGTTCTGAACATTCATCCAGTTAGGACAGAAACGGGAAGGGTAGGGGTTAGCCATGCCTTGTTCTCCAACCAACTCGATGAGTTCGAAGACGTAATCGAGTAGAGCATCGTTATCCCTGAGGGCGCCATCTTTCACCAAGCTCAGCAGGATATACACGATCTTATTAGCAGCTAACTGAGTCTGAGCGGGCCCTATAAGTTGTCAATAATGTAACTCGCTCAGAATTTTGGGCAGGCCACCAATTACCGAAGTCGATGCATATGTTGTACAGAACAGGGATGACCACTTGAATAAGCTCAGGGTTGCTCGAGTGCAGTAGAATAGCAGACGTATAATTATATTTCACTACAGTGTCTCTATTTTCGTCTGATCAGGATCAGTACCTTGAGCTTCCTTTGAACCCAGGAAAGGGAACCGAACTCACTAGTGTCGGCACAGGAATTGCCAATTAGCCGTAGCGCATGGAGGAGGAGCTTGTTATCAAGAATTTCCTTTGACGCTATGAGTTGGAGGAAAAAGTCTAGAACTCCAGTCTGTCCAAATGAGGCACGCCATAATGCTGTCACTCATCTAAGCACTAAACAAAACACTTGGCTAGTCAGGGAGGCACCGGGCTGGTGGTGACTTACGGTCTCTGCTGCCATTCGCCAAAGCCTCTGCGGCTGATACTAGATAATGGGATCTGCATATCCACAGCTTCTGAAGAATACCGGGGATGTCTTTGATAGCCTCGGAAAGCTCTAGGTCCTCGGCGCTTTGCAGGCAAGTTTGCAAGGAGTGAAACAGGATCTTCTGCTCTTCAGATGGCAACGGCTCAGTTTCCGTGGGCGTGAGTGCCGGTGGCAGTAGAGCGAACTCGGAGAGAGCCTGACTCGAAGAAGCACATTGTATCCTGTCGGAACTTCGGACGGTTGTCAGGGATCGATCAACTTGATGAGCGTTGCCGTGCATGCTCTTTTGAACACCGGGAACTTCACCGGGGGGGTTCATTTCCTGAAGCCCGCGCGTTGTCGGTAAAGCAAAATCAAGACGAAAGAATGATAAAAGAGTAACAAAAAGAAATATCCTTAAGTTCGAGATAACTGCCGGAGATGTTGGATGGCCACTAAGTTGGATACTATAGAGTACAAAGCGAATGCATGATGGTGTTCTTCACCTGATCGGAGCTAGCGCGAGGAGCTATGCCTCGTGAAGAATCCCGATAAGTTCTCCAAATGTTGCAGGACGTATCTATGGGAAGGCAGGCATGTGTAACACGTATCATTGGAGAGAGAAACTTGAACATTGAAAAGAATATTTAGTAGAACTGTAGCCATATAAACCCCCTTCTTTCCCTTATTTGAACGACGAATCCTAAATCACAATATTGATTACAGAGTACGTGTTGCAAGAACCAAAAACAAATGTCTTTCTCCCCCCCCCCCCCCCCCCTCCTCCCTTCAGCTTCAACTTGTATCTATACGGAGTACCAATTAATGATAGGGCATCGAAAACCGATATGTATCATGACGAGGTAAGAAAGAAAAAAAAACGGTCAATAATAATGAAGAATAACAAAAGAGCTACTACTAGTACTCCGTAGAACTAACTAGACCTACTTCGGAATGGAGTACGGCGAGCCGAACTGGCCCGGAGCCGCAGTCATTCGAGACCCGCCCCAGATAGCAAAGGCACTCCGGAGAACATCAAGAAGACAGCAGCTCATCTTCCCGCAGTCCCTCATTCTAAACCCGGGCAACACTGTACATCAAAGGACGGACCATAGGTTATCTCTTTTACTTACCCGTTCTAACTTATCCTACCTTCCTTGCGACCTATTCTTTGTCCTCGCCATCCATTTTGTGACTCCATCATGACGCGTGCTCAGCAGACTCTCTCGGTTCTCCTACTTGTCTCTTCGGTGCGCTGCTAACTCCGTCTATACCTTGCGGTCGCACATTACGTCGCTAACTAGCATATTCTCAATGCCAGCTCTACCTTGTCTTATACCTGGGTCTTGTTCCTCTTAACGAAACAGTCCAAACAGAAATCATTCCTGTTGTATGTCTTGCACCTCCGCGGACCTCCCATTCCTCTCCTTGACTCGCCGCTGACATTTGCGCCCATCTTGAACAGTTGCCATTCTACGCACTAATATGCTTCGGCTGTTATCTTCTTGGCCGGCTGGGTCTGGCGATTTTGACTTTCAATGACGTTCCCGAGGCGCATGAGGAGCTACAAAAGGAGATCGAACAGGCCAAGGCCGAGTTGCGCAAGGCGAATGTCGACGTCGATTAAATTCTCTATTCTGTTCAGCCATTTACGCGCGATGGGATTTTCTGGCGGTGGTCTCAATTTCAACGTTGGGTCTCTCGAGGGCGTTAAAACCGCCCCGTACGCAGAAGCGCCATGGGGCTGAAGTAACTACTAGGTAATGGATTCAGCGCTAAATTGATGTTGTGTTTACGGCCTTGTGCTGTGCGAGAATGTCTAGCCTGGGCGATACTGATACCCACCTTACCATCGCGCCTGTGGGTACAGCTCTGCGTTGTAGGCCATCTAAACCCCCTATCGCATGGTGCTTGCCCTACAGGTGCAAATCTTATATCACCTCTTAATACTGAGCGGCCTGAAAGGGATGGGTTCTTCAACGAGTAGCCTACTGTATGCTACGTTTAAACAAACTAGAATGCTAGTCCATGTGATACCGGTCATTAAAACTGAATGTGTCCAAGGGGCGCCCATGACCGGTATGCAAGCAATGATCTTCGTCATCCACAGCACTAAATTGCTTTTATTCTAATAAAAAGAATCCATCAAAAACACCTTTCCGTAGATAATCTGAAACGTATAAATCTCCTGCAACGTCTAAAGGAGCCAAGCATTATATGTGCAACCAATGAGAGCCAATATCTATGCATGGACAGCATAAACAGGATTTCCAGGCAAGAAGCAATGCAAAGACGTAGCTAGGGGCGAGTGATATTGATTTGAGTAGTTTAAGCTCACGGGAGAGGTGTCTGTTGGGCCAATCTGTCGTGCTCATCGATGTCCCTTTTAGAAGGCTGGGTTAGTGATAGTCCATGAATGCTATATGTGGCACTTTGCTTGCTGGATCCCGTACTTAGCTTCCCATGGATAGCAGATCCAGACATCATCGATTGTGACTGCTGCATGGTAACGGCCACACTCCACCATATCCTCCGGCAAGACTCCCTTCTTGGACTTGTCCTTGTTCTAAAGGAATTGTTAGTGCTTGCAAGAGAAGAAGGTGAATATACATACGTGAAGAACGAAGATGAAGAAGTTCGTCTTCTCGCCTTCCCGCCCAAGCTGTTTTTGTGCCAACTCAACATCCTTCTGGAGCTCGCGGACTGCATATTCAAGGGTTGTCCGGGTGTCGTCAACTTCGTCAACAATGAGAATATTCTTGCCAATAAGGTTCGCCATCTCCAAGGAGCTAAGGTCCAACCATTGTGTACGGGTGACCTTGGTTCCAGGAACCTCTTCGGGGTCACCGCGGCCTAGGTCCTCATAGAGCGACAAGCCGATAGCCTGGATCGGAATGTTAGGCTCTCCCTGGCGCTTCAGGAATGACCTATCCAAAAGAGTGGCGTCAGAACGAGATTCCTAGCCGTCGTCATAATTATTCAACGAACCGAAGAATCCGAGCAGGAATATATCCACCACCGCCGATAGCAATCATAAGATTGGGGTGGAAGGTGTCCAAGATTTTGTCGGCGGAATCCTGGCATAGTTTGTGAACCTGTCAGAGGTCAAAATATGTTAGCGGAGTGATTAATCGGAAGATAGACAGCATGCGGCAATCAACCTGGGCTACATCGCCAGGCCAAAGAAGCATGCATGCAGGGCAGTGGTGGATAAGCACCACACATGCATTGGCGATACAAATATTCATGGAAGATCGAAGGGGATAGGAAACGCAAAGGCCCCAAAAGCAAACATACCTCGTTGTACGTGACATAAAGCTTCTGCGGCATTTTGACGAATAGTGCAAGGGATTTGCAAGAAATGATAGAATGAGGATATGTGATAAGTTAAATCTGAAATGATCACACAAAGGCTTCGGGTGAGGTTACTTTGGGGCGTGTGCAAGAAGATGAGTGAGGTCACTGTTGGTATTGCGAAGTCAAGATTACATATGAGGGGTAAATTTGATCCAAAAAATTTTTCCCTCGTTTTTTCAACCCTCCTCCCCCCTCTAATTTTTTTTTTTTTTCTATTTATTAAAGGAACACCTGCGTCACAGGTTGGAGAACTGGATAAGGTTCCATGCCGAGTACTTTTCGGCTGCCGTGACACGACAGATCGAATCATGGACGCATGGGGGCCCTTACCCTATCTGGAATGCGGAGATGGCACTATGGCCTATCAGAATGCAACTTGATCCACTAAGCAGTTCTGCGATCCCTTTTTCGGCTTGGGCCGCTACTGCCATCAGTAATAGGAATTGATTGGGGCTCGGAGGACTCCGTTCTCCGTGGATGGCCGGCGGTAGATACATACTATGGTACTGTATGGATTGTAGACTACTATACTCCGTAGAGTGGTATGCGTATAATACTTGCGTGCTTTGTAGTGTAAAGTAATACATACCACTACTAGGTACAGGGTAGGTTCTATGATTGCTACGAGACACTGTAACGCAGTAGTACATCCAGTATATATGTCTACTAAAAAGTACCTGATGGATAAAGATAAGCAATAATTTCCTTCCTTATCCACACAAGAGCGGGTACCGTACGGAGTCTACATCAAGTCATCAACATGGTCCCTCTTTACACTAACTCAGTACGCCACTTAGGTATTCCATATTATCGTCTTTCCAGCGCAAAATTTAGTACTTGTTCCAGTTCATCCGCTGTCATTTTATCCCCATTGGTCAAATTTCTAAAGGAAGTGTATATATAGCATGTCGAATGATCCAATCCTCAACCATGAAATTTTCCACTGGTCTAGAGATCATGCATGCCAGATCAAGCAGACAGCCCTTTCACACGGGCGTGCTCTCACCGGGCGAGTCAGGCTGGAGTTGGTTGATTTGAAACCCCCCTTCGTCTTTATCTTCGCCCTTCTGAGGCCAAAGTATTTGGCGGTACACAATGGCGCGGACCATCATGTAGAAGACAAATACATACATCAGAAGAAGGGGAAATACCATTGCGCACCCAATGATTGATATTGGTTTGCAAGAGAATGCCTCCCCGATTGCGAAAGTCGCCGTTATCAGGGCCGTATTGGGGAACACGAATGAAAACCACGCCATCGAAAAGACCATTCGGCCCGGCCCGATAACGGACCAATGTGCAAAGCTTGCAATGAAAAAGAAGAAGATCGCTAACCTGGAACATACTATATTAGCCCCGACCTACGAGGTACTTTCAGACGCAATAGGTTATACACACCCCCAAAGCCAAAGGCATGCAAAATCAGCAACAACTTTCACAATGTCTGCAGCCAATGCACCGTTGCCCATGAAGTCCTCCGGGAAACATCTTTTTGCATGGGCAGCCATATTCACGATTCCCGACACAGTGAAAGCACTGGGACCGACTGAAACAAACATACCGGGCCGGACGTTCTCTCGGGGGAGCTTTTGCGACATCAGTCGGTAAATAAATGCTGAGTAAACCATCAAAGAGACCAAAAAGCCTACCCCTTGGATGGTAGTACCACCAATTATTATACGTAGAGAGCGGGAAGGTTCAAGTTTGGAGCTCAGAATCCCAGCATGGGGGCCGATTATAAGCATGGGGTATGCTGGAAAGATCCATATAGGTGTCATCTGTGCAATTGTAAATGTCTGGGTTGACCAGCTGTTAACTATTAGTCATTCTGCTCAACGTTGAGAATTATATATTTAGTTCGAGAGTCCCCGTTTACTCACAGGATGAGATAGATACCGGCAGAAGAAATGACTGCCAGAGCTGCATCAATCCAAAAAAGGATCCCAACCGCGTAGGTGAGCCAAGGCCCTGCATGGCCGGGCCCATATTGTGAGACATTGATCAATATTGTTCCAAACGAAACCAATGACGCTGGAACAAATAGGGATTCTGTCGGGTGCAGAAAAGATGCTTTGAACGTGTAAGGGTAGAGGTAAAAACGTGCAATCAGAAGACACCAGATTAGAACGTAAAGGATCAAGTTGAACAGGAAGAATATAATCCCAATGGTGTCCAAGCCGCGGAACCTATAAGGCACTAGGTTGCTGGTGATCAGTACATTGAGCAAGATACACCTTAGGGCTATGACGTGTTTACCAAAATATAGGACATTTGCAATCCCCCCGGTTGCCATGGTCAAGGTAAAAAAGGCCCAGGTGATGTGACGAATCCGCTTCTTCCAGCCAAGTCCAGTGGCTGAGGCTCTAGCTGCGCTCTGGGGAAGAGCCAGATCATCCCTCCTCTCGTCTCCATCTCCCTCGGACTTGCGATAGGAGGACATATGTAGCGCCTGTAAGGCCGACGTATGTGCTTGTCGGATTCTGGGCCCCCTTGGTTGGAATATAGTGGCTCCGTCGGTGTGTTCAGCGAGATCATTTTCGGTATCTTCAATGGTTGGAGTACGGTACCCATCATCGCCGGGGCTTCTCAGGTGTCTGGCGAATAGATTATCACGAGTCATGGCTGATTCTCTGTGAACAACAATGAGGTCATGTTCGTAATTTTTAAGAGAAAGCCTCATATCAGAGTGCCTACTGATCTGCAAAGAGATTCTTCGGGTGTGGTCCCTTCCCCGGTACCTTTTCCTCAACCACAAGGATGGGTGAATCTGGGTATGTACTGAATCAAATCCTCAGTTCGACATGCATATATAGGGGGAGAGGGGTATGACGAGCACAAATTCGCGCCCGAGTCCAGCAAAACGGCTACTCGAGAAGCAAGGATAAAAAGGCAAAGGAGAAAAGATTGGCGCAGAATAAGGATTGGAGTGGCCCTAGGCCATCGACAAGCGAAGTGAGTAGCACTCCGTACATGCAGCGAAGAAGGCGTCACAGTAAATGCAGTGAAGGAAGCCGGACGCGGCAGCAATCCACTATAGTAGTTGGGCAAGCTAATTATACCGGGCTAGTAGGTATGTCATAGTCGCGGCGACAATAAAATCTGCTTTGCTTCCCACTTCGCCGGGTGTCGGCACCAATCACACAAATGGGATCTACACGGTCTTCAGATGAACGAGACACTCTGGCACAGTTGATTCGGACAGATGAGAGAAAGTCATTGTCGATGATTACCACCTGGCGCTTGACTGCGACTCGTGGATGGCTATATCATTGTCATGATTCCAAGGGCGACACATTGGCGGATTCTTTCGTGGCGGGGAAGTGGGAATGACATGAACCCGAAGGCATTGCCTAGGAGCCTAGGCAAACAATATAATTCCAATGCCGAGGAGCACCGTCTACAGGGCTACCTAATACATACTTTGCACTAACTAACTAGATAGCCCGCCGTAATGATTACTAAGCCCCATGACTGCAGATTGAGGTAGGTGTCTTTCTTATTGGCCCGCCCGTTTGAGATCTCACGCCTTAGGTTGTGACTAGTAGTACACAGTACGTCGGAGTCTCGGACAGGATACCTACTATTCTTCATAGAGCACTCCGGTTCCCCACTCTCAAGATGACGGTACCTTTGTACGTTGCGGTCTTAACTTCTTAAGTGGGTTGATTGGTTGGAGTGGCCGATCGTCCAACACATAGGTACTAGATTACAAGTAAATTGGCTGGGTTGCTGCAGTGGGCCAAATCTATCATTCGTTCCAGATACCAAATAATACTAGATAAGTACGGAGTATATACTCCGTAGTCCGTAGATATCACCCAGTTAAAATAGCTGGGGTTGGAACTACTACCACTAGCATTAGACCTTCAACCTACTCTGTATCAACTATTAAATGACCATTATGGCTGCAGATCACTGATTATCATGCATCAGAAGGCGAGAAGCATTGATCAGCGCCTCAGGCATCTACCCACGAGTACCGATACCGCTTTCCGACATTCAAAATACATGCCAACTACACTGAGGCATACAGGTAGAGGCTATAGAAGGTAGAGGGTCTTATGATCCACCTAGGTCCTGGGTTGGTGCGCTGTATTGATAGTATGTCGCTACAAGCAGCCCAGATATCCGCCGGCCACTTAAAGTTCGGGATCTATATGAATTCACAGTCCGGTATTCACAGCCCGGTATTTAGTACTCATGAGCAGACAAAAGCCAATCGCAGTCAGTGTTGTGCAACAAAAAAGATGGATGACGGCGACATGTGTACATACGGAGCAGCATGTCTTTCGGGTGGGCCGTGGCAGTGACTTACCTATTCAATACCTAGATAGGTAGTACGTCCTGCCGAGGTCCTGCTTATGAACTAGAGTGATCGGCGCCGGGGATACATAGATGGCTGAAAATCTCAGACAGGGGCCTTCCCAATAACGTCGTTGTTTGTTAGTTTTGAGATAATGCCCCCTGCGTTGGAACTTCATATCCACTTTGCAATGGCCACAATCGAAGACAAACGAAGATCTGTGCTGATAACAGGGTACGTTTTCACAAGAGCATTCCCCGGAACGGCGGGTGCCTCTTGGAGTTTCGCATGTCCTGCTGCCTGTCTATCCACGTAGATGCTCCCCTGATGGTATAGGAAACTCCCTAGCCCGTGGGTTTCATCGAAATGGTCTCCGCGTGTTCGCTATAGCCCGAGAGGCAAAGACGATAGAAGATCTTGCATCTATCGGCATTGAGACGTTGGGTCTCATTGTGGACGACGAAGGAGCGTCCGACAATGCTTTGCGGAAGTGAATGCAAAGCTCGGAGAGAAAGGACTAGATTATCTAGTCATTAATGCGTAAGGCACTCATCCCTTCAGCAAGTATTTATATGCTGACAGGGTAGCCAGCGGCCGAAGTATGTCTGTACAGAGTGATAGAGTTGATGATTGTCGATACAAAGAAATCCTTCTTACTCATGGTAGATTATACTGTTCCAGCTATAGAGACTGAGCTCTCCGAAGTTCGTGCAACCTTCGAAACGAACTTGTTTGCGATTATATCTATCTGCAAGACATTTTTGCCGCTTCTTATGAGAGCCAAGGGAACTATTGTACAGATCGGATCTGTCGCTGGGGTCAGTGAGCCAAGTAGGAATCCTGAAGAGATTTCTGCTTTTGCTAACGCGGATCTAGATTGTTCCATACGTTTTCGGTTCCGTATACAACGCCTCGAAAGCCGCTCTACACTCATTCAGAGATTCCCTATGCGTGAAGGCGGCTCCTTTCGGGTATGCTATTGCACTTCTCATTCCCAGGGCAGCATTGATATGAAGACCTCTAGGGTGACTGTCACAACCGTCGTCACCGGGGGTGTACAATCTCGTATCGCCCGTATCCAGCGAACTTTGGCACCCAACTCAATTTATGCGCCAATTGGGGACGAATATAATCGGCGCGTGACACATAGCCAGGACGGTGCAATGCCAAATGCCGCATACGCGCGCAGCGTGGTCACGCAGGTCCTGTATGGATCTGCACCGTGCCGCTGGATTTCGCCTTGGGCGCAGGGTTGGAAGAGCTGGATCTGGGAAGGTAACAAGAGCTGGGTAATCTGGCTATTTATGGGAGGATGGGCTTGGAGCGGCCTGACTGAAAGTATTGTGACCAAAATGTTCAAGCTCCACAGGCTGAGAAGAACCAGGTAAACTGTCTGTCGGCTGTGAGTATCACAGAATGATGGCTAGTTGGAATGTTCTGCTCTGCTGGGGCTAGTTTCATAGCGGCACCGGTCCAGTGTCTCGTCCTCAGAGACATAGCCCGTATTTCCGTCCAAAATATTTGCCGTGTCCCGTAGTCTGGTAGTGCCTTCTAGTGGTAGAAACTCGGCGGATGCAGGGTTCAAGTCGGCGAGGTGTAATCTAGCATTGGGCCGAGGTCATAAATTGATGAAGAGACTAAAATCTCGCAGACCCTGTGAGGATGAGCCCGCGATTCCAGATCAACGCCAAACGCGTGACGCAGGGTGTTCACGGGGCCGGACTGGGTAGAGGCTAGGGAATAGGTACACAGCAAGTGTTCCGTGATATTCGCGTCGGGAAACCGTGCTGCTTAATCATCCTTGCGAGACGCACGCTGGTTGGCCCGTCAGGTGACTCCCGATGGCTACCGCCCGATCTCCCAAGGCAATATCATCCCGAGAAGCGCAGCCGCGAAAAAGAAAGCTGTTCTCCCATCAGCACTCAAATATTTCCCTTCCTCTCCCGCAAGACCTCACGTTGGAGGATATTCGTGCTCTTGTCACCCCTCATCCCCCGACAAGACCTCTTTGATCCCTCTCCTCTCCTTTATTCTAAATCTATCCTTCAACATGTTCAAGCTTGCCCGCAGCAGACCGGTTACGGTAGCTTTGAGGGCTGCGACGGTAAGGTTGCCTGGGCTGCGTTGTCCTTCTCTTCCTCAAATGCTGATCGCTGTGCTAACATCCTGTTCGGTGACAGGAATCTTCAGTCCAGTCCCGCTTGTCCCAGCAACAGAGAAACCTGTCCATTCACGAATACCTGTCTGCGAACCTGCTCAAATCGGTGCGTCGGGCACTCAGGGTCTTGTTGTAAAATCGCCTGGCAAATTTCACTGATAGGAGTCTACAGTATGGCGTTGGAATGCCCAAGGGTGAGGTCGCTCGCTCGGCCGAGGAAGCTGAGGCCGTTGCCAAGTCCCTCGGTATGTTTAATCCGCTATACCAACCCAAGTCGCAACAAACACTAAGATGTGGACGCCCAGGTAATGACGACATGGTCATCAAGGCTCAGGTCCTCGCTGGTGGCCGTGGTAAGGGATCCTTCGACAATGGTCTCAAGGGTGGTGTGCGCGTGATCTACTCGTGAGTGTCACCCGCGTTGTTCCGAGCATTCCCTCGCGCTGATAAGTATAATTTCTAGGCCTACCGAGGCCAAGATGTTCGCCGGCCAGATGATCGGCCAGAAGCTCATTACCAAGCAAACTGGCGCTGGCGGTCGTCTTTGCAATGCCGTCTACATCTGTGAGCGCAAGTTTGCTCGCCGTGAGTTCTACCTTGCTGTGCTCATGGACCGCGCCTCCCAGAGCCCCGTCATTGTTGCATCGTCGCAAGGTGGTATGGACATTGAGGCCGTTGCCAAGGAGAGCCCCGATGCCATCATTACCACCCCCATCGACATCAATGTCGGTGTCACCGATGCGATTGCTACCAAGATCGCTACCGAGCTCGGCTTCTCCGAACAGTGCATCGACGAGGCCCGGGATACTATCCAGAAGCTCTACAAGGTCTTCATGGAGAGAGATGCCACCCAGATCGAGATCAACCCTCTCTCTGAGACTTCCGACCACAAGGTCATGGCCATGGACGCCAAGCTTGCCTTCGATGACAATGCCGACTTCAGACAGAAGGAGGTGTTCTCCTGGAGAGACACCACTCAGGAAGATGCCGATGAGGTCAAGGCTGCGGAGTAAGGGCCCCGCCCCTTGGATTTATAGGAGATTGAAAGGCTCAGTATTCTAATTTGTGACATAGGCACGGATTGAACTTCATCAAGCTCGATGGCGACATTGGATGTTTGGGTACGAACTTAAACAAATTGACTGTCATGGTTCATACTAACGGTCATTATAGTCAACGGTGCCGGTCTTGCCATGGCCACCATGGACATCATCAAGCTCAACGGTGGTGCCCCCGCTAACTTCCTCGATGTCGGTGGTGGTGCCACCCCGGCCGCCATCAAGTCTGCCTTCGAGCTTATCACGAGTGACCCCAAGGTGTCGGCCATCTTCGTCAACATCTTCGGTGGTATTGTCCGCTGTGATGCTATCGCCCAGGGATTGATCAACGTCGTGCAGGAGATGGGTCTGCGCACTCCTATCGTGGCCCGTCTGCAGGGTACCAACATGGAGCAGGCTCACAAGCTGGTATGTTCTCCATCCATGCTCTGAAAAGTGGCGCAAGAAGAGGACATAATCCATTGACATGCTTTTTTGTAGATCAACGAATCTGGCCTCAAGATCTTCTCCATCGAGGATCTCCAGAGTGCTGCTGAGAAGTCTGTTCAGTTCTCGAAGGTCGTCAAGATGGCCCGCGAGATCGACGTGGGTGTTGAGTTCACTCTTGGTATCTAATCTCCGAGTTGGGTTTGTAGACGTGTCACCTTGTCTGCTGCTCCACTGTCTCTTGTACTCTCCTATTTCCTTTTACTTCCCTTATGTTTGCCCCTTCCCATGACTGGGGGTCAAGAAGATTCATGTTGGATGATGCGTCGAGATACGGAGCAATAGGCCGACGGTTAGTGACTTTGGGCTTGCTTACGATGCTAACGTGCTCCTGCTGCCTAGAATCTGATCGGTCATAGGGTTGCCTCAACGAGTCGCTATAATGGTGAAATGAGACGGACACAGGCAAAGAGCATGAGGAGGATTTTTATAGAGAGCATTGATGGTCCTGTATATCGTCCATTTCTAGGTTCATTTCCTTATATTAAATGTATTTTCCTTTTTCCCTTGATGCTGTTCGCACCCGATCCCCTCCTACCCGCATGTCCCCAAACCGCCACACCTTTACTTCGATTTCGTCGACCATCAAAATGAAGTCGCGGTCACCGCGGAGTGTGAAACGGCTGGCGTAAGAATAAACCCTACTCGTGGCTTCCCTGGGCAACTCGGGGTCCATGGCTTTGGCGGGGCGATGGGGATTCCGAGACGCTGGGTCGGAAATCCAAATGGCCGGTTTACCCCTATCATTTTTCACGTAGTACAGGAGGTTGCGATCTACCGCCGCTATGCACAAGGGAAGGTAAGGTGTGTCCTCAGGACGCAACCCATGCATGTATACCTTGTCAGTCTGCGGGTCATGGGTGGCTACAAGGATGTAGCGAGGGGTGGTCGACGCCACAGCGGATGGAAGCGGTTGGCAGGAAAAAGCCGCTAAACGGCCACTGGCGTCGTTGGATATATCGTGCAGGATCTCGATGTTCCAATCAATCCCTGACAGAAACGGTAGTCGCAATGTTTCAGAAGCCACACCGGTGATGCGTTCATGGCCGTCAACCTTGTATTTTACGACACATAGGCTGTCATGGTGACCGGAACTGGTCGAACCATTCTCATATCTTGTGTGACTCTCCCTTTGGAGATGGAGAGTGGTCAAGCTGTTGGTAGTCTGATGCAAGCCAACAAGTGCCAGGTTGGGTTCAACTTGGATGCTACGGGCAATTCGAGATCCCATGTCCCAGTAGATGATGGATTCGTCGCCAACTGCTAAGGGGTTGGCGAAGCCCAGAGCAACTTTAAGACCACGAACAACGAAGGCTCGAAAATGAAGAGCCGGGATGCGGAACGATGCATATTCTTCCGTTTCAAGGTTCCAGGTATGACAGTATCTGGACTCAGATGAGCTATCCGGACACAGGCAGATAAGGCAAACGCCTGTCTTCTTCAACCCAGTCTCAGTATGGTTTATGATACTTACCCCCGTACGCTGATCGCTACGACCATGGATTCAGAGAGACGCATGTCCCTGAACGATTCTCGATTCTCGGTGCAGAAACGCTGCGCCGTGTGTTTCCAAAGATCATATACGATAATGTGCGTGTCGCCCTCGAGCCAAGCATGCCTCCCATTGGTATAATCCTGACAGGCAAGACTCGAACCATATGGGGAGGAACGGGTTAGACCTTGGAGCTTGCAGGTGGGCAGGCCACGCTCCAAACGGAGCCTCTGTTTGGAATATAGAATAAATTGGTCCTCCGTGACATGAACGCCACATCCGGTGTAATGTTGATAGACTGCTCCTCGAATCAGCTCCGACGAGAGTAGCAGGTGCCACTTCCTGGAGACCTGATGGAGGTGGCTGGACTTAGTCTGGTCATGGCTGGCGGGGGTTCTAGTACTTACTCTCTGAACTACGTGGATCTCGGAGAGGTCGAGATACTGGGCGATTTGGACCGCAACCTCTGGAGGGGATTGGCCTAGGATATCTTTCTGAAAGGCACGTTGGTTGATGCGGGTTCGCACATCGCGCCATTCATGGGGTTTAAGCTGGTCTAAAATCCGATGGTACCTGCCTGGCTGCATAAGCAAACGTCAAGATTGTATTGGGGGATGGATATGAGGAAGGAGGTCGGGGGGAGATCATCGGGTAGTCATACGCATCCTGTCGAGCTGAGTTCGTATTCAGCTGGGTGAAGAGCTCGATGATTTGCTGTGTGGCTGAGGAGTCATTAGCCATGGCGGATGACAGGTAGACCGGAGATGTGACGATGTCTCAGGACTCAGGACTCAGGAGAGAGGAGAGGAGGGGAAGGGAAGGTTCATCGACCGTGGAGGTAGACACTACTATCTAGTTAGTGGATAGAACTGGTGTGCCGATTAAGGTGTGCCGGCCTGCAGGGGTCTAGAGCTATCCATCCATCCATATCCATCCATCCATTGATTGTTGTCTCCAGTCCTCTTTGCATTCCTCGGACCCGACTGGAGAAGCTATTTCCGGTCTGAATGAGCTGTCGACCTTTTAGACTTTGGCCCTCCTGGCCCTACAATCTTAGGCTTACGTCGATACGTCGATCGGAAGGGAGAAAAGGCACGAGAAACAGGAAAGGCTCCTCTGCGATCAGATGAAGGCAAAGAGCAAGAAAAAGTGGCTTTGGGTCAACCAATGGAGAACAGCACGATGCTTCGGGAAGCGGAGACTCGATACTACTATCTACTGTCTAGTTGGTTAGTTGCAAGTTGGGACTTTCTTTGGGACGGATCCTCCGTTCATCTGGCCCAGACTCATCATCACCTTGTTCGAGAATCCATCCTTCTTCCCATCCCTCCATCCCTCCTCCTCCTCCTCCTTCTCCTCCTCCCATCCCTCTATCCATCATTCATTCATTCATTCCTTCCCTGTTGGTCTTTCCACTCGCGGGGAAGAGCTCACTTATCCTGCTCTTCGTAATATCTTTATGATTTCTCCTTGGTGGACTATCATTGTCTTTTGATTTCGTTTTTTTCTTTTCTTTTTTCTTTTTTTTTTCCTTATCATTATTTCCTTTCCCTTTTCTTGTCCTTTACTTTTTCCCCTTTCTAATTTTTCCCCTAATTAAATTGTTCTTCTTATTTTCATCTTTGACCCATTATTATTACCATTACCGTCTTGGCCGTCCCCGATCAAAAGGCAGCAGAACCAAGAAACGTCCGTCCGTCTCTCCTGCGGCTCCTCCTCGGCCGTCCTTTGCTTTTCCCTTCCCCCCCCCCCCCTGTTCCGCCGCGCGAGATGAGCGGTCTCGCCGATCCCCCGTCTAGAAGTCCTCTCATTCTCACGGCTATCGATGCGCCAGGAAAAACCCGCAAGATCCCCGTTCTTGCCTCCTCCGTCCCAGCCTCGAGTCAGTCGACCGGTGACCCCATGGAGGTCACTCCTCCTGCCTCGGGCGCCGCGCCCCCCATCCACAGCAGTCCCGATAGCGATCGAGCGGGCGCAAACAACACCACGGCCACCTCCAATGGCTCTGCTGAACCTACCAATGTGAACCACCATGCTGTTCCCACCGCTATCGGAGCTGCCGCCGCAGCTCAGCAGCCCAAGGTCGTGCAGACGGCTTTCATCCACAAGCTTTACAAGTACGTCCCCTCAACGCCGGCAACAGTTTTTCGCCTCCCTTCTCAAGAACCGACCGTGGCTAACAATCCCGAGTAGTATGCTGGAAGACCCCAGTATCCAACATCTGATCTCCTGGTCGAATACGAACGACAGCTTCGTCATGTCCCCTACCTCCGAGTTTTCCAAAGTCCTCGCGTTAGTCTCTCCTATCTTAGCCTATCGCGATCGGCGGATTAGCTGCTAACGAGCCGCCTAGTCAATATTTCAAGCACACCAACATATCGTCCTTCGTCAGACAGCTGAATATGTACGGATTTCATAAAGGTATGCTGGATGAGACAGCAAACGCATTGCCCGGACCCTTATTGATATACATGGATCCCAGTGAGCGATGTCTTTCATACCGGTTCTCCAGACTCCGCTCTGTGGGAGTTCAAACATGGGAATGGCAATTTCAAGCGCGGGGATCTCGTCGGACTCCGCGAAATCAAGCGCCGCGCATCGCGCCATGCGTTGATCCATCGCGACTCGTTTCCTGGTCACAAGGCCGCCGCTTCCCAGCCGGGCACTCCGGCTGAGCCTGTTCCCGACGTCACCGAGTCCCGCTTGATGAATCTGGAACATTCCATGTACGACCTGCACGCCCGTCTAAGGAGCGCTGAAGAAGGCAACGTGGCACTCAATGCGAGATGTCAAGCAATGGCTGAGAGTTTAACCCGTTGTTACCACGTAAGTCGAGGGATCTCGGATCCGTTTGCGATGTGCACCTAGGGTCTGAAGCTGATATGTCTCATGATCAAGTGGACTCACTCAATTTCACGATTTCTCCAAGGCATAATTCCCGATCGCGAGAGCCTTCTGTATCGAGATGGTGAGGATCACAACCTTGTGATGACCCCAATACGCAATTTCTAATGTCACGTAGTGGCCAGCATGCAGGCAGAACTGGAGAAGCATCTCGATGCTGTTCGGGCCCTGGAGCACCCTCCGGACCCGTATCTGACCGTCCGACAACCGTACGTCGCCAGCATTTCCGTTGATCCAGGCCCGCCACTGTCGCCGCGCCAGATGCCCCAGGAAGATGGTCGCCGCCAATCGATGTTGGACCCATCAAGGACCAATATGATCCGACCCCCTGTTCCTCCACATCTGGCCGTCTCTCCGCGCCGTTACGGGTCAATTGGGACCGGAAACTCTTCCCCCAACTACAGTCGTCCGCAGGTGCCGTCGGTCATCACGCCACAACAGCCTATGCCTCATCCTCTCTCATCCGTCTCATCTCCTCCTGGCCCAAATCTCGCTCGTCGACACACTTCGGCAGACATCAGACAGCATGGCTGGCCGCCACCGGGCGTGTCGCCATTCCCCTCTGCCCACCCACCGGGACAGGCGGCGAATCCCTGGTCCCCGGCCCGCCACCGGACTCCGACATCAAGTGAACAGTCAGTTCGAGAAGTGTTGGCCCAGTATGAGATGGGTGCACCGCGACGTCTGCAAGAGACTCGACATGCCACTCCACCTCTACATCCCGACCAGACCCCCACGACCGATAATGGCTGGGCCCTAGGGCCCCGATTCTCTCGGCACGATTCGTCCTTGCCTGCAACCCGACGTTCCAGCATGGCCAGCAATGTTCATTCGCTTCTCAACCCGGCCGACACCGCGGAACGGCCGGACGAAGATCAACATGCCATGGCCGATGATCGAAAACGGAAGCGGCTGGAATAGAATTAAATCATATCCTTCGTCTTGCTTAATATCCTTATTCAAGGATTTCTGCAGGGGCATTGCTTGGTGCTGGTATTTGGCCCCTAGAGGATTCGGAGCCGTTGACTTATTGTTCTTGGAGGCGCAAATTATAGGAAAGGGGTCAAGGAAAAGCACATCGCCACGAGAAACCCACCCTCACCTTTCGTTTTGGGTCTGGTACTGCATCTTCTGGAGTATTGCCCATCTGTACCTTCTGTGTTTATTTTATTCTGGGTGGGAACATCTACTGTACAATTGATACAACATCCATGGGTTCCAGCATGTGGAACCCATGCTTCATGGGCTTGGTTTGGACGGTACTAATCTTTCGTTCTCGGGCAGCATGGCTGTCAGGGTGTCTTCGGCGTGGTTCAAAAGTCGCATCCGTCATACCGGGGCTACCTCCCCCGGCGCACAGTGTTGCTACTTTTCGGTGGTGGAAGGCCCTTGCACAAATCATCATTTCAGGGCTGCACTGCCTTATATGTTGTTATATTATATACCCTGGGTTAGGGTGGAGGTGCACAATATTGCGTGGGTATAGTAATTTAGAATCGGAAATGCAGAGTGATATTGCATTGTCAAACGTTTTAAAATGTGAACTAAATGGGTATATTCATGTCCTTGAGATTATACATCTTGTTATATCGTCGACTGGGCCCTGTCCATGGGAACGGGCACGACCAGATCACCGCTTCTTTCTCTTCTTCGCCCGCTCAGCCAAGAGTTCATCCAGAAAGCTCGTGGCCTTTCTTCTTCCCTTCGAGGGTCGTGGCGCGGGTCTCGTTTGCTTGTTGGACTGGTCGACTTTGTCATCACTGCCATCACCACTATCATTGGTTTGTTTCGGCTCGCTGCCCTGGTTATTAACAGTCTCGAATTCCGGCTGAGCCTGCGATTCAGCCTTCCGCTTCTTCGCTACCGTAAAGTTCTTCTTCCCTATCAACGACGTCCGCCCTTCTTCCTCGTCATCAACGTCTTCCTCTTGCATGCCTCGGGCAATTCCTGACGATGTATCTTGACGACCGCCTGCACCTGCGCCAGCAGATGTTGTCCCCGCCTTAGCCGCCGAAGTCGCTACCATAACCTTCTTATAATTCCTCCCCAGGAGCTGTTTCCGCAACTTATCATTTGACTCCAACTCAGTCCGATTCCAGCTTCCATCCGCAGCTTTCGTGGGGAGTGGTGCTCCAACTCCTAGTCTAGATTGCGCTCTGTCAGTATACCATAACACTCTTTCCTAGCACATGATCATAGACCTCTATACATACGTCTCCGGAACCGCCTTGAAAATCTCATCCTCTTCCCGTTGTAGCTCTTCCTCTGATTTAACGTGGGTTCGGTCGTCTGCCACTGGGGCGGGGAGCCATGACGCAACGAGACGCTGACTGCGGGCCAGGGCCACATTGGCTTTATTGAGGATCATGTCAGTTTCCGCTTGGGATGTGGCCATTGTTGATGTGGCGGGTGTGCGGTTTGTCTGGCTGGGAATTGCGATGGGATTGGGCTCGGATCTTGTAACTTTTCGCGATAGCGAGGCGGAGGATAGCAGCAGAATATATGTCGTAGGTCCACCGCTTGCTTGGATGGGGATAGTGCGATAGGAGGGGTGATTTTAGGCGGAATTGAGCATCTCCGTTATTCCGCTGTGCCGATGGTGATAATTACGATGTCTCTAGATAAGGATAATGGGTGGCGAATGATGGCGTTTGAATGACTGTTGGAGGGCTTTTGACTAAGGTGCTTGGTGGGATATTGGCGTGATGGGCGTGCTGCATTATGGGGCTCAATCGAGAACGGATGTATATACAGTTCTACATCTAATGATATAGTCGTCTATCTATGTACAAAAATTCTCCAACACCAAACCCACTCTACATGGATCGTGGGACAAGGGTATTCCGAGTCCGAGGTAGGAAAGTGTCGGTAAGCAGAGAAGTTATCCCTCCTCATGTATGGCCTTCTTGCTGGTGCCTTTGCTTCAATTTTTTCTCCGTCTTCATGAACTCCCGGATGCCAACAGGGATTTCGGCGAATAGGTCGTCGCCCGATTTAGGTACCGACCAATTCGTCTCACTGCCACCACCATCATCGTCCATGCTCGTGCTGGCCGTAGCGACTTCGGCTCGGGGAGTATGACGCATGTCTGTGGCGCCGCTTTTTGTCACACCCTTCGCCTTCGCCTGCTCGAGTCTGGAAGCCCAGTCCTCCAGCTCGTCGCGAAAGTCGTCCCATACGCAGTGGACACAGCCACTCATGCAGCAATTGTCGGGCTCCTCTGGTCGGGGAGGAATCGCGACTCCGTTAATCGTTTTCCATGTCGCATCTGGCGCGGAGCCAGGGTCATAGCGGGAAGAGCGGCCAGGACCTGCCAGCCGGGTACCAAAGACAATGGCCATCTTTTCTTGCGGCGTTTGCGGCTCGGGGGCTGGCGACTCCTTGGGCCGTTCAGGCTCGGGGAAGGGTATCGCGTGGCGTCGATAGGGCGAGCAAGTGGACAAGATATCGTAGTAGTATCCAGATAATGGATGCGCTTGAGGGGGATCGGAGTCATTCGCCCGGGCCTTCTCATCTCGTAGGGTGGCATATGGGGAAATGGAAATAGCAGGGGGTCGGGTCACGGGAGACGGATTCGGTATACGAGGGCTGCGCGGGCCGACATAGCGTCTGAAGAGGGGCGAGTGGATCGCCCGGCGAGAATAGTCCATGGTGAAGCCGGAGAAGAAAGGCTAGGAGGAGAGAAAGACAAAAAGAAGCCGCGGGGGTTATGTCATAGCCTCGCATCAAGTGGCCGAGCGCCCGCCCTGCAAACAGTGCAAACCGGCGAGGAGGTGGTTGTTGTTGTTGTTGTTGATGATGGCGGCTGCTACCCTCTCCAGTTCCCCCGAGGATTATTCCCTCGCTGGAGCATATTGTTTCGCATGGACGACTGAGACGGTCTCTACCTTGCCCCTTCACTCGCCGTCACCTCAGCGACCCCGACGGCGATTGCTGTCAACGTGTCGCAAATGAGCGCCCCGCCTCCTCTTCAAGATGACCCCCAGCGGCGCACCACCGAGCGGGCGTCGTACCAAGCTCCAACGAGCTCGAGCTTAGCAAGATCCCATCCCGTCGTTTTTGCAAGCGCAATTGGGAGATCCCCTGCGAGAAGTCCGCGGAAGCCGAATCAAGCCAGAACGAGAGGGCTGGGATTACGAGACCGGAAGGCCCTCAGACCGTCATTGACCTCGACTGTCAGCCCTCTAGATTCCCTTAAGCGAAACAAACAATCGCCTGCGTCCTCCCTTTCCGGGAGGCGCTCCAGCGGACTGGCTGCCTTCGCCGCGCCTCCAAGGCGGGTCTCAACGAGGATCACTGCATCCGACCTACTATTTCGGTCTCCCGCTGGGACTCAACGGAGTGTAGAGGACGCCTTGCCTACCGATACACCCGAAAACCAGTTGGCATCTGAACTGGACAGTGCCACAGTTGAAGTGGATCTGAACCAGCCTTCCTTTCAGGAAATCCTCGACGAGCCAGATCTACCCCCAACGCCAACCCAATTAGGCCTGGAAAGGCCCCCTGGACGACCAAAGGGGCTTCTGAGCAGCAGCCCCAACTCGCAACAAGGGAAGTGGGGGAGGCGACGAAACACTGACGGTCTGGAGCAAAGCCCGTCCAAGCTGAGAAGGGTCGACTACGGTGAGGGAGAAGAATCGACAGAAGCAGGCTTTGGGTTGGATCGGACGTCCTTGCCGGAGCACGTTTTAGAGAAGCGAAGATTAAGGAACGAACTCGTCTCCGAAGTACAACAGCTGAAGAAGGATATTGCGGAATTGGAGACATGGTCGAAAGATTTGGGACAAGATGGCACCAATGAGCGTGATCTGACTGGATTAATGCAAGTTTCCTACCTGTCGCGCCAGGAAACGTCACTGACCAGCCAACAGTACTTTGCTAACAACCATTAATCCCCCTCAGCCGACTCCAACGAGCTCGGGCGAAGCGTCAATATCATTTCATATTTCCTCGCTACTTCCTTTTGCTACCAAGGAACTGTCGACGCCCCACCCGAGGCCCCTCCAGTAAATCCATTTGCACTTGGAGAGCACACACAAACGAAGGCATATATATCAGCCCTTGCGCCATTGGATCTGACCGCATATTCAGAGCCCACGCCCGAATCTGCACACGGCCTTGTCTTGGAGAGACACACCCTCAAGTTTTACGCCCCACCTCCGTTCCCTTCCATTCGCTACAAAGCATCAGTAACCTGCGACGTCAACCCAGTAACGAGAACCCTGGTCTCGATATCGGTACCACCACAAGCGGACGCGGTAGAATCGAGGATACCAGAAGATTTACATCGATGGATAGACACCCGGCTTGCCAATCCGTTACTAAGGCTAGATGTCACCGGGCTGTGCTGGGGCATCAATCGGTACTGGGAGGCGATGGTATCGCGTGCTAAGCTATGGTCGCACATAGAGGAACAACACGCGGAATTAATCGCTGGCCACGTGAAACGGAGCAGTGGTGCTATAACAAAGAGAGCTGACAACAGATACCCCAGGCTAGAAGACAGTGCGGATTTCCTTAGGAGGTCACTACCGCACATTGAGCGCACAGCTATGCTTTTCAAATCTAAGAGGGGCTCACTGCAAGTACTTCTATCGTGCGGATTAGTCATGGATGAGTGGACAAGTGAACCTCAGCTGGCGGCAGGAATCAACGTATCAGTATTGACTGAATCTGATGGCGACTCCATATGCAAGGTGGATCAAGAATCCAGACGGCTGTTTCAATCCATGCTGAATGAGAGCGAGAACAACCAAACGGAGAGCAGCAGTGGCGTCCACGCTGGCGCAATCCTAAGGGCTACAGACTGTGTCTTAGGTGCTTTGTTCAGTATGGATGCTCAAAAATGAATTTCACTGTGATATTGTGGTCAAGGAATTGGTTACCAGGATTCATGGATTTCCACGGCGTTTCCGCGATTGGCTGCATGCAAGCAACAGGGGTGTCGACATCGGCGTCAGCAATGGGTTCAGCGGTTTTTGCCCCCTTCAGGTTTTTACTTGCTCTTCATGTACTTTACAGACCTTCGGCTTGTCTCCTCAAATCGGGTAGATTAATTTTATTGCTTTTTCTTTTTTGTTTGGGGGGGGGGAGGATATGGATGCCGAATTCGGGGGTCTCGGATGAATCCAGGTCTTACCTAAACGACGGAAGGAGAGGCAGTAGTAGCCTATATGTGCCGCATGTCTCATGCTTATACATGTACATCCTTAGGCTGCTTGGAATGTTCTCCAGATGTACTATAGGATCATATTAAACCTATGAAAGTATGGGCATAATGTCGACCAGAGCACAGACTGATATTCAATAAGGTAGTCATAGCAGTACTACAATAGGTTCGAAGGCTATTTATTCATAAGGTGCTCCATAAATCATCTCATTTGTACACTAGCACTCAGCGTCTCTCCATGCATCAGGTCTATCACTTCATGCGTGGGTTGGATGTGCTGCCTCGGAAGGGTATTCAAGGCCTCGGATCCTGCGTTCTTCACCACAGATAGTATATCGCCCAAAGAACAGGAAGATGAACGGTTCACTTAATTCGCGTAAGGACCTAGCAGGTGGAGACATGAAATTTGGGACATTTGCATTTCGAGGGGTTCGGAGCTTTTTATGTTAAGGACAAAGGTGAAAACGGAAATAGAGGAGCGACGCCATGCCACAGTGTACTAATCCCCGACTTGAAAATTGACCCGATCATCATTAGCTGTGAATCAAATTTATTTCTTGGCGGCAGACTCCTCATCAGCCTTAGCCTTGGCACGCTTCTCGCGGATACCCTTGTAGCGGGCCTCGCTGCGGGCGTCACGCAGGCGGCGGTAGGCAGCCTCCTCACCCTTGGGGAGGTCGTCACGCTTGACCTCAGTAACGGCCTCCTCGGCGGCGGCGTTCTTGATGGGAAGGGTGGCACCGACACGGGTGACGAAGCCTTCGGACTTGCCCTCAGCGAAGGCGGCCTTGGCAGCGTTGACCTCCTCGGCAGAAGAGTCAAGCTTCTTGAACTGACCGCTCTTGCGGGGGAAGAGGATCAGGCGAGCCTTGTAGTCCTGGAGACGAGCAACATTGGTGACGAGCGACTCCTTGGAGTAGTTGACACGGCGGTGGTCAACGGCGATACCGACGGTGCGAGCGAGCTTCTTGGGGATACCAGCTTCCTAAAGTGCGGGAAAAGATCGTGTAAGCCTCTGTCCTTCTTCGAGGTCCATCCAGTCGCCAGGGTCATTTCCGATCCAAGTCGCCCTCTAATGATCTTGACGCACAGGGACGAATTTACCTTCAGCTCAGCAAGGGTGAAACCACGGCCAGCACGGACACGGCGGTTGTATTTGACGGTAGGGCAGCGCACAACGGGGCGCAGCTGATCAACCGGACGAGGAGCAACAGCGGCGGCCTTAGCGAGACGGGCCTCACGACGGCGGTGCTTGCGGCCAGGCTAAGGTTGCAAAAACAATTGTCAGTCCACCAAACAGTAAAAACTTTCCCATCCTGGTTCTGTCTTGAAGGCGAGTCGCTCGTTGTAGAAATCGGTTGGGTGTAGGATTTCGGGATCGTACCTGGTCGAAGTGCACGCGGACACGACGCTGCCAGTCCTTGTGGAAGTCTGAAATAAACACCCGTCAGCCCATTAATCCCAGTCGGTCGCTCGTATCCGCCCAAAAAAAATATATATTAAAAAAAGCCACTATCGGCTGGCTCGAGCAGGTTCACTCACGCTGGTTGAGAATCTGGTTGTTGTGCTTGATCGCCTATATCCACCAGCAAGTCCACGGTCAGTACATGGGTCGGGTTGCGAAAAAGCAGCGTCTCATCATCGATCGAGCATCTAGCGATGATATCGATACTGTACTGGAGAGATAACGCACCATTGTGACGGATGGGGATCAAGGCCGGGAGATTGTCGTCGTCGTCGTGGGTGGTTGCTGGTCGTATCTCAAAACTCCTCGTCTCAGTATTAGGTGGAACTTTTTTTGGTGTGGCCACCCGCGCAGAGCCGCATCGCCTCGCTTAGCGAGCCCTACCCTGCTTACCCGTTTCGGAAGGCCACCCCCAGACTTTGCTGGCCGCCATCCGTCTCTGGTCGTCCTCTACTTTGATATAGTCTGGCCTAGAATGCCCTGTAGTCACTTTCAACTGGGCAATCTCCCGATTATCTTCTGATCAGCCTTCTGGTGGCCGTCCTGGCCGATGATAGTTGCATTGGGTGTTTCGACTTGCAAGTCGTGCTTGTATTCTTTTCGACATGCAGCAGTACGGTACTGTCCGGCCCTTATCTACTAGTTACTACTACTACCTAGATAACATGTTCGTTACCTTACGCGTTCGTTAACGTATTTCACGGGTCGACCGACCGCACGGGTCATCCGACCGCCGCCCCGCTTTTCGACCACGCTCTACAACTTGAAGCCATTCGCAACAACGCAAAATTCATTATTTTTAATTTTCTTGGTGTTGACAACGTATAGAACATTGAGCTCTTGTATGGCCCTGAATATGATAGAAAGAATATGTTGGTAGAGCTTGTCTTGGCGTGTCTAAAGTTGAAGGTGCAGGACCTGTAGAGGGTCTTATCTCTGTATTTAAATGAGTATTTCTTATTGCTATAAGGTCTATACCCTTTTGTATCGTAAGGCCGCTTGTAGGAGTCATCTGTTGCTTAGAATGTGCCTTCTTCTTCTTCTTTTTTTTATTTGTAGTGTGGAGTTCATGGTTTTTAAGTATTAGTTGCGTACAGTTGTATAGAGAGATCTGGGCGCCTTTAATAATTTGCTGCAGGGCATGTTTTGAAGGTGTAGAGGGACTCCGCGATCCTCTTTTTAAAAGCTTTTTAAGTGACTCTGCCTGTCTCTGTAATTGCTTGACCGTATATGGTGTTGTAAGCGCGGAGGAAGTCGCAGACTGCCCCTCGTGGCTTGGGGGGGGGGGGGGGGGTGTTGGTGTATGTAATATAATATTAAGCTTCTCAAGGACTCTTTCAGGGCAAAATAAGTGTATTCCGGCTGCAGCGAAGCTGCTTTGAATATTCTGAGGCTTAAAGACCTCCTGGTGAGCGGTGGGATACTTAGATAAGAAGTCAAGCTTGTCAATATGATTATATGAAAGTCACATTCTTGACTTAACAAGGCGGCCATACGCCCGCTTTCATAGTCTAAAACAGCCAACATCAAGAGATTGTAAAAGGTGAGATGAGTGAGCAGGTATACAGATGGGAATAACTTTATTATTCTTGTAGAGCTTGTTGAATTCAGGTGTTAAATGATTCTCATGACTGTCAAGAACAAGGAGTCTATATCGGCCGACTTTTTAAGTATTTGTAATAGGTAAGAAGACCTCTTTGAACCACTGCAGGCCAATGTTATCATTTGTTTATCTGTTTGCTGATAATTTAATACGTTAGTCATGTGGGAGGTTATATTTGCCGAATCATCCTACTATATAGATATTTCCCTTGAAAATTATGGTGGAGGGAATACTCCATCCTATTGAATTGATATACTCGATTGTTATTACTTATTCGCGTTGGTCTGGCTGTATAAGATGAGGTTTACCAGGCATGTTAGCTCTTGTTATGACCTTTGTAGTTGTACTTATTCCTATTACAAAGCCTGTTTTATCAAAGTTGAAGATATCTTTATCTAATATTCCAAACTCCGTCCGTATGTCTTGTAGGGTTGTAAACCAGTTCTATAAAAGCTTTGGATCCTTATATTTGGCTCTCTCATAGGCGTACTTTCTGGTGGATTAACAGCTGATCTCTTCATGGTGTTGTATAAAGGTGGTAACCCAGTTCTTGTTAACAGGGTTGGAGGAGGGGTCTGTGGTTCGTAGGATTATATTTGCCATTTCTCATACTTGAGCAGGTCGTGGAGTAACTCCACGCTGATTACGCGATAGAATCCACTGTATTAGAGTATCTTCTTGAATTTCAGAGAGTTTAAGGTCATGGTTGCGGCGTTCTAATTGAAATTGAATTCCCCGTACGCGGTCGCGGAGGGTTTTGTATGAGACATTGTAGGCGCGTGCCGTTGGACGAATTTTGTGTTTTTTATCATCTTTTAAATATTTAATTGCAAGTTGGATCCGGCCCTCTTGCTCAATTAATTCTTGACGATTTTTCTTTCGATTTGGAGGCATGGTGGTTGGTTAAATAGAGAGGTGCCGAACACGTGATGACTTTTTGACGCGGTGGTCGGATGACCCGTGCGGTCGGTCGACCCGTGAAATACGTTACATCATTACGCGCTTATTAAGGCCCGTCTGGACAAGCATGTGTCCCGTCGGTACATGCCACTCGAAGGAACTACCTACAACGTCAACGAGTGCAACACAAGAGTATGGCTTTGGCCCCTGTGTTATGCTAGTCAACAGGCATTCAGTGCACAGCTGCGTCACGCCCGAAAGTCCAAACATGACTGCTCAGAAAATATTAAAGTAATGACAATGAAAATGAAACTACCAAATAATCCTTGATGCCAAAATTCCCCAGAGCAATACCCATCATCCATAGAAAACACCGGCGCACCCATCAATTTTTACATATCATCACTCGTCACAGATCCCGGGGGAGGGAAAGAATTTGTAAGAAGGAAAATCATATCTAATCAGGAACGGACATGAGACAGCATAGCAAGCCGATAAAAGCAAGCTTTTTGACCTTAGGACGTCACAGGCAAGGATAGAGTGTATCTATACGTGATACACGCTCCATGGTTGTGCACGGGTCATGCTTATTTATTCCATGTGTCAATGCCGAGACCCACCCTTTCCTCCGCTTTCGCTTTCTTCGGAGTCGCACCATCAAAACTCGCCTTGCGTTTGAGACCATTCAGGGGCCGCTCAACACCAGCTTTCTTCACTTGACCGAACAGTTTGGTTTGCAACAGAGTGCTGGACTTGGGTGCACTCGCTGGACCTCGGCTTTCCCGACGGTTGCTGAAAGTGTGGGAACGAAGCATGCTGCTGGCAAGAGCTCCCGCTTCAGACGCAGGGATATCTTCTTCATTCTCTGCTTCCTCGATGTCAGATGCCGATATCGTACTGTCCCTATCGCGGTGGCCGTCATGAGACTCTCTCCCTGGTGTGTTGTATTGGTTCCCTTCGTGGGCCATCCGAGCACGGGATGGTGTTAAGGGAAGGGTAGAAAGCGAATGGCTTCCACGCATGTGACTATCATTATGCTGCTTATAGGTACGGGGTCTGTGTGGTGTGGATGTGACACTTGGAGATTCATGGTTGAGGACACGGTCGGCGGCAAGGAGCGCTGCAAACGGATTGTGGCTATCGTTCCCGTTCATCTGATGGCCATTGTGGTCCGCAAATTGAGGCAAGGTTCTCCGATGAGAAACCTGGACCTCTGCCTGGGGGCTAGGTGACATCGGACAATGTTCGATCATTTGAGAGAAATGCTTTCGATTGTCTCTGATACGTCCCTTCAACAGGTTATTTTCCTCTTTGAGAAGTTCAGACCTCTCCCTCTCTTGCTCGATTAGCTTCTTGGCCCGACGCAGCCGTCGATCAAGTGTCGTATTCACTCTTTCAAGTTCCTGATTGCGCTTGAGGGCAAGCTCCAACTCCACATTGGAGATCTGTTGCACTTTTCTGATCTCTGGCTGGCAATGACGGCTGCGATACTCCGAGCTCTGGATAATTTCAACTTCTCTCCTCGCTAGTTTATGCTCGACCTCAGCACGCTTAATAGCTTCGTTGCTTGTAAACGACAGCAGACTGTTCTGTAGCTTGAAGTGAAGAGCCGACATGCGGGCCTCTTGCGCGACGCCTAATAGGTCTTTTGCAATCGTCCGGAGCTTCGACTCATCGGCCGTATCAATGTCGTCAGCCGTGGGAAGATTTTCTGAAGCGCCATATGCAACGCAGAGAGTCTTTTCGATATCGGGGGGAGAAGCTAGCAATGAGCTTGAACAGGATCTTGAACGTCGGCGAGGGGCCCCGGGAATTTGCGAGGATGGCGGTGGCGTCATGTCGGACGAAGGTAGCGATGGAGATGATACAGATCTACTCTGATCGGAATGCGATGCTTGGCTCTCAGCTCCTACGCTCAAGTCTGGCGATGCAGACAGACTTGCACGCAGCATGGGGGTTGCGGGGCCGGTGATCTCTGCGGGAGGGGCAAGGAAGCCTTGCGAGAGCTGAGAATCAGGATCTTGCGACATGACAGATGGAGTAGGAATAGATAGGTGATACCCGTAGGCAGAAATATATACACTGAAAGTCTGTCAGTAATGGCTGCATAAATGCGTTGGACACGATGATTGTCGCGGGGGCTGTCAGGCGCATACCAGGTCCGAAGCACGATCGATCAATCGGTACGGCTACTTCAATGAACCTGACGGGATGAAACGGGTTCGTAGGCTTGGTTGCTGCAGGGCCCCCAAGGAATGCAACGGTAAGGGGCAGGAGATCTCAGTGGAAGCAAGACTACTACGGTGAAATCGATTCAACTGCTCCAGATCGGATGTCACTTGAGTCGAGCTGCGACGGACAGCTGGGTCGGTGCGCTTATCACTGATAGGGCCGTTGAGGCACGTTGGACCGAAAGCAAGGTACTTAGTAGTAGGCGATAAGGAGGCGGTAGCAAAGAGCCAGAGCGGAAGACGCAAAGCTGAGCCGGAAGGGAGCTTGACAGAAGATGGGCAAGATGCCAGGGGGTTCAAGGAGGGGTATTGCAGATGAAGGAGACAGGTGAATGAGATGAAGGAAGCAAGGAGCGCGGGCGGAGGGACGGTTTGATGCCTTAAGGATGTTTGTTGCAGGCGTTGCGCACATCGGGGGAGGCTGGGAGGTCGCTTGCGATGCTCAGCCTTGACCAACCACGACCAACCACCCGCACCCACGTGAGCCCAGCCGCGCGCTAGCTCCCTGCCATCCCCGATTCAGCTAGCCCGCAGATCCGCCGCGCTCACCAAAGGTAAACACAGGCCGAACCCCATGGGCCAGAGCCTTGGTCACTCGGGCAACGGCCGCAACTGCGTAGGAACGATCCAGGTTGGTAGATAGATTTCTGGGATTATAGCCACAGTGCATTCATTGCTCGGGAACCTGGATCCTGATCTTTTTTGTTCCAAGCCGCGAACATGGTGGATGGCGATCAAACGGTATACATTCTAAATCAATCGATCGAACTCTCCCCAAGCAACATGATAATGAACAAGAAGTTATCGGCACTAAGATTCAATAGATATCACCAGAATAGTGGTGGCTCCCGAGAGGACATGGAAAGGGGGGTTATGCTTGGTAAGAATGAGCATTAATTTGAAAGACGATATGGCAAAGTAATGCTACTATTACGGCGCACGAAGTGTGTATGTATCTCAGAAGTACGGGGGATTTCTAGGTTGACTATTTGTCAGATCATTCCAGGCCATTGATGCCTACTAGATAGGTGTACAGAATATACGCACTCCACGCAAGGTGTTTCATAGTACTAGGTATGTTCTTGGGTAAAAGCTTGGATTGTAGGGCTACATATTTTGACTCTGAATCTCGCCCGGAAGTTAGTAATACATAGTAGTGCTTGGGTTTTGTACCTTGTGTACCGCAATTTCCGGCCATGTGATTTTGGAGGTGATTGGATTGGTGATAATAACCAGTGACAAAGGGAAGAGCCACATTAGAACCTGGAATATCTATATCAATCAATGATAGGCTTATTTGCCGAACAGAATACACTATGGAAAACCGTCCACATTGATGACTGGGGTCAACGACAGGTCACATTGGAGAATACTTTTCCCATCCCCTTTACGGAGTACCCAGAACTGTCAGAAAGTATAGTAGATGATTAGATGGGTCCTTCAGACCGAATGAACCCCTCTCAGTCTCTTGAGGGTCTCCAGTTCCATCGGGACGATCTCGCCGATGTGGGGGGCGGATCAGGGAACTAACCGGCAGCCTCAGGCAGCGGCCCATCCCATCCGATTTCCCCCTCGTGCGAAGCTGTAAACAATCAATCCCGACAAGAAGTCGCGGTCGGGTCTTCCCTGAGAACAGCGCCTTAACAAAGACCCGCGTTATCGCGCTCTCATATCTTGACATCTTGGCTCGGTTGATCTTACGTCTCTCTCCTAAACTCGGATTGTCATGGCCTTCTACCTGTGAGCGTGCCACCATATAATCTCTCAAATTCCGCACCGCCAATACATTGCCCTTTTCATTCACGCAAGGCAAACCTCCAACTGCGACTAACCAAAGCATGGATAACTCGCAAAAAACACCTGGCCGACCGAGCGGTATCCCCCGGTTGACCTCCAGGTTACCTCTGCCGACATCTGCCACCAATAAATCGATCCGTCCGTCCCCATCTCGCGACAAGCTACAAACCGACCTGGGTCTCAACGCCAGTCGATCGCGCAGACCCTCCCAGGAACCTGTGTTTAAGAAGCCCTTACCGAAGAACACCCTGCCGAAGAAGCCCGTGGTCAGTCAGCAACAGCGAAGAGATGTCTCGCAGACAAAGACAAGCGATGCGAGGGGGTTGGAAGTTGAAGGGGCGCCGAATAACAAACCCCTTCATCTGGAGGTCGATGATGCGGAAGCTCGGGGCCGTACACGACCTTCGCTGTCCGAACGAACGATCGAGACCCTTTCCCAGATCCCTCCTTCGCCTGGACCTCAGGGGAGACAGTCTAATTTCTTCGGCGCAACTAGCCCAATGCGCTCGCCATCTCGTCCACCGTCTGCAATGACTAGTTATTCAAGGTCGCCATCGAGGTCGTCTTCTCGTCAACCTAGCGGAGGCGACTATCTTTCCCGCCCACCGTCTGCCATGCGTCTCCCGTCAAGGTCTGGTCCATCTTTGTCTGCGAACAGTGCAGCAGGCGATCAAAGTTCCATCTCAAGTACAGATAGTCCCTCGAAGCTGAAAAAGCCATCAGCTAGAATAACCACCTACGATCGAACCAATAATCTGGCATCTGCATCCGATCCTCGTCCTGTGCCTAGCAGGGCGTATTCAAGGCCCGCCGAATCAGTTGCAGATGCCCCGCAACAACGCCTGGAGGTGAAGAAAACAAGAAAGATGCAACCGAGGCTATCGGGACAAAAGCCATCGTTAATAGGGTCACGGTCGCCGTCCGCAAAGTCTACCACATCCGACCTAACCGCAGAACAGCAGACTGAAATTGAAACTAGGAAGGTTTCAAGATCCTCTAGCGCTTTGAGGGAAAGCATTGCAAAGGCCAAAGCCGCGCGGAAGGCCGAGGCACAGAAAAGCACAAAGGCGACAACCTTTGACCGGGGGAACAGTTTTGATACGCAGGATCCGTTCAACCAGAGACCTAAGGACTCGAACCACGGGCTCCTGCGGAAGCGCATTGAAGCAGGCCGAACTTCTGGTCATCTCAACATCGCAGCCATGTCCCTAAAAGAATTGCCAAAAGAAGTTATGACGATGTACGATTTTGATCCCAATTCCACCACTGAGTGGTACGAGAGCGTGGACCTTGTTAGATTTATCGCTGCGGATAACGAGTTCACGGAACTCCCCAACGATGCCTTCCCCAATATCGATGCCCAGGAGCTAGACCCAGATATTGACGAAAGGGGAAATCAATTCGGGGGTCTTGAACTTCTGGACCTGCACGGGAATATGCTGCAATCTCTACCCTTGGGCTTCAGAAGACTGCAGCGGCTGCACACCCTGAACCTGTCGAATAACAGCCTTACTATTAATGACATACGCGTTGTTATGGACATGATATCCCTTAGGGATCTTAGGCTCGCCAGGAACAGGTTGAAAGGGGCGCTTACCTCGGACATCGCACGTCTCAGCAACTTGGAGATCTTAGATCTGCACGAGAACTCCCTCACAGACCTTCCACGGGAGCTGGGAGAACTGGTTTCACTTCGAGTCTTGAACGTCGGCAATAATGAGCTGAACTCATTGCCTTTTGAAACCCTGCATTCACTCCCTCTAAAAGAGATCCACGCTCCGAGGAATAAATTAAAAGACACTCTTTTGCCAGCTTGTGTGCGTAAGTTCGAGACACTGCAGATCTTGGATGTAGCCAGCAATGCATTGGTGAGGCTTTCGGATCACGAAAGCTTGGAGCTTCCCAACATACAGACTCTAGCAATCAATACGAACCGCATCCAGACCCTTCCTGATATTTCCTCATGGCAGGCTCTTTTAACCTTGTCAGCCGAGGATAACAGCATATCAGATCTTCCCCAGGGGTTCACGGGCCTGAAGAACGTTAGGAATGTTGACTTCACTGGGAACGATATCTCGAGGCTAGATGCGAAAATCGGGTTGATGGAGAACCTCTTCACGTTCCGCATAGCTAACAATCCTCTTCGGGAACGTAGGTTCTTGAGCATGACCACAGAGGACCTGAAGCGCGACTTGCGAAACCGGTGCGAACCAGAACCGCAAGATACCGACGATGAAGGCTCGGTTGCAACTCAGTTTACGTTGGCGCCGGAAACCCCGGCTCAAACAGCCTCTTGGCAAATCAAAGCCGGCGGTGTTGTTGACAGATCCTACACTGAGCTGCAGGAACTGGAGGTAGAGGAGTTGGAACGCATCAGCTTTCACGACATCAGATGTCTCCAATTGCAACACAACGAGCTGCGCTGCTTTCCGGTTCCCGCCCTCAGCATGCTCGCATCCAACCTCACCGACCTAGATCTATCGAATAACCCACTTGACGGGGCGTCTCTCTTCTCAGCATCCCTTACTCTTCCCAATCTCCAGAATCTCAACCTCAGTGCTGCCAATTTGAGTACGCTTCAGCCGCTGCTAAGCAGCCTTACAGCCCCGGCTCTTACTTTCCTAGACGTCTCATATAACCGTCTTTCAGGCCCTCTTCCTGCCGTGCGGCGAAGTTACCCGAACCTAACAACACTCCTAGCTGCCGATAACCGAATCAGCAATCTGAACTTTGATTCCGTACAAGGTCTCCAGGTACTAGACGTAGGGAACAATGATATTGGTGTTCTCCCACCGAAGCTTGGCCTGTTAAGGGGAGAGGGCTCCAGCAAGAACTGGGGTAACGGCTCACCCCTGAGACGATTCGAAGTAGCGGGAAACAGCTTTCGGGTTCCCCGCTGGCAGGTTGTCGCGAAGGGGACCGATGCAATTCTTGAATGGCTGAAGGACCGCATTCCTGCTGAAGAACTTCAGGGATGGGAATCAGGGGACGATTCGAACGAGGAGTGATGACTTGCAGCATGGTGACATTGGAGGTGCTCGGGTATGGCCGAGGATATCTGCTTGGGGAAACACTTGGTTTCGGATTATTATTATTACACCATGTACATTATTCATCTAAAACGCACATACTTAAATCCTTTGGTATCATGAATTTTAAGACCTGGCTACGCATAGCCAGGGAAACACCGGCCCACATTTGACCCTTTCCCCGGCCTCGAATAAGAAAGTGGGGTTGAATATCGTATTCAGCACGTTACTAATCACTAACAGACCTGCTCACTTCGTCCATAACTTTTGACCAGGTTCTGGACCAGGCTGTGAACCTGTCCTCCTTGTCTTGCTGAGCGCCGGCAGATCCCGTCACATCCCAAGATAGAGTGACTAGATCGACGGCCTTGACGGCACAGTCCTTCGTCTTACGAAGATATTGGACCGAACCCTCTAGGTTCGCTTCATACAACGCCCCCGCTATCTCATCGACATGGCCTGGAATCTGCTGCAGTTCTTTCATTAGGAATTCCAGCTTGCCGATAGCTGCTGAAGCGTTGGAGGTTCTCTTTAGTCGGTTCGCGATGATAGCGGGGTATATCTGCAAGACTGGTTTGAGTATCCGGAGGGCCGATTTTTTCTGTGCATGGACGGCAGCGGTATCTTCATCCTCTTCATCCTCCTCTGAGTCATCGCCGGCCTTTCCGTCATCGCTCAAGAGTTCATCGAAGAACTCATCGCCCTCCTCGTCGGGGTCCCACTCCTCGATTTCCTGGACCGCGTCCCGCACGAGATCTCTCCATTCCTCCACCCGTCGGACCACGAACCCAACCACTCCCTTGGTTGCGATATCGATCAGGGCATCGCAAGATTCCCACAAGCGCCCTGCCGCTACTGTGACAGCATCCTTCTCCGACTGAGATAAATCGCCCGCTTGCTTTTGAGCTTCGTTCTTCTTCGCAATGATCTGAACATCTTGAAGGAGCGCTGCAGTTTCTTTCAGGGTTGTCTGGACTAGAACATTCACTTCGGTCTGGAATGCTTTGGTGTGATCGGCCGGGGTAACGAGCAGTGCTGCCGTGATCAGGGATGGAAGCACGGATTCGTTCACGGCGGAGAGAACGGTTGTCACGGCCGAGGGGGTGAAGGGTGAAGTGATCGCAACAAGTGAGAGCTTGGTGGCCTGCGACTTCAGGGTGGTGGCCGAGGCCGAGAGGAGGGGCAAGGCGTCTTTCCCGGAGAGCTCGGCGGACGTTACATCTCCAATAGGGGAGGACATGGCTCCCTGGAATTGCTCCAGAAGCGTCAGGCTTGTTGTAAGGGTGGTTTGAAGCTTCTTCGACATTCTCATCTGATTTGATCTGTTATGGCGGGGACGGGTTATCAATGCGAAGGGAGCGAAGTCGACGCTGATGGACGAACCTGACGGGCGGAGAAATTTGTTGTTGCGGCGGGGCGGCTTCAATTCCGATTAGGGTTCTGCGGGGTCACCTGCGGGCGTCGGGTTTGCCTGATGCTGATGCCATTTCTTGGGGGGCCGAGATACATACCCTCCATTCACTAGGTTAGGGTAAATGCAGATAGGAGCTTGCAGCTCGCTGCTGGATGCTCATACATCCCAGTATGTACCTATCAATGGGTAGGAGGAAGAGTTAGCATGTATTGGCTACTACTACATACTTGGTCTAGCTGGTAGTAGAATATATTACCCGAAAGACATCCATACTACTATTTATGCCAATAGAGATGATACGAATCACCTAGTACCGTTCATTCAGCCTTTACACTCTACAGACACAGGATAATACACGGATATTCCCCCGCTTGTCCCCCCCTCCTCTTTGCTTCAGTAGTTCCTTGGGATAACTGCTTGTAAATTCTCTTCGAACTTCTTTCCCTCCTGACAGATCACTACTCCAATGAACAGCAGATCTATTCATGTGCGGTATATATAACATGTGATTAGCATTCCTACCCCTCATTTTACTGGCAAATAAATCCAATACTGCTAGATGGACGAACAAGCAGCCATGCCCTAAACCTGAGCCCTCATTTGCCGATTTGGGAGCTGGACTGCTTGGCATCTCCGACCTCCGCCTCAGCGACCGAAAGCTCCGTCACGGCCAGAGGCCATCGACACCCATCTTCAGCCCCCCTCCACTCACCAGCACGGACTTCTCCTTCCTAATTACATCCGCCCATGTGTCGTGCAGAGGATCATGATAGCTCGATTCTAATGACCTAATCCCCCACCCCCCAAAAATGGGCACCACCAAACCTCGTCCTTCCGGAAGGGCTTCCGTCGCCAAGGTCCAATCTCTACCGGACAAGATATTCATCATTGATAATGGCGCGTATACTATGAAAGCTGGCTATGCGCCTGGATGCTCACCCCCGGAAGACGAATCGAAGGCGCTTTCGGCGTGCTCGGATATCCCCAACGCGATTGTCAAGACCCGTGGCAACAAGATCTACGTCGGTTCTCAGCTCAACACGCATGTGACGGACTGGAACGAGATGACGTTTCGCCGCCCCGTCGAAAAAGGATACACTGTGAACTGGGAAGCGCAGAAGGAAATATGGGAACACTCGTTTTTGGACGAAAAGACCGTGCGCAGCAAGGATCTTCGCATCACGGACCCGGAAGAGACGACGCTTCTGTTGACGGAGGCGCCGAATGCATTGCCGGCGCTACAGAAGAATGCGGATGAGATTGTGATGGAAGAGTGGGGATTTGGGGGTTATCTAAGATGCGTTGGTAAGGCGCCAGATAGCCGTATTTGTCCTTTGCGCCGCTAATTGGAATATGCGTCGCCTAGGCCCGTCGCTGAATGCTTGGAATAACATCCAGTCTCTGTTCGGGGATCCTATCGTGCAGGAGACAAACTCGGTTGTGCCCGCAAGAGAATGTCTCCTAGTGGTCGATTCCGGCTACTCTCACACCACCGTGACGCCGGTTTACAAGGGGCAGCCGCTCCAACGTGCAATTCGCAGACTCGACCTTGGGGGCAAGCATCTTACGAATTATTTGAAAGAGATGGTCTCCGTACGACAGTACAACATGGTGGAAGAAACGTATATAATGAACGAAGTTAAAGAGGCAGTTTGTTTTGTGAGTAACAACTTCGCTAACGACATGGAACAAACGTGGAAAGGCAGTCGGAAACGTGGCCTGCCCGAGCCCAGCGAGGGTGTGATGGTAGATTATGTCCTCCCCGACCCCAATGCAGGCAAGAAGGGCTTCATGCGACCACACGAGTCTTTGTTGAATGCCAAGAAGAGGAAGGGAGCTCTCTCGGGTGCCAACACGGAAGCACTATCCGAAGACGCCCTGGTCTTGGGCAACGAGCGCTTTGCTGTTCCGGAGATACTGTTCACGCCTGGTGATATTGGCATGAAGCAGGCCGGGATACCGGATATTATCATGCAGAGTCTTTCTGTCTTGCCTACCGGACTGCACCCCGCCTTCCTGGCCAACATTTTGGTCGTCGGCGGCAATGCGCTCCTCCCCGGATTTGTGGAAAGACTGTAAGGTGGCATCATATATTCACGGATTGGCAGATTGCTAACCTGGTGCAGGGAGACCGAACTGCGTCAACTGGCTTCCGCGGAATGCGCTGTACGAGTTCGATGCCCTCAAGAGTAAGCGCTGCCCTACCGTCGACTGTCCTTGAGCTACAAGCTGATGATCCTTTGCGCACAGTCCGATTCGCTCCACCTGGCTGGGGGCGTCCCGATTTGCCACCAATAAAGACGACCTCAAGAAAGTCGCAATCACACGGCAGGAGTACCAAGAACACGGTTCTTCCTGGGCTAGTCGGAAGTTTACTGGTGCGCTATAAGCTCGGTTGGCAAGGATGTCTGTGGAGTTCAGGTTTCGCACGGGTTTGATAGAAGTTGCTTGCCTGCCTTGATCTTTTTTTTTTTTTTTTTTTTTTTTTCCCTTTAGCATCTTTCCGTGATACCCTCGAAGATTTTGGGCCGATGCGAAAGACGGTGGAAATCGTAAAACAATGTCGTTATGTCCCAGCCGTTCATTGGCCAATCGACCATCTCTCCAGAGGAATTTCCGTCGGGGACGGCGGTGATGGTTATCAAGGAGCTACTAGTGCATTGGGTGCTGCTCGACAACGCAATCAGGGAGCCGGTAAACCGCTCCAGACGTCTGTTGGGCGGGTGAGTCATGACTGATGGGTGGGATTGGTAAGTGTTGCGGTGAGGCTGGGATGGTGGTTCCCTCCCAACGGCACTGGCTTGCTACCTAATCGTCGGCCAGCCTCTCTCCTCTCTCCTCCGTCACTCCCGCCCCGCACTCGAACACGTCGACACCTCAAGCGACGACGGTCAACCGCATGCTGCTGCTCGGTGCGCGGTTTACTCGTCCATCCGACCAGTGTCGCTATGATCCCCTAATCTCTCCGTCCCCCATGGTTGGTCAAGGGAGGATCAGGCAGTGCCCCTCTCCGAGGTCATCCTACAGCTGCACGGGCGAATGATGACGGACTCTGGACAGGAAGCGTTGTCTGGGAGGCATCTCTAGCAAATAATGGACTCGGACATGTGGCATTCGACCACTCTACCCATGGCATGGCCGCTTAGTTGTCGCGCAATATGCCCACCCCCCTCATGCGACGGGCGTCCGGCAGGATATGCCGAGCAGTCCGACTACCGGGTGTATATGTCTATAAAGTCTGACATCTGTCCCTCCTGCTCCGGCGAATTTATGCTCGTTATTACTCCTACAAACTCAAATTTATACCACGAAAACCAGAAAACCAGATCCAAGATACGTCCCATCGGCCTCAGTATTATGTCCCTATTGTCTACTCCTCGTTTCTCGTGCCCTACTTTCTAGTCGAAGACCAGCGATTATGGATTCCAGCGTCCCGAAATTGCATCCAGCAATCTATCAGTCCGATCTGCTCCTCTCCATCACCGACCCTGCCCGGAAGTGTAGAGCCCTTGACCGGTCTTTTTCGAAGGTCAATACCAGTTACAGAAGCTTTGCCTGAGCCCAAGATGACCGCCTTCAACGTTCGCACCCTGGCCTCGCGCGCTGCCCAGCGCCTCGCTGAACACCGTCCAAAAGCTGAGGCGCGCGGCACCGCTTTCAGTACGGAACGATTGCCAACGGACGCTTTTGCCGGCGTTGACACTGGGTCAATGAGAACTCTGTCCCATAGTGAAGAATCCTGCCCCAAGTCGAAGATGGGCAGGTTCTTGGCAAAGATTCGAGGGCGGTTCTCGAAGCGTCTTGCCAAGAGGGAGGCAATAGACGAGTCAGTTTCACAAATACGCCCCAGCTTTTGATGATCCATGTATGATGCGCTAACCACACCTAGACCTTGCGCGAGCTGCCTCGATATCATGCCCGTTGAGTGCTTGATAAGCATGCCTTGTCAGCATAAGTACTGCAGCAGATGCTTGAAACAAATGGTGTTTACAGTCATGCCAGATGAAGGGCTGTTCCCACCCAGATGTTGCAAGCAAAAAATTCCAACAGAGGTCATACTACCCGTGCTGACTCCAAAGGAGAGAACGGTGTATTTGGCAAAGACACAGGAGTATGCAGTCCCAGCTCGAGAACGCTGGTACTGCCCTGCGGCAACGTGTGGGCGATTCATCCCGCCAAAGCATCTGAACAGCAAGCTCTCGTCACAAAGCTGTCCATATTGCAGCACAACGTTCTGTTCCGGTTGCAGATTTCCCGGGCTCACTTCAAAAGACTACTTCCCAGATCCCGGACTGGTGGCCGTCTTCGAAGATCCGCGCCTCGGCAAAGGACAGAGAGGGTTCAAATGTGGCTCTTTGGTGGACCTCTTATTCAATTGCGATCATGTTACATGTCGATGCAAAGCACAAACCTGGTAAGTCTCCCTTTTTCCCCGGCAAAGTGTGTGCAGTCATTAATGGGGCGCAGTAACATGTGTCGCAATCCTTGGTTGTCGTGTACATGTGCTAAGCCCGGCCAACGACCAATTGATTTCCTCACATTCATTGTTGGGCACAGTGGAGTGAACCGAGATCAGGAGGCAGAACTGGCCGCCGTGGTGGCTGCTATCCTGTGCAATGAAAGGCTACAGGATGAGGAAATGGCAAAGACCCAAGGGATAGACAAGGGAGGTCACAAATGCCGAGATCGGGGGAGTCTGCGGATAGCACCGCAGACTCGCGCTAGGAGGGTGTCCTAGGCCTCTAGGCTCACAGTTGGGCCGTAACAGATTGATACGTTCTACCCAAAAAGGAACTGTCCATAGTATTGTCTTCCCTTTGTCAAATGAAAATGGAAAATTCTTAGTTGGGTCCTTGTTATCATGACTCTACTAGAACTTCTTATCGAGCTGCTTCTCTCCGTAGCTGACTTTCTTCTCGAGACGGGCATCCACGCCCCAATCCGGACCTGTCCATATCTCTACCGGGATCTTCGCACTCCTCTGCCAGCATAATTTCAAGCAGCGGAGCAGCTCGACGCTCCTCTGGGCAGTCATGGAGGGACGCGATGATATGGTCTCAGAAATCACCGCGATTGCCGGCTGCACCGCCGAGATTGCAGATTCCCTCCACTGAGCGCCCCTGTCCTTAGCGACCAAGAGGAGCCACGATCAGGTGGCGCGTTTTTCTTTCTGCACGGCTAGCATTGAAGTCAACTTTCGGGACTGGAGGGGCCGGACGCCGCTTGCCAGGGCCGCCAAGGCCGTGCAACTGCTTCGGACGTATAGGCAGCTCTTTTGCGGGGTTTGTGATAGCCACAGTAGTTGGTTGAACGGTGACAGCCTGACTGAGCCTGTTGGGGGTCGAGTATGGTTATTGTTACTTGTTGATGCTATTGGCCAGGTACGAGTTCTCATTCAATATAAAGTAAGCGATAGATGGTAGTAGCCTAGATGAGTGCATCGTTTATCGAGTCATACACAATTCCAATCTGCATTGGTGATATACCACGAGGTAATCTCTAAGACATCAGCAACAAGGGATATCGCAACGTATACATAGCAGTTAAATCAGTAGTCATAGAAGCCCTTGCCGGACTTCTTGCCCAGCCAGCCGGCATCGACCATGCGCTTCAACAATCCGGATGGCCGGTACTTACTGTCCCCGGTTTCCTGGTGCAAAACATTCATGATAGCCAGGCAGGTATCGAGACCGATAAAATCGGCCAAGGTCAGGGGGCCCATCGGGACATTGGTGCCGGTCTTCATGATATTGTCAATGTCCTCGCGACCGCCGACGCCTGTCTCAAGGCAGATAATTGCCTCATTAATATACGGCATGAGAATGCGATTGGCAAGGAATCCCGGCGAGTCCGCCGAGACAGACGCGACCTTACCCATGCGCTGCACGAAGGCAATAGCCGTGTCTATCGTCTCCTTGGAGGTTTGCAAGCCCGCGATAATCTCTACGCCCTTTTGGATTGGGACGGGGTTCATGAAGTGGGTGGAGATGACGCGCGAGGGGGCCTGGAGGTCGGTGGGGTCTGTGGTGGTGGCGGCTGCAATCTTGGTGATGGAGATGGAGGAGGTGTTGGTTGCGAGAATGGAGTGTTTGGGAGCGATCTGAGCGAGTTGGGTGAAGATGGATGTCTTGAGATTGGGGATCTCAGGGACGGCCTCGATAATGAAGTCGATGGATGACAAGTCGTCCATCTTCAGGCTGGGTGTGATGCGGGCCCGGACGGCGTCGGCCGCATCTCGGGTGAGGCGTTCCTTGGATACATCCTTCTCGAGAAGCTTGTCTGGGAGGCTCGAATGGTTAACTCATAGGGTGACAGCCGAGGGGTGCTCGCTCTGCGTACCGGCAAACTTGAGGCCCTTGTCGATGGATGCTTGGGAGTTGTCGATCAGAGTCACGGGAACTTGGGCCTTCTGAGCAGCGACGAGAGCAATTCCCAGCCCCTATATCCCATTAGTTGCGCCGGTGTTTAGAACTGGAAGGAGGCATATACCATCTGACCAGCTCCAATGACGCCCAGCGACTTAACCTCGGCAGCATAAGCGGCGGGCGAGGTGCTGAAGGCCCGAGAGGCCATTGATGGCGCCCTGTGACAGAGAGAGCGCAGCGACGACGACGACGACGACGACAACATAGTTTCAGCCCGGATGCGATACCTCTAGGGATGAGAACGGGGAGGGAGCTAGTGAAGAGGGGAGAACCACAGCGAAGTAAAGTAGATTAGATATCTTGAGCCGAAGCTCCGCGGCTGTTTCTCATGTGATCCGCTCCGATGCCGACCGACGTCATCGGCTAGCCTCGGCTGGCCGGCAGTTTGGTTGGTTTGGCCGCCCTCCAAGGCGGAGACGCGTCGACGCGTCGATGGCGCGCCCTCATTGGCGGGTCGGCTCTTTAGGGGTGCGCAAGATCCCCAGCAAAGCATGACGGGCGAGAAGAATGGTAGCAATGAGGCTTCAGGTGCGCACAACCTGCCAGGATGGAGGTCGAAGAACCAGTGTTGTCTGCCCCCGAAGTCCAGGTGGTGGACCCGGATGTCCGCGCCCATGTCTACAGTCTTGTCACTGCGGTGAGAACCGTCCCTCGTTCTTGATCCAATGTTGGAAGCCTCTCTCTAATCTAATTACTGTGCTGTAGTTGGGTGGGTTCAATGGAGAAGACGCCGACAAATATGTGCTGGGTGATGATGCACTGGCATGTCTCCGGGATATCAAGCGCTGGCTAAAACTATACGATGAGAAACACAATCGGATGGATGTGGCACGATGTCTGGGAGAGGTCAATCTTGTCAACGGTGACTTGCTACCCATCCTGTCGGTCTGGGCAAACGGCAAGAAACAAACCAAATATATGTCGAGGATTGCATTGGCGTGCTGTAAGTTGGCCATACGCTCGGCTATATGGTCAATTGTTGCGATGATCTTGTGCCTAACAGTGAGCAGTAGAGCTGCTTGTTCCTTTGACATGGCCCATAGAGCTGCACGGCGAGATGACGGTCAATCATCATCGGCATATACCATACATACAACATGCCCATGTCTCCTATAAGCGTGGTCTTCTCAGTCATGCCAGCACCAGCTATCTTCGAACAATGATCAGTGTTGGCATCCCAAGCATGGCCATTCCACGATCCGAACGAACCACCCGCGACGAAGGTATCCTTAAACTGATGCTCTACCTGCTTCGAAACATTGCTTTGATTACCCCCAATACTCGTCTCGCGGCGGAAGGTGATGAGGAGGAAACATCGAGATCGGCAACCATCAATGCCTTTCAGGAACAAGACGCCTTTGCGCTTCTCCTTACCATGTGTTCCAACGTTGGTGACGACTTTACTATGCAGGACGTGGCTCTTCTTGAGATACTGTTCCATTTGATAAGGGGAGTCAACGTCGAGAAGCTATTCATGGACGATATTCAACGAACAGCCAAGCGGACGGATGAGCTTGATGATTTGCTGCGGAAAGAGTCGTCTTTACGGAGAGAGTACGCGAAGAATGCACCGACTCGACATGGCCGATTCGGGACGATGATTTGGGTCAAGCGCGATGACGCCAAATACTCGACGGTGTCAGGGCAGAACGTTCTCAAGGACAGCCAGGCGACCCTCCAGAAGATGGACGAAAGCAAGAAGTGGAACAAGCCTCAGTTTCGCCGAAAGCCACAGGATGTGACTGTGCACAATGACTTCAACACCCCGGTTCACCTGAACTCTACAGCCTCCAACAACCTGCGGATGTTCGTGGAAGAGTTCCTGGACTCGGGGTTCAACCCTCTTCTCACTCATGTGCGGAAGGCGATCGAACGTGAAGCAGATCGTGTTATGGATATCAATACGCGCCAGTTCCTCTACGCTGTCGCCTGGTTTCTTGAGGCAGAACGTGCAAGGCGCGCGCGTCAACGTAATAGGCATTCCGAGAGTGAAAAGTTGGCAAAGGAGCTAGAGCCAGATAGCTTCGGACTCGTCGCTGGTGTGCTTAATCAAGAAACCTTCGTCTTCCTAAATCGCGCCATGCAGTACGCACTGGATAATAAGGATTGGGAAGATCTAAATGCCGGCATGCGCTGCTTCACCCAGATCTTGTTGACCGTGCAGGACATGGCCCAGTCTCCGCTCGAAGAGGACCAAGAGATCGCTGAAAACATCCAAAACCGGATTTTCTACGAAGAAACAACCCACGACCGCGTCCTCGCCGTCATCCGCGGCTACAACGATCAAGGATTGGGCTACTTAGATGCATGCACAGAACTGACCCATGTTTTCCTGCGGATGTTGGAGCGCTATTCTAAAGAGAACCTCGATATGCAAGTACGTTCTCGGCGGCGTGCTAGACGCAAGGCCAAGGAAGTCGAGGGGCCCGGGAATGAAGAGAATGACGAAGGAGAACGGTCGGAAGACGAGGATCTAGCAGAAGCCGAGAGAGTGTCGAAAGAGCGCAAGTTCGACTTCAGGCGCTTTACTGCTAGGTTCTGCAACCAGAAGTGTGTTGACACCTTCATCGCTTTCACCAAGCACTACCGGGAGTTGAACGCGGATCAGTTGAAACGCGCCCACCGTTATTTCTACCGGATTGCGTTTAAGCAAGAGATGAGCGTCTTGCTGTTCCGTCTCGACATCATCAACCTCTTCTACCGAATCATTAAAGGGCCAGGCGCTTTGGATTCAAGCAAACCGATCTTCAAAGAGTGGGAGGAGTTAGTGCGCCAGATCATCAGACGACTGACCAAGAAGCTTGACCAACGCCCTGCTCTGTTTGTAGAGTTGCTCTTCAGCAAGATCAACTCCACTACATTCTACCTCGAATATGGGCACGAGCGGCAAACACTATCAACTGCCAGGAGAGCTCCAGCTGAGCTTGAAATCGACCCTCGACAAGCAAGTACGATTGAGGAGAAGCTCAGCATCATGGTGCCTGCCCTGGTCTTGGATGGGGAGGCAGATCTGGTCACCTGGGTTAGCGAGGTCTTAGGGTCGGCATTCGAAGAGAGGGAGGCTTGGGAAGCCCAGGAAAAAGCCCTGCGCGACGCGGGTGCGGAGAATGCGAAGATACCCAACCCTATGATTGGTATGTCTTACCTGTCCCTTCCACCCCTTTATATTTTCTAACCTTGGTGCAGCGGTGAAAGCGCGTGATGATGCATGCCAACAGGCGATGTTCTCCAATGCCAAGCTCCGTCTCCTGATGACATTGGTCAAGTTTGAGCGGCTTGGTGTGGAAGACCTGCCCGGAGCATCCTGGGTCATTCCCTCGACGCCAAGGGCTCAGGATCTCCGGGAGATGAAATCATTCATCGACAAATATCTCGAAAAGGCTCTGAGAGGGACACTTGGGCGCGACCCTCGCGAGCTGATTCGACGCAAATATGGCGGCAGGAAGCTAGGAGACATTCAAGAAAACCCTGACATCCACTTCGAGTCCGATTCTGAGGGCGAGGATGAGGTCCCCGATGGACCTCTGTTCCCGCCCAACCCTCGATCCAGGGCGAAACCCTCCAAGGAACCCCAGAAGAAGAGAAAGCGTAAGGAACGCAACGCGGATGATCAAGATGAAGATGACGCCGTAGATGAGGAGACGTTGGAGGAGCGTCGCCGGGCCCGCCAGGAAAACACACGAGCTCGTCTTGCAAAGATCAAGAGTGATCTGTACGTGCACGCTAGTGACGAAGACACCGACGAGGAAGCAGATAAGGAATTCTTCCTCCTGGAGGAGCAGAGACGTAAAGAGCAAGCCCAGCGAGTGAAGAAAGCGTTGCTCACTGGGATCACGGAGGACGTGGATGGCGCAGCTAGCAAGAAAGGCCAACGCAAGCGCCAAAACAGTCGACTGGGCACTCGGACGGGTGAGACAAAGAGCAAGCGACAGCGGCGGGGGGACCAGACCGACGAAGATGCCGCAGACGTCGAAGACGACGATGTGGGGATGGAAGGAACTGATGCCTCGTCGCCGCAGGCGCAAAGAGGGGGCACGCCTTCGCACGAGGCGGAAGATGGATTTGATCTTGATGATGACCTGGCATTTAGTCGCGATCGAGGGAAAGCATTGGAGACCCCCTGGGTCGAAAACCTGGACTCAAACAGGCCCGACGATGTAAAGGCACCTGACGAGGATGAAGACGCCCCGGTTGCTGCAACCAGTCGCAGACGAATGCGCGCAGGCTTCGTGGTGGACAGTGACTCGGAGTAAATGGCATGTCGGACTTATCTACTTTCATGGCATGATGACTTGATGCGGTGTTTGGTGTCGGGCATGGATCCGGGCAATTGCAATGGATGGGCATCTGTATATGGAACTAAATCGCATGGATAGACAATGGCATTTTACACTGGCAATCCCCTCGCCGTGATCTTTCTCCTGGACCCCAACACCACCATCCCCACAATCCAGCACCTAAAGCAGACCATCGCACGCGAGTTCATCATCCACCCCAGAACAGGCCCTCATCGGCGCATCGACATATTCACCTTCACCCCCACCGATGAGCTCCCATTTGCCGGTCACCCTACTATCGGCGCAGCATCGTGGTTCCTCTGCCACTCACCAGATGGAGACCCCATTGATTGCCTCATCACCAGGTCCGGGGAGATCCCTATCTCAATACAACCCCCATCCCAGCCTGGGACAACACCAGACCCCACAACAGAAGTGGTAGCTCACATTGCGCACAATGTCCATCTCCATGCGGCACGGTTCCCGCTCAAGGAACTACTCAGACTGGAAGGATCTCTGGCGCGGTTCTTTCCCTGTGCCGGGGCTGGAGCAGGGGAGATCTCAATTCCCCGTGTTCTCGATCGTGAAGGGGATGTACTAGATCCTGGTGGAGTTGCCTTTGTTGGAGGCGCTGGGGGCTGTGTGGCCAGTGCGGCCAGTGGGTTGAGAGCGTATTTGGCTCTGACTGGGAGAAAGGAAGTTGTGAGCAGGTGTGATGTTGTGCAAGGTGCGGAGATGGGACGACGGAGTGAGATTGGAGTGGAGGTTGCTGTGAAAGGCGAGGTAGGCATTGAGTATCTGGATCTGAAGGGGGCTGCTGTGAAGGTGCCAGAGGGAAGGGGTCTGGTGCCTCCAGAATGAGTGATGCTGAGGTAGATTCCTGAATTAGACGGAAGTTGAAGTGAATGAATGTGATCGTATTTTACCAGTGTTGTCTCTGCCACTTGTTTCTGTCCCTTTCTCCCCAGAAACACACTTCACACTTCACACTCCACAATCCACAGACTCCACTCCCCTACACACCACCATGCCTGACAGACCCAGCCGCAGAACACTGCTGGGCAGCCCTCTGCAGGTGCTCAAGAGCGCCTTTGGAGGCCGTCACAGCCGGTTCTCAGGCAATCCGGACCCCCAACACCGCCACCGCAACAGCAGTCGCAATCACGACGTTCCCAACACACAATACTCTCAACCTGATGGTCCTCCTTCACACAACTCTCAACCCACAGTCACTGAGGCCAGCTCATCCTCACCTCCAACCAGAGCCCTCCGTTCGGTGCGTGGAGAGCGAGTCTCACGAGCAACAATGTCACCATCAACACCTGACATGAAAGAGTCCTTCATCCAGGCAGAAGAGGGGGGCCATGATAATGAAGACTGGATCTCCGTACATCATGAGGAAGAGAGTCCCACCCAACGAGAATTACCCCCCGTCCAGTCTACGAACAGAAAGATCCCTAGTGCTCTCTACTCTAGACTTCCTACTCCGGTCAATCCCCCGACCTCGGATCTCTATTCTCACGAGATATACCAGCAAGAAGGCAGACGCAATGTGCTATCCTCCATCGGGAAACGGTATACTGGTATCAAACACCAAGGGGAAAGAAACGCCTACTTGGAGGGAAGTCACACCATATCCAGCCAGCAGCATCAGCGAGACGGAATGTGCGATGACAGCAGACCATCCGAGCAGCAGAAGACAACCAGCTTGCGAGTTCTGCTGCGAACAGACAAAATCCATGGCAGTGAAAGAGTCCCGTTGAGACGAACCAACGTTCTCCCAACAATCTCAACTACCTCGATCTCGCGCATCCATGACAGTGGTAATCCTCGCAGGTCCCTGCCAGTCATGGTGGTAGGCCGCCCTTCGACCCAGATATACAGTCGGAAGGAGGTCGCCCAGGATAGAGCCTTGAAGCAGGCAAGTCCTAACCCTAGCCCAAGCCCAATTGGCGTCATTGCGGCAGATGGGCACTCGTCACATTCAGAGGAAGAACAAAAAACCGGTGAGGATTGGCAACCGCATGCCCGCGATCGTCCACAGATGCCTTTCGAGAAAGAGCCCCTGAGGCGGATCCGATGGACGAGCAAATTCGAGGACCTGCGAGCACAGGATTCAGACAATGAGGACAAAGAGGTCAGAGGAGCAGCAACAACTCAATCCCAAGATGACGAAAGAGTGAGCCTCACACCCCAAGCTCAGCCAAATGCAGACGCCAAACCAGCGCTGGAAACAAGGCTCAGACACAGGGAACGAACAGATAGAATGGTATCTTCACCACGAGGCCAGCCTTCTTCTTCTTCTTCTTCTTCTTCTTCTTCTCGGATCCCTGCCGCTGCCTCTAGAAACAAGCCGACACTAACGGTGCATACCACTGGTCTTTCACAGGTATTGGAAGCACAGCCCCGCGAGTACTGGCTTGGTCGGCTCATGACCCTCACCAACGCCTTTCATTACGAAGACTCCTTCCAGGAGCCTGATGTCGCGACGGGATTTGGCATGTTGTCCAGCTATTCCCGGCCCTTGGGGGGTTCGGATGGGGATTCGGAAAAATATCGGATCAAGCGTGCGTTTATGGTGTTGGAGAATGTCTGTGTGACAGATGAGGCGAGCGCCAGTCTTCGGCAGTTTCGGGACGAGTATGTTCGACTGTATGGAGATCGGTGGATGGACTAAAGGTTATGTTCTGCTATTGAGAAGAAAGTAGGTTTAGAAGCGAGGAAGTGAGGCGTTGGGGCATATGGGACCATGCATTTCATATCATAGTGGCCCATGAAAAAATAAGTGTTCAACTTAGGTTGTGTCCCTTTCCTTTGTTGGGATTCAGCTATTTATTGTACAGTTCGAGAACCCCGATATCCATGTCCGTATCGAGTATGCATCATCATTTCATAAATTGCCCCCCCCCCCGGGGGCCATAACGCCAGGCCGTACCTCTATGCAACGCAGTAAGCCAAAGCACAATATGATAGGAAGAACGCCTTCGTGGGTGATATCCTAAACCTCATTTTCGGCTCCGCAAGAAAGCCGCGACCTGTTCGTGTCGCGTCACGAAAAACATCCGCTTCTTATCGGACTTCCACGCGAGAACGCCGATTTCCTCCGCATAGCGGCACGGGGCCTCGTATTCAGATCCACTGACAAAGTCTTTGAACAGGAATCCTGATGTGGCCTTGACGCGGTCACGCTCCAGTTGCCAAAGGCGGATCTGGTCGACAACCGTGGGCGGTAGAACGGACGGGGGAATCCCGGCCTGGTTGGATGTGGAGCGGGAGACGTTGTGCTTGCGCATTTGAGGGTGCGCGTGGGTAGAGAGGTACGAGATGATCTGGTCGGCGGTGATACCCATCTCGACGGCTCGGCGGACTGACTGGCGGGTGATCTTGCCGGTGATGAGGTTGGGGAAGCGATATTTTAGAGTAGTGAATAGAGCAATCAGAGAGATCTGCAGCGGAGAGGAAGTGTATGCGTAGACACGATAGTTGGTTTCGATGATGATGAAGCCCGTGCCCGCCTTGCTGGAGGGATCGCCAGTGGGCCCCGAAAGAGCGCCCAAAATAGGGTTGCTCAGCGCACTGGAATCGGAAGTAAGCGTGGTCGCGAGACGGGTGGGGTAGAAACGCGGCGCATCGGGCGACTCCTGGTAGACGATACCAAAGTCGGCCAGATCGGTGAGCATGCGGAGTTGCTTGGATGTGAGGTGATTCTTTTCGTATGATTTTCCGAGCTCCAGACTGCTTAGAAGGAAAACGAAGGAGAGGACCTCGACACTATCCATCCCAATGGCCGTCGCGCTTTCAACGTAGAGGATCAGAATATGCCATACCTGGGTACTGACGTCTTGTAGGACAAAGGCGAAGCCATCCTGGGTGATTTCAACACGACGGTCTCTGATCTCCACCAGATGACCCGCCTGCAGGAGCTCCTTCACTCCTTTGCTGAGGGTCACCTCACGCTGGGTTCCTAAGCCGCCGGTACCCACCATGTATCCCAGCACTCCTTCCCACTGCCGTCGCGCATATTCATCTAAGCCGGAAATAGAGACTTCCGGGCCACTTGGGACGTGTGAGAGGACACCAAATGATTGGGTTTGGTCGGCACCGGTGAGAGCGTTTCGCAACGATGTGGCAAACGGATCGGTGACCATGTAGGCTCGAATATTGTCCGCTGTGACGGTATTGGACAGGATATGCAGTCTCCCTAGGATCGAGAGCGCATTGTCTCGTTCCCTGTGCGCAGGGATCCATATTAACACCACATTAAAGAAGAAGAAAAAAAAGGGAGCCGCACTCACTTCAAGCTTTCGGACTTAACCCAAACCTCGAGATCCGCTGCGGGGAGCGGATCCTTCAGGTAGAGAAGCGCCATCACAAAGCATTTTGCTAGCAATCCAGTTAGTGAGAATGCACCGGCACCGGGACCGGGACCGGGACACAAGCCAACCACGCACCCAGGTCAGGCAGCATGCGCCTGAAGATGGCGAGGGCAGTTGACGGCTGCTGATAGAGTTTGAAAAAGACCATGCCAGGAAGGCTTTCGAGATACTCGAAGGGACGGGATGATGGTGCAGCAGCCATCTTGTCTGCAGGAATCACCGCTGCAGCATGATGCGACGGAGAGAGAGGGTGGCTGTTGCAGCGACAAAGGCAAAGAAGGGAAGCTTTTGATGAAGCGAACATGATCGGCGTCACGGCCGAGGCCCTCCGGCGGGCCAAGCGCCCCACAAACGCAGTCCGCGGCTTCGATGATCTCACGGCTTCTTCTTCTTCTTCTTCTTCTTCTTCTCCCAAGTCAATTCATTTCCTGGTGTCAGTCAGAATGACCTCCTTGCGCTTTGTTCGATCGGTCTGTGGCATCTCTCTGGTAAACAAAACTCTGTCACATTCACTAACGGCTTCTCCAGGTTTGGGAGTCCTTTCGGGCCACTTCGGGGCTAGAGCCTCGGTAAGTGACCGCGCGGCCATTCATGATTCATGACGGTCCTGGATTCCAGTCACTGATGGGATGGAGGGTGGTATTGATGATGACCATGCTGTAGTCTGCTGGACAATGTAGGCACTCCTGCTCTCCAGACTCTATCATTGTTTCCAAGCATTCTCCATAGATCAATGCTTTCTGTCGGAGCATTGCTCTCATGGTCCCGAAGACACCCGGGCATCCGCGATAATATATTATTATATCTATTATACACGGAATAGTACTGATGATGATGATCATCACACCAGCTTCGTGTGACTGCGGCCAAACCCGGCTTGGTCAATTTCGAACTGGACATCAAGAAAGAGCATACCGTAAGTGTAAACTTTGGATACTTGTTAGTTTCTAGATGACTGAAAAATCAACCAGAATCGCCTGAACATCCTCCATGGCGGCACCATCGCTAGCATGGGTAGGCCGAACGACGACCCATTCCCCCTTGGACGCAATTGCTAATGTCCGGGGTGACATAGTGGATCTAGGTGGCTCCTTGGCTGTTGCTTCCCGCGGTCTGTTTGCGACAGGCGTCTCCACCGATCTCAATGGTGGGCAGACACTCAAGGTTCCCACACAGCTACTCTTGTCAGGGCTCCTAATATCTATCTAGTGACATATCTCAGCTCGGGTGGTAAAGTAGGAGACAAGATCCTGGCGGTAGGTCCCCATACTATACATAGCCGTGAACATGGAAATGTTACCCCTTTGTATGAAGGCTGACCTGCTCCATTACAGGAAGTCAGCTGTGACAAATGTAGGTTTCCCGCAAGCACTTGAAATGTCATCTCACATATGTCTGCAGTTGGCAAGACCCTTGCATACACCTCGATCAAGTTCCTCAACACCAAGGGGGAGGTTTTTGCAAGAGGAAGCCATACTAAGTACGTATATGTGTCCTCTCAGAATCACTTTTCACCGGGGCCGCTTATTCATGTCCTACCAGGTTTGTCGCACTTGCCTGGAAGGACCCTCAAAACATCGTCGAGGAGATGTCCAAGAGCGAGTCCTAGACAACCTTGTCTGGTGTCTGCTCAAGCGAACTTGATTGGGACGTTATAGAACGCAGAGAGCACTGGTGATTACATTGGGGTATAGATGTTTGTATATATGAATCGGAACTACTTAGCCAGTTCTGTTCTCAAGGCATTTTTTCATCCGAATGCCAGGCAAGATTACCAACAAAAAACGCAGATACGTGACAATGCAACCAAATAGTCTCATCGCGACCATTTAGTCATTCAAATAGCCAGCACGAGCTCGCAGATTCGTGACTTTGCTTCTCAAAGGGAATGGAGAACTAAAGAGTGCACACACGTACATAATGGTCGGGGCTCAGGTGTTGCTGAGAATAGTAGATCACGCTCAGGGGAAGGTATGCTCGTGCAATGGATCATCATCGCCTTCCTCCCCGGCTCCAAGCATGACTTCGTCTTCGTCCAACGCGATATCCTCGTCGCCGACATACATTTCATTGTCGACAACGCTCTCTTCACCCATGGCCTTGAGCTTGGTCTGGGTCATCTCGAACACGTACTGGCCAAGATGCTCGACGCTTTCCATCGGAGTGCCCTGGACCTCGTCCTCCAGGGAGCGCGCAGACGGGAACATCTCTCCCGGGGCAAGCATGAGTTTGTCTGGGCGCTGGAGCAGCAAGTCAAACGCGGGCTTGAGTTCATAGCACGACTCAAACACCTCGCGACGGCCGAGGATGTAGAGCCCAAGACGGGCGCGAGAGAGTGCAACGGTCAGGCGACGGACATCGCGGAGGTAACCAACAGTGCGAGTACGTGTGAGCGACAGAATCACGTCTGGGTTGATTACGGGTTAGTTGGAGGTGCACGGGTCATTTCAAACGAGCCAAATAGAGCTGGAAGACTTACAGTCATTTTGTTCACCTTGGTACTTGTCCACCGTCGTGACGATCTTGGGCATGCCAAACAGCGAGTTCTTGGCGCAGCGATGGTTCAAGACATCCTTGATTAGTGCCGTTTGACCTGCATATGTGGCAAGAATGGATATCTTCGAGGCCGGGTACCCCAGGAGACGCATATATTGGTAGATGGCAACAGCGTACTCAGCCTCTCCCAGGTTCTGGATGAAGTGGGGAGTGGGTTCACGTTCTCCGGTGCCCTGATAGTCAGGGACATTGATGAACTGGTACTCGAACTGGAAACCGGCGTTGGCGCGCTTGAACTCCGGCGCCGTCTCTACGGCAGGCAGGTCTCCAAGTTGCTGATAACGCCACCGGAAGAGCTCTGCAATGCTTGGCCTTGCGCGGCCCTGCTGGTCAAGCGTGACAACTGGGACACCCAACCTCACCAACCGGAGGAACAGACTTTGCTCGAAATGTGCGTACTGTCGGAAAGCCATGTTCTGGATAATGGGAGAGTTCTGGAGATGGTCACCACAGAGAACCACGCGCTTCAGAGGGAGCTCGCCATTCTTCATGTTCTGCAGGGCGGCAGGGATGAAGCTTTCAATCTCTGTGATCTGGGCTGCCTCTTCTACAATCACATTGTCATAGTGGAACCCAAGATTGGCTATTTCCTGGCGACGCATTGCAGCATGTGTGGACGTCATGGCGATTATTCTTGCTTCTTTGACGAGAAGGTAGTTGGCCTTGTCCTTGGGCTGACGCAAGATTTCGAACGGACGGATGTCTTCTAATTCGGAGAAGATCTTGTCGATGTGCCGCTGGCAACCCTCGGCCACGTCCAGGAGGGTATCTTTTGTAGCATTCGGATCCAAGACAGGCTGAGGAGCGTCGGTAAAGTAGGTGTGGAATGGGAAGGTCGCGATGATTTCTTCGGTCGAAGCGGTTTCACTGCGAGCCTGATCCCAGAACTTGGCCCACGCAGGTTGTATGTAAACGGTGTTGAAATACCCAGCAGTTTCGCAGGAGTTGCCATGGGCACCTTGTGCTCCGATCGACGCTGCTAACCGAGTAACCTCACCGAGAAAGTAGTTGCGATTCTCCAGGAAGGATTCTACACGTCCGTACTTGCTGTAGCTGGTCTCGGTCTCCAGCTCCTCTTCGCCGTGGCCGAGACGCAGAAGATGACGTTCATCAATGTCTAGTGAAACGATTTTCTGGAACAGTTGGTTCAGTGCTTGATTGCTGTGCGCAATAAGCAGCGTGCGCTCGTTGGGGAAATCGTGATAGATGTTATTGATGATCTGTGTTGCGACATCCGTTTTACCTGTGCCAGGAGGCCCGACAATAACTGTAAGTCCGGGTTGAGTTCCCGAGGTAATGGCCTCCACCTGCGCCGGGGTGAAGCGGACGGCGTTGAGTTTGGGAGCGTCAATCGGATAAGGGCCTGGGTTGGGCGGTTTATAGGTTGAAACGCGAAGGGACTTGGGTGCTGTTCCTTTCTCTGCTTGCTCTCTCCGTCGCTTCTTTGACGTCTCCGCCGAGGGTACCTTAGAAGGCTCTTCAACGTACTCTAGTATGTATGGGGGGCCAAAGCTTGAGGTTTCCTCCTTCGGCGGCTCTATGGTCAACCCGGGGAAACTCTCAATGAGATGCTGCCAGTCCAGGAACGTGTCTCGGAAGTCCACCGATCTTAGTCGATTGGGCAGCTGGGTGTATCGAGCCCCCGCCGGGTCTCCATAACCTAAGAAGATATCCTGGATCCAGGAGGGAAGAGTGATGTCCGAAACAATGAGTTTCTGCATAGTGTCAAGTATGGATCTGAAATTATTCTCCCGGCCCTTCCGTCTCGCTATCACATTGATCAACGGGTAGACGTCGGGTTTCCCTTGCGTAAGACTGTCTTTGTCTGCCTTGAACGCAGCAGGGTCGAGGTTGACCAGCAATTTCCGAACGCGCGGCCTATACCGGTGCCCGTTCGATTGTCCCGACACAGGTTCGCGCAGTGGGCGGCCGTTTTCATCAAGAACCTGCACGATTTCCGCTGTCCGAAGATGCTTGAGGCTGGGACTCTCAGGATCTCGGAGTCCTGACTTACTCGCTCCATCAGACTGCACAGCCAATAGGAAGACCACATCATCCGGACGAAGCGATTCCCACTCCATTCGGATGTGGTCGGCCAGTCTACCCACCTCGATAGCGATTTCAGCCCTGACGAACGCAGGCTTTGCCGAACCGACTTTGGGTGGTGCGACTTCGATGATGGCCGGCTTTGTAATGGGAATGGCCATTCTCGAGAACCCATCAAATGCCAGCGTCTTGCCATCCCGGCTTGCACGGGGTTGCATCCGTTTGACCACCGACTCCATGTCTTTACGGATCTGGAAGAATGCCTCTGACCGATAGAGTAGGAACGAGCGCCACAAGAAGTCACCAAGGCTAAGATACTGGAGGTTCAGCTTGGGTATGGCAAGCGGCCTGGATCCATCGTATGTTTCATTGCGTAGCAAGGTTGGGTCATAGAGGTTTTCATCGGTGGGAACAATGCTGAGCTGCGACGCGGCTTCTTGGAACGTTGTCTTCCGTTCATAGAATGACAAGAGAACTTCCATGTATAGATGGCGATCAGGGGTTATTTGACACTGTTTTGGGTAGTCGGTACGAAAACCAAGATGGGAGCACAGGCTCTGAAGCTCTGATTCCTCCAGGGTCGCCAATTGCCCTTCTAGCTCGGAGCGCTGTTCAATGGACCCGTAGTTCGATAGAGCTAAGATCATCAGCTTGTCTTTGAAATATTTCATACATGTCCTTTGGAGACGCGCTAGCTCCTGGCAGTGGGTATCGTATATGACTTGGGGAGACAAAGCCTCCCCGGTGAAATCATCAACGGCGAACGCGCTGAAATGCTTCAGAAGACTGCAGAGATCGCGGAACAGTGCACTGTCGGGAGAACGGTATAATTGCGACAGGCGGATAACCGACAGGAAGTTCAAGTCCTTCAAGAGTGTGTTCACATAGCGTCTAGTTGGTGGCTGGCTTTCCAAATCCACAAGGAATTCAAGGAGTCGCTCGCAGTATCGCAGATTATCTGCCTGATCCTTTTCAGGTCCATTTAACCTCCGCAGGAAATCCAAAAGCATGGTGTATAGCCACGATCGCTCATAGCGCATCCTGGCTTTAGCTGCGTCATCCCCTGCATCGTAACGTTTGGCCGCAGCCCTCCATGCCTTCTTCAGTCCCGGGCTCTTCGTCAATAAGCGCTCTCGTGCTTCTTCGCTGGACAGGTTGTGCCAGATAGAGATTGAAACAAGAGGCGCACATTCTTTGCGTATCAACGGGTTCTCGACAGACTGGAAGGAGCCGATGATAAATGAGACTATCGACAAGCGCGAAGAGGTCCCGAGCGATGGATCGACGCTCATAGAAAGAATTCGGTGGAAAAGATTCGAGAAATCAGCAGGGCGATCGGAGAAGATGCCTAATCCCTCATCAGCAATCCCAATTGTTTCCATAGTGCACCCATTGGCCTACCCCAGATCGGTAGATGTTCCCGCTGCTTGACACTCACAAGCAGGGCGAGCAGGAGCACATGGTAGTTCGACGCATCTTCTGTGTAGGTCGGCCAAAGGAACCTATTTGCGAGTTAGGCATCAGCGAGGAAAGTCCCAGAAGCTGGCGGGGTTGCGTACTTTTCCAGGACATTGAGATTTTCTAGCGTCAGGAGCGACCGGAAACTGAAGTTCTCGGCCTCGAGGGGATCCCAAAGATCCTTTTTGATGACATCCTGCTTGACTTTGCGGGCCTTTGAACCCTCCAGCCAGTGGGTTTTGGCCAGCCGCACCCATGTATTGTCTTCGCGGAAGTCCTCCACAGTCGGTCTGGAGTCAAGGCCCTGCGCCATTGCCTGACGTGATTGTAGGCCCATTCCGAGACGTTGGAGGAGGGAGGGGGCTTTGCTCAAAGAGACTCCGGAGGCGCGGATCCGATTTATCTTTATCTGCGCAAGTGGTCCGTGGCGGGCGGCGGGATTGGGAAAGCTTCTGGCGCGCGCGTCGACCGGAGCATTCCTTAGTGAACCTCCGGCGCCTAGAACCCGCAGAGCCGCAGCAGCAGCAGCTTTCCTCCCTTTCAATCCATCCCAACATCCTCCTCTCCTCGTCTCCCCCGCTCCCCTTCTCCCCTGCTGCCAGTTTTCAACTACCTGGCCTCGAACATGGCGGACGTCGATGTTGGCGCGATCCACGCCTACAGGAGATTGATTGACGATCTCCTGACCCGCGCAGAACATGCCAAACCCGACCAGCAGATCGAACCTCCTTTGACCGAATCCCATCTGGGCGATTCCATTTGGCTCATTCAGGGGCAAGATAAGCAGCTGGTTCAGGAACTCGGCCAGCAGACTCAGTTTGCGGCGGTGGAGATTGCGTTCAGAGAGAAGTTCTACGGCTTGCTTGTATAACACCCCGCGCCCCGGTTCATCTACGCCGCTTTCTAGAACGACGTCGCACACGCCAAAACTTAGCTAATTTGGGATTGTCTTACAGGCTTCTACCTCAATTGAGGACCCCTCGTTCACTCGGATATGGAACCTACTTGATACAATCTCGATCTTCTCGGACAACGGTCAGTGCGTGCTCGAATCGTTGGTGCTGGATGATACCCTGACATTCCTACAGAGCAGTGTGAGCCCGGTCTGATATTCTGGCTGATTGAGGAATTGCTTGACAGCCAAACCATCGATGGCTGCCGGAAGGTGTTCGATTACCTGGAATCGCGAAGAGAGCGGAGCACAAAGGTGGGTTTGCCATTGGTCCATCTTTTCGTCGCATCTATTGACCCCACCGAAGAAACATTTCAAGCAAAAAAGCTTGATCATCCTACGATCTTGCAATGAGTTACTCCGAAGGCTCTCAAGGGCCGAAGATACCGTATTCTGCGGGCGCGTCTTCATCTTTCTGTTCCAAAGCTTTCCTTTGGGGGACAAGAGCGCCGTCAATCTCCGGGGCGAATACCACACAGATAATGTTACTACATATGATGAACTCACCAAGGCAGTCGCGAAGGCGACTGCCGATTTGGACGTGGAGATGTCTGATGGAAAAGATGCGCATGCAACCAATGAAGGTCTGAAGGAGGAAAGTGAGGCTCAGGCAACATCTGCGAGCGGTTCCCAGACACCCGCACAAGAAACCCCGAAAACCCCACGAGTGGTGGTCTCTAGAGTCAGAGACGAAGTCGAGGAGAAAGCCGTGGATCTGGATGACCTGTACCCCATATTCTGGGGACTGCAGGCTTACTTCTCCGCCCCGACGAAAACGTTTGACCCTCAGCATTTCGCCACCTTCAAATCTGGACTTGAAGCCACCATTTCTACCTTCAAGAATGTCAACACGGACCTTGAGAATTCGAGCAACAGCAGAACTTCAGAGGAGATCCGAAAATCTACCAAGCGGAAGCGGACTACCGATGGACAGGAGATCGCCAGCAGTTTCAACCCTAAGTATCTGACAAGCAGGGACTTATTTGATCTTGAGGTACGTGACATGTGGTCGCTTCCCTCGATTCTTCTACTAATAGTCCACTGCAGGTTAACGATACAGCGTTCAGGAGACACGTTCTTGTTCAGGCTCTTATCCTACTCGATTTTATGCTTTCTCTTACGCCCAAGGCTAAAGCCAAGTTAGCTGACCTGACCAACAAGTCCGTCCTTTACGGGTTTGTGTTACATGACGATGATGTAAGGCCCCTTGTGTGAAGCCACGTCGTTGAGCACGGTTGTTGACCATAGCAGGCCAAGTGGGCGGTTAAGATGAGAAAGGCGATCGAGGAGTATCTCCAGGAAGGTGTTGGGGGAAAATTCTATTATCGTATGGTGGACACTGTCCTCTCGAGGGACAAGAACTGGGTGCGCTGGAAAGCAGAAGGATGTCCGTTAATTGAGAGACCGCCTGTTTCTGTATCAGAGTATCTTGGCGCCCGTGAGCATGCGACAAAGGTTTATGCAAACAAGCGCCTTCGCGCATCACCTATGGGATCACTTAGCCTGAACTTTCTCTCCGAGGGCGAATCACTCGCAGGGCTCGAAAGACTGAAGGAGTCGGAAAGGTAGGAGCCCCAGGAGCATTGAAATATCCGCCAGCGGTGGGCTGACATTCTCTAAGATTTTCCGTCCCTGCTGCAGATTCGTTGATGCTGAGTATCATGGATGACGAGTTGGATCTCGACACCGCGCAGACAAAAGAGGACAAAGAGTATGCGACTCGGTCGAAAGCGAGCAAAACCTGGCGCATCCTACGACTCTCTGCGAAAAGCAAACTCGCGGTGTTTGACAAGATCGAGGACGGCAAAAACTTGAAGATTCTGTTCGAGACTGCCCAGCAGTCAGATGATACTCTGCAGGTCCTAGAAGGTACCCCTCAAGCCTCGGAGAAGCCACCGGCAGAAGACGAATCGACTGAACCGGGGCAAGATCGCGCAGTTGCCAACGCTGAAAACGAAAGCTCAACCGTTGCCACCGAACAGACTCCAATTGATTCGAAGGACGCAGTTGCCCCGGACACTAAGACGATGTGAAGAACGCCACTTAGCGTCCTGTGAAAAGCAGTGACGAGTGACGAGGCGGGGAGGGGGGGGGGGGGAGCAAATATGGGTATAATTGGCTCTGGCTGACGTCTTTGGAGGGCCGACCGGACACGGTCCTGCGTTGGATTTGATGCAGCCAGTGGTCGATGGTAATTCTGACTATATGCAACCGAATCACGACGCTAAGATGAATGCCTTGCAGTATCCTGGCTGCCTGAGCCACTGCTGTTCTAGCCGGTGGGTTGCATTTGCTTTGGCCTAATGCCAGTCAGGAGAAGGAAGAGGACGAGAACCACACGATCAGGTGGATGGAAGGAAGGCGGTGGTTGTCACGAGGGGGGACACGAGGGGGGACTGGGAGATTACGGCGGGGATTGTGGCCGGGTTGATTGGCCTCCTGAAGCGCCCTATCCTGAGCCTGGTATGCATCATGACTGTGGCATTCTACTAAAGGACAGCAAGGGCCGTCTTAGTCGCGACCACCACGGCCACTCATAGCCGGCGGCACCAACTCCCACCTTATCCTTTTTGAGATATTCCTCCTAGCCTGTGGCGACAACGAGGTTGGGCTTTGCTTATGGTTGGCCTCGGTGCCTTCTTTCCATTTCTTGCTTTGCTGTCCTTCGCTGCCCCTCCTTTCTGTGTCTGCAGACGGGGCACAGCAACCCCCTGACTCAATGTTCGTCTCTGTCCTTCAGGGGTCTCCAGACACGTTCGATGGGTAATCGGAAATGTGTCGCACCGGCCAGGATATTAAGGGGAGGGGGTAAGAAGAGGATGCGAAGCTGGGAAGTGCATGATAGCGTCGTTCACCGGAAATTGAAGGTCACCGGGCATCCACCGCAGCCGCGCCTGGGGATCCCTCTGATGCTTTCGAATTAGAGTGTGCGAGGTTGCGCGCACAACTGCAGGAGGCCGCATCGGGCCCTCTTCGGGTGATCAGGGTAGAACGCGTACAAACGAATGGACCCCCCTATGTCTCTTGCGACCCAGAGGTTTAAGCTATGAGGGGACAAATCCTCCGTGATCAGCAACTTTAATTGCACTGGGGAGTTCCTGCATAATTTCAGCGAGCTCGGTCCCGTTGTTCGAGAATAGAGGGCCATCGCACGTCGGCTTGACAGCGTTGTGGGTTCGCGGATGGGTTTGGGCGTCCCCCGAAAAACCTGTCATGCGAGATTGCAGTGCCATGGCTGGGGCCAGTGCGCAGATAGTATGATGCCTTCTGTTTCAAAGAGCAATAATGCAATATGGCGTGAAGACTACCCATCCTTCTGGCTCGGACTAGTGAAATTAAGTGACGGCCTGCCGGGGAGAGGCCAGGTGTATGACTTTTCAGGGTCCTGGCCGGATCGTGAGGCCGATCGTTTTCAGTCATTGCCCCGGGGCATCCACAGACCAGGCGAGGTAGGCCTAGTGTGGTATAGACCGGAATGTTAGGTGATGTGATCGATGCAGGTCGATACTGTCGATACTAGACAGGTGGTCGGTGCGATACACGGAACCCGGGCAGCAGTAGGACTAGATAGATAGATACCGAACTATGAGAATGCCAATGGTGCTTGACGCCTTGATGACGATCGGATAAAGCAAAACAACCGCCGCTTGGCTTGCCGGGATCAGGGATCTGACGACCAGATCAATCATGGCCGGTTCACGGTACGGAGTACGAAGTAGTAGATAGATAGGTAGTATCTAGTCGGAGGTATGCTTGAGAGTCATTTTTTTTAGGTCCACGGCATCTTTACCGATCGTAAGTACGTATCTTTGATGTCCTCCTGTTTCAGTACCCCCTTTCAACCCCCTTTTTCTCTCTCTGTCGTGGTTCTTCAGAAGTCTTTTTTAGACATTTAATATCGGTCTCCTTTTACTCCGTGTATCCGGAGAGTCGACAGGATGCAAACCCGCCTGGGGTTCAGGGGGGAAGGAAGAGGACAAGGCTAAGAAGAGAGAGAGAAAGAGAGAGAGAGAGAGAGAGAGGGAGGGAGAAGAGGGGGAGGGGGCGAGCTGACAGGAACCAGGCACCCCCCCCCCTTCTGGGATCATGGGATGGTTACCATCTGGAGACCAAGGAAGGTTCCATGAACGGTCCATGGAATCCCGTTGTAGACGATGTTTCATCTAAGCCGATGATGACCCGCACGGACCAGATACGCTGGAGCCGTGGAAGGACGAGGGCTTCTTCCCGGAACCTCCATCGGCCGGACTAGATACCTATAGCTAGTAACTATCTAGTAAGGTACTACTGTTAGGTAGTAGTCTCATGGAGACTCGGTAGGAATCATCGTCATCATCGTGTTGGACTGACTTTAAGCTTGTCTGTCCTACGGAGTGCCTAGATAGTAAGTACCTATTGAGGGAGAGAGGAGCCGACCCATTTTGTCAGGCCGTCCATTTCTAACTTCCTATCTATCTATATCCACTTCACCCGATACAATGTCTTATGTTAATTTTAATTTGAAAGGGAAATAATGAAACTTGACGGCCGGCCCCCGCGGAGCTTGCGTAATGGAAGGCGTTGGCGCTTATCCACCGCTGGCCGTTCCTGATTTCCCTTCCCTTCCTAATTCCTGCTGCCCACCACCAACACCAAGGCTCCAAGCAATTCATCCACGATCTTAATCATCGATGATAGATATCGTCCCGTCCTGGTCACCTGCTCCAGCCTCCAGGTGAAATTGAAGGGGCCCCCGATGGCGCTTCACACGACACGAAGCCTTGGGCCAGAAATTAAAGTTGGTCCTCCCCAATCTCTTCGCATCCACTCGGTTCGCTCGATCGGCCACGATTTGCTTTGGGATCTTCTTTCCCCGCACCGTTGCTAACCTGCTACACGGCGAAAAATGCTCCCGCAGACTCTCTCAGTCGCTCGGCGTCAGCTGGGATCCTCCATGGACCTTTGATCCACCCGCAAAGATTGTTCCTGTCCCTCCCTCGCTGTCGCTACCGCGCTGTGGCGGCTCCCCTGCCGAGCTGAGACTTGAGAGCTGAGGCCTGAGGGATCATGCCATGGATCATCCACTCCACTCCTGGCCTTTCCCGCGATGCCAACTAAAGTACCAACTACGAAGAGGTCCCCAGACCAAGAGATCATGGAGTCGCGACGCATCCACTATCCACCTAGCAGTATCTAGGAGGAGCTGACGGCCCAGCAGATCGGGCATTCGAGGAGCAGGGGAAAAAAAAAAAGAAAAAAGGAAAAGAAAAGGAGTAGAAAAAAAAAGCGCCCGAGAAACCACACGGCCGAGTAATCGTCATGGAAATGACAGAATACTACGGATACCCATGCTCGAAAAGGCAGTTGAACTCTCAAGCGAGCTCCGAGAGTTTGGATTTCGTCCCCGGTACCTCGGTCGTTTCCTATCTAAGGATGGGGTCGAAACACAACCCAATTCGACAGGTAGTGTTATTCGATAGCTAGGTAGATCCTAGATACTAGGAACGCCGCTTCCAGCCGGGCCGAATGATGTTGCGATCAGGAAACCCTCGCGCAGAAGCTCCGTCGGTACTGCATACTCTAGTCCCCAGAGTCCAGTGTTGTTTCCGTGGGACGCGCACCATGCCATATCCCGTCCGAGGAGAAGGAGTGTCTGAGACATTTAGTGCCAGGTGCCTTACTCTCATGACAAGTGGAATTGTTCGTGGCAGCCCTATTATTCCCTAGATCCTGTGTTCCTTCACTTGTTCTCCCCCTCCCCGCTTATTTGGGTCCCGAGTGAACCTACCCAAGGTATAATTTCTTTTGCACACTCCCAAGCATATCATTGGCTGCCGTACTGAGTGCTACACTTTCATCTTCGACCTATAGTTGTGACCAGGTTGGTGCCGTAACTCGATGCATGCCCATGCAGATGCAGATGTATCGAATACTCCGGCGTACTCCGTACTCGGCGAGCGAAGGACCTGGCCTCTGTATACCATCCTAAAGTGCACTCCGACCGACATGTGCTGTGTATGTGCGTCATTGATCGGCGGAGATTGGAACGATTTGGACATCCAGACCCAGGGGTAGATACATCATCCGATTCTGGAGGATTTGTCGTAGTTATAGATCGGCCGTATTCAATACTTGAATCCAAGTAGTTTTTGCCTCTCTGTTCCCATCGAAGCTGGCAGATGCAGTGCCCTTTACGTATCCGTTCTAGTTATATAGTGGCTCAGTTTCTCAGCCCGTGTACTACCGAGACAGATGGCTTTATTATTGCAGAATTCAGGTAGAGTGCTTGCAGGATAGAGCGAATCCAAGGCAGACTAGGATCATAGGATCCAGGCAGGTTGGGACCAGACTGAGAGGCATCCCACCATTCATCCTTCATCATGATCATAATCACCACTGTCGTTGATTGTCTGATTGTCCTGAATAACCATCAGCCAATAAGTACGATGGATTCCCTGCTGGATGTATCTTAGTCCCTCTCTAGTCCTGAAGCCCGTCGCCCCACCGGATTTCCACCTGTCGGAATCGTTCAATGGCTGGCTGTCCCGGTCCCTGCGGTGGTGCCCTTTTCTTTTTTTGCTTTTTTGCTTTTTGCTTTCAAGTTTTCAATTTTTTATGTTTTATTTTGTCTTTTCATTCCCTTTGTCTACCTAGTCCATCTATATTAGGCCGGGATGAGGTATAACCTATTTCCTTGTCTCTCTGCTGTGATAGGAAGAAAGTACCTGCGGCGGGAGGTACTAGGTAAGCTTATAGTAGTATTATGATCGGAACCAATGACCGCTTTTACCTCCGTCAAATAAGAATGTTTTTGTTTTCTGGATCCAATCGGGCTAATTTGCTCCCGCCCTCTTGTTACTCATCTAGTTTTTTTTTTTTTTTCACCTCTCTTGTACCCTTTTATTCTCCACAGAACCCAGAAGAAACATATAATCCCAAACCACGAGTAGTATGTATTCGGATCCCCTTTCATTTGGGTTCCATTGTTTTTGTCTGTGACGAGTTCTTTTACTACTAGGTAAGTAGTACTTACTGTTAAGGACTAAACTGGCGGCTGCTGTTACCGCTCCCACTGCACCTATTTACATTAGTAGATACTTTGGTACTTACCTACAATACTAGGGTGGGTATGGTACCTCGGTAGTATTGTTAGTACGAGTAGCAAGCCCTCAATGCTGCCCTCTGATTTGCCGGTTGCCCCTCAAATGCTGGCCATCTCATTTCAGTTCCCTGCAGCCAGCCTTCTTCTTCATCCTTCTTCATCCTCCCCCTCCCCCTCTCCGCCGGGGGAAGCAGAGCTCCTCCATCCGACATTCGTATACCTGTCCGGGTTGAATGCTATCACTATGTATATTTCCTTACTTCCCCTCCCTCATCTCTTTTCCCTGCCGAATATCACCCGGGTTGTTTCATGCAAGCGTCGGAAGTGGAGCAGGATCCAGGCTTCCACTTCCCACTCTTCCAATCCGTCCGTCTCCTTCCCACAATTTCCATTTTCCACCCCTCTTTTGCCCGGTGGACTGTGGAGACTGGAGAGCACATGAAATCCGCCACACTCGACAACCGTTGACTACGCCGCTTTAGCGTCACGCTCGGTTCAGAGTCCGTTCAGCTCACCTGGTGCAAGGTCCGCTGGGTGGCCCTGGCCCGCGTTCCGGTGCATTCCAGCCTCGTTCCTCAGGATCCTAACAGCCACGCTAGCCTCTAGTCCATGGATTCCATCATCCACTGGCGCTAACCAGCACGTCGACTGCGGTACGCCGTACCGTTTCTGCTTCGGCCGCGAGAGGTTCGAAATCTCGGAGGCAATTCTTCGTTTTTCTCCGCAAACCCTGCCTTTCTAGCACCCTCCCCCCTCCCCCCCTCCCCTAAGCTTTCTTGGGTTAAGGAGGTCGAGCCTGGCTTGCTCCATCTGCCGGTCCTTGGACGTCCTACGGTCCTACAGGATAGAGGACTTCTCTCGACAACTCCACGTACCACTTCTACGTACTTACGACGTCGGTACTCCGTCCTGCCCGTCCGCCTGGCACTGTGGGACCGACGGAAATGCACTTCCTGTGTAGCACTGCTTGGTAGTTGGTAGTTGGTTGGTAGGTGGTACGGACTTACAGTCTATCTACTAATGTACCCAATTTTTATCCATACCGGTACCTGGGATGACAGCCAGGCTCTCCAGTCATCCAGTTTCACTCAATCGGTTCCAAGATGAGATGACCGGTTAATCCATGGCTGTCGGCCTCCACTATGACCGCTTCGGCCCAGTCCTACCCTACTACCATCATCCATCTAGTACCTGCTTGCTTCCCCCTGTCGAAAGGGGTCGTTCCTGGGCTTCTATTTCATTCAATTATCTTCTCTAAGCCTTCCCCCTCATTCAAATCCTCGACCCCTGTTTATCTCTCTTGGCTCCCCAAGGCTCATCCAGCAGCTCGGACTCTCATGCGTCTCCAACAAATCACCTGAACATATTCCCTGGCTGGTGGCGGATAGTTCGCTAAGTGGCTCCGAACTTAATCCCTCTGCCTCGATCCATGACCGGTGTCCGGCGGATTATGGAGCCAACGCCCGACTAGTGCTGTCGGTAGACTAGGTCTTCCACATGGTGTGCCTACTGCCGCCGCCTCTGTAGCAGGGACGGTTGTCTCGGATGAGTCAGGACGGGCTCCAGCCCGGAGCCCAGGGTCTTTCCAGTAAATATTCACCCTTCAGAGTTCAGACAGCGGTTGGCTGACAAGCACGCTGGCTTGCGGGTTTTGGGCTAGGGTAATCTCAGCGTCCCAGACTTCTAATGACCCGCACGATGCGATGCTATGGACGGGGTTGCCGGTTCCACGTCGGAAAATTTACGAGCAATAGAGTGTCCCGGATGGAGATTACTGGAAACGGTCGATAATTGTTTCGTCCACTCCATGCATGAGAGATTATTTACCCCGTTACCTAGACTGAAGAAGCACCTCGGCCATGAACCACACCCTCTCCCTAGCCTTCGTTCACACTTTACAGGGCTGTTGCCCAGGTTCGTCTGAATCCGCCTGGACTCCGTGAATTTTCAGTTCGCCACCTCGACTCTGGTGCACAATTGTGCTGTCTTTCCCACACCCACTGCACATGCCATCCTCGATCTCTTCCCGTCTTTTAATTCTATTCTTCTTGGGGGGGGGTTTTTTTTATATAATTTTATCTATTTATTTTCTTTTTTTTGTCGTTTTATTTTAATTTTATTTTATTCCCCCCCTCCCGTCCTTCATATCAGATCCAAGGCTGTGTATCCGTGGTTCAAACCTCTGATTGTAAAGCAAACCTCATAGTCCCATCTCCAGCGTTCAAGCTACGGACCACTGGTCCTTGGAAGCGTGGGGATCATAAGCACCTTCGTTGGCCAGTCTGTCCGAAGACCACCTCCATCAGCGATAACTGCTGCTGGTCCTGTTGTCTAGCCTAGAGGGTACGGTACTAGTACTCCTACGATCTACTGGACTGGGAATTGATCCAACCTGGAAACATCCCCGATCCCCATTACTCTCCTTCTCACCTCCATTGTCCTCTCGTTCGGCTCTGATGCCCACCCCCGGGGCCTTAAGCTGAGTTGACACTTGTAGTATGGTGTGAGATCTCCGTGTACCGAACATTCAAGCTGTGGCCCGTTCAGTCTAATTTCCTGTTTTCTGACACTCGTTCCTTTATCTCATTTCCCCCATTCTTTTTTTGAGTTTGTTCCTCCGCGTTAGCATCAAGCATCTGCCTATCGTTGGCAATCATTCCCTGTATCCAGGACTGCAGGCGATTCGTCCCTTCAGACTTCTGGCTTTCTCTCGCCCACCGACGGACCCTTCCGTCGTGTGCTCTTCCGCTGCATCCTTAGCCTGACTACGACGGTGCTTGCGGTGGTTTTCGTTTTGGTGGCCAACTTGAAAGTGGATCTTTGGTTGGTCGTGACCAAGACCTTTCGTCTGTCGAACGCCCTGCGTTATTTCCACTGCCGTGATCGTGCTTTTGTTTCCTGCTTGGGCTAAGCACGGTTTAATCTGCTCTATAACCTTCTACCCACCTTCCGGTAACCTCCCCCCCCCCCGCCCCGGCGGTATCTCAGGACCCAGCAAAGGGATCGACCTTCATTTCTTGCCGTTCGTCGTTGGCCCTAGCGGTGGCCGAGATTCTCCTTTATCGTTTCGGGAGCAAGTCAAGGGGAACAGCTCAAAGAAGGAGGGCAGTGTGGTTCATCTGTTGCGGGCTCACCCACCACCTTGACTACTATCAACACAGCCAACCCTGCCTGTCTGTCTGTTCTCTATCCCCTTACTTCGTACTCCTTAGGTTCCCGCTGAGGACCGATCAACGGATTCTTGTTCTCTACTTCCCTCCGTCCTTCATCTCACGGTCCACGGCTCGGAGATCCTGCGCTTCTTCAGCAAGCGCCCCGACTGCTCGTGCAGACCCACCCTGTTCTCCCTTGGCTGCGATCCTGGTCGCAGCTTCTATCCATATCCCGATTCATACAGCAGTGCCCTGAACCCTCCCGGCTTTCAGGATATACCTGTGCTACAAGTGCCTCTGTTGTGATTCTTTCATGGTGTAGCAGCCCTTCCATTTACCATGTCAATCAGCGGACCGTGTGTCTGGCTGTCCTCGTTGTCGCCGCCCTCTAATTCACATCTGCCCGCCCTAACGAACCATTGGTCGACAGCTTCCTGGAACAGTGAGCAAGCTTCGTTGAGGTCAAGGGCCTTGCCGTCTAGGCTGCCCGGATCGTGGGAGAAAGAAGGCGAGCCAGCAAAGACGCCCGCCGCCGAAATGCAGCCGCCTGTGCTGAAGGCTGAGAATGCCTTCACGGCCGTGGCTCCAGCTGGTGCGTCGAGTCCAGCACAGCGCTCTGCGGCGCCTACGTCCTTCAACCATCCCGAGAGTCGACACACACAGTCGGAGGGTGACATATCACGTGTGAAGTTGGAAAAGCTCAATCACAGTGAATTCCGCCTTCCGAGACCTCAAGGAACAGCCAGCCCTAGAGCTACAAAAGAGACAACCCCCGAGCCCAAAGATAGAGATGCTATGGAACAGCAAGAAAAGGATAAGGGGAATGGTGACGCGGAAATGGCTTGGTCCGATGATGGAGCTGGATCGTCTGTAGGTGGTGACAGGAAACAGTCATCAGATTCTAAGAGTGAAAAGAAGAAGATGAAGCGGTTTCGGTAAGCGATTGATTAGTCTCTACAGAAGACTGTCTACTAAGCTAACGGTCTTGGGTAGACTGACTCATAATCAAACCCGGTTTCTGATGAGTGAGTTCACTCGTCAGGCACACCCGGACGCCGCCCATCGAGAGCGACTATCGAAAGAGATTCCTGGTTTGACGCCGCGACAAGTCCAAGTTTGGTTCCAAAATAGGTATTGACAACTTTTCCCATCGAGGGAAGCTACTAGTGTATGCCAACTAACGCATGTGTTCAGACGAGCAAAACTCAAGCGGCTTACCAGTAACGACCGAGAGCGTATACTGAAATCCAGAGCGTTACCTGATGACTTCGATACCACTCAAGTTTTACGCACTCCTTTCGATCATAAAACGCCAGCAGAGGCACCAGTTGCGTTCTCCATCCCCATCTGACCCATGATATTGCTTCTAATTCTTTGAAGATGTTACTCACCGATGGTCTGCCTCGACTGAACGACGATGACTATGTTATATCACCACTGAGTTCTGCTTCGACGACAAACGGATTCTCAGCAGCCGCGGACAGGCATTTCGAAAGCTATGCCCAGCCTGGTGCCATCCCGGGTAGAGGAGGGCCTGCCCTGTCCGAGCTACACAGAAATAACCGCAGTGCTTTTCCGTTCCCAAGATCCAGTAGCTTCTCCGAGTCATCTTACAATAGCGGACTCCAATTTCCGGGGCGATTCTCAAGACCTGGAGTGGAGCCCCTGAGTCATCCCAGCATGACGTATGCTCGCCGTCCGGTAGACTACGCGTTGGGTCGGCCAGCCAACGGTATGGTTGTTGGATACGATCACCAGCGAGCCTTGGAGGGCTCTGTATCACCTACAGGTCCACCAGACCAGTCCATTCAATATAATGTAGACAGCCACAGTATGTCCTTCTCCCCACGTTCATCATAATTTCGAACTGACATTGTGGGCAACAGACCAGCAAATACCTAACTACCATTCTTCGCTAGCAATGCCAGCTCCCAAGGGGTATGGTGGCTTGGAAATCAACTCTCACATACAGCAACATGGACGGCAGATACCTGCTCTGCAATCCGTACCGGTTTCGGATGCGCCAGACTATCGTCCCTATTCATACGACCATCACCCATACAGCATGAACCACGCCATGCCGTACTCTCAATCCAATGCTTCTAGCATGAGCCTCCCTGCTTCATTTCCCTCCGATACGAACAACGTCTCCCAGGGATCTGTCGTCACGTCTGCCGAAGACCGGATGAACCACCCTCCACAACTACTAGACCCGCTCAGGGCAAAGTACGGCGGTCAAACATTTGAATATGCCAATTACCTATAATACGGAGGGTACCCTGGAATATGGGGGCGTTGTTTCTCCTCTTCGACTGCACCGCAATTTACATAATTTTCACGGAGCTCTATTCTCATTTAATCGGTTGGGGACATATATATTCATTTCCGCTCTTGGCTTATATTGGATATACGGGCATTTTGACTCAGCGGAGCTCAGCATACTATTTCCTAATGTTTTCACCCTCTTCTTTCTGCTCCTCTCAATAAGTTTATTTTTGCTTTGCATTTACCATCATCGAGAAGGAGAAAATTGCGTGCATATTACAATATCAGCTTTGTATGGTTGGGGGGGAGGGGACATTCACAGGCGTCTGTTTGGATTGTTTGGTTTCATTCCATTTCTCTCTCCACCCATGTTGTTGCCTAGGCCAACTGCCTGTTCTTTTTCGTTTCCTCTTATTGTCGTTCTGCCCACATAGCCTGTGTTGTTGATTTTGGACCAGGGAGGCTTTCGTCATTCTACATTTGTGTATATGAACAATAAATTCTAGTCGATAATATCTGACAAGGTCACAATCCGCCGAATAACGTAATCGGTAAGCGAGTGGCCACTGTAAGCGAGTGGCCACCCTTCCCGCGTATTCCGATCAACATACATTTTTGAAGCCGTTTTTCAACATATTAAAGTCATTAAAAATGTTTTTTTTTTGTTGATTTCTCTTGTAGGGCAATGTGTACGTTTATGGCCTAATTGATTACAATCACTGCACCGGGGTGGCGCGCGGCGGCGAGGGGGGGGGTAGTATCACGAAGGCAGTAAACAAGCTGGTTAACCACCTCGGTAGGTGAGAAAGGCACTATTCCTGCGGCGCGAAAAGCACTCTGTATAGTTACTTTTTTAAAAGTGAATAATCGAGCATCTGGATATGTATCCAAGAAATCCTTCTTATCAACTTTGTGGATTCCCGCGCGGATCAACTTCTCAATCAGCCCGCCGTACGCCTGTTTTAATGGCGAAAAACACGCAACATCCAACAGTTGATACAGGTGCGAGGAGTGCGGAGGCATACAGACAGGAACAATATTATTTTAATTACAGATTTTGTCAAATTCAGGCGTTAAATGGGAGTCATGGCTGTCGAGTATTAGGAGGCTATATTTCCCAGTTCTTCAACTTTGAATAAATGGAATAAAGTGTTCACGCAGCCAAAAAAGGCCTATTTCATTAGTAGTCCATCCATTCAGTGATATATGAAGTCTCCAATCAGGAGGCAACTTTCTACCTTGATACCATGACTGTATATAAACCTTGTCTTTAAGAATCACGAACGGAGGCAAGGCCCAGCCAGCTGCATTAATACATTTGATTGATGTTACCTACTCGCGATTCCCAGGCTGTATAAGAAACGGTCTTCCAATATAGTCAGATCTGGTAATAACGCGCGCAGTAGCCATTATTCCTATAGCAAATCTAGTTTCATTAAAGTTATAGATATCTTCATCTGCGATGCTGTACTCTGATATAATAGATTAAATACGAGAGAACCACTTGCTGATCACTTTTAGATCCTCACAGCGAGCGCGCTGATAGTTATAACGGCGGGAAAAGCGAGACTTCAAAGTATCATATCTTTTGATGAAGTTATATATCCATTTCTCTCCTATATCTGTACGGTAGTTCAGATCACGCTTTTGGATTAAGAGAGTAGCCATTGTACGAACGTATGAAGGCCTGGGTGGAAGGCCTCACTGATCCAAAGAAATTATCCATTTCTTTAAGGCTTCCTCCTCTGCAGGAGTCAATTTTAATGAATTTGCGCGTATTTCTGTACGCGATTTGATTCCCTGCAGACGATGCCGGAGAGTTGATCGAGGAACTTCAAAATTGCGGGCTGCTTGGGCCACGTTAGGAGTATCGCCATTTTTTAAAGCTTCAATTGCGAGGACGATCCGGCCCTCTTGTTCAACACCGTTTTTTAACGATTTGGACATTTTTTGGTGGTGATATCGCGGATTCAATGCTTTGTGGTTGAAAAAACGCGTGTTTTCGGAACGCGGGTGGCCACTCGCTTACAGTGGCCACTCGCTTACCGATTACGTTACCAGGAATTGCAGGTCTTAGTAAGCGCAGCAAGCATTCCATGACCGGCTAGGGCTCGGGTGCCGTTCCCCACGTCGATCCAACAGTCTGTCTGACAGCTTGGTGGCTTGCCCCCGGATCGACCGTTCCTGCTTACCTACTACAGTACTAGATAGTACTGTGTAGCAAAGTGTTCCGAGTGACAGTTGCCTAGGTCCCAGGCAATCCAATGACAACGCTCGAGATTCAGGAGGTCTTGATCGTAAGCAGCTAACTTCCCACCGTTCAAAGGTCAAGGATTACAAACCTAAGCCATGCGTATTGCCTGACCTGGATATCCACCATGAGGCTGCATCGAATCAGAAGACGCCCAAATCAAGCTCGATCACGGGGCTGGTCAGCTTCCCGACTCGATCGCCCCGGCTGCGGCCAATCACAGGGCCGCCATTGCTAATCGCCGCCGATCCGCTGCCGGGCATGACTCTACAACATAGAGTATAAATACCTCCAGCTACCTCGACCCGTCACTTCTTGCATTGCTCAGAATAAGCCATTGTGATCGTTGCTTGCTTCAGTCCCATCGATACATATCTCTCTCTTCATCTTTCTGTTCGCAAAGCGTTTTCGGCAGCATCCGAACGAACTCCGCCTTGTTTCCTGGATTACGTCATATCTGGCCCCTCCCCGGCGTACGACATACATACATACTAGTACATTACTTGACTGTCTGTACTTTCGACACTTTCGACCTCTAAACGAGTCAACTCCGCCAATATGGTTTACCCGTCCTCCACCTGCTGCAAGACTTCTGGCGACAGAAGTTGTGTTTGCGCAGCCCAGGCAAAGTGCTCCTGTGGCAAGAAAAACGCCCTCCACTGCACATGCAACAAGGCTTCCACCGAGAATACCGTTGCAGGGGCTCGGTGCTCTTGCAGTAAGTCTCTATGCCTGCGCCTTCATGATTTTACGACCCAATTGCTAATCCAATCGCTAGGAGCTCGCCCTGCCGGAGAATGTACCTGTGAACGGGCCGCCAGTGAGAACCACCCTGTAACGGGAGAAACCTGCCCCTGCGGAAAGCGATCCTCCTGTAAGTTCTACTGTGATTCCATTTTGAAACGAATGGATACTGACGTCCTTGACTAGCGTCTTGCACCTGCGAGAAAGGCCGCGCCGTTGACGAGGCTGTTGGACGTCTCGAGACTGACTTTACCACCCGTGCTTGAACACCGCTCTTCATCTGTGTGGAGGGCAATGGTGACTTTCTTCTTAATGGAATTTAATGGCCTGTATACTTTGGGGGATCGGTGTTCATAACGGAGTTTTGGGAGGTCGAAGCCGACTTGTTTCATGGGGTTGCGTGGGTATTTGAAATTGGGTTGTCTTGCATTAGTCAGGTTAGTTTCACAGGGGAGCAGGAGGGTATGGAAAATCAGTGACGATACTCCAAATATTATATGGTTAAATTTATGCTCAATGCTAGGCATCTGTGTCTGCAGATCTAGGGTAGGGTTGAAGAGGCGCGTCAGCTTAGCCCCTGCTCGACACGGGTCTATGAAGGATGACTGAGTTTTGTACTCCGTACTAGTATGTAGCCAGCTAGCAAGGAATGTAGGTCAACTCCTCGCACCTCCTGAGAACACACCTAAAACCAATGTCTTTGCTGCAGCAGTCCCCACCCGAATGCAGTGGCATAAATCTGATCAGGTTTGCATAGTCGAGGATCCTCCTCGAACACGAATGCAGCTCGTGAAAGCTGGGTGCTGAAGCTTGGGCGCCAACTCCGGAACAGTTCAGATACTCAATAGGTTCCTGGGGGTTTTGACAAAAGAAAAATAGATTTTGTGATAAACCTGGCGATGTTACTATTTACAGCAGTCGCACCGCCACACCGCATCAAAGTTGTTCCCGATCTCCGCCGGATCGCCCGCGGAAGTGGCTGGAGCAGCTTCCCTCCTGGGCCAAAAGGGTCTCGTTCTCTCCCTCCTTTCCCCATCACTACTACTTCATCGGTCTCCTCTTTCCAGGCCACAGAGCTCGGCTTTATTACTTTCTTTTTTGGCCTCCAAATCACTACTATTACTAGTACCTCGCCCGCCTTCCTTCCCCTTCTTCTGCGAATCGGCAGTAGTGCCCCCCTATCGCGCGTTCTCCGATTTCCGCCTTCCCCCCCCTCCAGATTGCGGCTCGCCTACCTCTCCCTCACCCTTGCGCCATGATCCATGCACCATAGCGACTAGAACCGAATTGGCAACGAACTATCCGGAAGGAGGGACTGGATATGGTCGTATGACATACACTCATTGAGGGAATCCCGCTAGTGTGTTGTCTGCGCTTACACAATCCCGAGAGGTTCAGGAACGACGCACTTGACAGCTTCCGATCTGATTTTCCTGAGCGGCACATAAATTTACATCGGATAATTGGATTTCAATCATTCCAACTCCATATGCTATATCGATCAACATGTCGTCCATGCGAGGCTTAGTCCAGTTTATTGCCGACTTGCGAAACGCAAGAGCGCGCGAGCTCGAAGAGAAGCGGGTGAACAAGGAATTGGCCAACATTCGGCAGAAATTCAAGGGGGGCAATCTGAACGGGTACCAGAAGAAGAAATACGTCTGCAAGCTGCTCTACGTGTATATTCAAGGATATGATGTCGATTTCGGGCACCTGGAGGCCGTCAACCTGATCTCCTCCAACAAATACTCCGAAAAGCAAATCGGATACCTGGCGGTGACTCTCTTCCTACACGAGCAGCATGAATTGCTTCATCTGGTCGTCAACAGCATACGGAAGGATTTGTTAGACCACAAAGAACTGAACAATTGTTTGGCGTTGCACGCGGTTGCTAATGTCGGCGGGAGAGAGATGGGCGAGGCGCTCTCTACTGATGTCCATCGGCTGCTGATTTCTCCGTGAGTACTCCGTGGTCCGTCTTGCCGTCATTCGAGTCGCTGGCTGATAGTTCGCTCCATAGGACCTCCAAGGCCTTTGTTAAGAAGAAGGCCGCTCTGACACTCCTTCGATTGTATCGCAAATTCCCCGACATTGTACAGAATGCATGGGCAGAACGGATAATCTCTTTGATGGATGATCCCGATATGGGTGTCACGCTATCGGTCACATCACTTATTATGGCATTGGCCCAAGACAAGCCCGAGGAGTACCGAGGGTGCTATGTGAAGGCTGCACATCGTCTGAAAAGGATCGTGGTTGATAATGACATCGCGCCGGACTACCTCTACTACCGCGTGCCCTGCCCTTGGATTCAAGTCAAATTGTTGCGGTTGCTGCAATACTATCCTCCCTCAGGTAGGCGCTTCCGGACATCCTCGGCTATACGCGTGCGACTAACAGACTCGGTGTAGAGGACAGCCATGTTCGCGAGATTATCCGCGAGTCTCTGCAGCAAATTATGCATTTGGCCATGGATACACCTAAGAATGTCCAGCAGAATAACGCCCAGAATGCAGTGCTCTTCGAGGCGATCAATCTCCTAATCCACCTAGATACTGAGCACAGCTTGATGCTGCAGATATCCTCTCGTCTAGGGAAGTACATTCAGTCGCGGGAAACGAATGTCCGTTACTTGGGTCTGGAAGCAATGACACATTTCGCGGCCCGAGCCGAAACCCTTGATCCCATCAAGAAGCATCAGAATATCATTCTCGGGTCCCTCCGAGACCGTGATATCAGTGTTCGTCGTAAAGGGTTGGACCTGGTCTACAGTATGTGTGACACAACAAACGCTGGTCCAATTGTGAATGAGCTGCTCCGCTACCTTCAGACGGCCGATTATGCAATCCGAGAGGAGATGGTGCTGAAAGTGGCTATTCTCACGGAAAAATATGCTACTGATGCCCAGTGGTATATTGATATGACCCTCAAGCTCCTGTCACTGGCCGGAGATCATGTCAACGACGAAGTATGGCAGCGGGTGATCCAAATTGTGACCAATAACGAGGAACTGCAGGCTTACGCAGCACACAATCTTCTTGGATACATGAAGACTGATTGCCACGAGAGTCTGGTGAAGATTGGATGCTATGTTCTAGGCGAATTCGGACATCTAATCGCCGACAATCAAGGCTCCAGCCCCATCGAGCAGTTCCTGGCCCTGCAGGCGAAGATGATCACCAGCACCGACACTACGCGGGCAATGATCCTATCTTCCTTTGTCAAATTCGTCAACCTCTTCCCCGAAATCAAACCCCAACTATTGCATATATTCCGTTTGTATAGCCATTCCCCCGATTCGGAACTGCAGCAGCGTGCTTTTGAATACCTGTCGCTGGCGACCCTTCCCACCGACGATCTCCTCCGAACAGTCTGTGACGAGATGCCCCCCTTCTCGGAGAGGGCGTCGATTCTATTGTCTCGGCTGCACCAAAAAACAGCCGGCGCGACAGAGAAGAAGACATGGGTTGTGGGCGGCAAGGATGCGAACACCGATCAACAAGAGATGCTCATGGCGCAGAACACTGGGCTGAAACGCAGCTTCACCACAATTGTGAATGGTAATAAGACCGGGGTGAATGGAACGGCAACAACGCCAGGTGCATCGGGCGACCTAGCAGGACTGGATCTCAGCGCCCCCGCAGCTCCGCCGCCAAACATGGCCAGCGCGGCTCATCTCACCCCCGATTGGGATCTCGGGTACAATCGACTGTACTTTGGCGACGAAGGAGTGCTGTTTGAGGATGCGCAAATCCAAGTTGGACTGCGTTCGGAGTACCGTGCGCATATGGGGGTTGTCAAGGTTTATATTTCCAACAAGTCCTCGTACCCGATTGGATCCCTCACGACGACGTTGGATAATCCGGCGGCGCCAAACCTGAAGATCGACACGAAGAGTCTCCCCGAGCCGTCGGTACCTGCAGTTGGGCAGACACAACAGACGTTCTTGATCGAAGCGCAGGGGCCGTTCACAGGGGCACCGACGATCCGCATCTCGTATCTGGCGGGAGCGCTGCAGGCGTATACGTTACAGCTTCCCATCCTCATGCACCGGTACATGGAACCGTCGGCGCTGTCAGCTGAAGATTTCTTCAAGCGATGGCGGCAGATTGGTGGCGGACCACTGGAGACACAAAATACTTTCGGCGTCACCGCGCGACACAAGGAAATCGGCGAGCCATTCACGCGGCGAGTGGTGGAAGGACTTGGGTGGAAGATCTTGGACAACGTGGACCCGAACCCGAAGAACATCGTGGGATGCGCGGTGTATCAGTTTGCTGGAGGTAAGACGGGCTGTCTCCTGCGGCTGGAGCCCAACTATGAGCGATCGGTAAGCATCATCTCCCAGACGGGCTCCACGTGTTGGCGCTGACAAGATGCAATTCTAGATGTTCCGAGCCACGATCCGAGCGACGCAGGAATCGGTGCCGGTGGCGCTGGCAAAACAGATGGAGCAGAAACTGTCGCAAGGCGAGCGATGGGACACCGGACGATGATGCCCGGAGTCGTTCACTTGTAATCCCGTGTTTTCCATTCTTCTTACTCCATTACCTGCTTGTCGACGGGGGTGTATTTGTTATTGATATCAACCACGTATATACCTGGGACAAGCGGAAAGCTGTTCTTTGTTTTTCTTAATGTACAGGCAGCGAGCGCAACATAAGACGGCAACCGGGCATTGGAGATGCACCGGTTTCTTTCGCTTTCCGTTTTGATTCTTTGGTTATCTTTTCTTCCTCCACTGTGTAGTATACATGTCGTGAATCGTTACACAAAAGCCCGGGATCCCTGCAGGGTCGACCCAGCTCAGATGACCTTGGCCTGATCTCTGGGCGGCCGCTCCCCGAAGATGGTAGTTCCGACGCGCACCTCATCACTACCCAGGGCAATAGCGCCCTCGAAGTCCTCACTCATCCCCATACTCAATTCCAAGCGGGCATCCTCTCCGACGAGCCCCAATTCGGCGACGACCCGATCCCTCGTGTCCCTCAGACAGACAAAATCCTCATTCTCATTCTCGGGCGTCGTAGCCTTGGACCGTGCAATAGCCCCAATCGTCATGACACCCTGCAGCCGCAACCGGGGACACTTGTCACGAATGAAGCGACACAAATCCACGGCATCGCTGCCCGGTTCCACGCCGGACTTATTCTCCTCGCCGGAGGTATTCACCTGAACAAAGATGCGCAGCCGGTCCTCATGGTTCGTGGCGCGGACTTCCTCGGACCGCTCGCCCCAGCCCTTATCGAGCAGAGAAGCCTTCTTCTGGGAATCAACGCTCTCAACCGCCCAGAGGCCGCGGACGTCCCGGGCGAGAGTGACGCATTTGTTGGATTGCAGACCGCCGATAAAGTGCCATTTGATGGTGGGCGGGAGGAGACGTGATTTCTCGGTTAGCTCTTGAAGGTAATTCTCGCCGAAGTGGTGATGGGTGGTGGGGTGTTGGTGGAGGGAGAGGATGTCGGAAGCGGGTTTGAGTTTAGAGACGGCGATTAGACGTGGGGGGATGGAGGGGTCGGTGGTGGTGGTAGTGGTGCGTTTGGCGGCAGCGGCGTTGACGCGGGAGGTCACGGAGGCCAGGTTGGAGAGAAGGACAGAAGTGCGGGATGGACTGGAGGGGCGGATTGGGGTGGACATGGTGGAATTGGAATTGGAATTGGAATTGGAATTGGAATTGGAATTGGAATTTGGGTGGGAGTGGGAGAGATTGCGTAGATGGTTGTAGATCGTACGGAGTAACTACCTAGATGATACACCAATTAGTGCTGGAGATTCGGCCCGATCGACCAGGTCGTAAGGAGACTAGTGTCCACGTGATACCGGGAGATCGGCTTCGAACGTTCCGTGGAAACGGCACGTGGCTTACTAAGTGGAGACTAAACCGGAAGGGAGCAAGCAGGGGATTCAAGCTGGGGAAGGTGCGCTGGTCTTGTCGTCATTCTGCAGGCATGCAATTGTCCATCAATGTTACTCTTCTGTCTAGTCTCTTCACTACTACTACTACTCTTATCCTTTGATGTCATCCCACAAAGCAACGCAACAGCAAACCCCCCCCCTTCAAGCTCCCCCTGCTACTGCTACTAGGTAGGCTAGACCCAACAAAGCCACACCTCTCTGCCAATGCCGATAGATCGCACTAGACGCCCGTTTGGGTTTGCAGGACCGCCCGGCGCTGTCACACCTTCGCCCCAAACCCACTGCCAATTTCCATGAGCTCCATCCGGCTCCATTTCGTCAAGGGACTATTAGTCTTCCGCGGCCATTAGTTGACCATCTCGGCTGAAGAGGAGCACGTCGTCGCAATAGTCGCCGCTCACCTGGCCCTCCTGAGGGTCTAGCACCATTGGCTTATGTCGGGCATCCGAGAAATAAAGATGCCTGGACTCTGGAAGGGGGGCTGGCGTCCTTTTTCCGGTCCGTTCCTTTGAATTGCCCCTGATGAACCACCGACTCCTGGCACGCACCCCCTGGTTTTTTCTTTCAAGGGCAGCCATTCAGTTGTTTTGACTTGAGAGAGGATGTCTTATTTTTACGTGCCACTGACCGGGTAGCGTGGCATTGAACCGTGAAGCAGCCACGGAACGGCGAAAGAAGCGCCAGGGAAAAGAGACTCAGGAGCTGGCCAAATAAGGCAATGCAGCCAACCGGGATGGGCCTCAAATGATGCGACGTGCCCCCGATCATCCTCCGCCGTAGCCGGCCAGTAGCCGTAGTAGAAGTACCGGTGCGCTGCAGCTCCTCGTCATGATGAACCAAGGTTGCGCATTTCCAACCATTCCCTTCCCTCCTCGCAGGCTCTCCTCCATCCATCTTCACTCTCTTTAACGCCGAACTCCACCCCAGCGCTTGGGGCTGACGTCAAACACTCCTTCACCAGTCTGTCTGTTGTGTGTTACTTGCTGCATTGTCGCTCATTGGACTCTTTTAGTATCTTTCCTTCTTGCTTGCTTTCTTTCTTTCTTTTTTTACTTGTATTTCTGTATCTTTTTTTTTTTTTTTTTTTTGATCTACTGCATTCATTGTCCATTCATTCATTGATGCCCTCCTTTTGTCATCCCTGACTCGGTGGTGCTCCGCTGACCGACTTGCCGGTCTAAATTTACTTTTGTTCGCTCCTCGCTGTCTCTCTTCCCCCCTCCCCTCCCCCTCCTTACTAAACGCTGGTCTTTGGACTCGCATTGATGAACCGGGAGATTAATCCCATCCCTTGCTCTTGACAGACAGACAGACAGACCGTCCGGAGACTGTGTCCCCTGTCAGCCTGGCAGCTCTGGAAGTGCGTCATATCAGATCATCTCTCTCGGTTCCTCGTCAGAACCGGCCAGTCCAGACCCGCGGAACCACCGGGGGATCTCCATCCATCTATAAACCACCCTCACCAACCGTCGACATCTGCGGAACCTCGATTTACGATCAACGGCCGACCATTTTGCATTCTGCTTTGAAAGCAGTGACATCCACTAAACTCAACGAAGGAAAAAAAAAGCGGCTTGAAACCCCTCCCTCTCGCCCCCTCTTCTCGCCCCCTCTTCTCGCCCTCCGTCCCTTGTGTTCAGGTGCATCCCAAGACCGGAAGCCCGCGGAGTCTGCCCAGTACCGCAAAACCCACACCGACTTGGTTACCTTTGGGCACGAATTGCTTCTCAGTGGATCGAGATTCGACAATTTAACTTCCGGGTCCTTGTTAGTGTTTTCCCCTTCTTCCACCACCACGACCATCATCATCACCACTTCCGCCACCACCACCCACCACCCAGTTCTTACCCTCAATATGTGCCGCCAATACTTCATGGTCTACGAATGGTGCCGGTGCGAAGAAGATGCCGGCCAACAGATCTGCCCCGCGCGCAACGACAACAATTACTGCCCAGAGATGGCCATTGAGACGGTCCACATGTACTGTTTCTGCCACGGGCACGCCACCCACGGCTTCAAATCGGAGCGCAAGTTACAGAGGAAGGAGCGCAAGCGCTTTTCGATGCTGAGCCTGGGCGAGAAGGGCGAGAAGAGCGTGCTCGCCCCGCGGAAGAAGAAATGGTACCATTTCTGTAGCCTCCGGTCGCGGACCTTTTAGGCGGCTCTTGCATTCCTTTCTTTTTCTGTTGCCTTTTTCTTTGTCATTGGCTTCTGGGATATTTGTGAATCATCAGCACCGGTGTTTTTTTTTTTTTTTTTTTTTTTATTTTATTTTATCTTATATTTTATTTTGGGATGCATGGATCGATTTGGTGGGACTGGACCGGCGTTTCTGCGGCGTGATTGATCATTGAGGGACTTCATACCATCTCTGGTGTTGGACTTAGGGCGGTGATTTGCATGCTTGTATTTAGTCTGCCCCGATCGAATTCGATCGGATCTGAGATCGTGAGATGGAGGACCCCGGATGGGGGCAATAAGATGATCAACTATTGTCTGATTATTGGGGCCACGCGTGGCTGCACGAGACGGCACGGTTGGTTGCCAGAGCCATAAGGATGTCTGTAGAAGCACCTGTCACGGCGGAAGGAGCAAAAGTAGCGAGAGGGACCTACCGGAGGAGTGCGCGATGCCCCAAGTGGAGGGGGGCGATGTGATGGATCCGACGCCCCTGACGGATTTCAGGGTTTAAGTAGGTACTATACTATGTATGTAGTAACTAGTAAGTAGATAAAGGGAGGGCGGGAATGAGGGGAATGCCGAATGAACGAACCACCAACGGCTTCCGCTCCTCCCTTTCTTTCTCCCTCCTCCCTCCCCCCCCCCCCTCTCTCTCTCTCACTCACATACACCCTTTAATAATTCAATTCATTCTCAATCATCTACTCCGTACATACTTACCCTTTCCACGCTTCCCTCTACTCGACCTCAACCGAGTCCCCCACCCACTGAGTTACCGCCGCAAATCCCCCGATGGGCCCGTCATGGACCCCTCCAAGCGCCCTGAGCCAGCGTCATTCACTGCGGCGTCAACATCCCCGGCAACCGACCCTTCAATGTCCCACCCCAACGACGCGCCGCCCTCTTCCCACCGTCTGAGCTATCCCTCGATGCATGCGACTCCTCTACCGCCGTCTTCGTCGGGCTTCTCGTCGGCCTCCCTGCTATCGCCCTCCGACCCCCCGCGCGTGCTGTCGCGAACCCGGCGCATTCCGCCCCCCGTCGCATCCCCAGTTCCAGCTCCTTGGCCGATGAGCGTCGCAAGTCCTCTCCGAGTCTAAAGAAACGCTCGTCCACCGCGTCGCTGCGTTCCAACCGGGGGCGTCCACCTCGCCCCGCCCCAGCCTGTCGCGACACTCATCGTCCTCCACGTTCGGCACCTCCCCCACGAACGCGTCCACCGCCCACCATCCAAACATGCCTTCGAAAAAGCCTTCCCTGACGGCGATGACGGAGCATCCAGTCCCCACTGCAACATCCATTGCGTCGGAGTATTTCCAGAAGGAACTAAACTGGCACCAGTCCGCCGAGCTACAGTCGCAGACGCTCGTGCTCGTCCATGATGCGTGTTACGGCCATCGCTTCTCACGCCCCCGAGCCTCCCGAGCAGCACTCAACTCCATAGTAGAACGCCCGGAGCGCATCCAAGCCGGCGTGCTGGGGATCTCGGCTGCCTATGTCCGTCTAGCCCGTCGACATGCGGGAGGCCTATTTCCCCCTCATCCCGACTTGGATCCGCTCCAGCTGCCGGTGCCGCCATTCCAGATCCGCAAGACGGCGCGCACGCTGCCGCTCAACTCCCCCTCAGTCACACACGTGCACGGGTCCAGGTGGATGGATGACTTGAAGACCATGTGCGACGCTGCAGAATCCCGACTCGCGCTGAACGGCAAGGAGTTGGTCCGTCCGCGCAGTGCGGGCAAGGACAGTGCCAGCCCTAGCGCTCCTGCTTTCCACGAAGGAGACCTCTATCTATGCTCAGAATCCCTGAACGCATTCGAGGGCGCCCTAGGAGGGGTCAGTGACGGCGTGGATGCTGTCCTAGGTCCAGGTCCGACGAAGCGTGCGTTTGTCTGCATCCGCCCGCCCGGCCACCATTGTTCCGCGGGCCATCCATCGGGCTTCTGCTGGATCAACAACGTGCACGTAGGCATCTCCTACGCAGCCATGACCCATGGTCTGACTCACGCCGCCATTCTCGACTTTGATCTGCATCACGGAGACGGCTCGCAGGAGATCGCCTGGGAGCAGAACCATAAGGCTGTGACAGCGCCACGGAACGCGGCCGCCCATCGAAAGACCATGGTAGGGTATTTCAGTCTTCATGATATCAACTCCTATCCTTGCGAGATGGGCGAGTCAGAGAAAGTGCGCAATGCAAGCGTGTGCATCGACAAGGCACACGGCCAGTCCATCTGGAACGTCCATCTAGAGCCGTGGAAGTCTGATGAAGAGTTCTGGGCGCTGTACGCCGCCAAGTATACTGTGCTGATCGACAAGGCGCGTGCGTTTCTCCGCATGCACACCGAGCGACTCGCTAGTACGCCCAATGGACCCGCCCCCAAAGCTGCGATCTTCATTTCCGCCGGGTTTGATGCGAGCGAATGGGAGGGCGCCGGCATGCAGCGACACCAGGTCAATGTCCCCACTGACTTTTACGCCCGATTCACGGCGGATGTGGTTCGGATGGCGAGCGAGGAAGGGCTAGGGACCGATGGGCGGATCATCAGTGTCCTTGAGGGCGGCTACAGCAATCGTGCGTTGACGAGCGGTATTCTCAGCCACCTGTCAGGACTGGGAGGTTCCCAAGGCACCATGAACGATGTGGACGACCAGCAGATCGACCGTCTGGCGGCGGAGATGACTGATCGCTTGGGCCTATCCGACCGTGCACCTGAAGGGCAGCTGGTGAGCCAGCCCGTGTACAACCGTGAGTGGTGGTCGGCCGCCATGCTGGAGGAGTTGGAGGCACTGGTCGACCCGCCGGCGGCGCCCGTCAAGCCCCGAGAGAAGTCTGCGCCAACCTACTTTGCCACGACGCAATCGTTTTCCGCCAAGGTGGTCAACCCGCCGCGAGATCGCAAGTCTACGGGGTCGTACTCGAGTCCGGAGCCAGAAGCACCGCTGCCGCCGCCGCCGCCGCCGCCACCGGTCGGTTGGGCGACTGCCGCGCGCGAACTATCCAAGGTACTGATTCCGACTTATCGGCAGACAACAAGTTGTCGGCCAGAGGAGCTCAACGCGGAGGCTTCGCGCCTGCGGCGGGAGCGCCAAACGGCAGCTGACAATGCGACCGCGACCGCGACCACAACTATGACCACGACCACAACTACAGCTGTGGCTTCCACCTCGACGACGTCCGAGGACAGCCGGATGAAGCTTCGCGTGAGGAAGCCCAAGCCCTTGCTGCCCCAGACCGAGACAGTCAAACGCACAGCAGCTCGTAGCAGTCGGAGGACCACTATCGACGCGGCGCCAGACACGTCGGTCCCCCCTCCGCAGCAGTCGCCGGGAGGACGCATGGCCCGCAGAAAGAGCGCGAGTGCTACTTCAGCGGTCATGTCGACCCCGGAACCGGCCGGGGCGGGCCAGCGACCTGCGTCCAGTGCCGCTGTGCGGAAGACCGGCTCCTCGCGATCCAACACACCCAGGCTTTCCACCAGCCCAAAAAACACACCACCTGTGCCCCGAGTGCCATCGGCGTTCCTTTCTGAGGCTGCAGAGAGCGCTGGACCAGAGACGCCAAACCCGTCGGCCGACAGTGGACCGTCAGATGTGGACAGTTTGGCGGCCGGTGTGCGCAAGCTGCACATCAAACTGAAGGTCCCATCACCGGAGGAGAATGCAGCCAGAGAAAAGGAAAGGGAGAGACGTGCAGCGGAGGAACGCAAACGCGCAGCTTCTAAGGCTGGTTCGAAGACACCCAAGGAGCCTCGAAGGCCCGCTGGCCGGGCGCTGTCGGCGTCGGCTTCGAATGTGCTTCGCCCGGGAGGGAGTGGGGTTCATAAGCCTGTATCTAGTGTGCCAGTGGCATCTCAAGCAGGTGAAGTAGAAGTCAAGGAAGACCGCTCCATCGTGACGCCAGCAGCAACCTCGCCCCCGCCTGCTATGGAGAGGAAGCCCGAGGGCGCTGCCAACGGCTGGAACTGTGCAGGAACCGACGTGGCTGCTGCTGCGATGGCCATGTCGCCACCACTGACGCCGGGAGACGGACCAGATGGCCGGCCGCAGTCGTCGTTGTACTCCCCACCTGGGATGACCCTGGCGCGAGACGGATTACCGGTAATGATGTCGAGCGGGCGCATTCCTTTTGCTCCGCTGCCTAGGATGCCACCAGCGGACCATGAAGGAGAAGGTGGAGGAAGTAATGGATAAGGTGGGCACTCGTTTCTGTTGGCATGTATTGGGATCTGGCGTGTTTCGCTGTTTGATATACCCCTGTTGGAGTTTTAGCCGTAATCGGAGTCCTTGAAGTTTAGTCAAAGGCAGGCTCTAACTATATGGACCATAAAATCACTTACCAGGACCATAAACTATACCTAATCGGCCTTGGCGGCTCGCTTAACCCGTCGCTATACCCAAATAGAAGAAGCTAAGTCATGTGATCGTATCTTTTTGGTCAGACAGACGTAAGGGCTGCCCCCGGCTGCCGGCCTGCGGCCCTCTGATCCTAACTATGTATTTAATTACTGATATCACCTCGCGTAAAACAACACTGAATTCAATACTTAATTACATTTCTTATACTGCTAAAATGGCTGTTTTTATTGATTAGAGCGCTCTGATTGGCCAGATATCTGATAATAATTAGTCAGAATATAATTCATTTTATCATAGAATTCAGCCTACGTAGGGATCGAGGCAGGCAGATAGGGGGGTTAGGTGGTCGGCTGGGATCGCGAGCCCTCGACGGCTCGCAGGCTCGCCGGCCTCGCCGGAGGCTGAATCGTTGAAAAACACGATAAAATTGAAACAGCATCTATTTCCTCTTTGGGCGTAGCCGTAAGACCGCAGAAGCTAGAATGAATAAGATATAGTTTATAGTCCTGGTAAGTGATTTTATGGTCCATAGTTATAAAGCCCGCCTTAGTCAAAATTCTCACAATTTATTTCCGAGCAATCTCCGCATCAGATAAGCCCAAGCACCGCCACGCTGAGTCAGCATTCTCCGCATGACTGGTGACTTGCCAGGCGCTTCCAGCATCCGCCAGAATTCCCCCCACCTCCCTCCCATTATCAATCCCCTCTCGACTTATTCCCTCCCCCTCACCCCTCCTTCTTCTTCTCACTCCAATCACAACCACAAACAATCATGTCCCCCATCTCCGTGTCCCACCCGGGCGACCAAGGAAACCAAAAGGAATCCTACACCCAACTCCCGGACACCGACCTCGACTCCATCGGCCGCCACTGCCAACTCTCCTACTGCAACCAACTCGACTTCCTCCCCTTCCACTGCTCCTCGTGCAAAGGCACCTTCTGTCTCGACCACCGCAGCGAAACAGCACATAAATGCCCTCGTGCGGGCGAATGGGCACGCGCTCAGAACCCCTCCCCCTCACCCAGCAGTGCATCCAGCGCCTCAAGCCAGAAACCGACAGTTTACAACAGTGATCAATGCGCAGAGATATCGTGCAAAACGCTGATCCGGACGCTGAAGGATCCGGGAGTCACGTGTCCGGAGTGTCGGCAGAGCTTTTGTTTAAAGCATCGGTTGAGAGAGGAGCATGACTGTCGGCCGAAGAAAGGGGGTAATAATTCGGGGGGAGCTGTTGGAGCGGCGGGGGCAGAGACGCTCAAGTCGATGTTTGCGAAAATGAGGACGTGGGGGAAGAATGCAGCTTCTACATCTACGGGAGGGGCGGGAGGAAGAGCAGGGGACAGAGGAATGAGTCGTGTCGCTCAAGTCAATGCTATGAAACGGTCTGCGAAGGGTGATGCCAATGTGCCTGTTGATAAACGGGTGTATCTTGCTGTGGTGGGGACGAGTGAGACAACGACCCGGGCGGCGACGGATCCTCCCCGCGGAGAGTTTTGGTATGATGGGCGGTGGAAGGTGGGACGGGTGTTGGATGATGCGGCGAGACGGTTGCAGGTTGAGAATATGAATAATCGGGGAGGAGGGGAGGAGGAGAGGTTGAGGGTGTTTCATGTGGAGGGGGGAGTGTTTTTGGAGTTTAGTGATGCGATTGGAGAGAAGGTGAAGTCGGGGGATACGGTGGTGTTGTTGAGAGGGGCAGGGGTGATTTTGTGAGATCTTGTTGTCTTTTTTCCTTTCTTTCTTTCTCTTTTGTTTTTGAAGCGCTGAGCTAGCCTTGCTTTTAATTATTGGTTTGGAGATTTGGAGGGCTGGAGGATTTAGGTGTTTGAGGATCTGGATACCCACTGACTATCTGGACATACATAGCATCTAGCCATACCCATTTGTTTTCATATTAGGTTTTTTAGTGTCTGGATCTCATGCCGTCCGGCTCATAATTTTGCTTACTGCTTATCATCTCTTTCCATTCACTCTAACCAGTCTATATCATACCACTCATATCTAGTCATTCCTTTACTTTAAACCCTCCCATTCAGCCATCCCCATTATTTCCTAACCCCTACCCATTCCAACACAACAGAAAACTCACACACTCATCTTCATCTTAATTGCCTTATGCGGCTTATACCCAACCACCTCAAACTCCTCATCCTTCCAACCATCCACAATCCCACTCCCCCTATCCTCCCTCTTAATCCTCAACTCGGGAAACGCGACCGGCTCGCGTTCTACCTGCTCCCTCAACGCCTCCACATGATCCAGATAAACATGCGCATCCCCCAACGTATGCACCAACGTCCCGGGAACCATATCCACCGCATGGGCCAACAAATGCGTCAACAACGCATAAGAAGCAATATTAAACGGCACCCCCAACCCCATATCCGCACTCCTCTGATACAACAAGCAACTCAGATGTCCTCTTCCCTTGTCGCCCCCCTTATTCCCTGCCTTCCAATCCTCATCCGCATCCGGATAACTCACATAAAACTGCGCAAACATATGACACGGCGGCAGAGCCATCTTCCCCAGATCTGCAGGATTCCAGGCACTCATGATAATTCTCCGATCGAAGGGATTGGTAAGAAGCTTCTTGACCACGTCCGCGAGCTGATCCACGCCCTGGCCTGTATAATCTGTGCTGGAATCGACGTATTCAGCCCCGAAGTGTCGCCATTGGAACCCGTAGACAGGACCAAGGTCACCTTCTTCGCGGTGGGTGAGGCCGATCGAGTCCAGGTAGGTGCGGGAGGCGTTGCCGTCCCAGATTTTGATTCCTGCGGAGGAGAGGGGCAGGGAGGAGGTGCTGCCGGAGATGAACCAGAGGAGTTCGGCGAGGACGGCACGTAGAAAGACGCGTTTGGTGGTGAGGAGGGGGAGGATCGGTGTGTAGGCGTCGGAGGGGGTGGTGGAGGTGGGGTTGGGTTTGGAGAGGGCGAAGCGCATTTGAGGGGGCCCGAAGATGGAGCGTGTGCCGGTGCCGGTGCGGTCGGGGCGGTATTCGCCTTCGGAGAGGATGCGTCGGATGAGGTTCAGGTATTGGTGTTCTTCGTGAGTTGGGTCGTGGGGGATTGTGGGTGTCGGTGTGGTGGTGGTGGTGGTGGTGGCATCCTGGGGAGGAGTGGGGAGAGATTCGGCGGAGGGAGACATTATGTCTGTGTTTATTCTTGTTCTTTTGTTTGTAGTTGATCTTTAAGTTGTGCTTGGTGAGAGGGGTGGTGAATGGATGTCTTGAGAGTGTGGATCGAGGATGAGAAGTATACAAGTGATCCGGGAATGAAATTGGTCTCGACGCGCGCGCGACGCGCCACGTGGTCATGTGATTGCGGAGCACTTTATTACTGCCGGGATCACTAAAGACTATAAGGCATACTAGTGGTCAAGTTGGAGTATAGGTGCTTCAACTCCTTTTTTGGATTGAGCATTGTAGGACTTTTTCTACGCTTATATTCGGCCTCGCTTTGCTTGCTCGCTCACTTAAGCCATCAGGTCAACTCCCACCCCCCGCAGCGCCGTCACCACCCACTCCGGATAGTCCTTCCCATACAGCGTCCCAAAGAATTCGCGCAGGAAAGCCGGGAACCGGTCCTCCAGGATCGCTTGCCGCGCCGATCCCATTAGCGACAGCAGATAGTGCACGTTGTGCATCGTCAGCCTTCATCGTTAGCACACTCCCGCCACAACGGGGCAAAACTTACAGATGCGCTCCCACCGTCTCCTTTGCCGTCAGGTGGTGCAGGTATGCCCGCGTGATGCCCAGCCCGCCCTGCTCCTTCGGCCGGCAGATGGTGCAGGTGCAGTCCTCCTGCACCGGCCGGAAGTCCTCCGCAAAGGACCGATGCCGCAGGTTCAGCGTGCCCGTGGGCACCACGGCGTTGCCGAAACGCTACAACGGTCAGTCGAAGCCCGTCAGATAGCAGGGGCACTTACAGCCGTTCTGGTCGGCCAGACACAATCAAACATGTCCGCGCCGAGAGCGACGCCCACAATCAGGTCCTCCGGATATCCCTAATCGGTCAGCCTCGTACACCACGGTCCTCAAGGTAACCTACCACGCCCATCACGTATCGCGGCTTTTGCTCCGGAAGCAGTCCCGTGCAGGTGTCCACCCTGTCCATGTTAGCCAGAATTCTGTCACTGGTGAGACACATACACTCGGCAAAAGTCCTCCTTCGCCTCTCCGCCAGAGAGTCCGCCAATCGCAATCCCCGGCGTATCTCGGGCCACCATCTCCGCACAGCATTGTCTCCGAAGCTCCAAGTCTAGTCCACCCTGGATGATGCAGAACAGATTCTGTCGCTCCGGATATTTGTGTGCATCGATACAACGGTCCAGCCAACGGACGGAGCGCTCCATGGCCTCGTGGATACGCGCATGGTCCGGCGAGGTGGTCGCAATCACATCATCCAGTTGCATAATGATATCCGAGCCGATAGAGTTTTGTAACGAGATCGAATGTTCCGGGGTGAGCAGCCTAAACAGTCAGCCCAATACGAAGCCAGCAGAGAGGGGACAAACATCGGCGTGCCGTCGTGGGGGCTCAGAAATCGGACCCCCTCCTCCGTGACAGTGGCCAGTTTCAGCAGGGAGACCATTTGAAATCTGCAACCTGTCAGCCATTTCGCAATGAGAAAGGAACAATCGGGCCGTATCACCCTCCGCTATCCGTAAGAATATTTCGATCCCATCCCTGCAACTTATGCGCCCCGCCCACTGCGTCTAGAACCGCTTGCCCGGGTTTCAGGCCAAGGTGATACGTATTGTTCAAACAGAGCTGGCATCCTGTCTGCCGTAGCTGGTCGTATGTCAAGCCCTTCAGGGACGCCTGCGTCGCAACCGGCATGAAGATGGGGAGGGGAACGGAGCCATGGGGGAGGTTGAGGGTGCTAGCACGTGCTTTGGTGGTCTAGGTATAGATAGCATGTCAGCATGGGAAAAGCAAGAGAATCGCAATAGCCTACTGAGCACTTTGCATGCAAGTCAAAGGTCAATGCCGAGGGCATCGGCTTGCGCGTGGGCGCTGGGGTCGCGGTCGACATGGCTGCGATTCGAGCCCCGCTCGGAGCTGAAGAGGGGGTGCGGGCGAGACGGCCTGTAGCTGCCGACGTGGAATAACTCGTGGATACTCCGGTGCTTGGTCGGAAGCTTCTCGAGCAGAATTGCGGGGTGACTCGGGCATACATGGATCACGATGGCTCCATTGCCTTGCTTGACTCTGTTCATGCCTGGATCAATATCAGCGAGGTTTGCATGGTTTGCACCATTTGCACCGGGTCGGTATGGTACCATACCATACACGATACCAGTCAGGCGGTACTTCCCCGCATTTGTTCCCCGTCCATGCGGAGGACAAGATTAACCGGGGATGGTTCCTCGAGAGGCTCGATCGCTGCCCGGGGAATATCATGCCTCGTCCATGGATCCATCTGCCAACATACTCAGGCTTAACCTGAATGTCTAGACTCTGAACTTAATCCTCCAGAGCAATCAAGATGCCAGCCAGCCATTGCAATCCCGACTGACTAGTCTCGCAGCAATCAGCAAGCCAGCAACATAAACTTCCGCTCAAATGAGCCAATTTTGCCGATCAGCCACTAGCATTCAAGCCACGCAGATTAGCATTCAGCATGGCGGTCTGTCTAGGTTTGGGCTAACTGAGCTGAAGCGAGTCAGGCTGTCCTCGCTCGATCTCTGTCTCTCCGGATTTCTCACACATGACCGAGTCACGGTAATCCACGCGGAGATTAAACTATTATATACTTTGACAAGGACCGCTGCTACTTGAACGGACCAGGTTTTGCGATACGGTATCCTCTTCCCCCAAGTTATACTACGATGAGTGCGGAAAAGAGCTTGGGCGGCGCCGAAAGCGAGGATCTCGAGGGTGCTCCGCAGGTGAGCATACTCTCTATCATTGTTGTACTTGTAATGACCATCCCAGACAACCCATGAGAGTGTCCTTGGCGGAGACCTTAGCGCTCGCGAGAGGGCTCTGGTCTGGAAGCAAGACTTGCGCATTGTGCCCCTCTGTGCGAGCATATATCTTCTCTGCTACCTGGATCGATCCAACATAGGTGCGTACCCCCTAGCATCTGACGTATGGTATGCTCACAGATCAGGCAATGCAAAAATCCTTAACCAGGATACTGGAAACGATCTCCTTTCAGAGACGCATATGACTTCGTACCAGTACACGTGGGTGCCCTGACAGTAGACTGCCGCGACTGTGCTAATAATGCAGTGTCGCATTGATGGTTTTTCTGATCGCCTATGCGCTGTTCGAAGTGCCTTCCAACTATCTGCTCAAGAAATTGAAGCCCAGTGTAAGTTACTCCTCCCGTTTAAGTATCACACTTAACACAATGCAGAAATGGATCGGTTTTCTCATGCTTGCCTGGGGAGCATCCACAATGGGCTTGGGCGGCTCTCACAACGTTGCCCAGGTCACTGGCATCCGGTTCCTACTCGGAGGTAATTATCTGTTCGTACTTCTTCGCGAACCCACTGACTGTTCCAGCCACGGAGGCGGGCCTTTTTCCAGGACTCGTATACTATGTGACCTTTTGGTATCGCATTACAGAGCGCTCCATGCGGGTCGCCCTCATCCTGGCGTCAGCCACCCTTGCCGGTGCTTTTGGTGGCGCCATTGCGTATGGTATCGGACATATGAACGACGTGCGCGGCCTATCAGCATGGCGATGGCTGTTCATAATCGAAGGCGCTCCGTCCTGCGCCTCGGCCTTCCTCGTCTGGCTTTTTCTTCCTGACTACCCCGAGTCAGCCTCATGGCTCAGTCCCGAAGAGAAGATTCTTGCTGCCCAGCGATTGCAAGCAGAAGGCTCCCAGGGAACTGCAAAGGCCATGAGCTGGAAAGATGCGAAGGAGGTTCTGACAGATTGGAGGTTATATGCGCACTATATTGTTGGTCCCTTTGTGAACATATACATGACCGAGAGGTAACTGATAATCGGGTATAGGTGTACTTTGGCATCTCTGCCCCGTTTTCCAGCCTTTCATTGTTCACACCTGCGATCGTCAGTGGTCTAGGATATTCGAATCTGCAGGCGCAGCTCATGACGGTGCCGCCATGGGCTGCCGCCTATGTAGTCACGACAGTCGTCGCTTGGTCCGCCGATCACTTTAACAGGTATGTTGCGTGTCACCCTTCGTGAAAAGAGTGCCATTCGAACTGAACGCAGTCGTGGTCTTCATTCCGCCATCTTTGCCTTTATTGGAGCTATGGGCTTCCTCGCATCTGCCGTTCTCCCCGCCGATGCATATCTGGTATGTAAGCATCCCACCAATTCCCCAGTCTGCTACTGATTGTGTTTGTGGCCAGCATCGGTACGGCTGTCTCGTGGTCGCAGCGAGCGGGTCATTCGCTTGTATTCCACCATTGCTCGGATGGCTGTCGGCCAATATGCGCTCCACAGCCGGAACCGGATTAGCCATTGCGTTAAATGTATCCTTCGGTGCGCCCGGACAGATTGTCGGCGTATGGATTTATAAACCCGACGAGGAGAAAAGGGGCTATCCGACCGGGCATTGGACGAATGCGGCGTTGCTTCTGATGGTCACTGCAGGATGTATTCTGCTGCGATTATACTATGGATGGAGGAATGGACGGACAAAATCGGGGGAGATGTTCGCTTATTGAGTCTGCCTATAAGTCGAATCTGCTCTGTGGTGTGCAGACAAGGTGGCAAACGTTCTTCAAGAATGCAAGACCTTGTCGCACCCACCAACATAATCTTCATCCTCATCCTCGCCTAATCAGTTCCCAGTATCCCGACTCCAGTGGCCAAAAACCAGCTCCACTTAATATTCTTCTTCGGGTCGAGTAAAGATGGTGCATGGGTAAGGACGGGAGGATCGTGAGACCGAGTCATGCTAGGGTGGGAAAGAATGGCAATCAGCTAAGAAAGGACATGAAAGGGATAGCTGGGCGGGTCTTAAAGGACGGAACTATCGAACTTACCGATTTAAGACGATAGGAGTGAGAACGTGAAGGGGCCATGGCAAAGATAGTGCTGGGGACTAGACGGGCAGTAAATGAATGATTGGCATGGAACCATGGAACCGGACAGACGGCGGCGGCAGCACGTGAGGGCGGGCAAAATAAGGTTAAGCTCAGGGCATGACGGGCGGCCAACAGCTTAACTGAAGTGATGCCATCGCAGCAGTGAGCAGTGACCACTACTACCCACTACCCACGCCCATCAGCTCAAATTCCAGGGGTTTGGGTGCTGTGGATTCCGCCCCCTCTGACAAACTCCCCGACTGGCGGTGGGACCTCAGGCACGCCTCTCGTCTTTTACTTAGCGCTGGCTGGGCATGGACTTATGAGCAGGTCAGCAGCCAGTGAGCTAAGGACCCAAAGAACCAAAAGAAAACAATAAAAAAAAAGAAAATAAGAAAAATGAAGTACTCATGTGAATTGAATTTAATTGCAAAAAAAAAAAAGAAAAAAAGAAAAACTCCACTGCACATGGATAGTATCTACATCCTCGTGTAGTGGCTATTCCAATCAGATACTGTCTCATGAAAGTTCCACGGTCTCATAAGACCATAAAAAGTTAATTCCAAAATTCTCTCGACTCCGGCCCGAAACGCGCTCGGTGGAAATTTTTTTTCTCTTTTTGGGGGTTATTTGTTCAGGACTCATCTGGCCACGGCAAACCGCCTCTTCTCCACACCCACGATTGCCCGTCCGACATGCCCGAGCAAGGTACCGGCCAGATGGCCCATCAAAAGTGAGAAAGGTCCTTGATGAGTTGCTGCAGTCATGAATGGAAAGAAAGAAAGAAACTCAAAACCAGGTCGATAAAATGTCAAAGTCACACACACATCAAGAGTATCTGTTCTGTCGTCCTAATTTATTCGGTCAGAGTCCGGCTGTCAGTTAGAGGGAACAGACACAGGTACACAGCTGGGCTGTGAAATGCGCCCGCTGCCCGAGAACTGAATCAAGCCAGCACAATCCGACAATCCGAGCAGGACCCGCCAGGAAGACTGCAGAACAGACTTGGGCCAGGGTTTATCCGTCGAACGGCAACCCCCCTGCCCGCGAGAGAAAATCCCAGCCATGTCCACAAGTGCATCCATGCCGCTGCCATACCATTCTGCGTCGGGAGAAGAAGAGCCAAATGAATAGAGCGAAACGAAAACTGTCGACATCCGAAATGTTGTACATATCTGCGAGACCCGAGGAATAGGCATCAATCCGGATGGCGTCGTACATAACGTGCAGGCAGAGCATAAGCCGGGAAAGACGAAAAGCGAGAGACAAGGAGACAAGGGAATAAGGGCCGATCTTCCAGTAAGCATCCAGACAAGTGCTAGAAATACAACCTCTCCACCGCTATCAACCACGCAAGGGAGGCAATGCCTTGACGGCTACCTCGGCCGCATCTTCATAGGCATTGTTTGTACCATCGTAGAAATACCGCGCCGAAAATGTGCAGACATACAAAGTGCTGGGGTGTTGAACTGTGACCGAGGTGGACCAAGCCGTGCGACCTCCTGGAAAGCGACACACCCGTCAGTAACCAGTCCTTTGCTCGAACTTGGGAAATTCAAAAGTCGGTGAAGAGGAGAGGCCGACTCCACCCTTTCAAACACACCGTGGGCAACGGTCCAGAGCCGGGAAGGCCGTGGCAGACCAACACGAGGGGAAGGGCCGTCGAGAGCCAGTAAAGAAAAGGGTATGACGCTTACCTCGACGATCGGAAACGAGATTGTAGACCGGGTCGTTCACTTTGGCTTGGGAGCAGTAATCTTCGAGAATCAGGGTTAGTTGACAGAAGAAGGGGCCGCCGCCACGACTAAGACAAGCGCAGAGGGAGATTGCAGCAGAGTGGGGCATACCTTTCAGTTTGTCCTGCCATTTCGTGCTCTCCTTCGCGGGCTGCGAGGTGGCCATGTTGGAGGAGGGTTAAGGTTAAGCCTTGGGGTCGAGTAGGGTAATGGCTGGGACGGTGGATAGGTTCCTTTCACCCAAGTAAAGGACGAACAGGAGATCTGGGCAGGCGTCGATATCCCACAACTGATGGAGAACAAGCACCCACACGGCAGTACTTGTCCCTGGATAAATGGAAATATGGAAAGGAATTCAACCACCACGTCAATGGGCTATCAAGTCCTGGGGTAGATGGGAAGGATGAAAAACTTCAGATGGTTTTTTTTTTTCGTCTTCTGCTTGACTCGCTTTGGATTTTTGAACTCGTCTGCCCTTTCAATCGAACAGCGTCGATAGTCCTGGGAAGCGGGGAGTCATATAAACTGTGGGCCATCCCTCAAAACCCCAAAATGTCACTGTGCAAGCAAGACCAGTTTGGCGTGACAAACACGGAACCTAATCATCAAACCTAACGTACGGGCTTATGCATGCCGGTGTGGACATGGCACAGTGTCAGCAAATTTCCCCCCTCCCTATTCTCCTCCACTCAAGGAACGCCAGTTCCATGGAGTACATGCGGATCATTCTTGAGGCTGCAAGCTGGAACGGGCCGGCGCACGCCGATTGAATGTGTGCCCTTGAAGAAACGCCAGAAGACAGGGAATAGGACCGCTAGTCTCCACACAGGCCAGATCTACTGACGGACAGGGGAGAATCCAAGACAAGGAGCACGCTGTTGTACAAGGGAAAACTATGTTGGTTCGCAACCAGTTTGTTGGCCAACTCAGAAACCGCCCGACCTGCCGGCATCGTGGCTCGAATTCTGCTCTCCTGGTCCGCGGGCGATGTATACATCGGGTACGAACAAGCCACTCGCCTCATGGACGCTCTTCAGGAAAAGGAACCGCCCCTTCTGGAAAACATGGGACCGTCGAGGGGGGGCGCCCTAGTTGCCCAAAAGCGGAGGAGGACCCATAGGCCGAATTGCGACGAATCGAAGCCAGAAGCAATTTTATGTCGACCAGTTGGGCCACTCAGAGGATTGGAAGCGGGCCCAGAGACCACAGTGCCAGCTCATCAAGGTCTCGAATCAGAAAATCTGAACGGTGCCAATTTTAAGCCCATCAATTCTCCTCAGCCCTAGAACGAAACGGTCACAGACCGGGCCGCTCTGCATGAGTACTTGCTATCGGAATGGGGACTGCAGATTCCAGGGTGGCCAGAGCTTGCTCGAGGCCTTCGTTATTGTCTGGCAGGAAACCTTCAGCAGGGGTTTAGAACGCTAAGAGCTGCCCACGGCGATGAAGCGCCAGCTTGTGCATCTGGGAATCCCTCTGCGGGAGACACAAATTGCCAGCGAAGAGCGAGCTGGGTCTGCTTGACCCAGGCCATTTTCCGGCAGACAAGGTGCCATGATTCGTTGCTTTCTTCTGGCATTGTGTTGGGCATTCATACGTGCAGCATTCACTTAATCGTCCTCGCTTCCAGCATGCGGTTGCTTGCAAACTAGGAAGAGGTTCATTGGCAGCAGCAGTGAAATCGTGGGAAGACGATGAAGAACCTGCATAAGCAAGCAAGATTGATAACCAGCGCCAAACAACGGGGAAGGCTGGAACGCTTCCACGAACCGCTTTTCGAGGCGGCAGCCAAACCGTTGATTCGACGCGCCGCAGCATTCTGGCGACGAGCCTCGATCTGCCCCGCATCGGCCTCAGGCAAGCTTAATTTGAGGGGGAAGGGGGGCCAGAAGGGAAAAAGAGGGAGAAATGATGGGAGGAGATTCATAGTAGTCAATTCCCAGATGTTCCCCAAAAACTATCCCCAAAGTAGAAAAACGAGAGGAAAAAAAAAAAAAAAAAGGAATAAAAGCCCCCTCAAAAAAAAAAACAGAACCGACGCCAAAATAGGAACCCCCCCCTTGTCTACTACCATCTCCCCCCGAACATTCCTCTTTAGTACAACACCAGAGTGACCCAACTCCGGTAAGATTCCCTTCATTGCCCTCCCTACATCCGTCGGAAATGCAGCATGGCCCTGATCAGTTTCCAAGCCTCGCCCGATCATGCGTGCTGGCTCCGGTTCCCATCTGATCTGGCCCAGACCAGGGGTACAAGTCAGGCCGACAAGGACGAACTATAATCGCGGGCCAGGTTCCCCGGCCGAGACAGCAGCAAGACAGCAGCAAGACAGCTAGCTAGCTGGTAATCTAAAGTAGGGTGGCTAACAGTCTTAGGTTCATGATACGGAGAGTACATGCATCGGCCCCCAAGTGACATGCGCAAGCGCCACCCCAACATCCATGTTGATCATAATCCAAAATAGCACCAGGTATATGCCAGCATAGCAAGGTGAGGCTGAAACAGGCAGCCAACCCAGATAACTAACTACAGACAGCGCCCTCCCCTTCAACCGAACCTGTACGACCCTCCGGTTCCTGTTACACATCATCGCAAATCATGCCGGACTGAACTTCCGGCAACCGCCCAAATGTACCACCCCCATGCTCAAGAACATAAGCACCCAGATCCCGAGCCAACCAAAAATCAGAACATCATCATATGCGGTCGTTAACGTCGTTAGAGCCAAGTGGTCGGCTGGCGACCCCTGTCAATGGACCGCCGGCGGTTGCAAACCGGTCTTCCCCCTCACCACGATGGCATGACGTGTTGCCGCCGTGTCGCTTTTGCCCTTCCGGTTATCTTCCATCCACAGCCTATCGTTCTCACGCGGATCCTCGTCGGTGTAACACTTCATCAAGAAACCGCCGGGGGCCCATGAGCTCGATGCTTTTTGACAGGGTTGACCGCACCGGCTGGATGAACTGGGAATGTTTCCTCGAGTGCCATCGGCGCCGGATGCAATCATCAACTAGGGACGTCAAGCCTGTGGCCACAATCACACTGTACACTAGTCAGCCTCAAACTCAAAAAGAAGGCCATCGACCAGACTAAGGAGAGGGGTTCTTACTCGGCAACGTCAGGCATCGTCTCATACACAGACGGGTCGCTGATCCACATGGATGACGGTGGAATCCATCCTCCCTTTTTCTCTTCCTCGGCCGCTTCCATCGGGGTCAATATCTCCGGCACAATATGAGCGATAGTCTTGGATGTGCGTGTGTTGACCAGATGATAGGAAACTTCTCGCAAGTCCCCCTCTTTCCGACACTCACGCCTCCATTGGTACCTTGTCGACCAATATTCAAACTCATGTCGCTTCGAGAGCCCGGCGCCTCGGCGCCTTAGCTCCACATGAGCATAATTGGAAAACTCCAGTAACGTGTTATCTGTCAGCACAAATTGGCGATCGCCACCGCTCCTGTGGTCTAGATGCTTGTCATCAAAAAATTCGTCATCATCCTCTACCGATTTGTACCCTGAGTCCTGGCGCCTATGTTCGTGGCCAGGCAACGATCCGTGGCCACTTGATCCTGGTCGCAAGCTAGCCAGCACACTACTCCACGACCGTCGAAAGACCGGATGCCTGTCGAGACTTGATGCCACAGGTCTTCTTTCTGAGTGGCACACCTCGCGCCCCGAGTCGCGACAGTAGCGTCGGAAGGAGAACTTTCTCGAGAACAGGTCGTACATGCGCAGATGGAACAAGGTTACGTCTTGCTGATAGCCACCCCTCTGCGGCACCATCGTGTCGATGCGGAGGTTCATGTTCCCGTCGAGGGTCGCATCGTCGTGCCGAATCAGGAGCCGCCGAGAGGAGGGGAATAGCTGCCCAAAGGTCGAAGGGTTGGAGGGAATGACGTCGGTTGAGAAAATGTCCAACTTACGATCGATTACCTCGTAGCGCGGAGTCTCGGGGGGTTCATCATCGGATGGGATGGTGGATGTGTAGGTCGATACTGAGGCTTTAGGGTCTTCTTCGTCGTAGAAGTCCATTCCGACTCTCTGTATGGGGGTGGGTCGATCGCTGTAGATCGTAGGGGCCGTGCTTTTCGAGCGTTCCGAGACATCGCTGGTAGTGGAACTGGAGCTACCAGCGGCCCTCGAACCATTCTGATATGACGATGCACTGTAAGACCCCATGACGGCGCTAATGTGATAGGAAGCTGTCAGATAGGTTATGAAGCGACAAAAGCAAGCGATCGCGCAAGGATGGTGGCGTATACTTGGGTATCGTGTTCTCCGGTCAAGACTCCAGAGATGGATTTCGATACCCGAGCCGATCCGGCAATATCGCTTAATCCTAATTAAGGCAAGCCTGGGGGGGATTGCATAGGAGGGAGGGATGAGGGGGATAGCGAGTCAAGCACACAGGATGAAGTAGGGGTAATATGTATTCCAACCATAGCCTGATCTCGTGGTGCAAAAAAAACGCTTGGTTCCGCGCAGGGGCCCTGGCAGCCCAAGATCCAGTAGATCCAGTAGGAGATGTAATACGACGAGCACCAGACCGCAATAATGAGGCAAAACCCAGGAGCAAGATAATTTAGTCAGATGGAGAGAGGGAGGGGAAGGGGGACTCCGGGCGGGAGGGACAGGATGGCTTGGAGAAACAACACGGGTTGCTGATAATAATAGTTAGGAGTCGTAACCGTGACAAAGGGCGAGCAATAATCCGAGGTCAGGCTGGCTGCTAGAACTACCTAAGCCTTGGAACGATCCGAGAGGAGGCAAGCAACTGAATGGAGGGAATGTGGAAGGGGCCGCGGATCATAGCAGATGACGCCAGGCTTGAAGCACAGGCACTGTTTCATCGACCGAGATGGCACCCGGCGTCCTACAATAGACAGTCGAGGCAAATGCGCGTGGCGCAGGACATCCGTCGCAAGTCACAACGGAGGGCGATGGACCAAAAGGTCGGGAATTGAGTGAGGATGGTAAAAGCCTGGGGGAGGCAGCCACGTTGGCCGACTGACTTGGCCATCCATCCATCCATCCATCGTCTTTCTCACCCTGTCCGCATTCTTCTTGTTGGTTGACCCGGTGGGCTTGTCTTTGCTTTTCGTTCAGCAAATAATAAGAAAATAACGATAATAATAATATTAATAACAATGATTAAAAGAAAAATGGAAAAAAAATAAATAAATAAAAGACGGGATTAAAGTTTGTCAAATTCAAATTTAAATTCAAAAAAAAAAGTAAATAAAAATAAAAACAAAAAGATCCTCTCCTACGATAATGCTGGCAATCCCCTCGTTGTCTTCGGAATCAGCAGATGATTTCCCCTCCAGGCAGGCAGGAAGGATCAGCAAGAATCCTACGTACAGCCTCGATCCAACTCGGACTGACACCTCGGCCGACGGTAATGCGGCTACCAAGTGATAAATAGCATTGATTCAAGTCAAGCATCGTCAATGCTCTCATGGCGACAGCTAGATACCTACCTACATCATCAGCCTGGCTTGGGCGATCCACCGCGGCTTTGCCTTGCCCATTATGCCTTACTCCGACCGCCGCGACCATGGAGCTCTAGAATCCTACTGATATTCGTCTAGGCTGCCTGTTTTGAGTCACCCTTCCCTCCCGAAGGCATTCCTCGGCGGACTTGTTAGCCAGTGTGGTGCGTTGAGGATATTCTCCGAAACTCCATGGTGCGGACATTTCCCGGCGGCCGTCGTAGCCCAGGACAACCAAAGCCTGTCTACCGTACCTATCTATCTACTATCTAGCTTACAGTATTTCCGTGGTCGCAGAGAAAGGCCGGCGGAAGACACGATCCGACGCGGATTGGACGTTGTCCCTGCAGGGAATCTGTGACTATTCGGTCGTTTCGCACGCGGTGTTGGCTGGAAATTCACCTTGACCGAACGCTAAATGGAGAATTGCCAACAACCCAATACCAGGCACTTAATCTACTTAGCTTTTTTCGCTGCAGTCTGGAAGCAGTCTTTCACTTCCGGAAAAAGGGAAAAAAAGGACCAGCACGGAAAATACCGATGACCGGTCATGTCTATAGATCGATCTGATCGATGCCTGATGAGTGACCCAATGATTAGGACACATCACGTACGGTACGGAGTACCGTGGAACAAACTGGAGGCCGGATCGGACCGAATGGATAGTCAGTGCTCTCGCTCACTGGACAGAGTCTGTGTGGTCTTGCCACAAACCCGGTCAAGATGTGTAGGAGTCGTGCAACACCTCCCTCCAATATACAGACTATCATCGGCGGTGGGAGACGACGTGGGGAGATGGATTCCGAACTCGGGGTTCTGTGTTGTCCTCCCACCCAAACTCAAACACAATCCTGAACCCTATCCCGGTTTCCCTCCTCGAGGATCCCCACTGATAATGGGGCCTTAAGTGGGGTGCGGTCAGTGCCCTTGCCTCGCTTGTGTCCGGCATATCTACACTCTACCTACCTACCTGTACAGAGTCAGTCCGCCAGCCAGCCAGATGGCTCGACATTCCAGAGCCAGGTAATGGTTGTTGACAGGAAATGGTGACACTAGGCCCAGTTCCCCCAGGCATCCGTGCATGTAACTCAAACCCATACCTACTCATTGCCAGGAACCTGGTGGGTGCTTCCATCGCCTTCCTACTATTAGTTCCCCCGGCTCCCTAACCTGGTAAGTGAACAGTAGATGATACCCAGTCCCTTGCACCATACATATGATCTGCTGTTGCAGAATACTGTGTAAACAGAAGTACTACATGCCTCCCGAGTCTACGTCAATCATTGTTTTCTAAACCTCCCAATATTCTCCTATGCCGCGCCCACGCTGTCAACAAAGTCATACCATCATGATCATCATAATCCCCAAGGACAGCCTTTACTTAGCGGACCATCTAGACCCCCAAGGCCACCGGACCGACCGATAATAGATAGTGGATCAATGCGAGCTGACGGCAGTGGGTGGTACAGGAATACAATGGCACTTCTGCCTTGGTCAATCAGCATGGGGTGACTTGGCTGGTATGTGCCCCTACGTCACACATACACCCCCCTCCCCGATATACATCACAATTATCACATCTGCCTGATATCTCATGTATGACAATTGATATATCATGACCCCAATGGGGTGCCATGTTTCTTAGTGCCTTGATCCGGGGCAATGACTTGCAGGGTCCTACAGGCATTCCACTATGTGGAGAAATCAGGCCATACTGTACGGAACTCTCTTCGATGCCCAAGGCTGCCATCATACAATGCCATACCGGCACCAGTCGAGTAGTTAGCATAGACTCGGCTTACCTAGACAATGTGCACATTCCCTTTCATCACTCTGATCGTGGATTCACCCCGAGCCTAGATGATGTGCTAAGGCATTTCTCGAACAATGACAATCCTTGTATCCATTGGAAGTACTCCGTAGACACCCCCGGTCCGGAGTCTGTACAACCCTCAGCCGACACGACTATCCGGGCATTTAAGATTCAAGATGCGACCTGGACGCCAGACGTAGACACTTGATGCTCTGAATCGACGGTACAGGGAAACCTTTACTGTTGGAGACACTCCTACCAATATGCCATATGTTAAATGCTGGTCAGTAAGTCGTCTTTGACTCTTCGTATACGTTGGGAGCTGAAAGCGTGTTTGGGATACTCTACGGGTGCGTCGGTAGCACCTTTCCCATTTACCCGAAATCAATCATTCGTCTATCCGACAACTCCAGGACTAGACACACACACTTCCTATTACATGGAGTATTACAATCAACCCAAAAACCTACCCTGGAGCCGGTGCAGCATGGCTCTATGAATCGTGAGACTCTAGATCTAGATGTGATCTAGATCATGAGATATTGGTCCAATGGCTTACACCTGCATCCAGAGGGGTCGAGGCAGCTCATCGCCGGGCTGGATCATGGCTTCCTGACGGCAGACCTTTGACCCAGCCGGCTGGGATACCAGTCCTGCTAGACTGCCTGGGGTTGGCGGATAGAATCCAACGTAAGCCTCACGGCGGGCAGGTTCCCCCACGGTAACAGACCAAGTGTGCAAGCCGTAATAGGATGCGATCGAATGGACAAGCCAGCGACTAACGGGAGGCATAGAGTGAGTACAGGCTCAATGCCTTGGAAGGACGATGGCACTTACCCGAACCCAGCGGCCCGGTCATCGACTAGGCTCTCGAACACCATCTTTTCCCCATCACGCTCATTATGAGCACTCATCGCGTCACGCATTTTTTGCAATCTTGCCTTCCGTTGCGGCGAATCATGCATCAGACCGTTTCTCCCCACAAACACTACCTCGTCCTCGGAATCATCGTCAGATGATTGGGGAGCGTCCGCCAGACCCTCCTGCTTTAGCAAGAGCTGTTTCTCGTTCCATCGTTGGATGAAGTGTCTGATATCCTCTTCTATGTCCTGAAGTATGCCGCGTGCAGCACGCGCATGCTTTAGTTTCTGGCGGAGCTCCTTGGGAACGCGGTGCTTCTCGGCCCTCATCTCTGCCGTCTGCTTGGACGAACTATGGTCGAGATGCGCATAATGGGTATCCCAAAGCGGTGCAAGGTAGTAAGGCATGGGGTTGTGACGAGTGTGGGTCGCCTGGATGTCCCAGTCCTTGGAAGAAGGCGGCTCGACCCAGGGATTATGCAGGAGGCGATCTTGAGAAAGAAACACAGCCTGTCAGCATCTCTTAACCGTAATGATGAAGGGACGCCAGGCTCCGGAAGGAGTGGATTGCCAGTGCATGGCGTGTATCCAATATCTTAAGACATACCGTTCTCCCAACGCTGTCTGCGACGACTACCGTCCTTCCCCTTCAACAGGGCCTCCCGTCTTTTTAGACTATCGCGGCGCATCAGCTCGCGGCGTCGGAAGGTCACCGACGCCACCTGCGTCTCCTTTGCGGTCTGACCTAGAAGCCTGACCTTAGCTGCGGAAGGGCTGTCGGTAGTCGGTACTGGGTCATCCAAGGGGATCGATAACGAGACCGTCGCTCCGCGCAAGGCGGTGCGCGTAGGGGTGGACTGCGAGAAGGAGACATTCTGATCACCGATCGGTACTGACTCCGAGAGAGTCAGGGTCTCCAAGGATGCAGCCGCTTGCTCAGTCCATGCCGAGATGGCTCGAGCCTGCTGTGGCGAGAGGCTTCCTCTCGGGTCCACTTCAGATGGGAAACTCGGATGAATGGCCATCGCGAAAGTGCAACGCGGTCCGGTCTCGATAACGGGGATAACGAGTGGGCGAGATGGACAGGGGAACCTGGAGATTGGAGGGTGGCTAGTCACACAGAAGGCGTAACAGCATAAGGCGAGAGTCTAAGGTACTCCAGGAAGGGATCACTAGAGGCAATGACTTCTAAGGGAAGACCAGGGGTCGGGGGGAGGCGGGGGACGAAGGGAAACCAGGGTGAGATAAGAGGAGATAACCAACTGCAGTCCGGTCGCGTTCGGCGGTCGAGGCCGGGACAGAACGGAACTGTGTAAGCGCTGAGAGATTTCAGATCCACCAGTTGACTCGCACTGGGGCACGAGAAGAATCAATCCCCTCTTATTGGATGTTTTTGGCGCTTACCCTAGCCCTACCTGCCTTAATGGGAGCCGAGCCAGGGGCCTCCTGTGAGTCATCGTGACCGCGACTGGCTCACTGATTCGCGAGCCAATGATTCACGCGACGGCGGTTATCCACTTCACCGCTGTGGTGATGTAAGTCCCTCGCGCCTTGGAATCTTATCTTCTTCTAGGTAGTAGGTACCGATGGCCCGTCCAGGCCTGAATAGAAAGGCATGGTACCTTGGGATCAAGTGGAGTGCATTCATAGTATGGATTACTGGACCGGATAATTAATTGCATGTTATTCAAGCCATGTCCAAGGACGAATGAAGGAACAACTACACAATGGTCTCGAGATCAACATGCCTGACCGTGTTCCGTCATGAGGCACGGGCAAGAGGAGCTTGCTTCCATCCTTTCTCATGTGAACACGGTGCCCTGTGCGGAGTACTACATAGTATATATGTCCCTGATGTATTATTGGAACTTGGAAGTGCCCATAGAGCGGGGTATCCCAATTCAAGCACCACCGATGAGCATACACAGTATTAGGCCATGTGGCAATGTAAAATAAACGAACATCCCTCCGAGTCGATAAACAGAAGGCAATCCCGGTGAGTTGCTGGGAGCCGGCTCAGCGGATAAAGCAATTAATCAACACCTCGATCCTGCGAACGGAAAGTTGTTGCCTGAATTCCTGCCGCGGGGCTTTGACATGGGTCTATGATATCAACCTATTGTTGAATGTTGGGATCCTTATCCACAGAGGGCTTGGGGGCTGGTTCGCTGCAATGACCCGGGTTCAGGTAGGCTACACGGCCCCGTGACGGTCGCACGACGGCTTGAGGATACTATCTAGTACTTACTATACGGATTTGTTTAGACGGATCCTATCCACCACCATCGAGATTTGCTTGACCATGTCCAACTCCAAGGACTGACTGACCGAGATGGCCCGTCACATCTCCCCGAAGAAGTACACAGTAGATACGTATCTAGTGCCAGTGCTTCCTGGGAGACAACCCCGCAGGGCGGCTAACGTGCCTTGATTTCAATCCAGGAACCACTGGGTACCTATCAATAATATTCTACGGCTCCAAGCCATGTCAGGCCATCTATCAATCGTGCCGACCAGAGGATCAGAGGGTAGGACGGGGTCCTACAGATAGACTTGGCGGGCGAGGGCCTGCTGAGTTGTGCGATCAGCGCGTGTTCTTATTTAAGCCGCGCGCGCACCTCTGACGCAACTGTCTCAAGGGGTCTCCTCGTCTCCTCCTCTCCTCCTGCATATTCGGCCGCACCCCATTCGAGTGCTTACCCTGAGTTTCATCAGAGCAGTCCCTGGGTCGTGTCCAACCTGGAACCCCCAATTCCTCGCCCGTGTCTTGCTCAGCTCTCGGCCTTTCGCCCCTGGAAGCCTTAACAACTGTCGGCAGCTGTTCGGGCGGGCAACCTTACACTCCTCATCTACGGTGCAGAGGCTCATCAGCATCAGCAATACCACTCTCTTTCCATCATTCTCACACCTTCCTCAATCCTTTTCATCGGTAGATCTTCGTAGGCAACATGAAGCTTTCCATAGCTCTTGCACTGGGCGCAACCGCTGCCACCGGGGCGTTGGCGGCCGTGCTACCACAGCAAGAACCGCTGACAACTCCCCAAGATCCCCCGGTCCACCATCATCAAGAAAGGTTCCTGATTGAGCTGGCTCCTTATCAAACAAGATGGGTAACTGAGGAAGAAAAGTGGGCTTTAAAACTGGTATAGCATCATTTTACTGCTCGTTAACGTTCAAATTCTCTTGGCATATTAAAGCATGCTAATTACTGTGGATACTGCCTTAGGATGGTGTTAACTTCATTGATATTACTGAAGAGCGGAACACTGGGATTTATTCAACTTTGCATGCTGGCAGTTACGTTCACTATCCGCCGACGATGGAGCATGCGGATGCGGTGGTTGGCCTTCTGCGGGACCTGTCCAAGGATAACATGAAACAGAATCTCGAGAAATTTACCTCATTCCATACTCGCTACTACAGGTCGGCGACTGGTATCGAGTCTGCGACGTGGCTATACAACAGAGTTTCCGGTGTCATTGAACGGTCGGGTGCAGCGAAGTACGGCGCGACAGTCGAGCAGTTTGCTCACCCTTGGGGCCAGTTCAGCATCATTGCTCGAGTTCCGGGCCAGACTAATAGAACGATCGTTCTGGGCGCTCATCAGGACAGCATCAATCTGTTCCTTCCTTCTATCCTGGCGGCTCCTGGTGCTGATGATGACGGAAGTGGAACCGTTACTATCCTCGAAGCTTTGCGTGGCCTGCTGCAGTCAGACGCCATTGTTCAGGGCGAGGCCCAAAACACAATCGAGTTCCATTGGTATTCGGCAGAGGAAGGTGGTATGTTGGGCTCGCAGGCTATTTTCTCCCAGTATAAGAGAAATAGGCGAGATGTCAAGGCGATGCTTCAGCAGGACATGACGGGCTATACTCAGGGGGCTCTAGATGCCGGTCGCCAGGAAGCCATTGGAATCATGGTTGATTACGTTGACGAAGGCTTGACGCAATTCCTCAAAGACGTCACCAGCACAGTAAGTCTTTCATCACTCATCAGAATTTGGGTAGGTCTTTGACTAACGAGCCCGGTCAAAGTATTGTGGCATTGGTTATATTGAAACCAGATGCGGTTACGCCTGCTCCGATCACACGTCGGCAAGTAAATACGGATATCCTGCGGCGATGGCAACCGAGTCCGAAATGGAGACCAGCAGCAAGAGAATCCACACGACGGACGACAGAATCAAGTATCTAAGCTTTGATCATATGCTGGAGCATGCAAAGTTGACACTCAGCTTTGCCTATGAACTGGCTTTCGCCTCATTCTAATATTCTTGCATGAGCTTTCATGTTGATTTAGGACTGAATGAAGCATTTAAGGCCCGGACGAGACGGGGTATAGAGCCATATCGTGCATGTCTGATTCGTCTCGATACTGATTATGTAGAACGACAACACCCTCGTTCTTGTTGACAGAATAATGACCACAATATTACAAGTTCCTTGCAACTGATCCCTCCTATCTATCATGGGCTGGGAAAGCTCCGAGTAAATTTGGTCTGCGTAGAGATCCTTGAGATGCTTTCTATGAGGATAAGAGGAGGCCCGATAAGATAACCAACCGAAAGATCCGGCCATACCCAACTGAGACACACTAGCCCGAAGCAGAAGGACGGTCACTCCGCCGGGCGATCACTTTCACTGGCTTCATCTTCGAGTCACCCATGTCCCCATTTCATTTCGTCATTCACAATTCCTCCTATACTCTTTGCAGTGTTCCTCCCCGAACCAACTCCATATTCATTCCATCTCTCACCTACTTTCAGCGCGACTGAATCCGCACCGAAGCTCATCCATCCACCCCTTATCATACGTCACCAGCGGTGTGCCCCTCCAAGAAGACCCCACAATCAGACCTTGGACCCGATAATAATCGTGTGCGCTCCCGAGAGAGGTTGCAACGTCCTTCCCGAATTCAAAGCACTGTTGAACTTTGAGGCGACCTGACTGGGAAGCCCAATTGAGACAAATTCTGCAGGGATCCCTGTGACAAGAATCAGAGCATTTTTCTGAAAAGTCAATCTCTTATCGAGTGGTACGATACATCTTGCTACCATGGAATCAACCGATCCCTACGCCAAGGAGCTTCAGATCGCGTGTCTGACCGTCCAGAGAGCTACACTCTTGACGAAAAAGCTACTGGAAGCTGTTGATAAGGGCTCATTCGACAAGAATGACGACACCCCGGTGACAATTGCCGATTTCGCTGCGCAAGCACTGATTATTGCCGCCATCCACCGTGCTTTCCCTGACGATGTCTTCGTGGGTGAAGAAAGTTCAGATGCCCTTCGAGCTGACCCTGCTCTCCTCGAACGCACATGGGAGCTGGTCTCTTCGACTCGCCTTACGGATGAGGAGAGTGAGGCACTACTCTACGCCCCAAGCAGTAAGGAGGAAATGCTTGACTTGATCGACTTGGGAGCTCAGGGTAGCTGTAGTAAGCAAACTCGCGCCTGGGTTCTGGATCCAGTTGATGGTACGGCGACCTTTATACACGGCCAGCAGTACGCTGTTTGTCTGTCTTTGGTAGAGAACGGATACCAGAAGGTCGGCGTCTTGGGCTGTCCGAACATGAACCTGAGGACGGGTCGCCTACACGAAGAAATCGTCGATCGGGATGGTTACGGGCATCAAGTGTTTGCCGTTTCTGGACAAGGCGCATTCATTCGGAAAATGGGAACAGGGGCTCTTCTTCCCTTGAGCAAAATTGAGCCCAAGGCTCAGATCACTGACCCTAAGGATATTGATTTTGTGGATTGCTTGAAAGCGACATCATCCAACACGGACATGCATGCCCGCCTTGCATCTTACCTGGGAGCACCGTGGCCAGCATCAACAGATCTCTGGGCCGCGCAGCTGCGGTACATCGCCATCGCCGTGGGAGGCTGTAATGTTATGATCAAGATTCCGCACAAGGCATCTTATCGATCGAAGATCTGGGATCACTCGGGCGGCATGTTGATCGCTGAAGAGCTCGGTTGCACTGTGAGCGACCTGGCGGGTAATCCGGTCGACTGCAGCCTGGGAAGAAGTCTGGCGGAGTGCTACGGGATGATCGTTGCGCCTTCGTCCATCCACGGCAAGATCGTGGAGGCTGTGAAACAGATCATGTAAGACACAAGATAAATGGCTAGTCCGGGGTCAGGGTTGGCGGACGAGCTGTCTTACGGTCCCCACTTCCCATTTTTGCCTTTTGCGGGCCCTTGGCTTTCATATACGGAGTTAAAGGAGGAAAGACTCCAGACTATGCCCTCGCTGCGCAGGCCCCAGGTGGATTGACAGAGCAGTTCTTGCGCATAAACCGAGACTATGTCGTCAGGCTGCAACATGACGAACCAGACTCCAGACAGTATCTATGTGGATACATATCCATGAAAGCACATTCGCATTTCGTCGGGTCACTGGCGGAAGAGACACTTGGCTGCGTGCGCCAACAGGACCGTGCGCTGATCGACAACGTGGGGATGACGGTCAACGACATCAGAGAATCGCAGAGGGAGGACACGTACTTTTATAATGCGTTCTGTTCGCATTTTGACCATTGTTAGCGTTGATAGGGTTCTGATGCTGGAAAAGGATTGATACCTTCCAGGATGATGTCATAGATCCGAGTCGTCACCTCATTATTGTGCCACAGAGACCCACCTACAGTAGGATCATACCTCCCAAAGTAGACAAGGCCCAGTAGTAGACGAGAGAGAAGAACAGGGAGGACGACTAGGACGACGCATCACGACATTCGGAAGGGCGGCAGTCCCGTGATGGCCGGGAAGCTGGCCAGTGAGAAGACGACGCGCCGGTCAGGAGATCAGGCAATGCGGGGGAGCTTCTTCCAAATCCATTCCTCCCAACAATGACATCTTCCAGTCGGCGTCGGAGTAGCTACACAATAATATAACCGCATGTCCTCCCCCCTGGCCTGGTCCAGAGCTGGCTCTCTCTGCCTCTAGGCATTGACTCTTTTTTCATCTACCTTGGCCATCCATTCTACGCCCGGTCGCAGCTGTTTGGTTCATTAGTTATGGCAACCTGTGAGCCCCTCTTCCTTAGCGTCTTTTAAAGACCCTTTCGCACGCAACATCCTATCCCTGACTAATATCTGACTTCCAGATAATCCGTTCGCCAAGCGAGAGTCGCATGACAGGTTCTCGCTCGGAACCTATCGCGTTCTCGTCCCTTTATCGTGGGCGCTCGTCGTGATCGTCGGCATTTATTATTCCAGCCATGCCCCCGATGTCAAGCACGGTCATACCATCTGGAAGCAGGCCAACAAGCATATCACCCCCTTTAGCTTGAGCACTGTCATTGGTGGTATCTATTGGTAACTACCCGATCTTTCTATTCACTGATACCCATCCACCTCCCTCCCCCGTCTTCAACCCGCCCAATAGTATTTTGATTCTTACGCCCTAATCCAGGGTTATTGTACTCCTGTCCCAAGTCGGTTATGTGTATCACCTCTTTTCCAATGACGCTGTAGTGGCCACTGCCGCTGCCAATGTGGGATCGCACTTCATCCTGAATAACTTGTTCATCTTTGCTTGGATTCTCCTGTGGACCCGCAACCACTTCTGGGGCTCAGAGATCATTCTGATCGCACACTTCTTGAATCAAAAGACGACCTACTGGCGGCATCGTACGCTTCCATCTATCTCGCACTTTGCCGTCGTTGCAGCGCCCTACGCCTGGACTTTGATTACGCTGTTCTGGAACGGAGCTGTTGCAGTGAACAGCAACAGCTTGCCGGCCCGGATCGTTGCTAATGTGTTCATCTGGGTGCTTTTCGCATTGGGCTCGGCGCATATCTTAGCCACCCAGGATGACATTCTGGGCTACAGTCTGAGTTTCTTGACGCTGGGTATGCAGTACCATAAAGCTATTCGAGACGCGTGATCGAAATGCTAACAGACGTTTGCAGCATTGGCCGTCAAGCAATTTGGCGTCAAGATAATTTCCCTGCAGTGGATCTTCGCCATTGTCATCTTTGCGGTCTTTTTCGCTGAGTCCATCTATATTACGTTGACGAGGTACTCCGGTCGCAATGTCTTCCTCCGCAGGGCTGAGCAGCCAGCGGCCACAGACCGCGAGAGGGAGCCTCTGCTCAACGAACCAGCACAGTCCGCCTAATTGCAAGGTTTTGAGCCGGCCGTTAACACGGATGCTCGTTAGGAATCACTTGGCATCGGGACCACATTGTATCACCGGATAGTTAGTTCAATGGGCTTAGTTATTCTCAGTTTCTCTCGATATTCTGTACGTTCGAGGTTGTTACTCGCCGCTGTTCTTGGGTATGGTTATGATTGATTGATTGTCCGCAAAACTGGACTCATCGTCTCTTTAGGGTATGTCGGTCAATGGGATATAAAATATTTGGGTGAAATTGGGGTGCAATATCTTTGTCACTTTTGGTTCCTCTAGGGAATTGGCCTACTTCTGTTTTGATTGTTGCTACCTTCATAATGGTCCAATCTATTCAGTATGAATCATGACCAGACTAAGCACATGCAATGTGCACACCAATAATAAATCCAAGTGCCACATATGATGGAAGAGGTGTTGACATGGTAGTTCAAATGCAACAAGTGTTCTTCGCAAAACACATACCCTATCTGCTAGTGCATTGGCTCTGTGTGATGTATTGTATTTTAACTAAGATAAGACGGTTATAGTTTCCAAAAAGACATCCATCCTACCCGCAAAGCATAAAGCATCGCTAAGACAAACATTAGTCTATGCGGTCACACAACTCACTCAGCTGGGCACTGGCTAGTCCTTGCATGTCAACATTTAGCAGAAACAGTTATCTTGGTTGGCATACAACTCAAGACCAACTAACCCTCTTATGTATGTTTTTTTTTCAAGGCCGATGGAATCAGCCAGTATGCTCATGAGTGGGCTGTGGAATATTGCGGCAGGTTGTCATAATCCCAGAATACCACCCTGTGTCATGACAGAGGCTTTTTGGTGCAGTGGTATTGTTACTGACATGGGTGTAAAATGTAGAATATACTATATATCTACTTGATGACTGTGGAATATCGACTATCTATTTACAGGTACAGTCATCCTCACATGGCAAAGCAAAATGGTGCCTGAAAAAGATGGGCGGCGTCGGGCCCACGGAAATGGGCCGGAAATGGACGGGAAACGGAGACACGACCAGAAACCAAACGTAAGGAACAGGAACAACTCCCAGGAACCATTTGGATTCGACCACTGACAATCACTGCTGCGATCAATGAAATCGAGTCCCCGGCCGTGGTGTCTCTCAGCTGCAAGGATGGTCGCCCCCGCCCGCTCCTCCAAGCTTCGGTTGCCCGGGTGATAACCACTCCACGCTGCGCCGTTCGTCAGCGCAGTGATTACGACGGCTTTTAGGCGCCCGTATCCAAGGTGATTTCATAAGAAGACACTGAGGCGAAACTCTGCCCGACCCATTCTTCATCTAGTTTTACGTGTTGATGTTGGTGTGGTTGATCGTAACCTTTGTTTACCACCAAGTTTGAGTTTCGCAACCGAGGTTCCCTGCACTGACGTGCTGCATCCTTTATCGATCGTTTTCCCTATACATTCCGACAGATCTCCAAGCATATTTGGTTTGTTTACGGTACTGCTACCGGACAACCCGTTGCTCTTCTTGATAGTGAGTTACATTCCCCATGACACAATGCAGCAGCAGAGCGGATAGACTAATGACTATCTAGAACTTGCCTCTAGGAAATCGGAAGACCCAGGCAATCGCAGTGCTTTAGGCTGAGATCGTCTTTCAGCTGCCCTCACTAGGACCAACCAAATACCCCAGAGAACGTCTTGTATCACCATTACGTTTCATCATCGGATACTATGAACAATTGAGCGGATACCAGACAACCATGAACAATTCGTCGCGCATGTATGTGTCGGCACACAACCAGGAGGAGGAGCCACCGGCATACGATACTTATGGAGAGGCGGTCTATGACTCTCCTCCGGCACCATCTCGCCTTAATGGGGCCACAATGCGGCTGCTTCCCACCAGCACGACTGTGGAGAGTGATTTAAGCGCGGAGACGGGACCGGCCTCGGAGTATCACTATGGGGATCCTTATACCGATGATGGCAGGTAAGTAATGGCCCATTCCATCTTATCAAGTTCTGTTGTGACCTCTGGCATACCAATGATCCCGTGCGGCATCTGCCATACGGCGTGGGACTCCATACCTCCCCCCCTTGTTGACATTGTCGATGCCATTAAAACCTCGGTCCGGGAAAGCTCAGGTCTCCCAACTGGGAGCTCTCAGGCAGTTCCGGTGCTGTAAACACATAGCATACGTCGCTTGCCTGTCCTGTGTTTGCCATACTCCTGTTTGCATATCGGATGTCTACGGACATCCGACGCAATCCCTTTCACGATGATTTACGAGATGTTTGTTATGAAACGAGAGACTAATTCGCGTGCTCAAAACCGCAGAAGTGAACGCGAACGATACTTCCACTATGACCCGAGCGAGTCTCCTTCACGGCCCATGTCGAGTCTAGGAAACGTACCAACGATCCCCCCGCCAGCAGCATCAACGGTAGATGTCCCACACTATACTTCCCGCCCAGGTTCTCCCGCACGACCTTGGTCACCGAATCGTGTAGGAAACTGGGCCAGACCCCCAGCACCCCCGTCTGTCGCAAGCTCGCAGTATGAACGCGCGGATCTCAACGGCAGTCCACGGCCGGGCACCCCCAGTTCAAGATACGGGGGCAGCCCTAGACGACCGCTGCCGCCGGCACCGCTGTTTTCGGTCCCAGGGGGACAGGATGCTAGCATTCCTATCAATGAAGCAGATGTATTCGGTGGTGGCGGCCGGACAATTGACCCCAGACATGATAACCGAGCCAGCATGCAATCTTTCATGAGCGAATCTACAATCATCGACGAGAAGGATGCAATGTCGAAGATCGATTTGGACGATGGCCTGGACGATGGTCTGGATGAAACCGATGAGATGGTCGACCCTAACATGCATTATGGCCCAGCCCCGGAAAAGCAGAGCCGTCGAGGTGTTCGCGAAGCCCAGATGTCAAGGAAAGAAGTCCAACTGATTAACGGTGAACTGATCTTGGAGTGCAAGATCCCAACTATTCTGCACTCCTTCCTGCCTCGACGAGATGACCGCGAATTTACCCATATGCGATATACGGCGGTGACCTGTGACCCTGACGACTTTACCCAGCGAGGCTATAAGCTGCGCCAGCAGATCGGCACTACCATGCGCGAGACGGAATTATTCATCTGTATTACAATGTATAACGAGGATGAGATCGGCTTCACCCGGACTATGCATGGTGTCATGCAGAATATCACCCACTTCTGCTCGCGATCCAAATCGCGTACGTGGGGTAAGAATGGTTGGAAAAAGATCGTGGTCTGCATCATCGCCGATGGTCGCAAGAAGGTCCACCCCCGGACCCTGAATGCTTTGGCAGCCCTGGGCGTCTACCAGGAAGGCATCGCCAAGAACGTTGTCAACCAGAAACAGGTCAACGCGCACGTCTATGAGTACACGACACAGGTGTCGCTTGATCCAGACCTGAAGTTCAAGGGTGCCGAGAAGGGTATCATGCCATGCCAGGTCATCTTTTGTCTGAAGGAACATAACAAAAAGAAGTTGAACTCGCATCGTTGGTTCTTCAACGCTTTTGGTCGAGCGCTACAGCCGAACATTTGCATCCTGCTCGATGTCGGTACCAAGCCTGCGCCCACCGCACTGTACCACCTCTGGAAAGCATTCGATCGGAATTCCAACGTGGCGGGGGCGGCGGGTGAAATCAAGGCCGGTAAAGGAAAGGGAATGCTCGGTCTCCTAAACCCGCTGGTTGCCAGTCAGAACTTCGAATATAAGATGTCCAACATCTTGGACAAGCCGTTGGAATCGGTCTTCGGCTATATCACGGTGCTTCCTGGAGCGCTCAGTGCGTATCGGTTCTTCGCTCTGCAGAACGACGCTGAGGGCAACGGGCCCCTCAACCAGTACTTCAAGGGAGAAACGCTACACGGACAAGATGCCGACGTGTTCACCGCCAACATGTACCTGGCAGAGGATCGTATTCTCTGTTGGGAGCTGGTCGCCAAGAGGGAAGAAAGATGGGTTTTGAAGTTTGTGAAGAGTGCTGTTGGTGAAACCGACGTTCCAGGTAATTATGACGCTAGCCCTGCCGATGGTCCAGGCCGCTAATATGATCGCTAGACTCGATTCCTGAGTTCATCTCGCAGAGACGACGGTGGTTGAATGGTGCCTTCTTTGCAGCCGTGTATTCGATTGTCAATGCAAAGCAGCTCTGGAAAACGGACCATTCACTGGCTCGGAAGATCCTCCTTCAAATTGAGGGCTTCTATCAGTTCATGCAACTGATCTTCACGTACTTTGGCTTGGTAGGTCCATCCAGCTATTGCCATGCCGGAAACGTCTGCTTACCTTCTCACCACTATCAGGCAAATTTCTATCTCGTATTCTATTTCATAGCTGGTTCACTCACCGACGAAAAAATAGATCCCTTTGGCCACAATATAGGCAAATATATCTTCATTATATTGAGATATGCCTGTGTTTTGGTCATGTGTCTACAGTTCATCATTTCAATGGGTAATCGACCACAAGGGTGAGTTTTCCATGTCGTGATGCGGGTGAATCAAGCTAATCCAACTCTTGCAGTGCCAAAAAGCTATACCTTTCCGGAATCATTGTGTTCTCAATCGTCATGTTCTACACTATTTTCTGCACAGTTTATCTGGTTGTGATCGAACTCATCGCCAGAGCCGGTGGTGATTCGTCATTAACAGTGAGCAATGGACTATTCATAAACATCGTCATGTCGCTGCTCTCCACCGTCGGTCTCTACTTCTTCGCCTCGTTCCTCTACCTCGACCCGTGGCACATGTTCACCTCCTCTGCAGCCTACTTCATCCTGCTCCCCAGTTACATCTGTACCCTGCAAGTGTACGCATTCTGTAACACTCATGACGTGTCCTGGGGTACCAAGGGAGATAACGTTCTCAACATGGATCTCGGTGCCGCGCGAGTGATCAACGGAACCACCGTCGAAGTCGAAATGCCCTCCGAGCAACTCGACATTGACAGTGGATACGACGCCGCGCTCCGCAACCTCCGTGATCGTGTCGAGGTACCCGAGACACCTATCACTGAGAGCCAAATGCAAGAAGACTACTATCGCGCCGTGCGTACCTACATGGTGTCCATCTGGATGGTCGCTAACGTTGTCCTGGCTATGGCCATCTCCGAAATATACGGCCCTGACTCCGGCGGCACCAACATCTACCTCGCCATTATCCTCTGGTCCGTGGTGGTCCTAGCCCTGATCCGTGTGATCGGGTCAACCACGTACGCCGTGCTACTCGTCGTGCAGAAGATCGTCGAAGGAAAGGGCAAATTCGACGCCGGTAATCTCGCCAACATGAGTGCTACCTCAAGCGCGGTCAGTGGGCATAATAGCACGGCGCTCCGGTATGGCGGTGGTGTGAGTATGAAAGATAAATTTTCGGAGACGAAGTGGACGATGAAGAGACAGTTGGGTAAAGCGATGTTTTGGAGGAAGTGATGATTTGATCATATCTCTCACATCTCTTGACTTTTTGGTGTTTTTCTTTCTTGGTTTCTTTCCCCCTTTCTGATGGAATTTTCACGACTTAATGGATCGATGAACGGGATTCTCATGTATGTATTTATGTTTCATGATAATTGATGGATGGGTGGATGGATATAATGGATTGTATATGATCAATGATACCGGATTTGCTTCATGTTGACTGAACTGTACAACTATGGGGCTATCAGAGCATTGACCTGGTCTGCTCTGTTTCGTCATTCAGGATCCCGCTGACCAGGGCACCTGCGGCCAGGGTCTCCTCGTCCTTGAAATGCTTGCCGACTAATTGTAGTCCAATTGGTGCGCCTTCATACCGTTCGGGACCGGTATATTTACTCCACTCGCGGTCGTCCACCTCACCCCGAGGCGTATATGTTTTATCCTCGCCAGAAATCTGGTCCAACTGTAGATCCACGCTCAGGCCGGAGGGGAACACGACGGCCGGCTGGTCCAGGATGTTCCAGATAGCAGTGTAGTTCCAGTAGTGGGATTCGCCTAGCACGGAGGCGACGCCCGCGTATGCAGGACAGAGAATGAAATCCACACCGCGTGATTTCATTAGTGCGTGGTATTCGTCTCTGTATATGTCGCGCTGGACGTTGAGCTCCCAGGCTTCGGCGACTGTGAGAGGGTTGGGGCTGCTATAGGCAAAGGCCCAGGCAGTCAGGGGGAGGGTTGGCTCTCCGGTTTTGTCTATGAGGGTGCGTTGGCTGAGTGCTCCGTCCGGGAAGTACATCGAGGACTGTTTTTATTTGGTTAGAGTGGGTATGCAGCATTAGTATGTGGATGAAACCTACAATGATATCCCAACCATGCTCGTGCTTGTAAGGATCCCAATCAATAACGTTGAGGCCGGCTGCTTGGAGCTTGGCTTTGGCGTGCTTTAGGGCCCGGGTTACGGGGGGATGAGGGCGGACGTAACTGTTATCAGTCAATTGCTATTCTGTGTGTCTGGGCTGTCTTTGGCTTACCCGTCATCCCACATGATCGCGACGGTCATATCTTTAGTGGGGTTGACCCTCTTCCAGGGGACTGGGGCCAGGGACGTGTCGATATCCCATGGCTCTTGGTCAATGACGGCTCGCTGGAAAAGATCCAGATCTTCCACGCTCTGACTGGCGAGAGGTCCAATCACACCGCGGATAGCCTCATGGCCAGGCTCGGGTGCCTTGGCACCTGTTAGGGGGTTGCGAAGCGCTGTTGGGCGGAATCCATAAGAGCCACAGAATGCAGCAGGGGCTCGGATTGAGCCCCCGATGTCTGTCCCAATACCTAGAGGAGCGCACTTGAAGCCTGTCGAGGCGCCCTCGCCACCCGAGGAGCCACCGGAACTAAGGGTACGATTGTAGGGGTTCAGTGTTGTTCCGGTAAGGTTGTTGCTGCAGCAGAGGTGCTTATGTTGATTAGCCGTATTGAGCTTATGTATGCAAGGCAAGAAGAGGCGGTACCATGAGAGATTGCGGTTGGTTGGTTCGAACGTGGAAGACCGCGCCCGCCTTCTCGAGGCATTTCAGAAGGAGGGCGTCCTCTGTTGAGATGTCATCCACCCTAGTACCATCAGTCTCTATTTTGACTTTGTATCTAAGGGCGGAGAGTAATCATACCATGCCACATAGCCGGCGTTACATGTGAGGCCTTTGATTCCAATATGCTCTTTCACGCTAATCGGAACCCCATGCTGCAAGTTGTTAGCCTTTGTATTGCATAACACCACTGGTAGAGTCTCACCAAGGGCCCAACTAACTTTCCGGTCCGCTGATAGTATTCATCTAGATCCTTGGCTCGCGCGATGGCTCGGTCCGTCAGGAATTCTGTGGCAAAGTTGAGCTTATAACAAGAATTAGTCGGAAGGAAACCTGGACAAGATACTTGAAAACAGGCTTACCAGTTGGTGACCCAATACACATCGTTTGAGGAATGCCACTACCACCTCCTCCGCCGTGAGCCTTCCTGCGCCCATTTCCAGTACCAGAGAAGTGGCGGACATGTCGGTGATAGTGAGCTCTTTTTCTGAGAGAAGGCCGCTTTTGCGCGGGAAATCCTCCATATTCTTCTCATCGGCTGAGGGCAACTTGTGTGCGGGGAGAAGCCATTGCTTGGGGATAGAGTCTTGTAGAATATCCTTGGCTTTCTGAGCCTGGAGCTCCCAATTGAGTGACATGGTGCAGGGGCTTTCGAGCACTAAAATGCAAAGCAATGAATGGAAGAAGTGTAGATAGGCGATATGAGAAGGTGGGAGAGGGTCCAGTTTAATACCTGTTGTAAGGATGCACTACATCTCGGAATCGGAATGCAGTCCAATCACAGGGTGCAGCGAAGTGATATGCATCAGTTGCTACTTGCCTTGGTGTCTGGCCGAGATAGTGAGGCCTCGGGTGGAGATGTTCTTATCGCGGGGTCCGCGAGCACCTGCCTATCCAGGGCCCCGGCGCGTGTTCTCGGCTGTTGGCGGCAGTCAATGGTTCGTCTACTAGCAATGCAACATGAACCAGAGCACAGCCAAGTTCTTCAAGCGGAATCTATTCCGCTGAGATGGACCAAGTAAGCACCATGGAATCTTCACGATGATGCTCGGGCCAGCACCGGAAACAAAGAGAATGTTTATTCTGATGGACGTGGATGAAGAGGGGAGAGAGGAACAAGAGGGAGGATAGATAGTAGATAGTGGATGGTAAGTAGATAGATAGTAGATAATGGCCCGAATCATCTGACCCCGCTCTCCCGTGACGTCGGCCTTCTGCTTCTCCTCCTCCTCCTTTTTCCTTTCCCATTCATCATCCTCCCTCTTTCCCTCTGCTCGTTTTCGTTTTCAACTTCTTCTATCCACAACATGTCAATTCCTCGCATAATGTCCCACATACCACCTGGCACTTCTCTGAAGCTTCCTTTGGTAATCCCAACTCCTCTATCTCGGTGATCTGCCTGTCCGCCGTGATCGTCTCCGGTCGTGCCAGCTCCGGCTGAAGCGTGGTAGAGTGAATTCCATATGCATGGAAACATTCGTTGATCGTCTTGGTCAGTCTCAAGAAATTCGGCACCGAGTAGTCCGACACCATCACATGCACCGATGCGAGCGCCTTATGCTGGTTGAGACGCCAAATATGTAGTTCGTGGATGGATAAAACCCCCGGGATCTGCAAGTAGTCAATGATAGAAACATCTGCATTATTTGAGCGTGTGCATGCTACCTTTTCCAGATCATGCTTCACATCCTCGAGATCGACTCCACTGGGTGCGCTTTCTAGTAAGATAATTCCACATCGCCGTACTATGATCGGATCTTAGTATCCATCAGTCAGGCAGCATGATGGAACATACCGAGAGGGACTGAAGACAGCATGATCATCACAGCTATTCCCATGCTTGTGCCGGGGTCTGCATAGAATCGGCCTGCATAGTGGGTGAGCCAGATGACCAGGGCTGCGGCCATCACCCCAAGGTTGTTGGCTGCATCGCCTACGACATGAATCAGGACCCCCAGCATGCCCAAGTCATGTCCATTGGAAGCCGTTCGAGCCCCGTGCGCAAGGTGTTTGTGGTCGTCGTGCTGCACAAATGGAAGTCAGCCAACCACGTGCTATGGGATCTCTCCAGGAACTAACCCCAGGGCTTTCCGGTCTTTCTGTTTCTCTCGGAGCATCGATTGTCGACATGGGGAGCTCCGCTGGAGGCAGGGAGCCGTGGTCATGACTGTGTCCATGGTGATGATGTTCTGTAAATCGTTACCGAGGGTGCTTCGTTACCTGCTGCGCCAATGATTACCGTGGAGAAACGTGGCGCTGACGAGATTGAGGACCAGCCCGATGGCTCCCATTATGAACATGAGCTTAGGGTTTTCGACGCCTGTTGCAGGTTAATCGGATGAAGCTGGCATGCGGACCGGCCACCAACGTTGGATCGCGATGAATCGCTCGATGGACTGAAGAAAGATGCTAATCCCAAGGGCGAAGAGAAGGACTCCGTTGAAAAAGGCACCCAGCAACTGGGCTCGTTGCCACCCGAAAGAGAGGGCTTTGGGCGAGTCATCTGCCTCGGATACCTAGAGCCTGATCTGAATAGCTGCTTCGTCTTTGTGGAATGGGTGGTGGGCTACCTTGAGAGCAACTAGGGCGACAATAAATCCGACGAGGTCATTCAACTGAACCCATCAGCACCCGCCATTTGCATCATTGGACTATACATACATAGTGGAATGCATCGGCCACCAAAGCAAGGGAATGTGTATAGAAACCAACTAGGTACCGCACGGTCGCATTAGCCAGGCTTGCAATGAGAGGGGGGCTGACGAGTAATAAGAGGAGGGGGGTCAACCTGAGATCTCAGCCACGAAGAAGAGCGAGGAGATACCAACAACCACCATCAAGCGCTGGGCGCGTGAGATTCTGAACACCATGATCCCAGTCTGTCTCAGATGAGAATGAGACCAGACTCCAGAGACCTTTGCTGTAGAAGTACTCTGGGCCTGGCGGGAGAGTACCGGTTCTTTACCCCTTGCATGCGAATCGGTCGTGGCTGGAATGTGAAGCTCGCATCGAACTGGCCTGTCGGAACACAGTCGCGGACGACAACCACTGGCGAAGACCAGGCCAACCGGTTCCTCTCAGGCACCTACCCGACCATCCAAGGTTCCCTTCCAGGTCCCTTCAACCTCCGTCACACATCACATGCAGCTGACGTACAAAGGCCGGCATTTTAATTTAAACCACGGACCAACTAGTAGCTCGTTACTATGAGTCGAGTACCTTACTCTCCAGACGAAGCTTACAACCCATAAAGAAATGCTATCATTATTTCATATCAGACAGTTTGCTAACACACATTTAGGCAGCGATCTCGTCCACCAAACCCTCCAATTCTCGCGGCCAGTTTCGGTGCCGGGAAATTTGCCAAATGAACTGGTCAAGGAATCCCTTACTTTCCGGGCCAATTTTGGACGACGCGTGCAGCAGATCCGAAGGTGTTCCATGAGCGGTCACCACGCCGTAACTCTCCGTCACCTGGCCACTCGAGGCATACTTAATCGCTTCGAGGTTGATTTGCTTCCGAATAAAGTCCACGGCTTCGTTGACACCCGCAATGGGCTTGAGGTGCGCAAAGGATTCGGTGATCCAGAACTTGGCAATACCGTTCTTCGCCAACACAGCAATATGCTTTCCTCCAGGGATGAACGTCGCATCGAACAGAGTGGACCGCATGCCGGGGAAATGGTGGTCTGGCACCACTTTTTCGCCCGACTCGGAGGTGACACCTTGACGCTGCGAGCCGATGGTGAAGACAAACGCATTCTGCTTCTGTAGAGCGCTCTTCATGCCCTTGTACGAGTCGAGATCGAAACCATCCGCGATGAGAATGGCAACTCGACGGGTAGCAATTTGAGCGCTGTTGGAAAGGTACTCGAGTTGGCTAAGGCCCTTCGAGGTTTTGCCATTGTTGTCCTTTGGTGCCTTGGTCGGTGTGTCGCCTCCGACGTTCTTCGCGACAGTCTTCGCCAGCTCGAGGTCAACAATAGCCAGACGCTCCGAAAGGCGCTTGTATACAATCTCTTCATCGCAATGGTCCAGCTCAAACGAGAATGCCTTGGAAACGTGCAGCTTTTCGATAGGGCTGAGGGAGTTGTAGAACAGTTGGGCCTGGTTGAAATGCTCCTTAAACTTGTCCGACAGCGCGCGAGCCTTCACGCCCTGCTGCTTCTCAGGGTAGGTTGCAAACCCACCCTGTTCTGGTGAGGTCGGGGGGTTGGCGTCAAACCTGTTGGGCCAATAGTTCACCTTGCCCTTTGTGATGCGGTGTTTCATTGCACCGTCCCGGTTGGCCAGACTCATATACGGGCACACGGGACGGTTTATTGGCAATTCTTGCCAGTTGGGGCCGAGACGGGAGATTTGTGTATCGAAGTAGGAGAAATTGCGGCCGACAAGGAGAGGATCGTCCGAGAAATCGATCCCGGGTACAATATGGCTCGTGCAGAAAGCCACCTGCTCGGTCTGCGGGAAGTATTCGTCCACGTTGCGGTTGAGCTCTAGTTGTCCAATGTACTGGATGGGTACCAGTTCCTCCGGCCAGATCTTAGTAGCATCCTGGATGTCGAACTCAAAGTCATTTTTCTTCTCTTCCGGGATCACCTGAATCCCGAACTTCCACCGGGGGAATTGGCCTGCCTCGATGGCGTCCATCAGGTCCTTCCGGTGGAAGTCTGGATCCTGGCCTGCGATCTTCAGCGCTTCGTCCCAAACCAGGGAATGGACACCAAGCTCAGGGGTGAAGATAAACTTGACAAAGTGGCGCTGGCCCTGAGCATTGACAAGGCAGTATGTATTGACGCCAAAGCCTTGCATCATCCGGTACGAGCGAGGGATGGCGCGATCAGACATGATCTAGCAACAAGTCAGCCAGGCATCGAGGAAGCCAAGCGCAAATACGCACCCATTGTTGCATATGAGTGGTCTCCGAATGCATGTATTGGAAGTCCCAGAAGTTATTGTGAGCGCTCTGCCCCTGCGGAATTTCGTTGTGAGGTTCTGGCTTGACCGAATGAATGACATCAGGGAATTTGATCGCATCTTGGATGAAGAAGACAGGGATGTTGTTGCCAACAATGTCCCAGTTGCCTTCAGAGGTATACATCTTGATAGCGAACCCGCGAACATCACGAACGGTATCTGCGCTCCCTCGACTACCCTGGACTGTGGAAAATCGCACAAAAACAGGTGTTTCGCGAGCTGTATCAGTCAGAACACCAGCCGAGGAGAGCTCAGGGATAGCCTTATGGAGCTTGAAGGTTCCGAACGCTCCAGCGCCACGGGCATGCACGACTCGTTCGGGAATCCGTTCGTGGTCGAAGCGCATAATCTACCTCAAGTCAGTGATTTTGCCCGCTCAACGATCATTTTCATTCGAAAAGACAGCATAACCATACCTTCTCCCTCGCAATGGGATCCTCTAGCAACGAAGGCCCATTATGCTGCCCATCAACCACGCGAAGCCAATGGTCCGGATCCGAGATCTTAATCCCATAATCCGTAGTCATGGGCTGAGCCCCGGAGACCTGAACCGTATCCCGAGCAAGGTCAGCCTGTTTAGCATCCATAATGAAATTTAATTCGTATATAGTATTATCATCCAAATCACACTTTCACAACGATTCAAAAAAAAAAAAAAGCTATCTAGTTCCAGAAAACCCAGAGACAGCAACCCTCCCATATATAACCTGGCAACAATCCAATGACACCCCCCGATTTCTAAGCACTCACTGCACCAAGACCGGTCAGCAACAGTCTCGACCTGACAATGATGCAACACGATCATCCACTCAGGTACTTGGGCCAGGGAGTCCATGATGTCAGCGATGGGGCATACATTGACTGTGAAGGTATGGATCCGGCCAATGACATCCCCGAAAAAGAATGTGACATGATCGCCATTGGAACCTTGGTTGTGGATCGCCTGGGGGTGTCCCTGACATGGGCGATTCTTGTTGTTGGATTGGCGTGCTGTGTGTGCTGTGAAGATAGTTCGGGTGGTTCTCGGGGACTGGAAGTGACGTCATTGGGTGTAATCTATCATTTCCTATCGGAAGATTTTCGTTGTATCTTATCTCCTCGGTGGAATGGATTGGACGTATTGAGTGGGATTTTGAATAAATGAATCGAATAGGATAGAATATATGTGAGTATGTATACTATCTATTTGCTCTATGAAGTGTGTATGTATATGTGTATGTGTAGGGTGGATGCATATATGCAAATGAAAACTCCAAATGTACGCAACCCCGGCCATATAACCAACCCCCTCCCTTTCGTTCCCTCCACACCTCCCCACTCTAGCACTCCATCTTATTTATAATCGAACTCCATCTCTACATATTATCCTCGCTCCACCGACTCCTAGCCTTCAGATATGCATCATGTTCGCTCTTTCCTTCTTTTACGTCCATACCGACTCCCAGGCCACGCTCAACCCACATCTTGCTCCCCATCTCCGAGAGACGGGACAGCGCACGCGCAAATGCGAAACGCTCCTCGTCGCCGCTGAAGATGGAGGTGGTCTTAAGCGCTTGCATTGATAGGCCGAGGTCGTCCATCATCATGCGCATCGCGTCGGAGAGGTCGCTGCCGTCGTCGGAGAGGGTGGATTTGACGTCGTCGGGTGAGAGGAAGAGGTTGGTTAGGGGAACAGCGGTGGTGAGGACTAGTTTGGCCTACATTTGGGGATGGAGATGTTAGTGGAGAATTCTTTGAAGGTGTGCAGGAAAGGGGCATACCCTGCTCTCATAAACGGCATCGATGAACGTGATGAATCGTCGCGCAAGATCTCTCTGGTTCAGATTCATCCCCGGCACGTCGGTGATGATGAATGCTTCGTAATTCCGGACTAGCTCCAAATAGTCTGCGGCACCCGTGGCGCTTCCGATCAACTGCTGGAAGGTGAATTGCGCGGCCTTGCCGCTGGCGAGCGGCACTTGAATCTTGCGACCCCAGACTTCCTGCGTCGCTGGGTGCGGAGGGTCGTTGATTGGGTCGCCAAGGAATTCGAACCATTTCTGGGCGTGGCGGTCGGCGTCAGGGCCAAGCGGGTGGTGGTAGACCGCTGCTGGCGGACGGGGGATCTTGCGGTAATCGGTGGGAGAGTTCAGGTTGATCACGTCAAGAGCGGTCTTAAGGAGATTGATGCAGGGGATGAAGGATTCGCGCTGGATGCCGTTCTTGTAGAGGTCGTCGGGGTGACGGTTGGAGGTGGTGACAAGGAGCACGCCATGTGACATGAGGGATTCGAGGAGTCTGTGTTGGAGATCACGTCAGATGCAGTGCAGTGGGTGAGGCGAGAGGAGAGGGGTATATACCTCCGGAGGATCATTGCGTCTGCAACATCCGTACACTGGAACTCATCGAAACACAGCACACTCGATTTCTCAGCGATAGCAGCCGCCACCAGAGGCAGCGCATCGAAGTCATTGCCGTATTTCATCTTGACAACGTGCATGCGCTTGTGCACATCCTGCATGAAGTTGTGAAAGTGGATGCGCGTCTTGGTTGAGATATTGGGCGGGAGGGTCTCGTAGAATAGATCCATGAGCATGGTCTTGCCGCATCCAACATCACCATACATGTATAGCCCCTGAGGGAGGGTTTCGGGAATCGTGAGTTCCTGCTTTGCGTTGCTGCGTCCGAATAGCGAACCGAAGAACGACTTGGGCTTTGCATCGAGCGATTCCACACTAGGCTGGACCACTGGCGGGGGGTTGTAGAATTTCAATCTCTCGTAAAGGTCTTGTAGTTTTCCGATGATCTCTGCTCATAGCGATTCACGCTCGTCAGCATCCGTAGGAACTATTGACTCCCTCATATATAGGCAAGACCTCTCGCCCATAGATGGTGGTTCGCAGGGGCAACGTACGTCTCTGATATGGATCATCGCGCAACCGACCCTGCTGGACTCGGAGGTCATACTCCACCAACGGACCGCCCTGCAGCCCAGCTGCAGCGTCTTCCTCCACGCTCTTCCCTTCAACGGCTGTCGCAAAGCAGCGCGCATACTGGTTCTGCGAAGATCTCACACTTGTATGACCGCAAACTCGGACACCGTGTGCTGTCACCGATGGACGATAGCGAGAGTTGGTTGCGCCATGACTGCCCCGTCTATACTCCCTGACGCTGGGTTGGCGAGTGCCCCGAGGAACCGCACGCAGTAGAGGGCCCCGAGCCCTTAGTGCACCGGGCAGGTAGTCCGCACACAGTCTTGCAGATGATCCGCTCATGGAAGATGTCTTGGACAGAAGCTCTCTGGATGTGATTGCTGTGAAAATGTGTGCAAATGTGTGCAAATGTGCGTTGCGACGGTCGTGAAGGCTTAAACCCGAGGTTGTTCGGTCAGCGGCAAATACTCGGCCGATGAGGCAATCAAGTGCGGCAGCCCTCGGTGAAGAATCGGAGACCAGATGATAACACCGGACCACACAACGGGTTCACGCACGGTGAAGAATATACCGGCTGACTGAACGGATCAAATGCAAGTGCCTAGGTGCGGATTCAGCCCCTTGGTGAGCGCGGAAGTGTACCGGAAAAGCATGACTCCGCGGCGAAAAGGAAGCGAGCACATGGGCGGCGTTCCAATGGACGTCATGTGACTCGGAATACGGCAACTTATCGGCCTCCAGATCTATTGCCGACAACGCTCATTGGCCGAGTGGGCCGGACTAAGTAATTAATTGGTCGTTACATGAATGGCCAGTTCCTTCCGGCACTCCATAAGTACTCCATACAACGCACGCACGCATTGAGAAGGCAGGTGGTCAACAGTAGGCGTCGAAGCCTACGTCCAGAGAATATATATATGCAGGAGAAGACTTATGTACATAGGACAACAGTGCATCACACAATAAGGGTATGGAGGGAAAACAATCAGCCATGGCCCACGCGACAGAGAATGCAGAATCGGAACAAAAAAAAAGGGTACATGATGGCGTAAACATTTCAGGCATGTCATTCTTGTCAACGCATCAACCTCGTGATTCAATAACAACCGCTCAGAGGCTGATGACCAGAGACAACAGAAAAAGGAACCATAACACCAGTACACCCGGTGCACCTCGACAGACGCGGGCGCACGATTTGAACAAAAGAAAAAGATAAAATGACAGACAGATCTATCGGGATATAGACGGGGAAAAGATCACGCTTCTATGCAAGTCCAACATATAGGGTGAGTTTGGAGTTTCGCTGGATTGCCGTGTCCAGGTCACTGTCAGTGGCCAAGTCGACGTACGTCCCGGACGGTTCGTCCTTGTACTGAACCACGATCTCATCCTGGATCTTCAGGCGGTCCGTGAGTTTGTCCCGGAGCTGCTGGAGGCTGATGTCGCTGGGGACCCGGATTGCAATGAGGTCATCCTGGAAGAAGACCTTGACTTTCATGGCGCCGCTACTCGAGGTCGTCGACACCTGTGTTATCGAGCTGGGTTGTCGATTCATCGGGGGTGGCCCGCCATTCGAGAGCGAGAGGGAAGGTTGTCCGCGCTGGTGCGAGTTGCGCTCCGCGTGGACGGCGATGGGCGCCTGCGATGACTGGCGGGAGACGCTCCGAGGGGGCTCATGTGTCGAGGAGTGGTGCGAGCCACCGGAGAACCGCGCATCTTCACCAAATGCGTTCGGATCGATTTCAAAGTCACCCGCGCGTGGTGCGAATAGCTGTCGGACCAATTGGCAGCGGGAGATATGGGGAGGCATGGCCAGGAGCTTCTTGATGTACTCATCGAGGTTCTGTCGGCGACCGTTTGAGATGGCGTCTGTGACATGGGTGACAGGTCCCGGCATATACGGTAATGTGCGCGCCTTGCCACGGTTGCCCGCTTCCTCCTCAAACTGAGTCAACAGCGCGATCTGGAAATCATAGAAGTCATGGTAATAGCGCGACAGTTCCCAACAGCGACCGTCCTCCATTTTGGCCTCGATGATGTACCAGTATTTGTCATTGTCAAAGCAGTACCGGGGGATAGATGCGGCAATTGGCGCCATCAAGGGTTGCTGGTAGCTTTGCTGCGACTGGTGGGAAACTTGTTGCACAAGAGAACCTTTACTGGCATTGCGGGTGTGGTAGCCCTATCGCATGATAAGTTAGTACCGGGGGCCCTATTTCTGAAGCGGGGGAATCGAAGCATCGGCAACTCACCTGGGATTGACCGCTTTGGCTCATTTGGCTCTGGCGGCCGATGGACATCTTGTCCATGCTCGACGTGACGGATTGCATCGATGAGCCACCGGCGGAATCGATCTTGCCCAGGGTGATGCTGCTGTTCTTGTATTCGGCCGTCATCTTCTTCCATTCCTCCACCTTCGGCACGCCGGCGCGCCTCACAGCCTCGAGTGGATCTGTGACCGCTTGGCCCGTCTGCATATCGCGCAGTTCGAGGAAAGAGACCGGGATGAGACCTGGCCCGCCCAAGCGACCGATTGGTTTGGCGACAAACCATTCTTGGTTCGATTGGGCAATGACAATAATCGCTTCGCCGGCTTTGGCATCTAGTTCGTCCGGTCGCTCGGCCTGGAAGTCGTACTGGACGATTCCATAGACCATGGGGCTTGAACCGCCCTTCCCCATCGCCGACATCCTGTGCTGATAGCTATTTCGGGAAAAGTTGCTGGCGAAATCTGAACCTGGGAACGCAGCTCGATCGGAGAAGCCCGAGTCGTGTGGCTCTTTCTTTTTATGAAGGTCCACCGATCCGGCGCTGTTTCTCTCGTTTTTGCCAATCACTTCAAAGAAGGATACTGGAACCAACCCCCTAGCACTAGGGATAAGCGGATTGCACGCTTCGTACCAGTCCGAATCGTCCTCCCTGCTGATAACGTGAAAGAAGTCTCCCTTGCTGAAGGCGAGTTCCTGCGAGTTCCCGGGCTCCGGTTGGTAGTCGTAGAGCGCTTTGATAACCTACGCGCAGGACAGGGATGTGGTCAACAGCTGTTTGCCAAGGAGGGTCTGCCCGACCAACGCCGGCGAACGAGGGCGAGTGACACGCAGGAGATCAATTACAACCAACAGCAAAACTATTGGGACGCGAATGTACACAAGGAGGGGTAAGACAGGGGGAGGGAACACCCGAGGATCCCAAAGGGCCAACAGATGGAACGAAGGAACGGGAATTGAATAATGCGAAAGAAGCAGGAAGGTGAGGGGAAAATAAAAGAAAGGAAAAGAGGGAACACACCTTCTTGGGCGGAAGAATGGCAATGGCGGACTTGGGAGTAATAGAAAGGTGGTGGTGGTTGTGGTGGTGGGGTTTGGGATCTTTCTCCCCTTTGAGAGAGCGTCGAATGGCCTAATTAATTGGTGGTATTGGAGATTAGCCCAGGGCCGATAGATTGCGCGCGGCAATAAGACGGCGGGAGAGAAACAGTCATCAAGGGCTAATTTTTCGGGGACGGTTCTCGGAACAAGACAAGCGACGATAATCGAGATAAACGAGGGGCGGGAAACGAGGGGCGTTTGGTGCAGTTTCAGCAGCTTGGACGTACCTTCATTCTTAGTCGTCTTTAAATCAATTAACCCAGCCAGGCCGCGCCCACAGGTGGTCGGGAACGCCAGATCAGCCGCCGGAGGCAAGGCAAGACGTAAGTACGGGGAATGGCCTACAGCAGACAAGAGCGATCATCCACTTTCTGCCCGTATCAGCCACCCGGTCCAGGCGTCAGTATGTAACACCGTGAGTTCAGAGACAAGACGACGACGACGGGTGGGATCGCTGCGATCACTGAGATGGGATGGATACAAAGAAAAAAGAATGGGCGGTAATTCCGGATGGCAGCTGAGAGACAAATGAGGCAAAAAAGGGAAGGTTTAAGGGAAAAAAAAAAAGTCCAAGACGCAAACTTTAAATTGAACAATGAAGGAGCGGTTTGAGTTGTACAGTAGTAAAGGACAGTAACAGACCAACAACAGCCTTGGGTGGAAGAGAGAGACAGAGAGAAAGTGATGGTCAATGGATGAAATCGAGCGGACGGCTGTCAGCGATGATATGTTATAGAAAAATTTAACTAGAGCACTCCGTAAGCGCTGCAGGAACACGACGTGATAATGCAAATATGCAATAATAGCCTCCTATTTTTGTCTGTCTTGCTCCTTCGTTTCCTCCCTTGACGAACGAGTCCGTATGGGGAGTTCTGGATTGCGACGACTGGGACAGAAAGTGGCCCGCTTTCCTTTGGTGTCCCCCGCCCCTGAGGATGGATGGTTAAGAATGGGATGGGATCGCTGGAGTGGTTCAAGTGGGTGGACAATGACGAGGATCCACGCGTGACAGCTCGGCGGAAGGTTTCCAGGGTTGCGTTGTTCTGGAAGCCCCCCCCAGCAGAAGATATTCTTTCTTTGAGTTTCCTTGCAACAAACCCGTAGTAAGTAAGTAGTAGTGAGTGGGTGGGTGGTGGTGGTGGTGGGAGAGTAGTAAGTAATCCGGTCGAGTCAAGGCACGGCGATAGGAGAATAATGGGCCGTCCTACCACCACTTTGCGAATTGCGGGAGCACTTGGTGGCTGTGACCCAGACGAAGGAGAAGCCGGTTAGTGATTAGTGGCCGGATGGCATGGACCGTCGTGGGGTGTGTGTGTGAACTTGTGAAGGATGGAGGCCGTCGAGACTCGAACTGCTGGTTCAACTGTGGCGGGTACTCTCCAGTCCAGCGCCCTCGTCCCGGTTGGTTGGTTCCGGGCCCGTGATGGGGATGGAGGAGGTTAGGGCGTTGCTGGAAGGAGGGATTTCGTCAAAATAATATAACCAGGACAACTGGGGTTAAAGGAGGAGGTGGTGGTGGAAAGTAAAAATGCAGCACGCGATGCTACATCGACCGGTCGAAGGTACCTAGTACTTCTAGTACTTACCAACAAAGGAAGGCAATGTCCGATTCGTAGTAGATCGTGATAGACGTTGGCCAGGCTGGATTCTGAGGGATGCAGCCGATCGCTTGGTCCTGAGTCGGCTCTTGTTTTTTTTTTTCCTTTTTTTTTTTTCTCCTTCTTTCTTTGGCACTTGATTTTATCTAAACTAACAGAGGAAATGACGACGGTTTCAAACTAGATGGTGATTAGGGGGATTGTGATTGTGATGATGCTGATGTTGATGCTGATGCCAAGAATGGTGGCAGTTGATCACGGAGCAGCAGATGGGATGAAGAGGACCATCGATATTAGATATAACCAACATTGCCCAGAATCCAGATCCATCAATTCCCAAAATCCAACCCAAATGAATCTGGAAACTACAAAAACCACACCCAAGATTGAGATCGGTTCCCCTTCCCCTCCTTCCTCTTCAGCCGTGCCCGTCGTTGTGTGCCTAAAATTCCTTTATTACGTCCTGTCACCAGTCACCATCAGGCCGGGAGCTGCTCCCCGGCCGTCTGCATGGATGCACCGCGTAAGGTATGACGGCCATGTCCACCCTGGTTGGACGCTAAGGGCCTAGGTACTTAGCTGAGACTCCTTAGTCTGCTTCTGCGTCCAGCCCTGTTGGTAGTGTCATCCCTGACTCTTTTTTTACTTTTGTTCTCTTTATTTTTTTTGAGAGAAAAAAAACCCGTTTCTTGATTCTTTCCCCCTTTCCTGTGGTGGGTTCATCCTCCCCTCCTCCCCTGGGCGCAGTTGGGCAGCAGCAGCGAAGGCCCCCGTCGCATTAACCGGGATCAGCATAGAGACCGGCACCATCCAGCTAGGAACCCGCCCGATCGAATCTTGAGGGACGATAAGAGTCGGCCGAACACACTAGAAAACCCATGGCTCGCAGGCTGTGTACCAGAATCTGCAGGAGCCTGGGAGGCCAAAGCCCGGCGCCTACGTACGTATGGCAGACAGGCCGTGGTCCTGGCCCAGCGTACCTGAGTTGCAGTAGGCAAGGCCGGAATGATTGGGCTGCGCGGGTGACGAGGTGGGTTCACGGTCACCAACTTGCACGCTGGGTGGCCATCCACCGCGGTGGTCTGTGTGCACTGCTTTTAATTAACGGAGGGCTGCCAACTGCCGGCGGATTCAGATGTCACTTTAGTGGTTCGATTTCCACTCGAGGGCTGAGTTTGATTTGATTAGTTACTCCCTCCAGTCTCTAACCTCATAAAGTTATTAGATCTTCTTAATAAGCGGTTATGATGTCGAAGGAACGGCTCTCAAAATTGGATTTCTCGATGAACCTCGGAGCTTGAGCCGACTCTTGAGTACTAATGAGGAAGAACTGGGAAGCAGGTGAACTCTGCAGGAGCTCGGACGGGGAAACTTAGGCTCGACTCCTCCCCGGCATCCATGGTTATGGCTGAATCCCACCCAACCAACTCGCCCAACCCAGCTCTATTTTTTCCACGCTATCCCCATTTCCTCGGATCGGCAAAGGGTCTCTGATCCTCAATCCTGAAGAACCCGGAGGTGCGCCTCAAGAGGTACTAGTTTGGATCCCAACGGTACTGCAACCCGACCAGCAGAAAAGGCAGCCGGATTTTCCAATGGGCCCGAGGCTGCAAGGGACGAGTTGCTCTCCGGAGCGCTAAGCATCCATCAGTCCAATGTCCATACAGTAGGGAACTTCTGCAGCGCGATTCTTAGTAGGCGTTCTTCATTTTAGGTTTAGCGCCCGCTCCTTGAGGAAAGCGGTCAACATCTTACATAAGCCAACAATATCGTGACGATATTAATTAGCGGACCCACTTAGTTCTGACTAGCGTACTTAAACATATGACTATTGGCCACCACAGCAGCCACTACGGCGGCCAACACAGCAGTCCAAAATCTTCATTCTTCATCAAAGAAATCAGATTATATGATAATTCAATGCTTTATATAGCTTTATATACAGTTATATTGAATTCAGAATATTCAGCTAATCATTTTTAATGCTATTAACTTTGATCTAGGTGATGCAGACCTCCCAGACTTCACAGATACCTATACTTTAATGGTGTTTTCTACGCACCTATACTAAATACACGAATATTACTAAAATCATATATAGAATAGTAGGACTGGCGTAACTCCTTCCGTAAATAGCTTAGCGTCAAAAACTGCCGGCAAAATTGAACAAGAACGCCTACTAAGAATCGCGCTGCAGAAGTTCCCTAGTAAGATCCTCGCAGTACTTCATAGTACCACATCACAACATTCCGCCTCATCTATACCTAGATACCTAGATACATACTCCGTACAGTAGCGCACACCCCTGCAGACTAGGACATGGATCCTCACATCCCCACAACAACCTCTTTTACATCTATCTACCTACCTATCTATCTCGGTACCTAAACCTGCAACAACTCCTGCAACCCATCCAAGAAATCTACACCCACCCTTGCATGCAGATACCAGGTATCCGGATTCCAAACAACCCGGTCAAACGTAACAGTCCGATCCCTAACCGGGCCTGGTCCAGCCCATCCACATAAGGTTATTAGTCGTGGATGCCAGCGCATAGGTATACGGAGTACACTGCCGCCAACTTTGTAAGCAGACACAATGGAAGCTGAAGCACCGCCACCCCCCCGAAAATAAGATTTAGACAGGAAGCCGGGAAACAGATAACCGTATTACTAGTGGCAACCGAGCTGCTGCAGCTTAACTTGATGCTTGCTGGATAAGCGCGCTGAGGCTGATCGTATTCGCCACCTGAGGTGGATAAGGTGGTAGGTACACTGACATAGTATGTACTAACTTACTAGTAACCAGGTAGGTACCTCATGCTGGGACTGAGTGATTAATCAACCCAGCTGAAACTTTAACTATCAAACATCAAACAAACTTCGGTGTTATTATCACGATCTAGACAATAAACATGAAGCAGATCTGTAACGATGTACTTTGTGCACAGCGAATAGATAGTAGTCTACTTATTTACTCCATTCTCCCAAAGTCCCGACCCTCTCATTTGACGAATCCACTTCCCGGGGGAGGAGGCGCCTGGTACTACTAGTACTCGTGCAGATGTCATTTCCATACCAAGGATCTGTCACCTCCAAAGATCTGATATATCATGTTCCAGTTTAAGAAAACGTCATGGTTGCATGAATTCCCCTCCCTCTCCCGTAGATCGGATCGGATCAACCCACTAACCCCCATGGAGACGATCGGTCGACAGCTGCTGATCAGGGGAATGCAATGCAGCGTTATTGCCGTCGGGTCTATTCCCGGGCCGTCTATGGATTCTGGCCAGTGGGTACTAGATTCGGACTTGGTGTAGGTGTATGAGAAAGAAAGTATCGGTCCAGACCTGGCGGAGGAGAGTCGACTCATTAGATATGAATCGACCTGTCACTGGATGTTTCGCTGGGTGGGAATTTACTTGATCTTGACGCGGTGATGCGGGGTTTGTGCTCGATAACCCCTCTCTGAAATTGAATTGGATACATCTACTACATAGAGTGATGGGTGTATCTGTCATACAGTGAGTGCCCTGTGGGTATGCTATTGGATCAAAGGACTGCTAAGGTTTGGGGGGCGATGGTAAATCGCGCAGTGGGACTGAAGTACCTATGCTGTCGCCGTGGGGTTGAGACATTGTCTCGAAATTCACGCTAGGTATCACTTGACGCCAGGCAGGAACAATGGCCGGGTTGTCTTACAATGCCAAGGTATGAACAATAATCATCGTATTAACAGCTGTGCTACCGAAATGTTATCGAACAAAGTTAAACGCCTCCTCAATACCCACTTCAGCCTTCCTTCCATACACTTTTTGTGCAGAGCAGATGCAGCACATCCAATCCCCTAGGGTCAAAATGGGTATAGATACTCAGATCATAAGCAGTGAATGCAAGACGCCTCTAATGCCGGAAGAAACGGGATAGAAAAAACAACGGAACTCCAAGCGCCGTAATGACAGGGTACGGATGGGAAAAGTGAGGAACAGTATCCAGAACGTGGAAGATCAGGAGGTGGAAGTAGAGCCGGAGGTTGTAAGGAAAGGGGGAACAAGCAGAGAGATACGGAACTTAGATCTGTCCCTTGATATCGACAACGCGATGAGCCTCGGCCTTGGCTCCTTCGAAAAGTTGGCCGGCCTTACCGCCCGTAAGCAGCCTCACGATCCCATCTTTCTCTTGGAGGAGGTCCTCCGAGGTATGGTCCAAAATGAAGTGCGCACTCTGCTCATCGGACTCGAAACCAAGTTCTTCAGTAATGAAACGGATCTTTACATCAGGCTTGTATCTGTATCCCATAATATCAGCAAGCAGTTCCAGACACAAAGTCCGGAAAGAAACTCACGCTTTACAGATTGCTGCAAGGGCAGAGAGTCGCTCACGATCCACGAACATGTCCATTAGATACGCCCCCATATTTGGAGTATCGAGATAAAGCTGGAAGAAACGGTGGTAGTTCCCAAGAGCAAGAGCGGAACGGACATCCAAAGCATGTTTCACAGCAGGATCCCGTTTGTCTGCTGCGGTTAGATCGGCCAACGCATCGTTCATGGCGGTCCAGTTGCGGGTGTGAATGAAATAGAGGATGCGATAGGCTCTGAATTCCGTAGGATGGCCACCAAGTTGCTGGGCGTACAACGCTCGTAGTTGAGTCTGGCACTGATTATACTCACCAAGGTCACCTTTTTCTAGGGCAATCCGGGCATGAATCTCATAGACGCTGACAGTAAACTCGTTCCTGATGTGCTGTACCGTCAAGTCCTGGCGCAATGATTTAAACTGATCGCAGATATAACCATAGTTGTTGTCTTTCTTCCATTTCTTCTTCAGCAGGTCCAACGTCTTCATCAGAACCGGCAAAGGACGGACGGTATCCGGATTCGGTGCGGATGTCAAACGGAAGTAGTTCTTCTCGAGTTCCTGGCATCTTCCGACCACGGGACCTTGGTTTGCACTGGGGGTCGGCGATTCACCGCGGGACGAGGGTGAAGATCCAGAGCGTGCTTGTGGTTCCTCGAAACGTTTTCTCCGCATTTCCAGATTAGCTTTAGACTTACTTGGGTTCTTCATATCAATCTTCTGCCGCTTGTCTGTGGAAGGATAAGTGACACGGTCTTCAAAGGCATTCTGGTTGTTAGTTTGTCTCCAGGGCGGACAGCTGCTTGCGTCTCCATGGTACTCGACCGACTTCCTCTTCTTCGATGGGTCTTCCGAGAGGTCGTTAGACTTCTTCGGCGAAACTGTCCCAAATGCACCCCAGGTCGAGACACTTGGGCTCGCTAAGACTCTGTTGCGGTCATTTTGCACCATGACCTGCGGCAGAGGCAAGGTCTCCCAGTCGATCTTATTGAGCATATTACCCTCTGCTGCCTCTGTGATGACCGACTTCAGTTTCGCCTCCATCTCGCTCCGTTCGACCCCGGGGATTTGGTGTTCGGGTGCGAAGCTGCGTTGCACATATGTGCGAACCGCATCTGGAAATTCTACTCGTTTGCGGGCGGCGGTCTCGGTAGACGTCGATGATGTGGAGGACGAAAGGACAGGGTTCGTCGCCTTTGCAGACGTGAGACTACGGCGTGCTTGAACTGGGATATACGCTGGGGCCACTGGTCTCATGTTAGTATCTATGTGAACAAGATCACCAGCAGGACAAGCATACCATGGCCAGAGTGAAGTGAGGTGGTAGCGGTGGCCGACGCCGTGACCCGCCACGGGGGGATGCCGGAACTCATCTTGAATAGTGATCTAGATGGAGGGCCAACGCAAGAAGGAACAATAAAGAAAGGAGAAGAGTGGTGGTGATCAGAAAAGAAAGGTATGAACTACGGGGTTGTTTGATTCGAGTGAGACAGTCAAAACATCCTTCCTACACCAAGAGAGCCGAGGAGGTATCACTGATATGACAGGAATCTGGGGCCGGTCTGGTTCTATCGAAAACAAGGGACGACGCGAGACAAGTATCCACAGGGCTTCGTCGGACTCTTATGGAGGGAATAATGATAATGACCTGAGAGAAGGAGACTCGCTTACTGGCGCCGGTTCCCACTTGGCTCGGTGGCGGAGATTTTCTCTTGGCACCCCGGGCCAGAGACCGCCTGCCCCATCAAGACACTTTACGTCAGCACGCCGATCTGACTGATAACGAGCAATACAAGCAGCGCCAAGGCATCTTGCATCCGTATATACTCTGCCCCTCTTCACAGTCCCAGTGGTGAAGAGATGTCACTTGGCTTGACTAGATGTTTTTCAAGCCTTTGGATCTGACGACTGCGCTTCGCCCCTCGCTGTTGCCCGATGAGACCTTGCTCTTTGTCCAGGATGCGGTGGGGTTGTACGAAGGGTGAGTAGCCGGTGTGTTGCTTCAACTGCTCGTTGGTGTCGCAATGCTGGGGTCAATCCGGTTTTACCTGGAAATCGCAGCTCGGGTTTCTCGGTACTTCCTTGCTTCATGCTGACCAGCAATATCTCCGGGCGCCCAGAAAATACAAGATCCCCAATTATCAGAATGGTCATGCCTACTTGACCTCCCATCGAGTCTGTTACGTAGCAGTGGATGAGCCGCGGAAATACTCAGTCGGCATCGACCTGAAAAACATCGATAGGGCAGAATATCAAGTATGTGTTGGTTCAAGCCTGTAATCCGGCTTGATGTCTTATCTGTTTCTAGGCAGGTTTCTGGAAGTCGTCTCCAAAGATCACAATATATCCGAAGCCGCTCAAGAACACCCTCGACAGGTCAAAAAGCGCTGGCACAAGTCCTTCTCGATCGCTATCTCCTTTGACCCCAACACCGGCGCCGCAGTTCAATACAGCACCCCCTCAACCTATCAATGCGACCTGGATCTGTCCAATATGCTCGTTTTCCAATCCCGTGCCCTCCAATTTCGACCCATCGACTGCCACTGCGTCCACACCTATACCACCTTGTCTAGCATGCGGTATCAAGCCTCCCTTTGCAACAATATTGAAGGCTGCGATCACAGCTGCAACCAGTCGCGAGAGTTCTTCAACAACCTCAACTATCTCCCAACCCGGGCATGAACCGTCGCCCCGCAGTAATGGTTCCAAGAGTCTATCAACTCCACAAAATGGCGCCCAAGTGTCATGTCCCCGCTGCACATTTGTCAATCACCCTTCCCTCATAGAATGTGAAATATGCGGTGCCTCCTTGGTCTCGGCAAATGTGCTCAGGGCTTCGAATGGCGACCACTTCCGTGCAGAATCCCCCGCGCCTGTTTTTGACCAGGGCACTATAAAGAGCACTCAGATCAAAGATAGCATGAAATTATCCTTCCGTGGGGGCGGTGAAAAGATATTCCATGAAAGACTGAAGGGCGCTTTGATCCAGAGGAAATGGCTTCTCTACAACGCTCCACCCGTGCCTCAGCAACCATCGCAATCAAGCTCCAACTCGCCAAGCTTGACCGTGTCTACTCCCATAGATGGTTCCGTAGCGCCTCAATCTCGCTCACCCGGTGTTGGTATTGCCGGTCTTGAGCGCAGAGGTCTCGAGGCTCGTAAAAACAACGAGCTCGTGATTGGCAATGCATTCGAGGACCTTGAGGCGCTTATGGCATCTGCTAAACAGATTGTTGCGCTTGCTGAGACACTGGGTCGAGAATCAGGTATGACTAGCGATGAAAGCTCTGCAGAGACCAGCGCAGTTCTTTCGGAATCGGTGGCAGCATTAGGCATGGTGACAACGAAAGATATGCTCGGCTCTGGGGCTGAGAGCCTGTATTTGTCTGAACTATCCCGGAATCTGGCAGAGTATCTTACCGATGATCGAAAAGGGGTTTTGCAAAAGGAGGGCGGCATTATTAGCCTTATCGACCTGTGGGCAATCTTTAACCGGTCCCGAAATGGCGTCGAACTTGTCAGTCCGTCAGACTTCCAGAAAGCTGCGGAGCTATGGGAGAAATTGAAGTTGCCAATTCGTCTACGCCGATTCAAGAGTGGGCTGCTCGTTGTCCAGCGGTATGACTGGACCGATGAGAAGACCCTTCAGCAATTGCTAGACTGGATGGTAGAGCTCCGGGAAGTGCCACCAACCGAACCAGTGGCCTGGGATTGGCGTCTGTTTGGGCGTTCCGTAACCGCACAGGAAGCCGCACAGCGATTCAAATGGAGTGTCGGTGTGGCGGCAGAGGAATTGGAAATGGCAGAGGACAAGGGAATTCTCTGCAGGGAGCAGGGCATTGAAGGACTGAGGTTCTGGTTTAACTACATTACATCTAACCCAGACGCCCAGGGTGTCGATCATCTAGGCATGGCAAGGTAAGCATAGATGATAGTGGTATATAGAATCGATGAACATAGCACTGAACAGGAATGTCACGCCAATGATTGGATGATTTACTTAACTTCTACTACTATGTCTATCGTCTCAGCTCTACTATCAGCCGAGGTAAGCGTTAGGTGGATGACTGAGGCCCCACCAGGCCGACAACCCCGCGTTTGACCCGTGATTGGCTTATCGGAGCTTCTCTCCGCCTGCCGCCGCTTATCAGCTGCCAGTGATGAGGACTGCCAACTCCCACCTCCCCCGATCCAGTTGGACTTCCTGATACAACTCTCGTGCTTCGTTCATCGGTATAATCCAGATCTCGTTCGATCATAAGTAGCTCTCTGGATCTTTTGTCGCTTAATCAACTTGTCTACTGACTAGTCGTCTCTCAAACGGACATTCCCAACACCTCTAGTCATCCCTGTGATGTAACCGGCTAGACAGCTCTTGTGGCTGTCTGAATCCGGCTCGACGTTATTGGAGAAAGCTATCATTGCTAAACCTTTCTCCTTCTTAGTCTACGTAACTTGTATTCGTGGCGAAGCCTTTGTGATCTGAACATGATCCATTCGGTTGCAGTATCAGATGTCAGGACAACCTTGACAGGGGCATGCCCGCAAGCCATGCAGTTCGGATCGTCCCGACTCATAAAGTCCTCATTACAACGACGTCAGCTATGGTGGGGTACAGATCAGAGATACAACTACGACTACCTAGCAAAGCAGATGGACAAGCACAGACGATTTTGCATGTCGAAGCTTCGCAACATGCCAGCTCGTCCGCGGAAGGCGCACGTCTACGAAAGGCATCATCGGTGGTGGGATCGAAGTAACGGATCAGGCTATCATAGAGATATTTTCTCCAAATTTGAGAATGCAAACCGTCACAAGAAAGATTTTTGGGAAGCTGACAGGGCCCGCGCCAAGCAAAGGATGGAGCAGATTGGGAGGGAAATCGAGAAGGATCCTTATGCAGCATTGTTTGGAAGGAGGCTAGAACCGTTTAGCTCTTTTGGAAGACTTGAAAACACCTTCACCTCCCTCTGCCGTTCTTTGCTAGGTCTCGATAAATCCTCAAATGCAATGGATACGACAGCACGGCCGAAGGCATCCACAACCGCCTCGAAGAGCTCTCCAGATGCTGGCAAGGAGGCGAAATCTGATTTGAGCCGCGGTGATCAATGTCCCACTGATGTCTCCTCGAAAATAACTAACTCAAGCTACGAATTTGATCCTATCAGTGGGCGTATGGTGCCCAAGGCCTTCGCACAAACCACTGTGGCAGGAGACAATGCTCACGACAACCACCGTACTGCATCAATGAATACTCAGAAACCTCACTCCGAACGTACTGGCTATATGTCTCCAATTAAACGGTTAGCTGGAGAAACTCAGTCAGCGAAAGTCTCAAGGAATGCAAGGACGGAAGATAGTTTGCGACTAGGTGTTCCTGTGATGCCAGTTGCGGATGAAATTGTCCAAGCTCAGGACCTGCATAATTCGGGATTGTCAAAAAACACACATTACAAGGTTTCCGAGTCATTGATTACTCCACACAAATCCCCGACGAATATCTTAAAAGAGTCTAATGGTCTCTCGGGACTAATCATAGCCGGGGCGCCCAAAGCTCAGGACAAAATGGGACCAAAAGATGTCACAAATGGCTACGGAAGTACCACCTATGAGCATCTGGAATTGCCAGTCAATAATCACCTCTTTCAGAATTGGCAAGATACTGCACGCTTAACTAAGTCTTCTGCGCCTAAAAGCATCCTGGACTCGACGCAGGAACAGGATCGGGTGCGAGCAGAAAAGGAGGATGATTTGGACCTCTTGAGCGCTAGTGATATCCGTTCTCATTATTACCTGGAGAACCTTGAAAGGGATCCTGAGACGAAGAAGCAAACTCGCAAATATCTAGATGACAGTTTCGATTCATTCGTCGATCCTGCTGGTGGCATTGACGCTCAAAGTGTTCGAAGCAGGTTTGAAGATCATGAAGCCGCGAGCGCGATTGATGAGACCATCAGACCAACGAGAACAGATGACAGTGTCGATCTGCAAGATGGTCAGGTCCTGGGGGCATCTCGGGGACTTATCCAGAATGAAGAACAGCAAGCTACTCAGTGCTTAAATAACGCTGCCATTACTCAGCAGCCAGTTTCTGGCAGTTCATCAATCGAAACCTATCGAGTCTTTGCTTACGATCCCTCAACCCTTCAAGTGAGTGAAGCAGAGACAAGCTCTACCTTACATTCTTCAAATGAGTCCATCCATCCGGTAGAAGTCATGAGTCGATTAAATGTTCCGGCCAAGTTTCTTCCCTATTTTGCAAAAATGCATGCCGATGGTTATGAGATCGTGTCTGGTGGCGGGGACATTCTTGTGTTTAGGAAATTCCGCAACTCTATGCATAAGGACGACGGCTTCTTACCTAATACTACAGGGAAAGTTGATGCCGGCCTCAATAGTCCAAGCAATGAAGCCTTGGGACAAAATACATCGCTCAGCAGGCTGGCGCAGAGCAGCATCGGCGCAGAGCACTTTTCCAGCCAAGTACCCAATCCTCAGGCAATATTGCTTAATGATAGTGGCTCACAGGGCCAAGGCTCTTCTTCGAAGAGTGAATCCAGACTTAGCCAAGCTTTACGCAGGATGTTTATCAGCGGCGTTGCCACCGCGGGGACATGCTATGCCATTGGTGTTGTTGTCGAATATTTCCGCACCGGCGGACAGGATGGGCGAGGCATTGACGCTTTTACAGTCTTCGAATCAGAAAGACGTCACGGTGATTGAGCTTTCGTCTTCTTATGAACTTGTATGGCTAATCTCTCGAGAGTCTACTGTGTCGGCTTGGGTCTAATATGTAAAGAATACTCCATCGCCTCTCAGTAGTTAAAGTCACAATCTCCATCTCAAAATAAGATACAATATCTGTTCCATCAACGTTCACTATTCCATCTTAGTTACATCATTTCGCTTTTAAAGACAGAGATTCTGCGCTTACCATCCACCAAATAACTGCCAACAGAACAAATTCAACCGCGAGCACGACCCGAACGACCCTCATCGCGCTTATCCTCCCAGACCCAATCCCACCAAGGGCGACGAATATCTCTGAACCCAGCAATCCGATCTCTATCCGTACTTCGTATCGCCTCTGTGGTCCTCACATGGCGCAGCTCCTCCTCCTTCTTGGCCCTCTCCTCCTCCTCCAACCGCTTCTCCTCCTCCAACACCTCATTCTGCTCCTTCTGAACACTTTGGACCACCGCCTCCCCATCATCCACCTCCACCTCCGCACTCTCATCATACGGGAACAACGCAAATATCTCCTGCAGCACCCCAACCTTCGACTGCGCACTCATCAAATACATGTTCAAGCCAGCCAACAACCTCCTTGCCGCTCGGAACCCATCCTTCGTCCACAGGTCATATTCCTGGCTCCCCAATACCTGGAACACGTGCGGATCCGGGTCCTCCTCCGACAAAGACCGCGCCAGGTGCAGCCAGTTCAGCTGTTCCATGAACCGGGCCATATTGTCCCGCGAGTAGAAGCGTTTGCTGACCGTGCTGGCTATGGATCGCTTTTGTTCTTCGTGGAAGACGGTAGGGTTGTGTCGCCCGCACCAGAGCTTGGAAGTCTTGGCGCCTGGGAAGATTGCGCGCAGGAGGTAGAGTTTGCATCCGTGTAGGCCGATTAGGAAGACTTCTTGGTCGGGGATTTGATCGCCTGGTGGATGGAGGCGGAGGATGTTGATTAGGAGTTGGCCCATTATGAGTTGGAGTTTGCCGGCGAGGGCGGCTTGAAGGGGTTGGTTTTCTTCCGTTGTCTGTTTTGGAGAGAGTGGTTAGTATTTGACTTATAGAAGAGGGGAGAGAGGGAACGATACCGTCGATACAGGGACAACGCAGCGTGCTACTCCGATATCAGGGAAATGGTCCAAAGTAATCCAGCTGGCTGAGAAAGGGCCATCCTTGTACTTATGTCGATAGCCGGTCCAGTATTCCGCCCGGCAATCCATGAATCTCGGACTGGGGGGGTTGGTTTGGTCAGCATAGCTGAGTTCAAGGTGAAAAATGAGATCCATACCGAAGATAAAACCATTTCCTATCATCCTCTGACTCGCGACTGATGGCCAATTTGTACATCAACTCATCCAGAAGGGCATAAATGACCTGCGCTTGTCTTTTGCACACTTTTTTGAAATTAGTCCGTGGCGGACAGATAGCAGCACTTCCGTTCTCGTCTTCAAACAATCCTTTCTCAAACTGGGGACCTTTCTTGAGAGTTTGGAAGACGCCACGGAAGGCGATATCGACTTTGGACCATTTCTTGAGGTTCTTTAGGCGGGCGTCATCTTCTTTGCGGAAGGCCCAGACGGGGCGTTGCACGATACCTGAGTTAGTTGAGAGAATCAGTGTGATTCTTTCTTGCCTGTTTTTATGGGGATAGGGAAAGGAGAACGTACGGGTGTGATCCGCTTTGGCGAGGTGTCTTGTAGGAATGAGCTCCTCGTCGGATCGGTTCAGGTGGAACTTGGCTTTGATGCCGTGGACCTCGATTTCGATGACCTTATCAACGGGGGCTGGCTCTGGCGCTGGTTCCGGCTCATCGGGGATCTCGGGGATCATCTCCATGAGTGGAATGCTCGGCTTGCGAACAGGCTGGGGACTCTTTTGGGCCATGGCTCATGGATGATGGAAGGTGAGAGATGAAGAGAAACTAACAATAAGATGAGGGTGTGCAGTGCCGAGACACATGCTGAGTCGTCGGGGTGAACGCCAGAGAGATCTCCATGTTGCTTGTTACTGAGGGGAAGTGAATCGGGGTGCGTGCTGGTGTTGGTTTCTAGGATGAGTGACACCTGCATATTGAGAGAGGAGAATTGTAAAGAAGGATGATTGATTCATTTGGTGACGAGTCAGATCTCTTGGTTGCTTTACATAGAGTGTGTGAAATTGTGAATGTTATGTGGAAAGGTTCAATGGGTGATTGAGGAATGTGTTCAATAAGACAATATGCGGAGATGGAGGGTGGATCCAGTCACAGTGATACAAGGCAATTGTGCTGTTGTTGGGCCAGCGGATAACTTAGATCTGGAATACAGTGAAGCGATATATATTATATAGTGTACTATTACTATGCCGTCCCCCATCCAACTCACACTGGCCACCAATTTTGTCGACATAGTAGATATCTCCTCAATCAAATACATAACTGACAAGCCTAGATTTCCCACAGGTATAATCAAATCAAATGGTATCAACCCAGGTGTTGTTACTTGTTTAGGGATGTCCTCACTAGTTAATCACACACGCTCTTAGTCACAGCTGAGTGGGGCGCCAACCTGATAACGGGGAGTTCCGCGAGCTTCCCCGCTTATCAGCATTGAACCTCCTCCCTTCCCCCAAGCTATATATTTCGAAGCATTGCCCTCTCAGCGTATATTATTATTTCTTATTTCGCAATGAGAAGTACAAGATGTCCAAGGCAGTCAGGATCCCCATCCGCACCCAAAAGGCCCCTCTGCCCCCGCCATTCCTTTCCCAGGGCATCGTCGTTGGCGACATGGTTTACTGCTCTGGACAGGTAGGCGTCAATCCTGCTACAGGAAACATGATTGAGGGCTCGATCCAAGAAAGAACGGTACGATAACTGTGGTCATGTATCTTGCAGGCCCATTCCTTCAGAACTAAAGGGCATGGCAAGGCCTAGCTAACGGGGCTCAGAAACAAATCTTTCATAATCTAAGTGCCGTTCTCGAAGCAGGGGGGTCTAGTCTCCAGGATGCCGTGAAAGTGAACATATTTCTTGCTGATATGAATGACTTTGCTGCTGTCAACGAAGTTTATAGTTTGTTTTTCGCGGATCCGAAGCCGGTATGTTTCATGTCCATTGTGTTCCTGCCGATGCTTTGGCTTGTCCTAACGGAGACAGGCCCGGACATGCGTTGCGGTCAAGACCTTACCATTGGGGACCGATGTGGAGATTGAGTGCTCTGGGGTGGTGAGTGTGCCAAGTCGTGTTTCTCGTCTATGAGAGGCAATGCAAGCGTCTGAATGTGGCTGGGGGCGTGAGTACATACATGACTGGACAAATGTAGAGACTTGTATCAGGACGTGCTTATGCACATATCACTACATCTCGGCCGAATATAACGTTTAGGCTTAGACTAAAAGAACTGGTGAATTTCTGGACAAGTCCAGTTCAAAATGTCAGAAATCAGCGTGCCAGTTATGCCCTTATGCATGAACTCGGTTGGTCGTTGAGCTTGTGTCTAACGACCGTCGGACCCAACCTGGATAGTAGAAAGATGGCCGATACTAGTTCTATACCCTGCTGGATCCTCCATTGTAAGCGAAGTAGCGAACTATGGAGTAATGCTGTCTCAGATCGACTGGGTCAGTTAGAAGCACGGATTTAGGGAGGATCGGACCGCTATAATTAGTAAAGTTCCGCCATTTTCAGGCAACTCCTGCGGATAAGGTCGCATCAACAGCGGTTCAGGGATAGATTTTTGCAGCCACTACTGAGCTGGTCGACTTTTTCAGGCTCCGATCCGAACATCCTGACTCTCAGGATTGCCGAGCATGGATCTGCTGGAGAGAAGGTGCTGGTCACGAAAGGGGAGACCGCCTAGGCCGCATTGGGGTAATGCACACGCCAAGAACCGGCAATCGGCCAATGGAACCAGGGGCTACGGTGGGGCCTACGTCAGGAACAGGCATAGCGGGTGTGCAGTAATTTCCCAGTCCTTGGGTCGCCGGCCAGACTTGCCCACGGTTCATTAGATTCAGGGTCAATCTCCCCGTGTCAGGAACGTGGGTGCTTCCACCATCGAGGACGGAGTACTCCATATCTACTAGTATCTACATCACGATCGAGATGAATGGATCCCTATTCTTTTCCAATGCTCCAGTGATCCAGTGAGTGGTCTATGCCCCATGGAAGTAGGTAGGAGACTGAATCCTGAGACCAGGAGGCGCTCTTTGAACGGACTCAGCCTACGGGTTTAAAATAGCAACCAGAACAATGGTGCCACTGAACGGAGGGCCGTAGGTACCGCCGACTAGCTTCCTCCAGTCCACCGTCCGTAGTCCGTACTCAACCCAGGCGCAGGACGATCCGTGTTCCAATTTGGCCACTTTGATTTGGGTCTTATCAGAGCTTGGACTTGTCAATCTGCATCCAGTATGGCGATGAAGCCAGTCTGGCCGACATTTTTGCTCGACTGTTCAGATGAAGATGGTCTTGCCACCCCCAAAGCACGCTCGTCGCTGACTCGTGAGATCCAACACGAAGCTTGAAGAAGCAATGACCATGGGGGCCTTCCTGTGAATCCTTTCTGACTGTGCCGGGGCTCGGTACCAAGGTAGGTCTCAGCCAATACCAGATCTCTGGAATCCTGTACCACGCTGGTTCTGAGACCGAAGGGATGGAAATAGTGATTGTTTCAGCCCTGACATGTGCCCCAGTAGGGGCTGTGAGCGGTTGGCTTCTTGTTCTTCCGAGTCTCTGACATACCAGTCATGTCAGGGCAAAAGATAGAGACGATTGGCGCGCTGTCAAATAGCACCGACCGGCGGGCCAAGGAATTAGATAGAAAAAGGACAGTTTTGCTGCTCGTGACGGTTGGCGCCGCCGAGCATGCACGTGGTGTAAGACATAAATTCCTTCTCTTTCCCGTGGATTTCCTTCCCTTTAGTTCCCCAAAGCCGGTCTGATTTTCCGGAGCCTGAATGTGAAGACCCATCCTTTGGGGTGCAGGCTAAGAAATTAGCCAAGGATTAGTAGAATAATGGAGCAAGTTCTCGAAATGACCTGAGGTCGATAGCGCCCGCCACTAGCTTCTGGCTGGATGGATTATCTTGAGGTTGAAGACAATTAGAAGTGTAGTGCTAACTACTAGTAGTTGTAGCACATCGCGTCATGACAGGACTTAACTAGCTAGTCTTGTAAGTAAGTATACCAGTGCATGCCTGCTCCATACGGGCAGAATGGATGTGTGCGTACGTAGTGGCTCCGTCGGATGTACTGATGGTATTGGATGCCTCTGGGTTAAGTCGCGATGGTGAGACAGCCGGGGTGGATGGATCATGGATGGCCATTGTGCCTGACTCAACCTGGCGGGCGGGAAGGAAATCATCCATTCAATCTTACCTTACCAGCTAGGCAGAGACGCCACGGACGGGCGGTTGAGCGTATTTCTTCCTACTTACAATACTCCGTACCACCACCGCATTACTACTACTATCACTGCTGGCAGGCGCATAAGTCCCATGCTTACCACATTCCTTGGATCCAAAGTGAGAGGAACCCTCCTCCTCTTTGCGCGAATCATGAAACCAGACTAAACCAAGCCCAAGCCATGCGACTTTCTCGCGATGATCCTTTCCTGGTGATGTCCTGCGGCCATGCCAGCCATCGATGCGGCCGCCGCACCGCCAGTATCACCACGCACCGGGGCTATCCCCACAGCCATCCAGGAACCACCCGCACTAAACGACGCCGTCAGTCTAGGCCTTGTGGTGGTCCGAACCTTGACGGGATTATGCCCTTTGCAGAAGAGGCTGGCGTTCGAGGCGGGAATTGCGATGGGCGCGGTACCACTGCTGATCGGCAGTTGTCCCTGGCCACACTCACCGGCCACTCTGCGCTGTGCTACCCATCCACCGTGCCATCCTTTGGTCCTTGGGCCTGTTACATGCCTGGATTTTGAGGTTTCCTTGAAGATTAAGCATCGATCCCCGGGCTGCAATCATGATGTCCATATGAGCTGTCTTGAAGGACTAAACTTACTTCAACGCCATGCGACATCCCGGAATAACTGGGCCCTTTGTCAACACCTCCACCAATCATTCTTTTTGGTCCCAGAGGTAGTACCAACCCTGTCTGGCCGACCGAATTCTAGATACTGCATACAGCACAGCACCCTGAACCCTAGCCTCAGGCAACTGCCAGGGCGCCCTCTGACTCTACAGTCTACACCCCGTCCTGGCCTCCTTTACACCGCGCAAGTGCACGTAGGTACACCAGTCTGCGGAAGACATACCGGATGGACACCTTGTGCTCCATCTCTACTCGGCTGACGAGACCCTAGTTTGTCGATCGGAATACGCGATGCTACCTTGTTGAAATGCCTAGACCCTTGAGCGATAATCATATGGGCTGCATATCATGCAACTTCTGGTCTTGATTTTTAGCTCGAGGAAGTCCTCTGGAGGACGCCGAAGCCTAACGTGCGCCGTTGACTAGATCCTGTACGATGGGCGGAGAGCGAGCATGGACATCACCAAATCAGGCCTTTTCCTCCGTACTATTGATCGTTTAGCATCTAGTGTTTCTTTGATGGGATGTCGACCACCACAGCATACGTAGCTACATGCCTCCATTAGGACCGTCCTCCGGCCACACCTCTCCAGACGTAGATGCCTACATGCACACAGACAGACCTAGGTACATGGTCGGGATGCATGGATCTGGAGTGCATGCGCAGGAGGAAGAGTCGAGAACCTGTGATACGTAACGACTAACGACAGCCGGACCGGCACTGGCTGGCATGACCTAGAACGGGTTCCAACCCAGGGCGGAAGCGGGCTTGGTCGTCAGTAAATGTCCATCTGGGCTAATCAGAATAAGGATCCGAGGTGGTAATATACGGCAACCAAGGAATAATACCGTACGGAAAGAGGTGGGGCGGGAAGGTTCCACCTCACCCGGTGCGTGTCCCCAACCCGCCTTGTCATGGG